ATTGTTGTAGACACGAAATAAAATAAATATTAAAACAACACAGAAGTGTTCCCCTCCTGTTGGATAATCCAACTGGAGCGCGAGGAGCAAAAACAGATGATCAAGTTGAGGTGGCAGGCGACTTCGATCTCGATTGGGACAACTTCGCCGAGTTCGGGTCGGGCTATCCCTCGACCGTGCACCGGTTCGTCGGTTCGACCGAAGCCACATACATCTGTGACGAGAAGGTGCATCCGTCGCTGGTCGCCCGTGGCCGTCGTCTTCTCGACGCGCTCGCTCCGCCCGGTACAGTTGGTGGCGAAGGAGGAAGCGCCGGTCAGGATGGCCATGGCGATGAAGAGGACGAGGAAGATGAAGGACTACCGCTCATGAACCTGTCTACTACAAGTGGTCGTGGCAGAGGAGCGAAGGCATTGGACAGGAGAGCCGGGGAAGGCGGGAGAGTGGCTCCGCTGCCTCCTCTCGACGTCGCCGTCGGCCCGTGGCGCTTCGATCCCTTAACTACGGAAGAGCGCTTCGAACTCATCACCGGCCAGAAGAGACCAGCTGGCGTCGACGCCAACGTCGACGGGGAAGGAGAAGGGAACTATGTGTCCGGAGAGCTGCAGCTGATGGTCTATCGTGCTTCGGCGATGAAGCCGAAGGGTGAGCCTGACGAGCGGCTCCAGAGGGACAGGTTCGAGGTCACGCACGTGCACCACATGGATCACGCTCGCGAGTATGTGATTGTGATCGACAAGGTGGAGCGTCGCTTCGTGTTCATCGGAGAGGACGGATGCCATCCGCATTGTGGCACCAACGAGTTCATCTACGACAACTCTCACGGAAGCGGACCAGGTCTCATGGGCCATCTCTCGGAGCTGAACACACTCGGGAGCCTGCTGGAAACCGCTCGCCGACGATTCGTCCAGTTTAGCTTGGGATTGAACTGGTGGAAAACATCATGATAACTTCCTCATCCCTCTCATTATTCCTGTCCTCGGCGTTCAATGAACTGCTCATGTCATCACAAACCTGCTGTGCTGCTTCTCTTGGAGAAGAACGTGGGAGAAAGACGCCTTAGGCCGCGGTATTGTTGGGTTGTTTTTAACATTACATTATCATTTTGGTCACCAATAACTGACTTGTCACTACGGGCGCGCAAGCATGGTCTTCATGTCGGCCTGCACGTTGTTGATCTGCTTGACGCCGTAGGATTTGACCAGGATGTCGAGCATGGCGGGCGTGGCGAAAGCCGGCAGCTGAGGTCCGAGGTAGACGTTCTTGATGCCGAGGTGGAGCAGGGTGAGGAAGACCGCCACGGCCTTCTGCTCGAACCACGAGATGACGAAGGAGAGCGGCAGCTGGTTGATGTCCTTCAGGCCGAACGCCTGCTGCAGACCAGACGCGATCTGGATGGCCGAGTAGGCGTCGTTACACTGGCCGATGTCGAGCATGCGGGGCAGGCCGCCGATGGTGCCGAACTGGTCGAAGAACTTGTTGAACCGGTACTTGCCGCAGGCCAGCGTGAGCACCATGGTGTCCTGGGGAGTGTTGAGGGCCATTTCCTTGAAGTAGTTGCGCTCGCCCTCGGCACCGTCGCAACCGCCGATGAGGAAGAAGTGCTTGATGGCGCCGCTCTTCACCAGGTCCACCACCTTGTCGGCCACCGACAGCACCGTGTTGCGGGCGAAGCCGGTCATGGTCGTGTTCTTCTCCGGCTCGTCCTCCTCGAAGCCGTCCATCGCCAGAGCCTGCTCGACCAGGGCCGAGAAGTCGTAGTCGGGGATGTGCGTCACGCCGGGCCAACCGACAACACTGTTCGCAAAAAACTGTGAGTCTCACATGCAACCCCAGCTCGGCTGCTATGGGACGGTTTGAGTGCGCACCTTCGGGTGTAGATGCGGTTCTTGTAGCTCTTCCTGGGCTCGATGATGCAGTTAGTGGTCATCAGGATGGGACCGGGGAAGCTCGAGAATTCGATCTTCTGCTGCTGCCAGGCACCGCCGTAGTTGCCTGGAAGGAGGAGCGGTCAGTGTCGCTGACTTAGACTTAATGACCCCATTGCCCCCAGTGGCAGTGGTAGTGATAGTAGTAGTAGTAGTAGAGTGCCAGGACGGTGTCGTACCAACAAGGTGAGGGTACTTCTCCTTGAGGCCCGGATAGCCGTGCGCGGGCAGCATCTCGCCGTGCGTGTAGATGTTGATGCCCTTGCCCTCGGTCTGCTTGAGCAACTCCTCGAGATCGCGCAGGTCATGGCCGGAGATGAGGGCGCACTTGCCCTTGACCGCGGTGGTGCGCACGGGCGTGGGCTTGGGGTGGCCGTAGCGCGTGGTGGCGCCCAGGTCGAGGAGGCGCATGACCTCGACGTTCACCTTGCCCACGTCGAGGCACAGCTGCAGCAGACCCTCCAGTGTCTGCTCATTCTTGCGGCTCAGCCTGGCGAGGGCCTCGTGGCAGAAGGCGAACACCTCGTCGCTCTCCTGACCCAGCACGAACGCGTGCTCGGCGTAGGCAGCCATGCCCTTCAGTCCGTACATGGCCATCTCCTGCAAACCGGACAGATCCGGGCCGTAGACCTCCCGCCTCTGGAGCACGCCCACCCGATGTCCCTCGGCCTCGAGCTCTTCGAGGCTCATACCCTGTGCACCACACACACACACCCAACGTCAGCAAAACTCCAGCTCATCATGCATCAACTTCATCGTCATTGGCGGAACGTTGAGGTTCTGGGACAGGCAGGTACCGAGTGGAACTTGAAGGCGGTGGGGTGCCACTGGTCCTCCTGCTGCTCCTCGGCCTGGGCCTTGGCGAGCGCGGCAGGCGAGGCGCTGGCCTTGGCCTTCTCGTAGAGGGCCTTGGCGCGGGTCTTCATGTCGTAGGCCTCCTTGAGGAAGGCGTTGAATCGGGCAGAGTCGAAGTTGACGTTGGTCACCGTGCTGAACAGGGCCCGCAGCACGAAGTTGTCGACCTCGCGGTCCGAGAGGCCTCCTGTACTCATCGCCATGCAAAGAGGGAAGAAGACCATCAGCATCATCGTTCATCGTCATCAGCAAGAGATTCCAACTCGACGCACGGCTGTTGGATGGGAAAGAAGTTGCGATGTGTGGCACACGTACCAAGGTCACGGGCTCCCTTGGCGTAGATGGAGACGCCCTTGGTGGCGTGGATGAGGAGGTCCTGCAGGGAGGCGACCTCGGGAGTCTTGCCACACACGCCGACGGTCATGCAGCCCTTGTTGTCCCTCGTCTGCTCGCACTGGAAGCAGAACATGTCGGGCGCCCCTGCGGCGTTGGCAGCAGCGGCCGCGCGAAGACCGGCGCTGGCATGGAGAGCTCGCGTGCCCGCGATACGAGGCAGGGCTCGGCTGGTGAGCGCAGTCGCACGCGTCGAGGTAGTCAAACTTTGGGCACCCGAAGCAACAAGACGGCGCGAAGAAACGCCAGCGGAGGAGGAAGTGCGAAGAACGGCCGAGGCGCGGGCGGTGGAGTGTTGGAGTCGCTTCATGGCTAAGTGTGTGGGGGTGTGTTGCGTTGTGCGGAACAAGTTCCTGTGGGAGGAAAAAAAATGGGTTGCGCAATCCTCCACGACCCAATGGGCGGCCTCCAACCGCTTGGAATTGCTGAAGAACTGTCGGAAAAGAACTAGAAATTAGCTGGACCGGAGCTTCTACCATTGGTTGTTGCCAGGCAATTAGCGTTGAAAAGTCCAGACCACATGCAACGTCCGTGACATCTCGCGGCCCGGAGTTTACATCCCCTCAGCACGACCGAACCAAACTGCGTCGTGGTCGCCAACCGGTTTTGGCTTCTTTTACCCTTCCCCCACACGAGAACATGTTCCGATCAGCCAAGAGACGAGCACACCAACTTTTGACTCCGCCACGATTGGCGAATGCACACAGCAGCAGACACCTCGCCCCTCCCACCCTGCAGCAGCAGCAGCAGCGATGGTACAGGGCAGTACCTCCTGCAGCCGCTCCCGTGAACCTTAACGTCATGTTCGGGTCGCAGACGGGCACAGCCATGGGTATCCCCCCTCCCCCGCACGCGCACCTGTTGCAGTAGTTGGTGCTTTGTTGATTGTTAATATGCCGCCCTCCCCTCCCCCTCCAAAGGCTTTGCGCAGCAGCTGGGCAAAATGGCGCGTAAGAAGAGCATCAAGGCGAGGGTGGTGGACCTGGAGGAGTTCGAACCCGTGCGTGCCGCCCTATCGCTCCGAACAGTGTTGTTATTGTGGAGAGGCTAACGGTGTCTCACGGCTTTTGGTTGGCAGGCGGACATGCTCGGCAAGCCTTCTGAGGTGTACGTGTTCGTCCAAGCCACGTTTGGTCAGGTAAGAGCCACCCCTCCCCCGCTTATGTGTGGGGTCTGTACGCTGGCTTGTTGTTGACTCTTGCCACCACCGCCACGTGTTGGCAGGGTGAGGGAACCGACAACGCGAAAGGCTTCTTCGAGTGGCTAAAAGCGAATGAGCGGGAAGACGACAAGAGCAGGTTCTCACCTTTGCGCTTCGCCGTTTTCGGTCTCGGTACGTGGTGCTTGGCGCCTTGGCTCCCGCCGCCTGCGCTGGCAACTGACAACCACGCCCCCCCTGCACAACATAGGCATGAGCCAGACGTATCCGGCGCGGTACCAAGCTGCAGCCAAGTGGGTGGAGAAGCGAATGCTGGAGTTGGGAGCGCAGGAGATCGTGGAGAGAGGTACCTCTCCCATCTCGTGGGGCACACTCGCCGACTGTCGCTCACCTTAGCGCCCCGATTCGCAGGTGAGGGTGACGACAATGGAGACATCGAGACCAACTTCGAGGAATGGGTGGACAAGCTCTTCCCCAAGCTGCAAGAGCTCGACGACACCTCTTCGGCGTCAGAGAACAAGGATGTGGGAGCACGCACGACAACTGCGGCCGCCGTCGAAGAGGAGAAGCTGTTCTCGTTGAAGGTGCTGCCGCGTACGGATGTGAAGCAACTCGCCGCAAGTAGGCCGTTCGATCCCACCAGAGCGGTGGACATCAGAAATCCCTATCCTGCGCCTCTGCTCACGAAGTGCGTACCCAGCTCTTTCTTGGACAAGCCAACCCCGTCTGGTGCGCTGACGTGACTTGGATCGGTTCTCTTCGTCGGGTGCCACAGAGTGGAGCTGCACACACAGACGTCGACGCGATCTTGCAAGCACATTGAGCTGGACATCAGTAACGCGCCAAACATGCGGTACATGCTCGTTCATGTTCTCTCGTTTCTCGCGTGTGTGCCACACGCTAACTGCGCATTCAATGTAGCTATATGACCGGAGATTACCTGGGCGTCTTTCCTCGCAACCATCCGGAGCTGGTCACTCAGTACGCTGAGCGGTTGGGCCTTCCGCTGGACACCGTGATGGACTTCAACGTCAAGCCCGATACCAAAGGTGCTCGTTCTTCACCTCACATCGCCAACCAGTCCTGAGCTCGTCTAACCTGCGACGACAACTATCCCACCAGTCACACTCCCATTTGCCACGCCGTGCACACTCGGCACGTACCTCGCGCACTACGCCGACCTCTCGGCGCCCCTCAAGAAGGCCCACCTCTCCAGCCTGTTGCCTTTCGTGGCAAGGCCTGCAGAGAAAGAGCAGCTGGAGTCAGTCATAGCGGACAACGTATGTGCGGGGAGAGTGGTGGTGGTGGTAGATGCACCCAGCAGGGCAGTAAGTCTGATGCGCTTCCCTTTCTTTGTCCACAGGAGGTGGTCAAGCGCATGGTCGACGAGGAGCAGATTCTTCTGGACGTCATGAACCGCTACGCGTCGATCGATGTTCCGCTGGGTGGCTTCGTCGAGCTCGCGCCTCCGCTCCAGCCCCGCTATTACTCCATCTCCTCCTCCGATCGAGTGCATCCTCAGCACATCCACCTGACTGTCGGCCTGACGCAGCATAAGACGCGCGCGGACCGGTTGCACCGGGGAGTGTGCTCCGATTACCTGTGCAATCGCGTCGAGGTCGGCGATAGAGTGCCGATCTTCGTGAAGAACTCCTTGTTCAAGCTGCCCGATTCGTCACACCCCATTGTGATGATCGCCGCCGGCACAGGTCTGGCTCCGTTCAGGGTACCTATGCTCCTCGCTCTCGCTCTGAAGTGAAGTGTCTCAGAAGGAGGCCTGAACGATCTCGTGGCATCAGGCATTCGTGCAAGATAGGACGTACCTCCACGACCACGAAGGCAAGATGCTGGGCGGCACGGTACTCTACTTCGGATGCTACCATCAGGACCAGGATTTCCTCTACCGCGACGAGCTGGCCAAGGAGATCGATCGCGGCAACTTGCAGCTCGTCACGGCATTCTCCCACGCCCAGGAGGAGAGGTACCCGAGAAATGGCACGCCTATCCAACGAGCTGTATGTTGACGTCTCTCTCTCGCTCTCTCTCTCTCTCTCTTTCGTCCACGCAGGGTGTTCGTGCAGCATAAGCTGATGCAAAACGCCGACCGGATTTGGCACCTGATCCACCACGAAGACGCCAATCTCTATGTCTGCGGGTACGGTATCTCCCCTCTGAGCTTAGTGTGAAATTGCAGTTGCTGATCCGCAGAGGCATTCCTACGTACCATACAGAGCGACGCAGATGGCCATGGGTGTGGAGGATGCCTTGGTGTCGATCGTCGAGAAGTGCGGTAAGATGGAGCGGCCACTTGCCGAGCAGTACATTCGGACGCTCAAGGAGAAGAACCACTACCAGGAGGACAAGTTCGGCTAACACCAAAGGAGATCCTAGTTTTGGCAACCGTACGAAAATATATAGAGAGAAAGAGAGAGTTTAATTTGTACAGGAAGCAACGGACCCGATTTAGTCGTCAACGGCGGGAGGCGCGAGCTTGTTAGGTGGTGCTTGGTTCGAGCCGATGCGAGCGCCCTTTTCTCCGTACCACCTGATCCGTGGAGGTGATGAAGAGGATGAACATTCTTCAATACGCGACTCGGTTGCACATGTTCGATCGCGCACCTCTTTACGCGAGGGTTGACGAGGGAGAAGCCTTGCTTCCTCTTCGCGCCCTTGGCCTGCGCCTTGTTCGGAACTGTATTGGCCACGGCCGCGGGCTCCGCCATCTCGTACGTCGATTCTGGAATGAATGGTGGGGCGGTCAGCGATCAGCTGAACCTCCTTCTTTGTCGCGCCACTCTATACCTGACGATCTCTTGAAGGAAGTGGCTCCTCCGCTGGACGTCGATAAAGTGCAGGGCATGGTTTGCGAGGACGACTGGGAGGACGGCTGAGATGACGTCAGCGTGGTCTCTGTTCGATCTTCCTGCTTCGCCAAAAAGCAACGCATCAGCTTCAATCAGTTAGCAGGAGAGCGCTTCAAGAACACGCGCGCGTACCCTGTGTTTCTCCACTTGCGACAGCAACTCGTGGGCCTCTGTTGGGCAGTTCGTCAGAAGATCGCCGACAACAAAACAGCGGACGACCAGGGAAAGTACCTAGTTCGGACTTGCGTTTCCGCCGAGCGAAGGCGAGGAGGTCAAACACCATGTCGGCCACCTTGGACTTGATCTCGTCCGTTTCGCCCGGTAGGAGCGTGTAGGTGTAGGAAATTTGTTTCCCGTTGCAGTAGCACCAGGCCGTGAACTTCATTTGCTCGTTGTCGTTCAGTCCCACAAAGAGGCTGTCCGACTGCAACGCCTCCACCAGCCGAGAGAGAAAATCTTTCCACGACTCCTTGCCAAATCCAAGCATCTTCTTCTGCACGCGCAGATTACACAAGTCAAGTATAATGCAGTACTGTAGTAAGCAACTTTGCCAGAGGATACCGGCGCCAAGGAGGCGGGGGAACCTGGTGCTGCATCTCCTCAAAGAACACTTCCTTCTCCCAGAGGCCCTCGCTGAGATCGGTCACGGAGATGATCCACGAATCGTGTTGTGTGGTTGAAGAATGGACCAGGTATCGTTCGTCGCCGCTCACCTCGGCGTAGATGCCGTCGAGGACCCGCAAGCTCCTTGCAAACTGCTCAGCAGCTGCTTGCGACATGTGCAGGGTTGAATCGAATTAACCACAGTGCACAAAACTCTTTGCTCTTTGAAGTTTTTCGTTCTGTTTCGTTTTCCCGCCCTTTTGTCCCAACGGCAAGGGCTAAGAAGAAAATCAAAGCAGAAAAGCACATTTCTCGATCAGCTCAACATTGCAAGATTTCGCGAGATGGAAGTTCCTGCGCCTGCGTCGGAGCTCGCTCAGGCCCCCGCAGCCGAGAAGGCCGTGGTGCTCACCCGGACCGTGATCGAGCCTGACACGGAGGCACTGCTAGAGGCTCCTCTGCGTATCGAAATCGAAGTCCGTGCCTCCAAGGCCATCACCAACGCCCGATGGGAGGCCACGGTACGACGCCTCCCGCTCTTGCCCCCCTCTGCAAAGGAGCCCCCTTTACGAAGTTCGTTTCGAATTTGCACACAGTATTTGGCAGATTTCGCCAATGCAAAGCAGACGGGCAAGCGGAAGGAAGGAAGCACGCAGGTCGCGGAGACTGGCGTCACGCTCGTCGAGGGGCAGAGCCACACCTTCTCGTTTGCTGTACGGCATGCATGTGCACACGCCAACTCTCCATCACACCTGGCCTCACACTCTCTGTGGTGCAGGTGGACGACTTTGTGAACGAATTGTGCGAGGGCATCATGGAAGAGACGTTGCTGAATGTTGGCGTGATCTACATCACCCTGTACAGCGGTGTGACCGAGGTCGAACGCTTCCCTTTTGTAACGCATGTCCGCAGGTGCGCATTGATGCCCCCCCCCAATGATACGTGCGCGCGCTTCTGTTGGGCCATCAGTGACTGCAATCGGAGACTCATGACCTCCTCTCTTCAGGCGAAGAGTGGAAGGCCGCAAGCTCTGGCGATACGTGTTCGATCCCTTGGCGCCCTCTGTTGAATCGTGATCGTGGTCGGCGGGCTCTTCTCAGTTCGCCTGCTCCTCTCGCTCGAGATCTACCGCCTTAGCGTGGAAACAACGGGAGTTCAGGAGAGAGAAATTGGAAGAAGACTTCTGTGTACAACGTTCGGCTTTGCTCATCAGCAAAGCAAGATGGTTACAAGTTTCGCACGAGCCCTTCGTGCCGAGATGAAAACCATCAGCTGTCCTCCACGAGGGAGGGGGATGCAGTTGAGTTCAGTCTTGGGCGGCGTCCAAGACCTTGGCCAGCTTACGGGCGATGATCGTAAAATCGGGGCGACGATCGGGGTTGCGCAGACAGCACCGTTTGACGAGACGTCGCAGGCGCTTGTCGGCCGTGGTGCCCTTCGGAAACTTAGGGCGGTGGCCGTCGGCAATATGCCGTGCCACGCGCCTGGTCTCGACCTCTGCATAGGGCACCGTGCCTGTGTGAGGAGATAGTGATGATGGTTAGATCTTCATCTACACAGTGCTACGTCACTGCAGAGGGACGTGCTTACCGGTGATCATTTCGAACAAGACGAGGCCGAAGGAGAAGACGTCGGACTTTCTGTTGTAGCGTCCGGTCAGGGTGACCTCTGGCGCGCGATATCGCGGATTGCCGTTCTTGGACGTGCTGACTGCCCCCTCGGGGTATGTCTCGGCGGCGCCGATGACCTCGACAGCGATGCCGAAATCGGCCAAGCAGGCGCTGGCGTAGTCCTCCGGCTTGCGAAGCAGGATGTTCGCAGTCGATAGGTCACTATGACACGAAACGAGAAGGGACCCCGGGAAGGGTTAATGATGTGGCCAGGATGAGGGTGTAGGGGTGTGGGTTGCTTACCGATGGAAGATGGGAGGGTCGAGGGCGAGCAGGTTAATCATGGCCTCTGCCACGCGCATACCCACTCGCGCGACCGCCCTATCGGACAGTTTGACTCTGCGCCGTATCACCGACTCAATGCTTCCTCCTGATAAAGAAACACCAAAAAAATTGATCAGTCAGGCCTTCCTCGAGAGAAAAGTGTGCGAGGCGCACACATGGTCGGTCGTACCCTCGCACAGTTCGGTGACGATGCAGGCGTGCGGCTCAGCGCAGTAGCCGCGAAGGCGGACGATCGGCGGCGGCAGCAGCGGGTGCGCGACCGGGCACTCCTCCAGGGCTCGCTTCAGGGCCGCGACTTCGCGTTGGTAGCTCTGGCGTTGGCGCGGGCCGCACTTGAGGATCTTCACCGCCACCGGACCCGTGTGTGGGAGGGACGCCGGGTAGACGGCGCCGAAGCAGCCCTGGCCCAGGACCCCCTCCCGGAAGCGAATGTCGCCGTAGCTCAGCTCGAGACCGGCGCCGTTGTGCGGTCGCGGGCAGACCGCGGGCGGGAGGAGCTGAGGCTGCGAGAGCGAGGCATAGACCATCGGGGCGGCCTTCCCTTCAGGCTCGGTGCACGCTCGGGTCAGGATGGGCAGAGAGCGAGAGGCAACCAGGCAACGCAGCGCGGCGGCGGGCGGCGAGGCGTCATCGGTGGTCGCGTCGGTGGCGTGGCCGCTGTCTCCCTCGCAGTCCTGATAGTAGTAGTACTTGTCCAGGGACAGCTGTCGCTCCCGCAGCCGCCGCAGGAGGCCGAAGAACGTCTCCTGCCTGCGTTGTGGCGTCAGTGAAACGGTTTACTCGACTCACAAAGGAATGGAGGGGGGACGCGTACGGTTTCAGGCAGGCGTCGAAGAGCTCCTTGGTGATGTTGGCCGGCGGCACGGTGTCGTCGTCGTCGTCGTCGGAGCCGGGGCACCACTTGTTGCTCGAGAAGGTGGCACAAGGAGGAGGAAGAGAAGCAGCGGCCTGGAGGCGCTTGTGCACGGCCTGTAGCCGCTTGCGCCTGGCGGCGAGCGTGCGGCTCATCTCCTCGACCAGCTTCTTGCGGTTGCGCTTCTCCTCGAGGCCCACCCAGCCTTGGGCAGAGTTGCGCTTCCTGTTGTTGAAGTCGTCGAGCTTGGTCTCCAGCTGCCGGATGTCGCTCTCCAACCGCGTCACGTAGCTCTCCACCTCCTCCCTGGTCGCCTCCTTGCCCAGCGACACCGTCGAGCCGGCGCCTCCAGAGCCCTCCCTCGAGTTGTACTCGTGGGCTCGTCGCGCATCGATCTGTTGCCTGCTGCGCCCATCTTGTAACGAGTTGCAGCGCCGGTGCCGGTGCTTGCGGCCCTTTGTCGTCGTAGTTGCTGCCGATGTCGGAGCTCCGACGGCGGAGAACTCTTCGTCGCTGGCGGACTGCGCTCTATCGAGTACGGCGCCGGCGGGGGGACGGACCACTCGGCGGCAGAGCAGCGGAGCAGAGAGCGACGACGTCAAGCTGAACAGCGGGCGATCAATGAGTGGCCCGGGCTCTGGCGCGGCGGCCGGGGCCGTGATAGGCGCTGTAAGATCGTGAGAGAGGCTGCGTCGCAGACGCCGCGAGGCCGTGTCGGCCATGTTCGCCTCGCCCCACGATAAGGAGGAGGAGGGAGGCGAGTGTGAACCGCACTCGTGCTGGGTCCTCGACTGGGTCGTGACTGCCATAGTTCGTACGCGTCACTGCTGTGTGTCACACAGCTCTCAGCCCCAAATCTCCTCTCCGCAGGCGCCAGTATTGCCTTGTCGATACAGTACAGCTACGGCCAACGGAGTGTCCAACCGAACAACTGGAGAATAGAGGGCCGAGCGATAACCATTCGCATTCTTGGCCCCATTCTGCGTCCATCTTTTGCCTCACGCTTTTAGCCGAAATGCGGCCGCGGCCGAGTTTCTTGCTTTTTTCCATTGCCCTTTTCTTTAATATTTTCTTCATTTCCTTATTTGGACAGGAGATATGAAGCGCCTGTTGGTACGTCGTAGGTGGCTGGAGCAAGATGAAGAGAGAGGTATGGATGAGAGCGCTCTTGGTGGTAATGCTGCTGGCGTGCGTGTTTGCCTTCGTGCTTCTCGGGCGTAACATGTCCCGCCAGGTGGTGCGAGTTCAGCCACTGCCAGTTCTGGCAGACGGTACGCGAATCCCCCCAACCATATTACTTCTCCTCGATTCAAGGCCACTTACGGTGCGCACAACCCCCAATCTTCTGCAGAGGACGATACCCCGGAGGAAGTGTTCGAGGAGACAGAGGACACGCCCCAGCAAGACTTAAGCAGCAGCATCAGCAGCGGCGAATCTATGGTCCAGCTAGAGCAGCATAACCAGCAAGAGGAGCAGCAGGCTGAAGCTCAGAGACAAGCGGAGGAGCAGATGAGAGCGGAAGAAGAGGCACGTGCGAAGCAAGAGGAGGAAGCGGCACAGGTGCTCAAAGAGAAAAACTGGCGAGAGGAGCGGGACAAGCGCGTGCGGGAGGAGAGGAAGCGACTGGAGGACGCCAAGAAGTTGGCCAAGGCCAGCAAGCTGAGCGCAGGAGAGCAGCGCAAGCTGGCCTGGCAGTCTTCGCTACAGCAGGGCGCCGTCCAGTGGTCCGACATGTCCGCCACGCAGAAGAAGATGGCCACCTACAACCAGGCCAAGGCCGACGCCGAGCGAGAGAAGGAGGACCAGCGCCGGCGCACGGACGACATACGGATCGCGGCAGAGGCAGAGCAGAAGAGGAAAGAGGAGGTGGCCGGCCTCGTACGCCAACGCAAGGAGAAGCACCTCCTGGCTCGGCTGAAGAAGAACGAGCAATGAGAGTAGAGCAAGAAGGCTTCGCACACTACAACAAACGAGTCTCTCTTCACACGTGTTCCGTGAGCTGATCATCACTCGGCCTTCTTCTTCTTGCCCTGAGCGCCGCGCTGGAGGAGGATGAAGGAGAGGAGCTTGAGGAGCACGAAGGAGACGAAGTTGCACAGGACGATCCAGAGGATGGAGTAGACGTAGAACGGGACGACCAGTGCGCCGCCCTCTTCAGGTGCGGCACGCTCGAGACTGACGTGGATGCCCTGCTGCTCGAGGAGAGGCACCAGGCTGTCAGCGGCGTTCTGCAGTTGCTGCGGCGCCTGCTCCATGAAGGCCCGGTAGGGCGGACTGTTCTCGCTCTTGTAGGCCTGCTCGTAGAGGTTCGCGCTCCTGTGGGCGAAGGGCGTGTAGGCGTGGAGGGAGGGCACTCCCGGGAGCTGGTGCGTCGTCGAGAGGAGGAAGAGCAGCGAGTGGAGGAAGATCGACAGGAAGCCCGCGCGCCACCTCACCCCTCCATTCTTGTACAGCGCCAGGAAGCAGAGCGGCAAGAACAGCGCCTGGTGCATTGGGGGGGGGGGCAGGGAGGCATGGTAAGCTTCCCTCTTGCTCCAAAGCATAGTTGCCGCAACCATAACGAGAGGACGTGGGTGGTACGTGGTAGCTCAAATCCGCGATCGCAAAGTAGTTGTCCCACGACATGTGCGCTGCAGAAGAGGGCGGCATGAGTGTGAAGCTCGATTGGTGTTTGTTCGTGCGTGCGCGTGCGTGCGTGCGTGCGGGAATAACTCTTACCGACGGGCACGGCGGTGCCGAAGAAAAAGGCCCCGGTGATGAGCCAGTGGGCAAGATCGGCCCACCACGAGAAGTGATAGTAGCTCAACACCACTAGTGACGTGCCTGCGGTGCCATCGTCAGTCCGTCTGGACCATCGAATCTCGAACCGCCAAGCAAGGAGGTGGCGAGGTAGTGGGTCTACGCACCAATGAGCGTCGGGGACAGAAGCAGCATCCCCACGGCCGCCAGCAGGATAAAGATCTGCAGGTTGAACAGCATGTCCGCCAGCCCCTCGAATCCATCCTGGCGTCGCAAAGTGGGAGAAGATTCAGTCGAAGAGATGGCTGAGGGGAAGGTGCAAGGTGAGCGTGAAATGTACCTTCTCCCAGTGGCGATAGCTGAGAGAGGCGAAGTAGGTCAGCAGCAGGAGACCCGCCAATCGCGACGCCCACGGCCAGTGCCAGTTTCCGGGCTTGGCGGCGGCTGGCTGCCTCCTCGCCCTGGCGGGAGGGGTCGCGGTGGGCTTCGGTGCGGGCTGGCTTCTCGAGGACGACGATGTCACCGCCGAGTCCTCCTCATGCGCGCTACCGCCGCGTCTCTGGCGCAACGAGGAGGCCGAGGTGGCGAAGAGCGAGGACACGTCGTTGCCCCCGGCCTGCTCCATCGGCGGGAGGATGGGCTTCTTCGGCTTGTTGTAGAGCCCCATGTAGTCGTCGTCGTCCTCTCCCGCGCCGTTGCCGCGCTGTTGAGGATTCTGCTGCTGTGTTGGTGGTGTGTCTTCGAATATGGGCTCGTAGGAGTCCGCACCCAGCGAGGACGCAGAGGGTGCAGGCGAATCGGCGAAGGCATCCGGCACCGGCAGCCCGCCGCTTGCAGGCCCGAACGTGCCTCCACCCGCCGCAGGCACGCCGTAGAACTGCGGCGCCGCCTGGGGCTGCATGTAGTGCGGCGCTGGCTGCTGTTGGGGCTGCATGTAGTGTGGCGCTGGCAGCTGTTGAGGTGCGGGCTGCTGAGGCTGTGTGTATTGCAGTTGCGGTTGGTGGTGGTGGTGGTGGTGCAGCGCTGGCTGGTGGGCCTGCGGAGGGAACGCGCCGTGCGAGTGGGGAGGGGACAACAGAGGTGCTGCTCCTGCCTGGGGCTGCTCCACCGACGAGAAGTGGGGTTCGGGTTGCTGCTGGTGCTGCTGGAGTCCAGCAGGGTATGGGGAGCCGTGCGAGTGAGGCGGCGAGAGCAGGTTACCAGCGCCCGTCGACGGGGGAGGAGCGAGGTATGAGGATTGTGGCGGCATGTGCGGGTGTTGAAGGTGATGAGTAGCCGGTTGCAGGAATTGGCCGCTCGCATCGGACGAGTAGGGCGACATGGCTGAGAATAAATCGGATGAGCCTGGAGATGAGATGCCAGCAGCAGGCGAGTAGGAAGACGTGGGAGGGGTCGATGATGCATCGACGATGGGCGAGAGGCCACCATGGTACATCATGGGGTGCTGATGATGGGGTGGTAGAAGGTGGTGCTGTGGCTGCTGGGCTTGGGGTGCCGCAGATGGGAAGCTTCCCATGGTTTGGGGAGGGTGCGCATCAGGCGGTGGTGCAGCGGTCGTTGCGGTGGGACCGACGACGAGAGGGGCATGAGGGGTGACGCGGGCAGATGGGGGCTCGCCAACGATTCGCCTGGCGGTGCAGCATCATCGAGGTCAAGATCGACGTACGAGGTCGGGAAGAGCTGCATAGGCGCGGCCGGCCTGCCACGACGGCCATGCGAGTGCTCACCCAGCGTAGGGGAGCCAGGAGCCGACATCTGCTTCGTGCAGTACCTTGTTGTAACAAGGTTTGCGCGCACACGCCCCCACACGTCAGCCAAGGGTAACCAAACACATGCTTTTTCTTCTCTCTATTTTCCTCATTTCGCCGACTGTGCTGAAGGCAAGCGCTTGCCAGTTCGAGTGCTGACTACAGGCAGAAGAGACCGCTCGGCTGGACTTCTCTGCCGGAGAAGTAGGTCGCATGCTCGAGTTGGCCAGACACAGTGGAGGCGGACAACAGCGCAACGGGAGGACTCTCACCCGTTCCAGACACTAGCCGTAGGTGGTAGTAGTAGGTGTACACAGGTGAGCACATCATCGGTCGGGCGCATTCGGGGCATGAGCGAGAGGAGTGGTGCGTACCCGAGTAAAACTGAGACTTGGTCGGGCTGTAGGCGGCCAGGGAGCCGACTATGAAGACAAACTTGGTGGAGTCCCATTGATTGATGTCGTGCACCTTGCCGGTGAGTGAATCGATGGTACCGAAGGCCAACGGACCCCCGTTGCCGGAGGCGGGGCTGAACAGCCCGTACGACAATCCGCTCTCGCTATCCCACGCCTATCGGATTGTTAGTTATTTTAAAATAAGAAAGGTGAGTAGTGTGACGGGGCGCGGGGCGTGTGGAAGTGACCATGGCGGCAGGGTAGAGAGTGTCCAGCGTCACGTTGCTCCACTCCAACTTCTGCACATCCAAACGAGTCCAATAGAAGTGCGCTGCAGCGGAGAGAAGATGGAGATTAGTTTCGCCGAGCGTGTGTGTGAGAGAGAAGAAAGATGGGGGCGTACGAGAAGTTCCTTCCGTCCTCGCAGGGAAAACAAGCAGCCTGTTCTTCTGATCGAATGCAGTGGGCGCACCGCCAATGCCTGGACAAGCAACTGTCAAGGGAAGAGCGCACGTGCACGATCAGAGGAGAATTCGGGTACCGGAGGCGGCAGGCACCGCGCCATAAGGGACGGTAGCCACGCGCTTGGAAGTGCCCGCGGAGAGATCGACAAGCTCTACCCACACGCCAGAGGCACGCTTGTCTATCGCGGAAAGGAACATCAATACCCCACTATCCGCCCCGATGGAATGGGCCATGAGCGGGAAAACGAACGCATGTCGGTGCCAATGACCCACACCTGATCACCAGCAGGATCGTAGTGCAGGCCCATGACGTAGGTTTCGCCGATCTTGATGGTCGTCTCCAGCGTCACCTGCCCAGTAGACACCTTGGACACGTCGAACACGCCCAGCGCCATCTCCTGTTTCTACACACTCGTTCCACAAACGAGTGTGAGCCCACGGACACTTCTGTACGCATACAGCCACTGCTAGTGCGAGGCGGCGTACGGCCATGCTGAGCAAAGGAGCAAAGAGTCGCTTGCCTTGATGGTCCACTGCCGGGGTGATGGGGAAAAGCATAACCCACTCCGCACTCGTGTAGAGTTGCGGCCCCTGGGCTCCTGCGAAGAAGGAGAGCAGAGAATAGAGAGTAGAGTAGAGCTTAGAGCTGACTATGGAATGGAGTGAGAGATGAAGAAAGAGATATATGGGGGCTGCGTACCGGTGCTCGAGTCAATGGTGGAGATGTTGAAGAAGGTGCTGGTCAGGCCAGACCAAAGTGCATAGAGCGGGACATCTGCGGCCACTGGCACTGCGACCTCTGCGGAGGCAGTGCTGCCCCCGACCACGAGCAAGAGGAGGAGAGTAGCGGCAACCGCGAACAGGAACGAGAAAGAGGCCATGACGAGAGACTGAACAAGTTCTTCCAAGTCCACAGAGAAAGCCCTTCACCCGCAGTACCGCCACTCCCTCCCGAAAGGTGGTTGAACTCAAGTTAGGAGAAGTTACCTTGTTTCCGCATTGAGCACGCGTTTATAGACCATAGTCGGTCCGAGTCAATAGGGTCTATTGGGCGAGGGGCTTGGTGGCCCACAGCAGATAGTTGACCGAGGTGTCGGTGGTGAATGACCACGACCCGTTCCACGGCTGGTAGGCGAGCCCCGTCAGCTCCTCCAAGTTCATGCCCGCTCTGGTGTCATGTGGTTGCGTGCGTGCGGTTAGATAGCGATCAGAAGCCGTGAGGCGGAGAGCGGGACAACAGATCACGCCACCACGCACCGTTGCAGAAGAACGCCCAGCTCCGTGGGCTGCACGAATTTGTTCCACTGATGCGTGCCCGGTGGCACCCAGCCCAGGATATACTCAGCGCCTACAATGGCGAGCGCGTAGGATTTCATCGTTCGGTTGATGGTAGACAGAAACAGGCTACCGCCCGGCTGTGCACAGGGGAGAAAGGGTTCCCGTGAGCTAACGCCGACTCCCACCCCAATACAGCTCCAATGAATGAAGGGCCAGGTGGGACGGCACCTTGACCAGACCGCTGAGGGAGTTGATGAAGAGCTCGGGGTTGTTGACATGTTCGATCACCTCGAGGCTGCTCACCACGTCAAACTGCTGTCCTTCTGCTGCCAGACCCTCTGTGCTCATAACACGCGTGAGTGAGTGTTTCGCTCGGAGAATGTGTTGGTCGTGACGTGTGGGTCGGAACGGTACCAGCCGTGCCATGACGATAAGCCAGAGTCGACAGCGAGGAATCCCCCGACGAGTGCTTGATCGCCGTCTGTATGTTGGCTGCCGACGCATCCACACCCAGCACCTCCCCACCCAACCGCGCCAGCGACTGTAACACCGCGTATAAGGTCGGGCCTTGCATCGATGAGTGGCATTGGGGGGGGGGGGTAATACCTCGGTCAGGAGGCCAGGGCCACAGCCGACGTCGAGGAAGCGAAGGCCGGTGAAGGGCTGCGGTGCGAGCGGAGGGAGACCGAGGCGCTTGGTGAGGCATGTGCGGAGGTAGGCCACCCGCTTGGGGTTCATGCGGTGGAGGGGCTTCATCTCTCCCTCGGGGTCCCACCACCGCAGCCGCGCGCTCTCCGACAGCCGCTGCACTTCCTCCTCGTCCACCGTCGAGCCGCCCGTGGCCGCCCCCTGCTGCTGCTGCGGGCTGCCGTGAACGGTGGCTATACTACGCACAGAGTGGAAAAGCGGCCCTACCGCCCGCGTAGGGACTCGCCATGCTGCCGCGGTCGTACGGCAGACTCGCGTGCAAGAAGGAAGTGCCGTGGCAGTCGAGCCGCACCGACCTGCGAGCAGGAGCGTCCTCTTCATCTTCTTTCTCCGATTTTATTTATTTTTGATCATTTTCCTTCCTCTAAGAAAATGCAAGAAATTCAAATTAATCATAATTAAAGGTCCTGTGTGGTATTGGTGGCCAGGCACTGATACACACACATCAACTATCAAGACGCCGTTGCGCAGGGTGTGCTCCCGCCAAAGAAGAGAGCAGGGTCAAGGGCCTCTGCGTTCTCCGTACCCGACATGGAATTGGTTCCGTCTCTCTGGCTCTCGGAGGGTACAACTTACGAAATGTCTTCTCACCCTCCTTTTCTTCTTCCCACAGCCCAAGGATGAACTGCTACAAGTGGTGCAGAAGATGGCTTCCGCTCGGGCTTCCACCCTTCAATCTTCGGCAACCAACGCGCGCACGCAAGTTAAGGAGGGCTTCCTCGTCAAGCAAGGTTCCTCTTCTCTTTGTCTTCATCCCCCCCCTCAATCTCTTTCTCCGTTCTTTTTTATTGTTTGGAATCTTATTGAATATATTGCATTGCATTGAATATATGTTATAACTTATTTATTATAAGTTTTCTGCTTATTTATTGCTTTTCGCTGTTCATAATTGACTACAACACATGAATAACAAATGGCACAGGGCACATTGTGAAGAACTGGAAGCCCCGCTACTTCGTCTTGAAGAAGGACTACCTCCTCTATTTCAAGAATGAGAAGGTACGGCCATGATCACCATCGCGCACGCCCTCGTTCTATCGAGTCCACCTGGTGGCGGCTGACACGCTCGGGGCTGTTTGTGCTTGGCTGCTGCGCAGGACACCCAGCCGGCGGGCTGCATAAAGCTCAAGGACGCCAAGGTGACCTTCCCCATTCCGCCCAACGTCAACGTGGGAACGTCCGTCAAGCGCGACCACTGCTTCGAACTCTTCTCCTCCGGTTCTCCCTCCTTTGCCTCCCACTGCCACGCAGCAGTTCTCCTCGCCAGCCGCCGATTCGTCTAACCTTGTGTTCTCTTCTTAAATGCCCGCAGCCGACAACAAGACATTCTATCTCGGAGCTAAGGTACGCTTGGAGTACAGGAGGAGAGCGCGCAGACGAACAGCGGTGGTGATGGCTGACGGCTGACGGCCGAGTGAGTGTCGTCTACTCCTCCAGGACACAAACGAGGTGGACGAATGGATGGAGGTGCTCAACAAAGCCATCAGCAGCCTGTCGGTCGTGGGCACGCCGTTCAACGTCAAGCACAAGGCGCACATCACATACGAACCGGACGCAGGCTTTGTGGTGCGTCTATCTCTTTCCTCTGTCGTAGCACAGCGTACCGGGTGGATGTCTGACATATTTGTAACTCTTCTTCGTCTTGATTAGGGTCTGCCGCCCGCGTGGGGCGCCATCCTTCGCTCCTCGGGCCTCACGCCGCAGGACATCGACAGCAATCCCGACGAGGTCCTCAGCATTTTGGAATTCCAGAGCAAGCTGATCGAATCGAGCGACAAGGTCCTGCCTCGGTTCTCGACCAACTACACGTCCAGCCAGCTGCTCAAGGCCGGAATCCCTTCAGGGTACCGACGAGGCCACCATCTCGTTTTCTCTTCTTTCCGACGACACTCACGCATTTGTGGGTCTGTTGCATGTCTGCAGGCGCAGCAAGGACGATGGTGGATACACCGTCGCTTCGAAGATGCGATCTGGGTCGTTTGACGCGACTCCCCTCTCCCCACCGGCAGACTCAGGAGTGCGTCCGCCTTCGCCGGGCTTGTTCTTAAGCCGGTTCGTCTCACCGCTGAACTCTCTCTCTCCCCCTCTCAGCCGCAGAGCCCGCCTCCGAGGAGAACGCTTCTCGGGTCGAGTGCATCCTTGATCAGTGCTCGACAGGTGCAAAAATGTCCCAAGGCCCTGCAGCCAACCCACACCCCAATCGTGTGACGACCGTCGAGGTGATTTGTTGTTGACCTCCGCTTTTTATTTTCCGGAGCAGGCGTTTGGCGCAGCCGTTCGGCAAAGTGCTTGCCAGGAAGATGGCAGCGGACGCAGGGGCGGGAGCGTGATCGTCCCTCCACCCTCGACTCCGCAGGGTACACCCCGCACTACTTGGTCGGTGCTGTCATTTCATCGATGCAACCGTTGAACGTCAGCTGAGCGGAGTATTCGCACCTTCCTCCCCCAACCACAAAGGCATCGCTGGGCGTCCCTCGCATGGAACGACGATCGGCGGGTCGGTGGCGCGCAACACGCAAGTCGGAGGCGGTGGAGTCGCCAGCGCACGGCCGTTGCCGCCGGGCAGGACAGGCAGACGCACGCTTTCCCTGAGAACGGCGATACGCTGGCACCGCAACTCGGAAGCGCCCCCACCGGTACGCTTCGACATCTCCCCTCTCCAGTGTGAGTTGATGGAGTCATGGCTTACGTTGCCTGCCCGCGTAACGCAGCGCCTCTGCCGGGCGCCGTGCACCCTCGGCAGCAGACTGTGGCAGGCATTCAACCACTCTCCACGCCCATCAGCCGTGCCACGGAAGTGCAGACGCTGCAGGCTCAGGTGAACGCTCTGCAGTTGCCCGAATACACCACACTCAGTACGTCCTATACCCTGCTTTCGCTCAATGCCCATGCAGCCTCGCGTGTGCTCACCAAGGTGCCCGCAAACAACAGCGGACCTGGTCAACACGGAAGATCCCCGGCCACTGTACCCGGTAATGAAGACCAAGATCGGCAAAGGGTACGTGCTTCGTCTTAGTTGACCGACTCTGGGGTCTTACTCGCTCGGTTGCCTGCCTGCTTGCTGTCAACAGTGGCTTTGGCGAGGTGTTCCTGTCCACCAATACGAGAACTGGCGAAAAGGTGCGCTCCTCTGCCTAATCTGCTTCGAGTTCTGTTCATTGATATAGCTCCGATCTCCGCGCGCGAAAACGACAGGTGGCCATCAAGAAGATGCAGATCAACCGAAAGAACAAGGAGGAGTATTTGGCCATGGAGATTGGCATCATGAAGACCTGCCAGAATCCCAGCATCGTCCGCTTCATCGATAGCTACCGCATCGATGACGTCGTTTGGGTACGGCTTCCGTCCCACTTCGCTGCGGTGTGGTTCCTATTCGCGGCAGACTGACGTTGGGCACACCTCCAGGTGGTAATGGAGTACTGCGGCGGAGGGTCCTTGCTAGAGATCGTGGAGATCTACGACCAGTTCAGGCTCACCGAACGGCAGGTGGCCTTTATTGCTCGCGAGGTGCCCCATCCATACACTCACTCGCTCTCGTCTGTCGGACACCCAATATCGCCACGGAGAACTCCCGCTGACGTCCAACATTCCTCATGACCAGTGCGTGAAAGCGCTGCACTACGTCCACTCGATGGGGCGTCTGCACAGAGACATCAAGAGCAACAACATTTTGTTGTCGGCCAAGGGCCAGGTCAAAATCAGTACGATAGCCTCTTGCACCTGTTGTCCCTGGGAGCACTACTAATATGCATTGCTGACCACACCGTGACGACCCACAGCCGATTTCGGGTTTGCGGCGCAGCTGACCGAAGAGAAACAGCAAAGGAACACAATTTTGGGCACGGCCTATTGGATGGTGCATCTTGCCTTCCTTTGCCTTTTATCTCCGTAGTCGCGCTCTTGGCTCTCAGCGGCTTACACGTGTTGGGCTTCTCCCGTTGCTGTTTTATTATTTTTCCAAGGCTCCGGAGGTGATCAAGGGAATCGACTACGGCCCCAAGGTGGACATCTGGTCGCTGGGCATCCTCATCATGGAGATGGTCCAGGGCTCGCCGCCTTACCTCAACCTCCCTCCGACCAAGGTCCATTTCTTTGCCCCGCCCGCAGTTGTCGATTCGCCCACCATTCAAGGCGAGAGGTGTGACTGACCGGATGATGGTGGTGGTGATTGCCCACTGTGTGATGTGTGCTGTGTGTGCAGGCGCTGCTGTACATAACCACGAAGGGAGTGCCGCCGGTGAAGAACGCCGCAACGTGGTCCTCCGAATTCCACCACTTCCTCAACCGATGCGTGGAGCGTGACGTCTACGCCCGCGCGACCTCGGAGGAACTCCTGGACGTACGTGTGGCCACTGCCCAGAGCGCTGCTCCCGTGCACCCATTACTGACGCGTTTCGTCTTTCGTTCCGATTGTGTGCAGCACCCCTGGCTCAAGCAGGCTTGCTCGCCGGAGGAGCTGGTGCCTGCCATCGTCGAGGCCAAGAAGCATCGCGACGGAGGTCTGTGCGTACTCTTCTAGAAGAGATTACTGCACATTTACAGTACATGTTATTTATTTTTTACCAATTTACTCCCGTTGTCTTGTGATTTGCGGCTATTTTCTTTTTTGCTTTTTATTTTTCCGTGGCCACCCGATCGGTATGCGTGGTATTCTCGGCGCGAGCCAGCACGAACTTGTTTTTACGTGCAGGGGGTGTCTTCTTCGTCTCCTTCTTCCTCCTCCATCTTGCCACCCCCGCGACCTCTTCTCTTTTTTTTTTTTATTCTTTCTCTACAACCCAGACCGATTGAGCGACTGGGTCTGCCCGCTCGATCACTCTTTTACCCTCCCTCATTATTCATTTATCTCTTTCCCAATGAAGGGAGGGAAGGGCTTGCCCCCGCTGAGGGCCAGCAGCAGCGGCACGAGCAGTGGGCTCAACCAGCCCCTCCTGGACCCCCGTTCCAGATCGCCGCGAGAAGAGCGACCGGGTCCGCTGCCCCCCACTGCCTTGCCGCCCGCCGCGGCCGGACCCTTGTCTGGTCGCGGGCTCGTTGATGGATTCCTCTACCCCGAGGATGCGGAGGGCCTCGCCCATGGGCGCTCGGAGCTTAGACGACCGCGCCACCCGACGGTGAAGGGCTTCATCAAGAAGCAGGGTCTGCCGCTCTCGACCTCGTGGCGGTCGGTCTTCATCTATGGCCAGTTCCTCGTGCTGCCCTTCCTCGTGGCCCTCGGTTGGATCCTGCTGCCCAACATCAACTACTACTCGTGGGCCGTCAACAGCGGCATTTACTTCTTCTACTCCTTCCTCATGTGGCAGACCTGGTTCGATATTCTTCTCCCTGGTGCGCCCCCCCCCGCTCTTGCTCCTTCGCTGGTAAATAAATAAACAATTAAAATAAATAAAATGATGTTAACGGTGTACCCTCTTGGCTTTCCTCTCTGTGTGGCTTGCAGGCTGCAGCCAAGTGCAGTGTCAGGTGTTCAACGTGATGTTCATTTCGGGCACGGTCGGGTGGTACGCCGTGATGAAGATCACCGGTACACCGCCGGCTCACACTCTCGCGCTATTGCGGTGCGACTGGAGCGATTGTTGAACCGCCTCTCTTCACATTGTGCCCGTGCAGACATCGATCACCAGAAGCTGGCCTACACGCTGGTAGCGCTCTACGGGCTCTTCCTCAATCTTATCTGCTTTGCCATCCACGTGTGGCGATCCCGCGTCTTCAAGCAGGTGCGTCCACAACTTTCGTATTCAGCAACTGGGATCTCTCATCACTTCCTCAACGACACACCACCCATTCAATACCCACCCACCCACCCACACACCAACCCACCCAGACACCTAAGTGGGAGCCAGCCCCGCTTCCAGCGGTCTACCAGGGCTCGGATGGCGATCCAAAGATCGATTTGGAGGGCCTGAAGAACTACACCAACTCGCTCAAGATCGAGGCCGACAAGAAGCGCGGACCCACCTTCCAGGATCAGCAAAAGACCTACCAGGAGAAGGATATGCACTGCTCCCGCTGGTTCTACAACATCTTCTGCTTCATCGAGTACGCCGCTTATTTCCGTCACCATCATCTCTCCGGCCACCATGTATGCTCATCCTGACGTGCACATGGCGGCGATCTGCAGGTGGATAGATTGGAACCGCAAGCAGGAGTCATCCACGGCCAACGTGGAGATCGCGTGGAAGACGCTCGTCTGGGGATTCATCTACCGGTACGGTACTTTGCTGTGGTTGTTGCCGGCCAGGCCCGCACCCCGCTTCTTCTACTGACACTATCCACCGACTGTGACAGGGCGCTTCTCTATGGCGTGTGGGCGTGGCTGCAGTTCTTTACCGGTGCGTGCCTTGTGGCCCAAGCTTGTTGATACTAGTAGGCCCGAATGCTCACGGCCCCTCTCTATTCTATGTTGGATCGCGCAGAGTTCGTTGTGCAGTTGGACGTCTTCAGGAACTCCTTCTTCGGCATTCTTACGTTGATCCTCTACCAGCTCGTGCGAGTGATTATCCTCAAGGTGCCTCCTCCCTGTCGATCGATCGAGCGTGGTGCTATTGTTGCGTCCGCTCCATGAGCTCACGACGCAGCCCTGGCGGTCCAGATCATGTTCTCCATCAACGACAAGCTGCCCGGCGTCAAGGAACTGAAGTACTTCTCGCAGTTTGCCGTCCCCATGATGCTCTACCTCTACTACCGAAACCTCTTCCTTTCCGTCAACCGTATCGCTTCCTCTCTCCACCGCCACCGCACCTGCACCTGCCCGCGCTCTTTCGCGAAGCTGTGGAATGTGTTAACACCGGTTTGTGTGTGCGGCGTGGCATCGTGGCACAGAGTGGTGGGTGGTGATCGCCGTGTCCGTCGTCGTCTTCCTCACGCAGTTCACGCTCTATCCCGTGCAAATGTCCCAGTGGTTCTACGATCTCCGCTTCGACACCCTCAAGCGCAGGCTTCAGGTACACCACAACTTGAGGTGTGCGTGGTCCACGCACTCTAACTCCCTGAGGGGTTCAACTTTGGCGTTCCAGAAACCGAACAAAAAGTGGCTCAACGTGCTGGCCGAGGCCATTGCCCCTTCGGAGGTCACCTACGAGAACTATCTCACCATCCTCACGGTGGAGTACTACTTCGACGAAATCGGTACTTGTTGTTACGACCTACACTCACTCGCGCACTATTCACTTCTTTATTCTTCTATCGTCGCTCACCCGCGCATCGCTTCGTGTCGTTGCCAGCAACCTACACCTCCATCGCGACGACCTTCATTCTCTTCCCCATCATCCGGTACGTTGTTGCTGCTCCCCTCTTTCCAACGGAAGCAACGTCGTTTCACTGATGGCCGCATCGCCCGTGTGCAGATATTCCTACAACAGCGACGTCTACCCTCTCATCACGGACCTTTCGGAAGACGAGTTCGAAGGTACGCCCACGCCTCCCAAAGCTCGATCGACAAGTGGCCCACTTGCACTAAGGCTGTGACGTCCCACTCGAAAAAGGGTTGATGCTGCGCTTCCTGTTCATGTTTGCCGCGGAGGCGGGCGGCGACATGCTCAACAAGATGATCATCTACTTCGTTTATCGTATCAACGCGGCCTCGACGGTACGTCAAACGCAATGGTCCCCGCTGCGCTGGCTTCTCCTCCTCACCTCGCGTGGTGTTTCTTCATCACCAGGGACGCAACCTCACGATCCTGAACTATCGCACGCGGTTCCTGTTTGGCATCTTCACCGTGTGGCTGGTGGCCTCCACCTACTACTCCATGGTGCGCCTGGACAAGATCATCAGCTAGTCGACACTGATGACGTTATAGGCCTTTTTTGTACAGCACACCATGAGGACCATCCTGCCGTGCTGTATGTATAAAATAAAAACCAACCAATCAGCGCTGGTCGGGGTGTCGCTGTCAGCGAGCTGCTTTCCGGCGGAATTGCTGGTGAAGGGTGGCTCTCTGCAACGAAGTCAAAGGCCCAGCTTGCGACTCTTGAGACGAGCGCCCGCAACAGGACTGGAGAGATTTCACAAGCCATGGAGCAGCAGACAGCATCTCACCACGACACAGGGTCCGAAGAGGAAGAAGAGAAGGAGAGGTGGCACGAGCTGGTGGATGCACTCTTCAGGTCTACCAGAGCGCAGCGGGAGGAGGTCTTCGCGAGTCTCCCCCAGAGCTGCCGCCAGCCACTACTCGCCTGGATGGGCCGACTGCCTCCCGCCGGCCAGCAGCACGTGGTAGAACATGAAGGGGAAGAGGAGGAGCCCTACGACGTAGAGGCGACTCACCTCCGGCAGCTCGACTCTCGGGGGCGGCCAACATCAGAGGAGACCACGGCTACTTCGCCAACCGCCGCTGCGGCTGGGGCAGAGGGAGAAACGTCTCAGGGGAGGGAGGAGGACACGAAGAAGGGGTGGATGTCCATGTGGAGGGAGAAGCAGCGCAGCAGTTGGCTGCGGGTGCGGCATCCGCTGAAGGACACCCTGCTTCCCCTTTGGCGATCCCTCTTCCCCTCCCCGCGCACCTACAGCTACGGCATCGAGACGCCCTTCTCCTGTGCATACAAGCTCTCCCTCGTACCTCTGTTCAAGTACATACCTTCATGCCCCTCCACTCGACGAGTCGTTTACAAGTTGCCTTTTTTTTGGCCCCCTACGCAGCTCGCCGTGGCCATCATCGGTGCACAAGGCCGCGTGGTCGTGGTTGGGCGCATTTGTGGGCATTGCGGTGACGGGGCTGGTGGCGCAGTACGCCTTGCCCTCGGACGTGCCCAGCTTCTTTGCGGCCGAGGGAGCTGCGGCCACCCTCATCTTTGCACTGCCGGACCTGCCCACCGGTACAAACCACCACCCAAGTCCTCTGCTCTGCGTTTGCTCACCTCTGAGTTGTGGGGTGACCTGCAGCCCAGCCGCGCAACATGATCGGGGGAGGCGCCCTATCTTCGCTACTGGCGGTGGCCTTCCAGAAGGCGTTTGCCTCCACGTCGCTCACATGGCTCGCGGGCGCTCTGTCGGTCGCCACCGCCATTGCCGCCATGGCCATCACCGGTACTCACCTCTCCCCCTCTGTTATGATGATGATGCCTTTTCGCGTCTCACCACCTGTCCGATCGCGCAAGGTACCATGAACCCGCCCGGCGGCGCGTTGTCGCTGTTGTACATCGTCACGCCGAGCTTACACGTCCTCGGCTGGTGGTACATCGGCGTGGCGATCATGAACGTGCTCATCCTCATCCTGGTGGGCATCCTTGTAAACAACATCCCTCGAGCCATGCAATACCCGACCTATTGGCTTTGATGTACACCTTAACCGCGAAGTGGTCGTCGATGACGGATATGATATGATCAGGAGTAGACCACGGATTGTATGGAGCCGACGGCGAAGGTGACGTGGTTGTCGCGTAGGACGAATCGGCCGAGCGAGTTGACGCGCTTGGGGACCTTGGGCGACTTCGTCGACGAAGTCGCGGCCTTCTTCTCGCCGGCCGCCGACGCAGCGGTGGGCGTCGGTATGAACGGCTCGCAGAAGAGGGGCTTCAGCGGCTGCAATTTCACTGCAGGCGGAGGAGAACAACATACACGCATGGGTCAACAGCAGCGATAGGAGAGGAGGAGGAGGAGGAGGTGGTGGAAGGTAGAACGTACCCAGCGCGTTGTGACCCTTGAGATGGGCGACGCCGGGGAGCTCCTTCCCGACTTTGTCGAGCTTAGAGATGACCTCCACCACCTTACAGGGCACCACGCTCGTCCCACAGTACAGCACCGGCGCGAGTGAGGCCTGCAATAAATAATCGGGGAAAGTTGATTTTTTTTTCTGTTCTTTTGTACACGCTCGGTCACACCAGCCGCCAGCAGAGCTGAGAGACGTACCGCAAGCCGCATGTGTGTGGTGAGCGAGATCGTGGCCATGATCTCCTGCGCGTGGCTCTTGATTGACTTGGCTGATATTGTGGGGTGTCGTTAGTTCGACTAGGCTAAGGGGGTTGTAAAGCGGGGCTGCAGGGACGCACTCGTTTTGGCTTTGACGGCGACCATACCGCGGCGGACGGCCTTCAGCGAGGTCATAGCCGGATCGTCCGAGCGCAACAGGATGCTCACCCACTGGCCCGGGTAAGCAGACTCAATTTCCCTGAAGAAGGATCGTGTCATGTCATGTTGGTCGGTGATGCGTTGCGATTGCAATGCGAGTCTCAATGAGAGTGAGAAGCAAACCGGCGGTTGAAGTGCATGGAGAAGACCCAGAATTGGGAGGCGAACGTGGCATCCGCGGGCCAAATGAAGAGTTTGCTTCCCTTCAACAAGATGCCTACGTAGGACCACCCACCCCCCATCAGTAGTGTTGGAAGAAGTTAGTCGACCTACAAAGATTGGGTGTGGAGGGGGGGGGAAGATTGTGCCTGTTTCCACGAATCCCGACACCACCAGGCCTTTGCGGTGAGAACCGCCAGCCTTGGGGTAGACCTTGTCTGTCGCGCAGCGTACGAGTAAGTGGAAAGTGGACCCAACCGCGGAGAGAAGCGGTCTGTTGTGCGTCGTACCCATGCAAAATCGCAGCGGCTGCTCGGCCCTGCGCATGAGCTCGGAAGGAGCGGTGTTGATGCGCTGAATGAACACTGGCAATGGCGCCCATGATGATGATGACACAGCACAACGAAACGTGTCAGAACTTGCGACACGGAAGCACACCCACTGCACTGCAGCGGAGGGACGTACCCTGTTGAAGCGCCTGCAGCAGGTTCTGGCCCTTAAACCAGCTTAGATCGCCTGCAGACCACCACGACCACCACAAGCCAAGCTGAAAATTTAGTCATCTTTTGGCCAAAATGTCGTGGAGTGCGTTGGGTGGTTGCCTTTGGGATCCTTCTTCTGCTTGAGGGTGTAGTAGGGTGACGAGGGCGGGAGGACGAAGTCCAGGTCTTCGTCGAGGATCGGTGAGGCTGAGCCCTTTGCCTTGGGGCCGAAGAGGGTCGTGAGGTCCCTGTAGGAGCTGGGGATGAAGACGAGGTTGTTCTGAGGCCAATAGTTCTTGGCCGTGGTGCCCACCTGCGCAGCCCGCGCAGCGTGCGTGGCGGTTCAGTGAACATCACGAGATGCTGGGGGGGAAGGGGCTAAGGCAACCGCGCACCAACACGAGCAGCTCGGCGCACACCTTCTCAAAGACATCCTGCGAATATTTGACCCTGTCCATCTTGTTGATCAGAAAGATCAATCGCCTGTGTTGACCCAAAGGGGTCAGTACTCACAACCGGTGAGCAACGAGAGCAACGCATGAGAGAGGAGTGGCCTGCGCACGCACTTAACGTTGTTGGTCCTCAACACCGCCAGTTGATCCGTGACGCGCTTTAGCGGGCTCACGTCAAAGAATTTGTATACAGGGAGCAGCTCAGCTCCCTGTTGGTCCTCCGCATGTCAGACCATCATTCACTTGACGCAATTGTTCGTCTTGAAGGGGAGGGCACCTCAGGGAGCTTGTGCTGGTCGTTCAATATTGTGGTGGCATCCACCACCACGACGCCGCACTGAGCCTGAGAAAAGATTCAGGTGTCAGGTGCAAGCTTCATGCGGGATCTGCGTCGACGCTCATCCCGGTGGTGCCGAGCGTACCCCAAATGCTGCGGACATGAAGGGCTTGGGCAGCTCATACGACCCGGGGGTGTCCATCAGCGTCAGCGTGCATCTGCGCGCAAACAGCATGCAGGATTAGAACGGAACCACCATTACACACGCACACGCACACACGCCACACGCTACACGCCGCACGCCGCACGCCACACGCCGCACGCCACACGCCACACGCCACACACACATGGGCGGTACCTTGGCCAGACGGCCACTTGTCTGGTGTGGCCGTGGACTGATCGCCCGCTGACACGTTCCTCCCGCGTGCGATCGCACAGCGCCGAGTAGAGGTTCTGCTTGCCGCAGGTGCTGTCGCGCCCGGCGTAGGGATTGCCCTTGGGCAGCTTCGGCTGCTGCAGGCCCTCGTAGAGGACCTCGAGCTCTTGCTTCGTGCGATCGAGCTCCAGCTGCGTCGCGGCGCCGTAGAAGTAGAGCAGCAGCCCGGCCAGCGTGGACTTGCCCGTACCGCGCGGGCCGCACACAAGGGCGTTGACCGACCAACGTAGCGGCAGGCCCACGGAGGTGGCCTTGTCGATGGCGTAGCCCTTCTTGACGCTCGGTACGGTATCGTAGCCGGCCAGGCCGGGCAGCTCGCGCAGGGCCTCGGCACCGTCGAGCAGGTCGGCGAGGGCGAGATTGGCGGGGCCGAGGCTGCGGTCGCGGACCACCCACGCCCAGCGACGACACACGGCCGGCAGGAGGAGGGCCGTGTGCGAGGGGCAAGGGTGGTGGGGCAGGAAGCTCAAGATGTGAAGTACCAGCTCGTCCGCCAGCCAATCAAAGTAGCATTCTCCTTCTCCTCCTGCACGCGGTGAGGGTTGTAGGTGCGCCGCTGGTGTGGTCGCTGGTGTCTCCTCCATCTTGTTCCTTGGAACCCTGAAAAGAAGTCGAACAGAATAAAATACGTATCATTTTGTTTTGTTTGCTGGTTTAGCTGAAGGCGGCACTGTTCGTGGGTTGTGGATTGCAAGCGAGGGCCAAAGCAAGTAGTGATGCCTTTTTTGTACGTGTCCACGAGGTCCATTTCATCTATAATAGAGACGAGATTTTCTTCTTCAGCTCCCCCCCCCTCTTTCCCCTGTGCAACCGCTAGAACGTGACAGCATCAATGAAGGGACTGGGTCACTGGCTGCTGTTGGGGGCAGTGGTGACAACTGTCCTCTTGACCACTCTGGCGAGTGGTCAACCTCTCCACCCGCTCCCGGCGAGCAGTTGTACAATCGGCGCACACTCGGCCTCGTACGAGGAACGAACGTTTCTTGCCCTCATCAATGCCGCCCGTGTTGGTACTTGCTCCTGCCCATTCTCCCGCTGCTCCCATCACCAGGTGGCTCGTAAGTAACAGGAATGGTGATGAGCAGGAGGGCCAACAACCTTCGTTGACGCGAGCTACCCCCTCTTGGGAGCGGACTGTAAATTACAAAGCGCAGCAAATGCCACGACCGCGAGAGAACCGCTTTGGTTCGATACCACACTATCGGAGCGTGCTCGCGCTCACTCCACGAACCTGGTACACACCAGCCCGGGTGATTTTTGCCTTGGTGCGATTGACCAGCTGACTCTGGTGGACCTCTTCTTATGGCCCCGTGACAGGCGACGTGCCATCAACTCCAGCGCGACGACTGTGATGACTCAACACGGCTCGTAAGTGCCCATGCCTGCCCAGACGGGTACGTCATCACCAGCCGATCTCTCCATTCCATGTTGTCCTTCCTTCCGTCCTTCCTGATAGCATCCGATGTGTCATGTACAGAATCATAGCGCAGAGAGTTCTTTTGCAAGCCACGAATGCAACCAGCTCCTTGGTACTCCATCGTGCTTGGTTAAAGCTTGGTTTTCGCACGTCCCACTTCAACTGTCATCCACTCTCCACATAGGCGGCTGCCGCTCACGCGCTCTGTAGCGAGGAGTCCAGAGACATATTCCTCTCGCCCGCATTTCGTCACGCTGGAGCGGGCGTTGGATTCGATTCCAATGGCCACTATTACTGGTAGCTCCTCTGTCGCATTAGTGAATCGTTGGCGTGTGGCTAATCGCTGTTGTGAACAAAAAGGACAACGCGTCTTAGCTCTTGCGCCGACGCCGTCAAGCCCCTCCGTTCTGCCATTGCGTCGGGCTCCCACATCGTGATGCAGGTGCTGACACCAGCGTTGCTCGTGCGGTTCGCTCTGTTGGTGACTCACTGTGCTTCCTTCTCTCCATGGTCGCAGGACGACAAGATACGATACTTTGCCACGTTTTGGGATCCATCGGGCGCCCCTACGTCCAGTCAGGTGGTAATCAATGGTGTGACTGTCGACCTGGCCCTCGACATCGGTGGTACCCCTGGCATGGTTCGCATTCCCACTCACGCCAGGCTACACCCTCAATGAAGCTTCATCAGCTGATCCTCAAAAACGTGTTGCAGGGTAATTACTTCACGGAAGCGGCCAGCTCGCCGATAAACGACGGCTGCCAGCCGTACCACTTCTTGTTTACATTAGAAAACGGAGCGGTGCACCGCTATCCGGAGACGCACAACTTCAACACCTTTTCCGAGGGCGCCTGTGCGAACGACAAGTGTTCCTCCACAGCTGCTGGCAACTCAGGTGCGATTTTTACTCCGCCTTCATTCATTCTTGCACCCACGCACTTCTCTGTTCTTACGCGGCAAGAAAAGAAGGAGGGGATGTGGTAGAAGCCAACGAGCGCGTACGCCGTGCTACAGTCTCCGGCCCTCCCCGGAACGTGACAGTTAGCAGCGTGACTCCGACGTCCGCAGTCGTTTCGTGGTCCGCTCCGCTCAACGATGGCGCCAGCCCCATATCAAGCTACCAGGTCGGTCTCGTGTACGTGCCTCCCCTAATCCGCCAATCCGTCCACCCCTGCTTCGTTCTTCTTCGTTCTTTTGTCGCTCTGATCGCTCATCTTCGGACAACACCACTCAGTTGGGGCGCAGACAGCAGCTATTACTTCGCCTATGGAAGTCCCTTTACCTTGACAGGTTTGAACACTGCACCTTCCGCCTGACAGCTCGCTCTCTTGTTCGCGCTCATTGTCTTTTTCGATTGCTCGTTGCAGGCCTATCGTCCGGCACCGCCTACACGGTCTATGTGTGGGCGCTCAATGGCGTCGGGTACTCGGAGGGTGGAAGCCGCTCGTTCACCACGCTATCCCTCTCTGCACCGAGCGCGCCACGTAACCTTGCCGTCAGCAACATCACTACCACATTCGCCTTCGTCACGTGGTCGACTCCGCTCAGTGACGGCAACAGTCCCATCACGGGCTACCAGGTCGGTCTCTAGTACGCGCCTCCCTCTGCAGATCCTTGTCCTCTTAGCTGACCAATCTCTACTATCTGGTGCAGTTGGAACGGACAGAGCGAATTCCGTCTCGTCTACGGAACATTCACGGCCTTATCAGGTGCATACCAGCGTTAGTAAGAGTATTGTAACGGTCAGCTCCCCTACTCACAGGCGAAGGGCGCTTGCTGTAGATCTTTCATCGGGCACCACCTACACGGTCTATGTGTGGGCGATGAATGGACTGGGCTTCTCGGATCCGGCGCACCTCGGCTTCGATACGATTGCCGTCACCACGCCCAGCCCACCGAGGGACAAGGCCTTTAGCAGCATCACCACCTCGTCCGCCTACATAACGTGGTCACCTCCGCTCAGTGACGGCAACAGTCCCATCACGGGCTACCAGGTCGCTCTCTCGTATCTCCTGGGGTGCGTGGCTGCTCTCTCGTTTTCTTCTCCCTGCCGCCGCTTCCCCTCTTTCAATTAATTGTCGACCGGACTAGTAACATGTGCGGGGTGCGCAGGGGTTCGGTTAAAGATGACTTTTTCTACGTCTCCACCACCTACTACCAGGCCATCAGTACGCTCTCGCTCTCTCGCTTCTTCTCTCGAGGCGGGGCTGGTATTGACCCATGATTGGTGTGACAGATCTCTATCACTCGACCATCTACACAGTGGCCGTGAGGGCGATCAACAGCAGAGGCCTGTCGCTCGACGGGACGGGGAGTACGTACTTTACCACGGTGGCCATCAATCCGCCCAGTGCCCCCCGAGACAAGACGGTCAGCAGCATCACCACCACGTCGGCCCTCATCTCGTGGCTGGCGCCGACCAGCGACGGCGGAAGTCCAATCATCCGCTACAATATCGTTCTATCGTACGGCCTCCTTACCTAGCGCTCGCATGAGCCGCACGTCCCTGGGCTATCTAAACTCCCGTCGTTGTGGTGATGCAGCTGGGGAACCGAGACCAGCACCATAACCTCTACCACCACCTCCTACGCCCCTACTAGTACTGGCCTTCCCTCTCCTTCCCTCTCTTCTCTCTCTCTCACACACACACACACACACACTAACGCACGCCACACACAACACACAACACGCCAGATCTGTTGCCCAGCACGAGCTACACTCTGGTCGTTAAAGCGGTCAACGTGGAAGGCGCCTCTGCGGACGGAACCGGAGTCAGTAATTTTGTCACTCTCAGTCCTTCCGCACCAAGCTCGCCGAGAGATATGACCTTGAGCAGCATCACCCCCACATCGGCCCTCATCTCGTGGCTCCCGCCGCTGAGCAACGGCACCAGTCCCCTTCACTCCTACCAGATTGGCATCTTGTACGTGCTCCCTCTCAGACCTTCCACCACTTGATTCTTATTGGAAGAAGAGAAGGTGATCCTGTTCTCGCCGGTGTGTTGATGATGGTGATGGTGTAGCTATGAAGATGCGAGCAGCTATTTCCAGTCCTTTTCTACGTTCCTGTCCGCTACTGGTACGGTCTTGCCAGGCCCCATTTTTTGGATTCCACACTCAGTGCCGTGACAGGTCTGACGCCCGGGAGGACCTACACGGTCAATGTGTGGGCCATCAACGCCGTGGGCTTCTCTGCTGCCTTGACGCGGAGCCTGACCACCCTCACCCTCTCCGTACCGAGCGCACCGCGCAGCGTGGCAGTCGACAGTGTCACCTCTACCACGGCCCGCGTCTCGTGGCTGGCCCCACTCAGCGACGGAAACAGCCCCTTGGAGGGCTACCGGGTCACTTTGACGTATATTACCGCTCCTGCCTCGCCCCAACCGGGCCAACCAAAATGCTAACGATGCCTAATGTATGTCTTTGGCGGTGCGCAGGTACAATGGCGCGACGCAGCTGACCTGGGACGGAGTCCTCAACACCTACGTGGATCTCAGTGGTACATGGCCGCTTACCCCGTGCAACGGCGACGAGAATTGGGCTTACCAGGGTTTCGTCTTAGGCATACCGCCTGGAACGAGCGTCACCTTTGCTGTGGTGGCCAAGAATGCCGTCGGCTACTCGGCGGCAGGGTCGGGCGCCACGACATTCACCACCACTACGACCGTTCCCAGCGCCCCGCGCAATGTGACGGTCAGCGGTGTCACAGCCGAGGGCGCGCAGGTCTCGTGGCTGGTGCCAACCAGCAACGGCGGTAGCACTATCCTGGCCTACAAGGTCAGTCTTGCGTGGACTGGCCCTACCCTGGACTTCTTGGTGTCGGACACCTCCATCCACATCGCATGTAAGCACCACCCCTCTGCAGCACCCTCCCCATATGCTAGACACATGTATTGCTTGGCTTCTCACGCTACATGGCCGCGCAGCCCTATTGCCCAAAACAACATACACGGTCACCGTGTCGGCCCAGAACAGTGTGGGTTTCTCTGCGGCCGGAGCGGCCAGCTCACCCTTCACCACGCCCGAGAAGGCGCCCGACCCACCACGGGACCTGGCCGTCAACAGCATCACCTCCACGTCGGCCATCGCCTCTTGGCTGCCCCCGCTCGACAGTGGTAGCAACCCAATCGCAGGCTACCAGATATTCCTCTATGCGTACCAATCGCCCTTTCCCATTCCACCCCGTGCCTCTTACCAGCGTTCTTACCGTATACTCTCGAGACAGGTGGGACGGCAGCTACAGCAGATCCTTTTTCAGGGAGTCCACTTTTTTGTCTGTCGCCGGTACGCCGCCATCACACCTGCGACGCAGCACATGATTGCTGGCCGAACTCAACCTGACTCGCTGCGCACAATCTCCCCTGACCTCAGACTTGAGCGCTTCGACCAGCTACACGATCGTTGTATTGACGCTGAGCGGTCTCTCATATTCGCCGTCATCCGAGGAGTACTTTACCACCGTCGCTCCGTCGACGGTGCCGACTCCACCGCGTGACCTCATTGTTCACAACATCACCGTCACGTCGGCCTTCATTTCGTGGGCCGCCCCGGTCAGCCCCGGCAGCACCCCGATCACGGCCTACGAAGTCTCTCTCTCGTACGTTCTCCACCCTCAGTCGTCGGCCCTCGTAGTCCCATCCGCCTATCATCCTGCACTGTTCACTGATCCGTCTGTTGTTTCCTGGTGCTGCAGCTGGGGACCAGAGAGCTCTGCGGCCATCACCACCGCGACAAGCTACTACGCTGCCGGTTCGCTCCTCTCTCTTGCTCAGCTGAGCTTCGCCCTGCGTGCGAGTGGACCAACCGACGCTCTCTGGCAGGTCTGATGCCTGGCACCAGCTACACCGTCGCGGTGCGGGCGATCAACAGCGTGGGCAGGTCAGACGCGACGGCCGGTAATCAATTCACCACAAGCGGCGCCTCCGCTCCCAGTCCGCCGCAGGAAATGACGCTTACCGACATTACCACCACATCGGTCACAATCTCGTGGCTGGCCTCTGCCAGCGACGGCGGCAGTTCCATTCGGTACTACCAGGTACTGATGTACGTGCCCCCCCTTTGAACCCACGCAGTGCAAAGAACCGCGGTTTTCTCTCTGATTGGTCGGGTGCAGCATCTATGCAGGAGATGAAGGCCAGTACTACAACACGCAGAACCTCGCCATCTCCCTCGGAGGTACTCACGAGCGTGCTTCAAATTCCTGTTACCATTCCGTCATACCACTGCTCGGCCACCAACACCCACCGCCGCCGCCGCCGCCACCACAACTCTGCAGGCTTGCTGCCCGGGACCGAGTACACAGTGGTCGTGTGGGCCAACAACGCCGTTGGCTTCTCCGACGGAGCAGAGAACTGGTTCTTCACGCTCTCGCTCCCCTCGCCCAGCAGGACGCCGACGCGCAGCCCAACCAGCAGCCCGAGCGCTTCGGTGACCGCCTCCATTACGCCCGGCGTCACGCCCAGCAGCACGGTGAGCCCGAGTCTCGAGCCGAGTCCCAGCGTGACCCCCACACTCAGTCCGCCTGTCTCGCCCACGGGAACCAGAACACCAACACGCAGTCCGACTGCTTCCGTCAGCGGCAGTCGCAGCCCGACCGCGTCAGTCACCGGAAGTCCGAGCCCAACTGCGTCAGTCAGCGTCAGTCCAAGCTCAAGTGTGTCGCCCACCGGCAGCCCGAGTCGCTCGATCGCAGCCAGCCCGAGTGCTTCGGTGAGTGGCAGCCGAATTCCTACGCCCAGCCGCAGCCCAAGTGCCTCGGCCACGACGAGCCCGAGCACGACTAGAACACCCAGCCGAAGCCCGACTGCTTCCAGCAGCATCAGCGTCAGCCCAACCCCGAGCGTCAGCCCGTCATTGAGCGCTTCCTCGACGTCCACGCTCAGCCCGAGTGCCTCGATCTCCAGCTCCCGCAGTCCCAGTAGGACGCCCACGCGGAGCCCGAGCGCTTCTTTCACCAGCTCTCGCAGTCCCAGTACAACGCCCACGCGGAGTCCGAGCGCTTCTATCACCAGCTCTCGCAGTCCTAGTACGAGCCCGAGCGCCTCGATCTCCAGCTCCCGCAGTCCCAGTAGGACGCCCACGCGGAGCCCGAGCGCTTCTTTCACCAGCTCTCGCAGTCCTAGTACGAGCCCGACGCCCACGCGGAGCCCGAGCGCCTCGATCACCAGCTCCCGCAGTCCTAGTCCCAGTCCGAGCGCCTCGATCTCCCGCAGTCCCAGTACGACGCCCACGCGTAGCCCGAGCGCTTCTTTTACCAGCTCCCGCAGTCCCAGTACGAGCCCAAGCACCTCGATCTCCAGCTCCCGCAGCCCTAGCACGATCCCGAGTGCCTCGATCACAAGCTCACGCAGTCCTAGTACGACGCCCACGCGGAGCCCGAGCGCTTCTATCACAAGCTCCCGCAGTCCTAGCACGAGCCCGAGCGCCTCGATCACCAGCTCCCGCAGTCCCAGTACAACGCCCACGCGGAGCCCGAGCGCTTCTATCACAAGCTCCCGCAGCCCCAGTATGAGCCCGAGCGCCTCGATCTCCAGCTCCCGCAGTCCCAGTACAACGCCCACGCGGAGTCCGAGCGCTTCTATCACCAGCTCTCGCAGTCCTAGTACGAGCCCGAGCGCCTCGATCACCAGCTCCCGCAGCCCCAGTACGACGCCCACCGTCAGCCCTAGCTCGAGCCCTGCGCTCAGTCCGAGCACGTCTACGAGCCCCACCAGCAGCCCTAGTTTATCGGGCAGCACCACTCCATCAACCAGTGTCAGCCCGATTCCGAGTGCGTCGTTGACCCCGAGTGTCACGGCCAGCCGCAGCCCGAGCCCCACTCGCAGCAGCCCCGCCTCCACCATCAGCCCCACCCGCAGCCCGAGCACTTCGGTCAGCACCAGCCCGAGCGTCTTGGTCACCAGTTCTCGCAGCCCCAGTACGACGCCCACCACCAGCCCGAGCGCCTCGATTACCAGCTCCCGCAGTCCCAGTGCGACGCCCACCGCCAGCCCGAGCACGTCCACGAGCCCGAGTGTATCGACCCCGAGTGCATCAAGTGTCAGTGCGAGCCCCACACGCACCCGCAGCCCGAGTCCTACCCGCAGCCGCAGCCCGAGTCCTACCCGCACCCGCAGCCCCACCCCGTCTATCAGCCGCAGCCCCAGCACGTCATCAAGCCTCATCAGCAGCCCCACCCCGTCCACAAGCCCCACCAACAGCCCGAGTGTATCGGCCACCACAACCCCAAGCGCCAGCTCCAGCCCGAGCTTCACTCCCAGTGCAAGCGCCAGCGCGTCGTCGAGCGTCAGCACAAGCCCGACCGCTACCACCACCGCCACCCGCAGCCCAAGTGTCACGCCGAGCCGCAGCCCGAGTCCTACCCGCACCCGCAGCCCGAGTCCCACCCGCACCCGCAGCCCGAGTCCCACCCGCACCCGCAGCCCCACTCCGTCCACAAGCCCCACCAACAGTCCTAGTGTATTGGCCACCACAGCCCCAAGCGCCAGCTCCAGTCCGAGCGTATCGGCCACCACAACCCCGAGCACCAGCTCCAGCCCGAGCTTCACTCCCAGTGCAAGCGCCAGCGCGTCGTCGAGCGTCAGCACAAGCCCGACGGCTACCACCACCGCCACCCGCAGCCCAAGCGTCATGCCAAGCCGCAGCCCGAGTCCCACCCGCACCCGCAGCCCGAGTCCTACCCGCACCCGCAGCCCGAGCCCCACTCCGTCCACAAGCCCCACCATCAGTCCTAGTGTATCGGCCACCACAACCCCGAGCACCAGCTCCAGCCCGAGCTACACTCCCACTGCATCATCGAGCGTCAGCACAAGCCCGACTGCCTCCACCACCGCCAGCCGCAGCCCAAGCGTCACACCCACCGGCACTGTCACACCCACTCGAACCCGCAGCCCGAGCCCTACGCGCACCCGCAGCCCGAGCCCCACCCGCAGCCCCAGTGTCACAACCATCCCGAGCCCTTCGGCCACAACCAGCCCAAGCGCTTCGATCACGCTCAGCCCAACTGCGTCCATCAGCGTTACCCCGAGCCCCACCAGCAGCCCCACCCGCAGCCCCACCCCGTCCACAAGCCCCACCAACAGCCCGACTGCCTCGGCCACTCCTTCGACCACGCGCGTGCGCATCATAAGCACTCGCGCCCCGTCGAGAAGTCCAAGCCCATCGCCTTCGGCGACAGGCACGCGCAGCGCAAGCATCTCACCCAGCACACCGAGCCGCACCCTCCCGCCAATCTAGCTTCAAATAATGATGGTGACCATCAGCGAGATGCCAAGCATTCCAGTAGCGTTTTGGGCACCTTCCAACACCAGTTATTTTGTACACAACGGAACGTAACATTGGGGGGGGGGTGTTGCAGCTCCGCAAACCCATGCTACGACTAGTTCCACATATGGCTCTATTGTGTTGCTACCTGTATGCCACTGGCCAGGTTGGTTGCCTTGGCCCGCAGTTCCCACTCGTGGGGGTGCTGCCTCTTTCTTTGCCAACCTTCCCCCCACAACCTCCACCCCGTGCTTGACGCTGTTCACGTCACATGCTGCCAAACGTTCGTTGGTCTGGCGCTGTGCTAGCCTTTTGGTGCCTACTTCTTCTCCCAGGTACGTCCTTCCCCTCGTGCTACTTCCTTCTGCCGCTGCTCTTGGCTTACCTCGCCACCCACCAGACGCCAATGGGCAGTTGATTCGCGGCGCCGGAGGCGAGGTGGGCCTGCCGGCCTACAGTCAGTGGGGCACCGGCTACAAGTACGTGTCCGACCAACTGGTCTACACCTACACAGTGTACTTCAACGCCACCGAGGCCATCGCCGCCTACGACCGCGGCGAGCTGGACTTCCTCGGGGTCGACCAGCCGCTCGACCTCTCCTCCGACTACGTCCAGCTGCCCCTCATGGCTGGGGGCATCGCCCTCGCCTACCACCACTCGAGCCTCGCGCCCGACTCGCCCCCGCTCAACTTCACCCGCGAAGCCCTCGCCCGCATCTGGTACGGCCGGAGAGGCCAAGTTTTCCCTGGACCGGCTCCTCGAGGTCGGAGTGGTTGACCCGTGTTTTCTTCCTTGCAACAGGCTTGGTCAGGTGACGAGCTGGAGCGATGTCGCGATAGCGGGCGTAAACCCGAACGCCAATCTCACCGATGCGCCGATCAAGCTTACCTGGTTGCCCACGCGGGGCATCACGCAGGTGTTTGCTCGCGGCCTGGCGTCGTTCATCGCCGGCTTTGATCCGGTCCTGGCCGCTGAGCTGGAGGCCAACGCCACGCTGGCCTATCTGCCCGCCGTGTTGAGCGGGTCGGCCACGGCCATGGCTTCCACCACCACTGCGATGCAGTACGTGACAGACAACGACAACACGTTGGCGTACTACATCTATGACACCACGGCCGCATCTCCTCCGCCCAGGGCTCAGCTCATTAATCGCGCTGGTTACTACCCCCCTCCCCAAAATATTTCACACGTCGTTGACTGAACACTTCTGCTGTGCACCCACCACAGGCAAGGCTGTGGCCTTGACCCAGGCTTCTGTCCAGGCGGCCCTCGACGATTTCAGCCCGTCGAGCACTGACTCCGACGAGCTGGAGCGCTACATCTTGGACGGGCCAGGCCGAGATTCGTACCCGCTCAGCGTCCTCGCGTTGGTGGTGCTCAAGAAGTCCTACACCGCCGTGGCCTGCGACGGCGCGAGCCTGTACATGGGCGAGCTGGTGTGGGGCATCACCAACTCGCTCATCCTGGACGACACCGAGCAGCTGGGCTACACTCCGCTCACGGCCGCGTACCGCATCCGAGTCCTCAACCAGCTGGCCACGCTCAAGTGCAACGGTCAGCGGCTGATGAAGAGCTCCCTGCTGACCGGCACCGGCCCGCGTGCGCCGTTCTTCGCGTCGTACGGCCTCTTCTACGGACAGACCGTGGCCGGCCTCACCTCGCAGTACTTCGTGGGCGGGGACGAGGACCAGTTAACTCTGGGCAACGTCGACTACGTGGGATCTGTCAACGCTGCCGGCAGCAGTGCTCCGATCAACTACCCCAACCTTCAGTACCTGTACGTGTCCCCGCCAGACATACGGGCAGCGCCATACCCGCTTCTGACCCATGCGATGGTGTGTGGCGGCAGCCCTGTGGCAGCGTTCGCGATCACTCTCATGTACAACCTCCCCGAGCTTCGAAATGCCGAGCCGCTGGTGCTGGATCTCCCGACTGTGGCACAAGTCTACCTGGGTCAGATCACCACCTGGAACCACCCGGCGATCCAACAGTACGGACCTCCCAACCGGAGTACCATCACCACTGCTGCATTTTTCTCATTCCACATCGTTCGCCACAACAGGCGCAACCCAGGTGTGACGCTGCCGTCGAATCCCATCCGCATCGTATTGGACTCGTCCTCCAGCTACACCTACCCATTCACCCTGGCGTTGTCCAGAGCCGATCAGAACTTCTCCAAAGCCGTCGGCGTGGGCTCCAATGTGTCATTCCCGGTCTCCAATCCGTTGATGGCCCTCACCAGTGGTACGCGCCCCTTCCGTTCAGTTCCCTACCGATCACCAAAGCTGACCAGCTCCGCTGCGTATGACGATGCAGACGTGGTGGCCGCTGTGGCCGTCACTCAGTATACGATGGCCTTTGCGCCGCACTTTGCCTACGCCGCGTACGGAGCCACCACTGGGGTTTCTCAGCTCTATCCCCTCACAAATGGCTTTGCCAATGTAACGGAAGCCACGCTGATCAACCGAGCCGACACTCCCGTCCGACCCACACTCGAGGTGCGCTGGCTCAGCCCTTTAACTCCTTTAACCCAACTTCTCTCTGAGACGGCTTTATTCCCATCACAGGCGGTCCAATCGGCGGAAGCGCAGGCACAACTCGACAGATACCTGACTGCCGACCTCTCGTGGGCTCCCGGAGACGGCAGTTGGCCGATCACCACCTATTTCTATTTACTGCTGACGAGCGTCAATGACGCTGACTGCGAGAGGGCGACCAACCTCGTTGACCTGGCCTGGTGGATGCTCACCGCCGCGCAGGCCGAAAACCTGAACAATCTCAACATCGGTACGTACCACCAACTGCTCCACTCAAAAGGGACAGTCACCAACAGATGTTGTGCGGTGCAGTGGCCAGACCCAACGCAGGGGTCAGGACCAAGGTCACAGATGCGATCGTGAGTGTTACGTGTAAGGGCGCGCATGTGAGCTCGCTGTATAACTGTGTGAAGGACGGAGTGATATGCTCGAACGAGGGCAACTGCAGCGACGGCGAGTGCCGCTGCAACCCGACGAGGACGGGCCAGTACTGCCAACAGAATGTGTCATCGAGCGACTTGAGCGATGGAGCCATCGCCGGCATCGTCGTGGGCGTCGTGGTGCCGTGCCTGCTCCTGATCATCCTCGCGGTCGTCGCCGTCGTCATCTTGATGTCTTGCCGCAAGAAGAAGGTGAACTCCCCAGTCCTTTTCATTGGGACTACTGTGAGTGAGCTCTCATTCATACTACCCGGGCTACTCATACAGACGGAAGACTGGATCATTGACCCCAGCGAGCTCGAACTCGGCGAAGCGTTGGGCAGCGGAGGCTTCGGCGAGGTGCGGAAGGCAGTGTGGCGCGGCACCGAAGTGGCGGTGAAGACCATGAGCTCGAGCTACTCCAACGAACTGAAGAACGCCTTCATCGAGGAGGTGAGCGTGATGACAGCGTTGCGTCATCCCAACGTGGTGCTGTTCATGGCCGCCGCGACCAAGCCTCCCGCCATGTGTATCGGTACAGCGTCATCCCCGTTCCGCATCTTCTGGACGTACTGACACGTTTTACCGTGTTGTGTGTGTGTGTTCGTTTTCAGTCATGGAGTTGATGACTCTCGGATCTCTGCGAGACGTGTTGAGCAACGAACTCATCCCCGACATCCCCAGTCAGCTGCGAGTCAAGATGCTGCGCCACGCGGCCAAGGGGATGTACTTTCTCCACTCGTCGGGCATCGCGCACCGCGACCTCAAGTCGCTCAACCTTCTGCTCGATGCCAAGTGGAACGTCAAGGTGTCCGACTTCGGTCTCACCCGGTTCAAGGAGCAGATCAAAAAGTCGCACCCGCAGGAGCTCATGGCCGGCGGCAGCATACACTGGACAGCGCCCGAGGTGCTCAACGAGGCAGGCGACATCGACTACGAGGCCGCCGACGTCTACAGTTTTGGTATGATCCTGTGGGAGGTCCAAACGCGCCTCGATCTCTACAGCGGCATGAGGTGAGTGGTCATACTCCCTTCTTCTCGTTCTGCAGGCCATTGGCTCACCACGTTTGCTAATATTCCTGGTCTGCAGTCCGGCGGCGGTTGCGGTTGCGGTGCTGCGGGACAACCTGCGCCCGGCGATGCCGGAGGACGTTGCCCCCGAGTACTCAGCGCTCATGACCGAGTCCTGGGACAGCGATGCTTCGATACGGCCCAAGTTCCTGGAGATCATGACGCGCCTCGAATCCATGGTGGACAACAACTCGAGCACGGCCTACACTGGCGTTTCGTCGTGGACCTCCAGCAGCACAGCCCACCCATCGGGTGGCGGGTCTCTAACTTCGGGTGCGCACCGGCAAACACCCAAACGAACACAAATCGACCGAGGGGGCTAGAGCTCACGCTAACCGCGTTTGTATTGCCAGGGTCGTCACACTCGTCTGATGCTGTTGATCGAGCCGGCGCCGTGGTTGGTCTTCGGCCTCCCACGGGCGAGATGGCGATCGTGTTCACGGACATAGTGCGCGCGCTGGCTCTGTGGGAATTCAACGCCGACGCCATGAAGGACGCCACGCTGGCCCACAACGACTTGCTGCGTTCGAGCCTCGCCGAATTCGACGGCTACGAAGTGTCCTCCTCGCGGTACTCGAGTGACTCTCAATCCCCGTAGCGCACGACAACGATGTACCGATTGGCCTTACCTCATGCGGTCATATCCGCAGGGAGGGCAACTATGGCGAGGGTTCGATGTGTTTGGCCTTCCAGGACCCCGAGAAGGCCGCGCGGTGGTGCATGCACGTGCAAAACGAGCTGCTCTACGTTGAGTGGCCCCAGGCTCTCCTGTCGCACCCCGCCGCGGCCGAAGACTGGGGCGACGTGGACGACCGCCTGATCTTCAAGGTTCGCTCCCCTCTCGCCGGCGGTCTACGAACCCAACGCTGATCTGGATTGTGCAGGGACCGCGAGTGCGAATGGGCGTTCACGTGGGCGAGCCCAAGCGGTTGACCGATGCAGTGACCCGGCGCGTGGAGTTCGTAGGTCCGCCGGTCAACACCGCCGCCCGATTGACCACGCTGGCGCACGGCGGCCAGATTCTGCTCTCCGAGAGCGCGTGGGAGAGGCTCAAGCAGGCCGACTGGCTCAAGGAGCGCAATCGCTGCGCCTGCCTCGGCAAGTTCGAGCTCACGGACTCCCTTCCCGGCACAGGTTTGTGTTGTGCGAATTGCGCTCAGTGACTACGCTGGACCACGTCCAACATCCGATCTCTACCTGCAGGTGCGCGGTTGTACGAGTTGCGCGCGCCCGGGCTGGAGGGTCGCTTCTTTGGCGGCGTCGCTCGCAGGGACAGAGTGCTGGACCCGGACGATGCCGAGGACGACTGCGAGCCGTTGAGCAGCGCGAGCTCGAGCGAAGACGAGCTCCACGCCGAGGTCGGTGAGGGCATGAACCAGGAGGACTCCTTCCTCGCCTCGGCCAACCTGTGCCGGTACGCCACTCCTCGCCCTTGAGGTTGTGTGTGAGAGTGTGAGTGTGAGTGTGTGAGTGTTTGTGTCGCGTGTATGTGTATGTGTGTGTGGTGCGACGGTCTATTTACATCTGTCGGGCAGGTGGATTATCGACTACAAGGAGATCCAGATGGGCAAGCAAGTGGGCATGGGCAGCTACGGTCTCGTATATCGCGGCCGCTGGAAGGGCATCGACGTCGCCGTCAAGCGCTTCATCAAACAGAAGCTGACCGAACGGCGGTTGCTCGAGTTCCGCGCCGAGATGGCCTTCCTCGCCGAGCTCAGTCATCCCAATGTGGTCTTGTTCATCGGTACGTGCCCTCCTCCTCCTTCCTTTTTTGGTACCATCGTCGTTGGCGCGGAACGACTGAGAGACGACAAACGACCACAGGCGCCTGCGTGAAGAAGCCCAACCTGTGCATTGTCACGGAGTTCGTGCAGTTGGGCTCTCTGCGCGACCTGCTGACGGACCGAAGTGTCAAGCTTCCCTGGGGACAGCGCATCGCCATGCTGCGGAGTGCGGCGATGGGGGTCAACTACCTGCACTCGCTCGAGGCGGCGGTGATCCACCGCGACCTCAAGTCGTCCAACCTTCTGGTCGACGAGAACCTGAACGTCAAGGTGGCCGACTTCGGGTTCGCTCGTCTCAAGGAGGAGAACGCCACCATGACCCGCTGCGGCACACCCTGCTGGACCGCCCCCGAAATCATCCGCGGTGAACGGTACCGTCGATCGCTCGTAGTCAATATACCCACACTTACCCTCACCTAATTCAATCCGCAGGTATAGCGAGAAGGCGGACGTGTATTCGTTTGGTGTGGTGATGTGGGAGATGCTCACCAGAAGGCAGCCCTTTGCCGGCCGGTACGGGCCACCCACGCAGTAATGACTTGCAGCATGAATCTCACGCACGTGTTCGGCAATTAATAGGAACTTCATGGGCGTGTCGCTGGACGTGCTGGAGGGCAAGAGGCCGCAGGTGCCTGCCGACTGCCCCGAGACCTTCGGCAAGCTGATGGTGCGCTGCTGGCACGCCAAGCCCCAGAAGCGCCCGACCATGCTGGCCGTGATTGAGGCTCTGTCTCAGCTCGTCGGCGACGGCTCCCTCTCACCAACTCCCTAGCGAGCCGATATCACCCTATCCCCCGTTGTAGCCACTCAAACCCGCCACTCTTTGATTATCGCCATCACCACCACCACCATCGACCACGTCGATGTTTGACGATGTTGCAGTGCGACGCAGAACCAGCCTACCAGGTTTATGGGGAGCAAAAGTCGGTTGCATTTCTTCTGCTTTTCTTTTGAGATCAAGTGTGATTTCCGGCCGTCGGAGTTAACCGACCCGCAGATCACGGCTGGCGGCGAGTGCCCGTCAGGACCACACGACGGCGAGGCTTTCGAGCTATTAGTTATCTTCTTCTGCTTGAAAGCCTTCTTCTGCCTGTGAGCTTGTGTTGTGTCTGCCTGCCTGCCCGCGGCCCCCCTTGCACTGAAAGTGGTGCTCTTCACTCTTCTCGCGACAGTCTTCCTGCTGTCGGATTCGATTCGTTCTTCCCTCAAGCGTAATCGAACCGTCATGAAGCAAAAGGAGTTCGTCAAGCTCTTCGAACTCTCCCAAGAGGAAGAAATCCTCTACGGTACCCTCCCCCCCAAACACCGATGCTCAACGGCTCGATTCAAATATTTGAATGCACACTTGCCGCCTTTTTATTATTATTATTATAAATTATTTATTTATTTATACAGCCTACCACTGCTCTCTGAAGGAAAAGGGCAAGCTGCTGATAGAGGGCCACGTCTACTTGACCCAGAACTATTTGGTATGTACATACCTACAATTTTACACTGCCAACAGCCCGGTGTGCTGAGATGTGCGCTCACCATTCGGCGGCCGTTGTTATGTACGCAGTGTTTCTACGCCCACTTCTTTGGCCGCGAACGCAAGGTGCTCACACACACGACCAACGACAAAACGACACGAAACGCAAGCGTGGTCATCGTGCAATGCCTCACCAAGGCCGGCGGCGTGTTTGTGTGGATCAGATCACGATCAAGTGGGAGCAGGTGAAGGGGCTGGAGCGAAAGTCCACGGCCAAGATCATCCCCAACGCCATCCTCGTGCGCCTCAAGGGCAACAAGGAGGTGAGATGCGCTCCCGCTGCTGCCTCCCACCGAAGACTTCTGGTCTCACCCACCACTCCCCGCGACAGGTGCTGTTCCGTAACTTTCTGAACAGGCATGAGGCCTACACGGTGATGGACAGGCTGTGGAATAAGAAACAGCTCTCGGTCAAATCAACCGAGATCGCCCAGCTCACCCAGCAGAAGGACTGGATGAAGCAGCTCAAGCGCGCCATGGTACTCCTTGCCCCGCATTTCTTTCTCGCTCCCGCCTTCGCTCCTCCTCCCACTCGCGTGAATCGCTCAACATCGGTCGGCGCTTCTTTCTCTGGTGCAGAAAGAGAAGGCGGATCGATACGAGGTGGTGGGCAAGCTGGGCGAGGGAGGCTTCGGTCTCGTCTTCGTCGTGCTCGATAAGCGCGACTTTCGACAATACGTGCTCAAAGAGGTACTCAATTCGATGAGTGGTGTAACATTTTGCTCGTGGGTATATATTCACATTTGTTGCTTCACTTCACAAGGTGTGCTGCATCAACGAGGAGGAGGCCAAGGACGCCATGCGTGAGGTGCGCACCATCTTCTCACTTGGGAATCACGTAGCGGGACGTGATTCTCTTTTGGGTGGCCTGATGAGACTCATCTCTTTGTCTTGCCTTGTCTCTGTTTGTACTTGAAGATGGTGCTCCTACGATTGCTGCGTCATCCCTACATCGTGAAGTACAAGGACTTCTGGCAGGAGAAACTGCATGTGTTCATCGTCATGGAATATTGCCAGGGTGCGGCCTGACATTTCTTCTACTTGAGTGATTGTTAATTAATATGGTCTCACCGAATGGACTGCCTTCTTCAGGCGGAGACGTGTCGGCTGTCATCGAGGAGGGGATCCCGATCCCCGAGAAGCGAGTCGTCACATGGCTGATCCAGGTACCACTCCAACCACTGGAATCTGAGAAATGCGACTGCTCCTGCGGCGCGCTGCTGACTCCTTTTGTGGTGCCCGATCAGATCCTGCTGGCGCTGGCGCACATCCACTCCCACAATGTGCTGCATAGGGACATCAAGCCGGGCAATCTGTTCCTCAACAAGTGGAAGGACATCAAGATCGGCGACTTTGGCCTGTCGACAGTGCGCAAGAACAAGAAGAAGCAGCACCAGACCCCGGTCGGCACCATGGGCTACGCCGCGCCCGAGCTGCTCAAGGGCAAGGCCTACAACGAAAAGTCGGACATGTACGCCCTCGGGTGCTGCCTCTACGAGATCCTCACCCTGCGCTCTGTCTACGACGACGAGCACGACGGGTGCTTCCCCATGCCCATCCCCTCGGTACGCAGCTGGCTTGTGCTTGGCCCAATCAATTGGCGTTGTGTACCACAGTACCGTGAATGCATGCTGACCTTCTCCCGCGCCGGTGCGTCGTTTGATTTGGCGCCAACAACAGCTTTACAGCCACCAGTTGACGGAGATTCTACACTCGCTTCTCCACGAACAAGATACCAAGCGACCATCGGCCAAAGACCTGCTCGACCATCCGTTCCTCCAGGTACGTACACTAGTGGTCACTCCCTGACTAGTCAGTCCCACAGCGTGCGCTGACGTTTACCGCGCGCGCAGGAGGAGGCCCGGAACATCCGCACGCAGTCCGAGATCTATGCCGAGCTGCAGCAGCGAGAGGTACCCTATGGTCGCCTCCTCATGAGCGCTTTACACCACCTCACCCGTGCCCTTTTCTGCATGCAGGATGAAGCGGACGAGCTGCGACTGAAGGTGAATGTGCTCCAGCAGGAGGTGAGGCGATTGAAGCCCAGTGCTCGGTAAGTGTGGCATCCCTCCCCCCCAATCCTCCTTGGCGCGTCTGACCAAACGATGGGCACACAGCGTTATCGCCACCTCAGAAACCAACATGCCAGTCCGACGACACAGTCTCCTACTCGACTCCATTTCGTACGTGAATGCCGTTTCCACCTGATTTAGGTGTCGTGTGTCGTGTGAGTGAAGACTTACGAGTGACGCCACTCGCAGAGAGGAAGAGGTAATCAGCGATACCGACAGTCGCGGCAGCGAGCACGAGAGCGGAAAGGGCAAGGAGGAGGTGGGTGATCGATCTCCAACGACATCAAGTGAGGAGGAAAGGGTCTGCGATGAAGCTGATGAGGACGAGGACGAAGAGGATGAAGAGGACGACAACGAAGCCGAGGAGCGATACCTCGAGTGGAAGCGGATGAAGGAGCAGCAAGCCACGCGTGGCTGGCAAACCGAACGCGTCGTCACCAACTCGAGCGCCACATCGCTCGCGGCCCTACGTCGCAACTCTGTCATGGGCTAGGCCGTTTCGTCTCTAGCCTCCTCCTGTATCATGTGTAATGTATGTGTGCGGTCCTTCGCTTGGCCCTGTTTTAGCGTGTGGCGTGTGTGTCGTTTCGAGCGTGAGTGGTGCCGGGTTTTATTTTTGTTTTTCTTTCTGCGGCTTCATCAATTCGGAAGAAGATGGAGCGTGAAAGATTGGACAGCGGATCGTCGCGTAGAAGCCGATCCTCGAACGGGGAGCGGGATTACCACCATGCGGACGGTGCCAAGCGACTGCGCCTTGACGCCCCCAGCGAGACCGATAACAGGGATCGGCGCTACGCTGCCGAAGTAGAGCAGCAGTGGCCCAGCCACAAAATTGTGAAATTGAATGTGGGGGGCCAGAAGTACACGACCACCGTTGCCACCCTCCGCCGCGCCAGGGTACAGCTTTCAAGTCCAATTCATCGCTACTGCAAATCTAACCATTTATTATCTTAATTTGTCAGGGTTCTCTCTTGGAGGCGATGTTCTCCAACACCAGCATCCCAGCCCAAGATGAGGGTACCATTTCCTTCTCTACTTTTCCGGGATTGCAGTCCGGGATGCTCACTGCAGCGCCTCTGCAGAGGGAGCCTACTTCATTGATAGAGACGGTACCTTCTTTTCTCTCATTCTCAACTTCTTGCGAGACGGTAGCGTTGAGTTGCCTACGGATGGGTATGCCGCCCTACGTCATGTTTTCGCGCACGCAGCGGCCTAACGCTGGAGGCTTTCTCCGTGTGCAGGACGGTGTTGCGTGCGGTGCTGAGGGAGGCTCAGTTCTATCAGCTCACCGGCCTGGTCAACCAGATACAGCTCGCGCTCGGGCTGCCCCTCTCTTCTGCTCCCCTGGCCCCCCGCTCTCCCATGTACGTGCCTTTAGACTTTCTCAAGGCTCCAATCCTCGTCGCAGCTCTCCTTCGTATCTGACAAGACAACCGGTTGTGCGCCGCTCTCTCGCATCATCAGGCCCACTAGTCCGAGGCACGGAGGCTCGACTCCGCGTGAGCGTGATCGTGAGCGTGAGCGTTCCGTTTCCGTGAAGTCTGAACCCAGGGAGGAGCCCGTGCGAGAACACACGAGGGAGTCTGTGAGGGAGCCCATGCGGGAACATACGAGGGATTCCGTGCGAGAGCCCGTGAGGGAGTCCTTGAGGGAGCTTGCGCGAGAGCCTGCGAGGGAGCCCGTAAGAGAAGATGCCCAAAAGATCAAAGGCACCAGGTACGCATGATATCCCCGATGCTTAACTCAACTCAACGTCAACATGTGCTGATACAAGTGCGCTTGTGTGTGTGTGTCCCCGTCTAGTCGTTTGGCCTCTCACACCATCGTCGATGAAGGCAAGGTAACGAGAGTCATCACGTGTATCGACTTCGACCCCACCGGCGACTACTTTGCCGCGTCTCAGGTGTGTTGCTCGTCCCCCCCCCTCTCGTTGAAATGTGGGACGACTCTTCGCTGACTCGCCCCGTCTCACAGCTCTCCGAGCGTATCTCTATCTACTCCTACACTTCGTTTGTGAACGCTCGGGAAAGCGTACCCCTCGCCGCCCAAACGCTGCCTATAAAGTCCAACATGAGGTGGGTCGTTATGCCCGACAATTCAAACCTCGATCACACTTGGCTCGTCGCCGACTGCCTGCTGACGTGCGAACTGCATGTTGTTTCTCCCAACACAGTACGCTCAGCTGGAACAAGAGCGTGAGACACCTCCTGGCACACGGCGACCACGACGGTAATATTTGCCTGTGGAATACCGAGATCGCCCAGGTACACAGCACCCGACCCGATTCGTACCACCGTCTCTCTTGCTCTAGGGCTCACTTTGGCCCCACCGCGAAAACTAACGCCACGACGTTGCCAGCCTGTTTCTACCTTCCAAGAGCACACCAAGCGCGTTTGGTGCGTCTCCTTTGCGTCGGCCGCCCATCACAAACAGTTCGCGTCGGCCTCCGATGATAGGACTGGTACAGATCCGGGAACTTTAGTGTGTAGTGTGCGTACCGTCTCACCGTGTGGATGTGTCATGATACAGTGCGGCTCTGGACAATTGATGACAAGACGTCTACCGCCAGCATCGCTTCTAAGGCCACAGTCTGCTGTGTTCGCTATTCGCCAAACGACTCCATGCTGGCATTCAGCTCCGCCGGTACTCTTCCTTCCCGCACGTATATCATGGGCTGCCCTTCTCTGACCGTTAGGTTTCGACAACGCAGACCACCACGTGCACTGTTACGATCTGAGGAACCTCAAGATTCCGTTCGCCATCCTGCGTGATCACCGCAAGGCCGTATGGGCGCTCAGCTTCCTCAACCAGGAACAGCTCGTTTCTGCGTACGTTTGGCGTTGGCTCCCTTTGGATGAGCGCTTTGTTGGCGTTGGCGATAGTACTCCATGCTAACTTCATGTGTCTTGGGGCATCGCGATTCAGATCGGTCGACGGCACCATCAAAAGGTGGCACATGCACAAGGGGACACCGCTCATGTCCTACTCAGGGTACGTACGCTATCTTATTATTATTGGCTATTATTGGCTATTATTTGCCTCGCAGCCGAGACGCGCCAGATCTACGGCTCTCATGTTCTCATCTCTTCACGTTCAACCATCATCAACCATCAGGCACGCCAACGCCAAGAATTTCACCGGCTTGACCGTCGATAGGACCGGCGAACACATCATCTGTGGCAGCGAAGACAACCAGGTCCCCCTCCCATCTGATTTTCACCGCGCCGCCTGCGATGTCTTCCCTCACCCCACGTATCTTTCTGGTGTATCGTCGCGTGCAGGTTTACCTGTGGAACGTTGACACTCCGACTCCTCTCACGACCTACTCGTGCGGCGAGGTTGTACGTTCACAACTGCCAACCCAGAGAGCGAGCGCTTGTAGTGATCACTCTGCTCGTGAGCTGATACTTGGGTGGGTGCGCGCAGGGTTCCTCGCCGAAGTGGGTGAGCACAGTGGCGACAAGGCCGGGCTCCAACGTCATCGTGGGCGGCAACAGCGCAGGCGACGTCCACGTCTTCAGGCCCACCTACTAAGTCGTATGCAGCGACCGATACTTCCGAACGCACAACAAACACACCTTCTGGACTAGCGATGATGCTAAGTGATGATGACGATGGTTGGTGGGCAAGTTGCGAACGTGTATCGTGTTGTGTTGTGAAGAGGGCAGGAGGACGGACAATTAAATGCCGAGCTTGTGGCGTCCCTTCTCCTTCTTCCGGGCGATGGTGCGACGTCCGTTCTTGGAGCGCATGCGCACCAGGAAGCCGTGCGTGTGGTGCCTCTTCACCGTCGACGGCTGGTACGTCCGCTTCACCGCCTCCATCGGCGCTGCGGCGAGCAAAGAAGAGAAAGGAAAGAGAAGAAGAGGTCAATGAACGGCTGGTGGCGCAAAATGGAGGCACTACATGTAGTGATGACGAAGTGCCGAGGTACCGTTGCCTTCAGTAGTGGGGTACAGAGGCGCGTCGAGGGGAAGGGGCAAGGTGGGCAGCACCATGTCCAAGACGCTGTCTCGCGGCGTGGGCGCGATCTCAAGAGTACGATCGAGCGGCACCATGGCCATTCCTGCAGGAGGCGAAAACGGCCGCAACATTAATTCCACAAGCTGATGATGGCCGGGCGCAGAGCAGAAATTAAAGTGCGAGGCATACGTGGCGAGACATCGCTGAAGGCGGCCACCGGACGGCGGGAGACAGGGAGAGGAGAGGAAGTTGAAAGGGTGGGAAGAGCAAAGGCCTCCGAATTAAAGGCAGATTCGACATTTGCCGAAGACGTGAAGAGGAAGCGAGACGAAGAAGAAGGTCCGCAGGCTGGCCGGAAGGCCACGGCACCCCGAGATCCGAGCAGCACCCTCCGTTGCATCCTTTCCACAATTTACGAGATGTGAAGAAAATCACAGCAAAAATTATTTACTATTTTATTTTCTTTATCTTTTCTCTTTTCTCTTTATCTTTTTTCAATCTTCGCCGCACGTGTCCGCAGGTGTCGTGGCCTGGAACAGTGTGTGGTCGTCCGTGAACGAGGCCGTATCGTAGACCAGGCACCGGAAGAAGCCCCGCTGCAGCAGCTTGTCGCCGATGACCACGGCCTTGTCGCGTCCCACCCGCAGCTCCTCGACCAGCCAGTCCACGCATTCGCAGCCGCAGAAGCACAGCCGCCCATCGCGGGTCTCGCGCAGCTCGAGCCCCGAGTCTGCCGAGAACATTTTGTCCACCAGCCGGTCCGTCAGCGACTTGCCGCTCTGGGCGTCGTCCACCGCCATCAGCGGCCGTCCGCTGTTCTGGTAGGCGCTCGCGATCAACGACCCGCCGCCCGATGACTGCCGCACGCGCGGAGCCGCATTGATGGGGGCCGAGACCGAGCCCGCCGTCGTGGTGGTGGTCGACGATGACTGCTGCTGGCCGCTGGTCGTGGTGATCGATGTTGATTGCCTCGATGTCGAGCGTGGACTAACTTTGGCGTGCTGCTCTCGAGGCGACGTGTGCGGCACCTTGGTCTGCGACAAGGGCGACAGCGAGTGCGGCGGGCTGCTGGTGCCGCCTGGCCCCTGCTGCTGGGCCGCGCCCCCGGTCGGTGGCGCCTTGCTGACGAGCCTGTGGGGGCTGCTGTTGTGGCGGGACAGGGCGTAGACCTGCGTCGTAGACTTGGCCCCGGACGGCGCCGGGGAGGGCGGCGACGATGAGAGGGTCGGAATGGGGTGGGGGTGGCTCGGGTGGCTGGCGGTCGGTGTAGGCGAGGAGGGCGAGGGCGCGGGTGCGGGCGGGCTGAAGGCGATGCCGGCGCTCTTGAGCTTCTCGAGCATGGCGCCGGCCAGCCGCTCGAGGCCCTCCCGCCGGGCCCCCTCCTGAGCCAGGTGCAACCGGGCGATCGCGAGCTGCGTCTCGACCTTGCTCCGCACCTCGCGCTCAGCGGCCAGCTGCTCCTTGAGCACAGCGATCTGCGACTCGAGCGTTTTTGTCGCCTCCGTCGTCGTGGCCTGTGTCGAGTGTGTGTCGTGTGATGTCAATAGAATTGGCGTAGCAGTCCAAGAGGCCGGGGGCCGTACATGTCGCATGGCGTTGGAGAAGCTGGCCAGCTCTTCGTGGTGGATGAAGTCCGACACGGGCCGGTTTAGCCGCCGCCACCGGCCCTTGCCCACCACCTTGATGTCCTCCCGGCTGTTCCACTTCTTCTTCTCCTTGCCCTCCTTCTCCTTCTCCTTCTCTTTGTCCTTCTCTTTCTTCTTGTTCTTGCGCCCGCCGTAGGCTTCGGGGGTGCGCTTGACCTCGATCTCGCCTAGCGACGTCCGGAAGACCTTGGTGAAGTTGAGGGTCACGTTCTCGACAGCCAGCAGGTCGGCCGGGTCCACCACCTGTATGAGTCGATCGAACAGCCGCTGCTCCTTGTGGCCCGCCAGGGCGGCCGACATCTGCTCCTTGTGGGTGTCGAAGCTGTTGACCAGCGCCCGCACCGCCATTCTTCGATCCTCCTCTGTAGACATCTTTTCCTGTGTTGTGTGGCGGGGCCAGATGTGTACTCATCAGCGTCGATGTCAACTGTGATAGCTGGCTCCACGTCTCGTTTTGTAGTCTGGACTCGTACCGTGCCGGGAGGCGCCGGGTGGGCGTCTGCGTCGCTCGGCGCGGTCGATAATGCACTCAGGAATCGCTGCATCCGCTCCTGCTTGAGCGCTGTAGAGAAGGGAAGTCCACAGTCGGTTACAAGGGAGCGCGCGTGTGTCGTGTGTTCGCTAGGGGGGGGGCGCATACCGATCCACTCGTTGATAAATACCATGTACTGTTCCTTCTCTCCAAACTGAACGTCGTTGGACGCGTTCTGCAATACCTTGCTGATCAGAATTAACGATCGCCGCGTCTCGTTGGACAGAGCTGCGTTGCGGAACGATCGTACATATGAAGATGAGAACGTGGTGTGTGCGGTGTGTGCGGTGTGTGCGGTGTGTGCGGTGTGTGGTCGTATCGGGTTCGTTGCGTACTGGAGGCAAGGCCGACTCGCTCAGGCGACACCAGCGCGGGGCACACAAATCGCAGGAAGAAGAAGCCTCCGATCAGCTGGTAGCCCTTCTCGTTGAACCGCTCCTCCACCATCTGGTGCGCCTTTTGAAACACCCGCTTCAACGCGCTGCGCCAGCGAAGAGAAAGGGAAGGAAATCAGCCAGAGGCGCAAAGATCAAAAAGAGAAGAGGCGGCTCGCACCAGGGGAAGAGGTCGATGGCCGACTCCATGGCGAGGAACATCTGCTCCACGCTGTCCATGAGCCGCTTCTGGTTGTCCTGGAGTTGTGTCAAGTCCGCGAGCTTCATGGGGTCGACCTGTGCGGGCGGGCGGTGATCATCAGCAGGTGCCCGTGTGTGTATGTTGCAGCCGTCACTGTGGTCACGTACCTCGATAGCGGACGTGGTCTGCATTTGGGCGATGAGCGGTTGCAACACGCCCTTGAGAAAGAAGTGGCCCTTGATGTGCAGATAGATGCTCACCAGCTTGACCCCGACCGTCATCCCTCGGAACAGCGTCACTGTCGTGCCACCCTCTGCAGAGGTGATCAGCATAGAGCGAGTGGACTCTGGAGTGTGGCGAAGGAGGAAGCGCGTCGTGTATGTACCACAGGTGTCGATCTCGTTCTGGAGCGCCCACTCGACGAGGCGCATGTCTTGCTTGTTGTGACGGAAGATGATCAGGAGCGAGTTGCACACAGACTCGTAGTCGTGGCTCGACGACACCAGACTCTGGCACAGCGCCCGTGCGACTGTCATCGTTGGCGACAGCAGCAGCTGGACAGGGCACGTCGTGTTATACAACATCAATTAATTCAAATAAAAAAGAAAATAAATCCCAATAAAATACTGTAATAAAATAATGTAATAAAATAAGAACAAGGTACCTTCATGAGGAGGGTGCGAAGTATCTCCTGGTCGACCTTCGCGCCGTCAGACTTCTTAAGCTGGCTTTCGAGAGTGACGATCTGTGTGGAAGAACAAGGGGCTGAGCAAGTGCACTCGTTTTGGGATTTTGTGGGGGCGTTGCGCACCCACTCCGGGTAGAGGCGCTCGACCGCAGACAAACTATCATTTTCATTCTCCTCCATGTGTGTACAAGACCACCCCTTGGTCCACCTGTCTATGTTATATTATTTAAAATCGATAGTAGAATGTTGTTGTTCGCAACGGTCACCAATTCTCTGCTCCGTGACTAACTTTGCGCTTTTGCTTTATTTGGTTTATGTTTTGATTTTCGATAAATTGAGTTTGAATCTGGTATTGAATTTAATTTCGTGTGAAGATGCCAAAGACGGCGAAGAAGGGAGGGGGTGGCGGCACGAAGAGGAGCGCGCCCAAGGCGGCACCAGCTGCCACGAAGACGATCAAGAAGCAGACGCCTAAGAAAGTAACAACTAAGACAACAATCAAAACGACCACGACAATCACGAAAACCAGCACCGTGCAGCAGGGAGCGAAGACGAGGAAGGCGCCGGCCACCGCCGCACCCAAGCGAGCCACCCCCAGGGCAGCTGCGGCCGCCCCAGCGTCGCCTGCCGGGGCCAAGACGCGAGCGGAGAACCTCCTCAAATCAGCGGCCTCCAACGCTCTCGCCCACGGCTCCTCCGCCGGCGCGAAGGCCATGCACGCCCTCAGGAAGGCTTAGAAGTCCATCTTTCTTGATCATCCATCATCTGTGATTAAAATTACTGTTTATTAAAAAGCGAGAAAAGAAAAATATATCACAAGAACACGATGCCGTCGAGGAGGAGCGCTACATGCACATGAGCCATCTCCATCTCTGGCGCCACTGCTCTCATAAATACCTGTCTCCCACTCCTGGCATCACACCACACGAGGTTTCCGCCTTACAGAGCCTTCTCCTTTTTCTTTCCTTTACGACGCGACCAAGACCTTCTGTGCGTTCTTGTAGGTCGAGCGGTCCTTGATGGAGGTCGAGTTGCTTTTGTACATCACGTCGTCCAGATCCAGCATCAGCTTCAGCTTCTCCCTGTCGGAGAGATTGACATCAAGTGCGTCAGTGTCAAGTGTACGACGCGAGGCGTATGGAATGCAGTGGGCGAGGATGATGCGAACCCGATGCTGAGGCGGATGTGCTTTTGGTTGGTCTTGGTCCACACGGACAGACCATCCTCCTTGCTCCTGATGCTCACCTCCACGCCCACCACGTTGGGGTCCTCAAAGAGCTCGCCAATGGACGCGAACAGCTGTTGGTGTCCGGGTTTTGGGTGGGGTTCGTTAGCCTCGTGGCGACGCCACCATACGAAGGGAGCCACGACACACGAACCAATTCCTCCCACATCTTGTCCAGGGCACCGGTGCGCTTGTCGACCCTGACAATGAAGCAGCCACCCTTGGGGAACGTCTGCAGCACAAACACGCTGAGTCAAAAAGAAGGGGGGGAGAAGGCACTCGACCACTCCATGATTGGGGTCACCTACCTCCCACATGGGCTTGAGCTGGTTCCTGAAGAAGTACAGGTTGCTCTCCTTCGGCAGATTGCTGGCCCGCTGGATGAACGCATAGTGGCTGACAGACGAGGAGGAAAGGGGAAATGAGTCAAAGCGCAAGTAGCTCGAGAGGAGTGGGAACAAGGTGAGAGGGAGCGGATTGCGCACTGCCAGAACTCCTCGACGGTGCGGCAGGTGCCGATCTGAACGAGGTGCTCCATGTGCTCCTTCTTGTCCAGCTTCTTGTCGATCACCACGGTGCCGGAGGGACCCGCCGTGATGGAGTTGGACCTCCTCCTGTCCTTGCGCGAGAACCAGAACGTCCACGGCGTCTGCAGACGGTGACCCAGGATCGACGCACCATCGTCGTGCGCTGGCGCGTCCGACCGGGGCGACTCCAGCTGGCCTGCGCATGTGGGCCGCAGATGGAGGTTAATGAGTTCTTGAAAAAACACTGTGATTCTACGCACGTGAATCAGAGATGAAGATTGCGAGGAATTAATGGGATTAAAATTACCTGCTCGGGAGCCCTTGCGGGACCTGGGCTTGTGCTGCGGCTGCTTGTGCTGCTGGTGCGAGGCGGCAGGCGAGGTGGGGGTGGCCAGGACTGCGGCGGCAGCGCCCAGCGTGGCGTCTGCCTTGGTGGCATTGGCAGATTGGGCGGGGGCGGTGGCCGGGCTCGCGCCCTCGGCTCCCTTCACCTTCCATGCCTTAGCGGAGTTGCTTCTCGAGCGTCGCGCCGCATCGCTGTCGCGTCTGCTGCGGTTGGCTCCATTCCCACCCTCGCCGCCCTCACTCCCGTCCTGGCTGTCGTTGGCCGACGATGCGGTAGCGGCAGATGATTCCGCACCAGCGGGAGTAGAGCTCTCCACCACTACTGGTTTAGTGGCCTCCTCTTTCACAACCTTGTCCTTGTGTTCGTTTTCCATTTTGATAATCAATTGTACAGGGTTAATCTCACCAAAATCAACTACAAAGCACAACTAAGTTTCTTTTCTGTCGACCAACGTGGTGGTCCGGCGTTTGCGTGGGCATCAGGAGAGTGCACATTGGGGGGGGGCAAGTTACACCGAAGTCAGGCAGAACCGAAGGTAAGGCCGACACCACTTACCACGCCAGAGAAGTACGAACCATGCATTTTGCCAATGTCAGCACCCTTAAAACCAACGATTGAGAGACTCTCGAAAAGACTACTCCTTGTCTGAGGTTGGACCCAAAGCACAGGTAGAGAGGCCTCCACTCTCGCACGCTTTCCTCCACGTGCAGGCCTTGAGCAAGAGTGACGGCGAAGACGGTGGCAGAAAGCGCGGCGAAGACCTTCGAGGAAATGTCGCCTGAAACCTGCGCCAGAGCCAACCAGCCGATAAGATCCCCCCCCCCAATGCTGGCATCGCACAGGCCACAGCAGCGCCCCACACCACCGGAAGGAGACAACCAGAGCTGCGCCTGACGAGGCCCAGACCACCTCCCCTTCTCGATCCAGCCACAAGTGCCCGGCACACCAACCATCAACCGACCTGCACACGCGAGCAGCCTGAGATGGACCGAGAGACTTCGCTGGACGGTGAGGAGGAGGGCACCTGCCTGCTGCGCCTGGTCGAGGCCAAGTGGGCCGACTCCCTGCCGCCGTGGGGCCGTCAGCACCACCACGCCCCGCGCGTTGCGTCATCGCGCGCGGGGCCGCCCGCAACGTCGTCGTCGTCTTCTTCGCCACCACCTTCGCCCCTTGTCATGCGCCTCTCCTCCACAACTCGGCCCGCAGACGATGCGACTGATGTATTTCCGCGCCTGGGCTCATCGCCTCGCGCCTCGCGCACCAACTTCGGACATGTGTGACTTGCTCTCCACAGTCCCCTCCACTGCGCCCTCCAGCTTTCTGTTGTAATTAATTCATTTCGCATTTCATTTTATTTGTTTGTAAATAAAAAATAAATAGATAGCACATACTCCGCATTCCGCTCCGTTTTCTTTGCCTTCCCGGCAGCTGCTGATGGTGGTGAAGTGAAGGGGGAGGTTGGGTGAACGGCCCACCCCGCACGACAGCGCGTGACTCGAGCATGCAAACAGCAAGCTAACCCCACCAACGCAGCTGACAACGAAAGATGAACGCGCCCGCCCCGCCTCCTGTTCCTGACCACGTCGTCTACGAAAAGGTTAGTCTTGTTCCCCCCCCCCCCTTCTACGCTTGAAAGCTTCCACGAACGTGTCGTCCCCTCAACGTGCGACGTTTGTGGCCTCGTTGCAGACAGAGTATGAGGACCCACCGGAGGAGAAGGCAAAGAAGATGCGGCAGCTGGTGGACATTGTGCGGAGCGCACAGAACCTGGTCGTCTACACCGGCGCCGGCGTCAGGTTGGTGACACCCCCCCTCTCTCTTTCTCCCCTCCTACTCCTCTTCTCTGCTGACTGAACGTTCTTGGGGGGGGGGTGCACGCTAGTACGGCGTGCGGAATCCCAGACTTCAGGGGAGACAACGGAATGGACAAGTACGGCTGGCAGAGCGCCGTGCTGGGCATGGGCGTGGGCAAGGTAGGTTACTTCAATCAGAGCGCCCTACCATGCGATGTGACTTCCTTGCGCGTATGGTGACACCACATTTCCCCCTTCGTCCACAGGGCGCGGCGGACCTGCTGATGCCGTCCTACTCGCACGTGGCGATTACGAAGCTGCTCAATGAGGGCGTGATCAAGTTCATCGTCTCCTCCAACCACGACAACCTCCACATCCGCTCCGGCGCGTCGCCGGACAAGGTGTCGGAGATCTTTGGCAACGGCTACATCGAGACTTGCCTCAAGTGTGGCGACAAGTTCCTCCGACACACGCAAGTCCCTCAGCTGGGCCGTATCTGCGATCACGTACGTGTGTCGTTGTGTGTCGTTGTGTGTGTGTGTGTGTGTGTGTGTGTGTGTGTGTGTGTGTGTGTGTGTGTGTGTGTGTGTGTGTGTGTGTGTGTGTGTGTGTGTGTTCGCACGCTCTGCTCATATCGGGGAACTAATGATGTCGTGTAGGAAGAGTGTGGCGGACGGCTGAAGAAGGAGGGGGTGCGGTTCGGCGGAATGGTGCCGGAGGGTCCGCTGCGAATAGCCACCAACGAGGCGAAGAAGGCCGACGTTGCCCTCGTCCTGGGGTCTTCCATGAGTGGTACTGCTCCGCGCCTCCCTGTCGTGGTGTGTGTTCACGCACGCTTGCTCACTGTTTTTTTTTACAACCTACACAGTCTCGCCGTTCTGCAATCTGCCGTGGAAAGCGAAGAAGGTCATCATCGTCTGCTTGCAGGACACGACGGTGGACAGGCGCGCCACTATCAAGATCAACGCCACCTGCGATGAGGTAAGCCTCCGCACCGTATCAGCATGGCTAGCCCTTCTTGTGCTCACCACCCTTCTTCTTCTTCTTCTTCTTCGTCCTAAGGTGATGCACGGAATACTCGAGGGACTGGGCCGGGACTCGACGCTTGAGTACGAGTACCGCCAGTCGTTCTTGGTTTCGCACCGCCGCGAGGCCGACGGCGGGTGGGCGCTGCGGCTGGGCGGCGGGCGCAAGAACGAGGTGTGCACCTGCGTGGAGGAGGTCAGGGTGACCCTGCCCGGCCAGCAGCAGGACGAGCCGCGCCTGATGGACGAGGGCGACGGCGTGTGGGACCTGGCCTTCGAGCAGACCGACGCGAGCGCGGAAGAGGTGGCGGTGGAGATGGAGATCGTGTTTCGGCCGGCCTACGGCGTGCCCCCGCGACAGCTGCGCTACGTCATCCGCCCCAGCGAGGGCGACACCGGCCAGCAGCTCCTCCGCTTCTCCTGCCATGTCCACTACCCCGTGCCCGGCCAAAAGAGCACCTGAACAATTCAAGAAGAGAATCATTGCTTCGAACAATGGTGGTTGATGGATGATCAACGCGAGCAGCCAGGGGGTTCACGCTGAGCCTTCAGTTTGCGAAGAGCCCGAGAAAGAGACAAAAGAGATGGATTGCCGTCGGGGAGAGTCGAACTCCCCGTGCGAGGGCTGATTGGCTTATGGCTCCACTCGAAGCTCGTCCTATCAGTGGCACGCCCCACAGACAGGGGCGTGTGTGGTATGAGAAACAGGACGAGCAAGATTCTCGCACTCCAACCATTGACAACGGCATCTTCCACGACCAAGCCAGCCGCTCACAAGAGCACCGCACCGACAAAGAGCACAAATATTATGGGAACCTTCAGTTGTTAGGTGAAGGATCATTGTTTTTGGTTGGGCAACGAACGTTCGTCAGAGTCACAGTGTGTTGTGTGGGCCACGACCCAAGTTGTGGCCACTACGGACTATAAATGGGACACACTATCTCCTCGATGGTCTGGCTGCTATTCACGCTTGCCCGAGTTTGACCGGTCTCTGGAGGCGATGAGCTGCACCACCCCGTGCCACTGCGCCAGCGTCAGCGTCAAGCCTGGCGTGGAAGCCCCGTCAGCCAACATGTTAGCATTGTGCGGAACAAGGGTGCAAGCGTTGTAGTGGCCGTACTTTGTTGTCGCGTGGAGAGATGGAGTTCGACATCGACGCCGCTCAGAGTGGAGCCCACGGACACCTTCACCCCGTTGGCCTTCCCGATCTAGCAGCACGCAATTGACAAGTCGATGTCACACTTTGAGTCGCAGTCAACGTGATGTAGCCGCAGGAGGCGAGCTGCATACCTTAGTGGTCTCGACGCCGGTTGGAGGGGGCTCGGGGGCTGAATCCAGGTCGAGCGTGTTGTCGGACCGAGCCAGCGGCAGATGCTTGCGCGGTCGCGGAGGGTCGGCCGAGTGCGTCCTGGTCCTCCTCTCTCCGCCGGCTGCTCGCAGCCCCTTCTCCCTCGCCTCCACCGCCTCTTCCCTCTCTTTAATCTCCGCCAGCATCACCCTCGTGCTCTGCGTGTGCGTAAGAAAGTCAGCAAGCGTGTCGTGTCGTGTCGTGTCGTGTCGTGTCGTGTCGTGTCGTGTCGTGTCGTGTCGTGTCGTGTTGTGTTGTGTCGTGTCGTATCGTGTCGTGTCATTGGTCGTGTCGTGTCGTTGGTCGTGTCGTGTTGTGTCGTGTTGTGTCGTGTCGTTGGTCGTTGGTCGTGTCGTTGGTAGTTGGTCGTGTCGTGTCGTGTGTCGTGTGTCGTGTGTCGTGCGTCGTGCGTCGTGTGTCGTGTGTCGTGTGTCGTGTGTCGTGTGTCGTGTGTCGTGTGTCGTGTGTCGTGTGTCGTGTGTCGTGTGTCGTGTGTCGTGTGTCGTGTGTCGTGTGTCGTGTGTCGTGCTCACCTCGTTCTTTTCCTGGATGAGGGCGATGGTCTCGTTCAGTTTCCGTTCCTTCTTGGCGAGTGTCCGTTCTCGCTCTTCGAGTGCTCGGATCAGCCGCTCCTCGGCGGGCGTCTCCAGCTTGAGGTCGAGCGACTGCTCGCCCACGCTGCCCCGCTTGCTCATGCTGAGCATCGAAGCACGCGTGGTCTTGAACCCGCCCGACGTACTCCGCAGGTGATCGAGCAGGGCCGGCACCCCCTCGCGCATCTTCCGCTTCAGCCCGGGCTCCAGATCCGAGTTGAGCGACAGCGTCAGCTCCTCCAGCCACCCCATCTCGCCCATCTCCCTGTTGGCCGTACGGGCGCGCAACTGGTCAGCATAACAATAAAAAATATACATAAATAGAGAGCAATAAATATAAATAACTTATTAAATAAACAAACGGTTATACCTGGGCAGCTGGGTGAGTCGGTTGTCTTCGAGTCTGAGGGACTTGAGGGCGGTGAGCTGGCGTATGGCGGGCGGCACGGTGACGATGCTGTTGTGGGAGAGGTCGAGCTCGACCAGGTTCGTCAGCTCAAAGATCTCCGGCGGAATGCCGGGCAGGCCCAGGTTGGACAGGTCGAGCTTGCCCGTTTCTCGCGCCCGCTCCAGCGCATGGCTGATGTTGTCGCCCTGATTCGATAGGGACATCGGCGCCGTCTCTGTGTGCACACCACCACGTTCGTTATTAGACCACAGCCATGGCGACCGTGGTCGTAGCTGGCCGGTGAACAGTTGTGTGTGTGTGGTGTGTGTACCGGTGAGGATTTTGCTCACGTTCTCGAAGCCGGCCTTATCCGCTACCTGGAGGGCTGTGCCGTTATCGCCCTCGACGTTCGCGTCCACCCCAAGAGATAGCAGGCACGCCACCATCTCAGCGTCGCCTCTCCGCGCTGGAAGTGGCGATGGAAAGAGAAGAAAAGCAGAATTATTAATCATTTCCAGAAAGAGCAAAGGCTTCTCGAGCGCATCAGGGCGTACCAGCGAGGTGCAGGCACGTTTCCCCGTATCTGGAGTGAAGGTATAGACACAAGAGGGGGGAGCATCAGCACAACATGTTCTACAGCGGACCATGTCGCGTTTGGGTGGAAACACTCACTTGTTGACTGTGTTGAGGTCGACGTTGAGTCGGCTGAGGTAGACCACCACCGAAGTTTTGCCGGCACTCGCGGCTGCGTGAATGGCCGTCTCCCCATTTACATTCTGCGCATCTGGATTACAACCGCCGTCTGCAATTGGCCACACCACACTGTTAGTGTGGTGTGTGTGTGTGTGTGTCATGTGTGCGTGTGCATCGCGTGTTCGTACCGACGATTTTCTTGATGAGCACGAAGTAACTGTCTTGACCCCATACCCGTCCCTTTTGTGGTTCTTTTCGTACAAAATAGTGCAGCACGGTGGCGCCCTCCACGGTCTTCAGCGTAACGTCGCACCTGTTGGTGGCCAACAAGACGGCCACCAATCGGCAATCGCCCTTTGAGCAGGCCACCTACCGCAAACCACCTGTATGTGAGCCAACCCACAGCCAGCCAAGCGGGCACACGCAGTAAAGCAAAAGAAAAGCTCGTCGTCGATCGAGTACGTGCAGCGGCGTCCATCCGTTTCGGTCACGAAAATTGACGTCGAGCTTCTTCTTCTCGATGAGGTAGAGGCACATGTCTGTGTGGCCCTCTTCCACAGCCAAGTGGAGTAGACCTGCAAGAGCGAAATATCATATATGTGGTGCATATGTGTATATATGAGCATATTATTATATTAATTTTTATCAAAGAGGAAGCTGTCTTGCAAAGCAACGGAGGAAGAGATGGGAATGAGGAACACATAACTAAGAAATGGGATGGGGAAGGAGGAACTGTGTGCAGCAAGGTGGGAAGGGGAAGGGGGGGGGAGAGTGGTACTCTGGCCATGTTTATCGACGCCTCTGATACAGTCGTCGTCGCTGTTCGCAAGGAACTGCTTCAGTTCCTCGACGTCACCGCTCCTCGCCAGGAGCAGCACGGGGGCAGGGGCGGGCGACGCCACCTTCGCCGACTGCGCTCGCTTGGGGGGCAGAAGGCCTATGGACATCTTCTCTTCTTCTTCTCCTTCTTTTTTCTTCCCTCCTCTCTTCTCTTCAGCTCTCTCTCTCTCACACACACACTCTCTCTCTCGCTCACCTTGGTCTGTTTTTTCTACACCTGGGTGGGGGGGGGGTGTGTTGATGGTGCAGGTAAGAGGAAAAGACCACGTACGCCCGTTCGCCTGTCGAGATCCGGCTGCAACCAAGGAGCCACCGGTGGTGCCAAATGGAAAAAGGCGAATGGCCCGGTCCGCACCACCCACCACCCGCGACCCTGTGAAGGACTGAGACGCAAGGCTTGAAGAAGAAGAAGAAGAAGGAGGAGGAGGAGAAGAAGAGCTCATCTTCAATACCTGGGTCCCCAGGAAGGAGGAAAGACGACGTAGGTGGGTGAGTGAGTGAGTGGAGAGGAGAACAGAAAAGAAGAGAAGAACAACAGAACAGGGATACAGACCTGGAGGATATGTCATCACAGGAGGGACCAAAGAGAACGTTACACGTCAACCTACGGGTGCGGGCGCTGGACGATGTGCAATCGCCCGATCCTGGCGCGCTCTGCTTCCGCAAGGGCGAGGTGGCGCTGGTGAGCGAGATCGAGGCGGTGGGGAAGGCCTACGGTACCTACTTCAACAAGAAGGGCTGGTTCGCCCTCGATCAGGTGGTGATCGAGCCCGGCACCAGCCCGCGCATGAGCCCACGCAGCGCCGGCTCCGGCAACTCGAGCCCGAGCATGCGGGGCAGTACCAGCCCGCGCAGCGGCAGCGCCGTCTCCAGCCCAAGCGGCGAACGCTTCCCCACCCCGAGCTCCCCCTCCAGCGGGGGGTCAAGCCCGGTGGGATCGCCCGTGCCGACGCGCAATCAGAACCGGCCCACCGCGAAGAAGCTCTCCAGCTTCCTTTGGAAGACGCGAGACGAGCGAACTACTGAAGTCACGGGAAGCCCAAGTGAGTACCCCCCCCTTCTCCCCTCAAAGCCCCCCCCCATTCCAATCTTTCACCGGGTGTACCTTTTCCAGGAATTACGTTTGTGGTTGGTGTGTTGTTGTCGTTATGTGTCGTTGTGTGTCGTGTAAGATATGGTGGTGGTTTGCTTACCTTGCACCCCTTCAGCTGGTCCATCGCCCGCGGCGATCAGCCTGGTCCAGGAGGAGCAGAGCACGGCAGTAGCGGAGGAGAAGAAGAAGCCCTCGGACATGATCAAGTTGCGGCTCATGTGGCGCCGGTCCGTCAACGAGAAGCCTGCCGCCAGTACGGAGTGCCATCATTGATCAGTTCACACCGCGCTGTATTCTTGTTCGCTCATTCTCTTTCCATCCCTTCCTACAGCACACGCAGTGAAGAGGCACGAGTTTGGGGTGACGATAGAGGAGCTGGCCAGCCGGGAGAACGCCATACGGGGAATACCTTACGTGGTCTTTGTGTTGGATCACGCACATGGCCGAGCATTGTATGCGCCTCCTCCCCAACCTGTTCGGTAGCTTCCTGCGCAGTGGATGAGGCTCTCACACCTTGGCCTTGCCGCCCACTCACAGCGCTGGACCTGGAGGGAGTGTTCCGAATCTCAGTGGCGTTCCCCGATCTCCTGGAGATGAAGGAGATGCTTGAAACAGGTACCTCACTCGATGAGGCCGGCGCTATCCAGTTCAGTGACCACGATCAGGTTTAACTCTGGTTGTGGTGCCGCGCGCATCGTACAGGCCCACCTCGCCTGATGGACTCGAATGCAAACACGCACGCCGTGGCGTCCACACTCAAACAGTTCCTGCGAGAGCTGCCGGACCCTCTGCTCACGTTCGCCCTCTTCGACCGATGGATGAACACTGGAGGTATGGGTCCGCCCCGCGCAAAAGGGTGAGTGAGCGGTCGTGATCAAGGCAGGTGGTCTGACGTGTACCATGGCAATAACACAGAGCTGTCCAACATGGCGGAGCGTAAGGAGAAGCTGGTGGGGCTCATCAAGGAGCTGCCGGAGAGCAACCAGCGCACGCTTCACTTTTTGATGACCTTCCTCAAGGCGCTTTCGCTCCGCTCCGAGGTCAACAAGATGTCCACCCTCAACCTAGGCGTCGTCTTCGCGCCCACCATCCTGCGCCGCAAAGTAGAAACCAAGGTGCCCCCCCCTCTACGCAAGGCCTAAATTGGCAGAAGAAACGATTTTTAACCTTTGTCTTGGCGCGTAGGACGATTTCATGAGGATGGAGACTCAACGCGGCATCGTGGAGACCTTCCTCGACGACTACGAGGACATCTTCCCCAAGCTCTACCCCAGCGTACGCTTCAGCCATTTTAGCACTTCTTTATTTCTTTATTTCTTCTATTTATCTTCCTCATTTCATTGCGCAGGGCACGGAGGAAGACGGGCCTTGGTCCGAAGAGCGACTGCTGCTCCTGTTGCGGCCATCAGAGAAGGAGCTCGCTATGCTCCGACGCCCAGGCCAGCAAACAGCTGGCGGAAGCGCTGTCGGCAAGGTACGCTCGTGCAATGGTCGTGCCGTGTCATGCCATCGTGAGTCTTGGGGCCTTGACGAAGACCATAGTGATTGATTGCTGACCCACACTGCCAGGAGGACGTGAGCTCGTCGGAGGCCTACATCAGGGACCATTCGCCCGCTCCGTCACCGTCGGGCTCGCTCGTAATGGACCTCCCGCGCCAGCCGAGCGGCGAGCACTCCGGCAGCCAGCTGCGAGAGTCGCAGGAGCGGCCGACACGGAGCACCGGTGACGACGGCGACTCGAGCGGGTCCGACCGCGAAGAGGAGAAGGGCTCGCGCAGGAGTAGCAAGAGGCACAGTCGACACCGAGACGACAAAGACAAAGACAGGGACCGGGACAGGGACAGAGGAAGGGACAAGGACAGGGAAAAGGATAGAGAAAGGGAGAAGGACAAGGACAGGGACAGAGAGAGGGACAAGGACAGAGAAAGGGAGAAGGAGAAGGAGAAGGAGAAGGAGAAGGACAGAAGCAGGGATAGAGAGAGGGAGAGGGAGAGGGACAGAGAAAGAGAGAGGGACAAGGACAGGGAAAGGCGCAAGAGGGACACGGACGCCGACAGGAAGGACGAGAAGAAGGACCCAACGAAGGAAAGAGTCAAAGAAGACAGCCCGAAGAAGTACGTACCATTGCGTGTTGGTTTTGTCGACGGAAGGGGCCGCGTGAGCTGACGCCATCGTGGTGGATGGTGGTGGCTGGCAGGCGAGGCAGCGTCATTCTCGGGAGGGAATCGCCCACACTTCCCCGGTCGGGCAGTTCTACCAGACGCTCCGATTCGCCCAAGGTCCAACGGCGAGCCACCAGTACGTCCACCATCGCACTACCATCGTTCGCCGAACCACACACACCACACCATGGGTGGGGGGTACCGTGCGGGGGCTCTCTAACGGCGTTGCTTCTCGCGTTCGTGGTGGCCAGCTGGTGTGCCCCCGCTACTCAACAATGGCATCGACCTTAGGAAGAGGAGGCTGACGATCGAGGCCGAGTCGGGCTCGCTGACCGACAGGAAACCCCACCACGACGAGAAAGGAGGTGGTCTGGACTTGGGAGCGCTGGCCAAGGAGCTCGCCGTGCAGGTGGATGACCTGAAGAACGAAGGCAAGCGGATCGAGCAGGAGAACGAGGCCAAGCGAATGGAGTGGGTGTGGCTCGATCTGGTGCGCCACCATTCCCTCCTCCCTCCATCCATGACTGCACCACGCCACATGCGTGCGTCCAGCGCTGATGGTGAGTGCCGGCAACAGGAGAGGGTGAAGATGGAACAAGCGTTGAAGGATTTGAAGCAGGAACTGGAAGAGAAGCAGCAGGCACGTACCACTCTTTCTCTGGAGTTATGCTCACCGTCAGCTCACCCCGCTTGCACGCACGCACGCCTTTGCAGGAACGGGAAAAGCTGGAAGAGGAGAACCAGAGGCTGAAGGCCGAGAACGCGGCCCAGCGCCCACCAGGCAAGTCCAAGTCCAAGAAGGCCAAGGCCAAGGCTAAGGCCAAGGCACAGGCACAAGCCGACGAGTAAGGGAGGACTTGAAGAGAGGAGGCCGAAGCTTCTATTGGACGCGAAACCAATGCGCGTTTGAGGGGTTCAGGCCCCTGCAGAGGAGGTCTGCGTTAGTGACCAATCCAGATTGCGGTAACGTATGTCGGCCGACTGTACTATTATTTAATATCATAATAATAATAATTAACATTACCCAAGCCAGTAAGATGAAGAAGAATGGGGTGACGGTACTGTTACTGGCTGCTGGCGAAGGTGTGTATCTGGCTCTTGGCAAAGAGCGGGGAGAGCTGATCGAGCCGCGAGTAGATGTCGTACAGTCCGCCCGTGTGAAGGAACAGCACCTTCTTGCCCTTCCACTTCTCTGGGTCAGCCTTGATCTCGTGAATGAGTCCGTACAGGGCCTTGCCTGCACAGGTTTGATAGTTGGCCAACAAAGAGCAAAAGGTCAGGCTAAACTAGCTAGTTCCGTCAAGATCCATTGGCGTATCATGGCTGTACCAGTGTAGGTCGGATCCACGACCACGCCCGTGTGCTGCGCCACCTTGATGATCAGCTCGAGCTCCTCCTTTTGGCTGATTGAGTAGCCCAAGCCCACATACTTGTCGTTGACACTGACCAGGTCCTGATGGCCGAGCAAACGAGAATCCGACAATCAGCAATCCACGCACGCATTCGAGGGCTAATAGATTGGCGTACTCGAGCCTTGAACCTGTCGCCGAGACCCAGGTTGGTGATCAGTTGGTCGATCTCCCGGTAGAAATACTCATCGTCGTCGCAGGCACAGAACGCGTGGAGCTTCGTGCGCGCGGAGAGCCCGCTCAGTGCCACGCCGAGCGCCAATCCGCCGGTGGTACCTCCGCTGCCTGAGAGCGGACAAAAGAATGTGTGGTCAAGACACGCACCATTGACGTGAAATAAATGAAATGCTTGTCTCATTCTTCTGCGTACCGATGGTTGTGATAATATCATCAAACTCGATGTTGAGGTCCTTCATCTGGTGACACAATTCCTCCGTGGCTTGCATGTAGCCCCAAGAGCCAAGCTCACTGCACGCAAAGCAAGTTAAGAACCACGCACGCACGCACGCACGCACGCACGCACGCACGCACGCACAGGTGAATGGAGCAACGAACTTGGAGCCGCCGACGGGGATGAGGTAGGGCTTCTTCCCCTCCTGCTCCAGCCGCTTGCCCAGGTCGCTCAGCAGCTGAGGCGAGCCAACGCGGTTGTACTCGGCCACCGACACCAGGTGCAGTTGGGCGTTCATCATCATGTCCAACGCCACATTACCTTTGGTCGTCGAGCGAAGGAGGAGCGAACATGGTGAGCCATCGCTCACTGCAGCTGGTGGGAGGAGCGCCTACCAGTGATGGGGATGTTCTCGGGAGTGTAGTCGGTCCTTAGGATGAGGTGGCACTCGATTCCCAGCTCGCGCGCTGCGGCCGCCGTCGCGCGGCAGTGATTCGATTGCCACCCACCTGCAGGCACGTGGCACCACCCACATGTGAAGAGTCGGTAAGACGCAGACAAGCATGGCGGCAACTCGTGAACGTACCAATGGTGACAATGCAGTCGTGCTCCTTGTCGATGGCATCGGCCAGGAGAAACTGGAGCTTGCGAATCTTGTTGCCGGACGTCACCAGTCCGGTCTCGTCGTCCCGCTTGATCCACACCTCCACACCATCTTCAATAAAAGAGTTAAAAAGATGTATATTATTCTATGATTTTAAAATCAGAAATGGGAGATGGGCGGTCGACCGACGGAGGGCAGGTGCCAGCGGTGGAGGCGGGTGGGGCCGGTGGAGGACGTCAGCGACACGAACTTGGTGGGCACCACCTTGAGGCCCGCCTCTTGCGCCCACTTCGGGGCCACGTAGGGCCGCAGTGCCGTGTTCGCCTTCATCCTTCTTTCTTCTTGGCGGGTGGATGAGTGCAGGTTCTGTGCGCCACTCTTCACGTCAGCTCAACAACTACGAGTAAACTGTACGATGGCGGCAAGGGGGTGGTGCCACCTCAGCTGAGGTGGCTGCGCGCAAGCAGCTTGGGACCTGTGGGAAACGAAGAGAGAAAACAGTTTCTCTCCATTTGTTTGGGTTGAGGCGCCTAGCCCAAACAGGTGGCGATGTGCGACTTGAGGTCATCAAAGGTTCGGGGCCGGTGCTGGCAGCGGAAGCAGACGATGTCCTGCCTGAGGTAGCGCTTGTATTCAGTTCCGTCGAACTTGCCGTCTCGCTCGATGATCGCCATCATTTCTGAACAAGTGCACAAACGTACATTCATCAGCGTCTCAGCCCTGCGTCGTGCCATCACGAATGGTGCAAAGAAGAAAACAAGGAAGAGTTGTGTTACCCGTCGAAGGGATGAAGAAGGGAGTCGTGAACGAGTTCCATCGCAGCTCCCGGTTCATGCAGCGTGAGTCAAAATCCTCGCTCACCACATGCAGATGCAGCTGCCTGTTGTTCGTACACACACACACACACACACACACACACATACATACACAACACAACACACACACACAACACACACACAACACACACAACACACAAAAGGTCAACCGCCTTCATATCCAAATTCCAATGCAGTGCGTTCGTACTGGAGTGTAGGGATCGCGTGGTAGCCGATCCGGAACGTCAGCGACGGGTCCTCGGCCTGCAACCTGCCCACAAAGTGATGACGATCAGCAATCGTTCGATCGAATCTGGCAATAGCCCGACGGCTGAACAGGCGTACATGGCTACGGTCTTGAGGGCAGTGGCGTGGAGTGCCCGAAGCACGGGCAGGTGGAACCGCTTCAGCGTCTGCGGACTGTCGATCTCGCGGAGAGGCAGTACCAGCATGTGCCGTCGGGCTTTGGGCATCTTGTCGTAGATCACCAACACCTCTTCCGTCCGCATGCCGCCCTCCGCACCATCGCTCCTCGCCTCCCCGGAGCCGCCGCTCACCGTCGCTTCGCTCTTTCCGCCGGGTTGTTCGCCGTCGCGCTTCGTTCTTTTCCGCTGTTGTTGTTCGCCGCTGCCCTTGACCACCTCGACCTGGACCGCCTCCCGCAGGAACACCACCCCAGCTCGCTCGGCCTCATCGGGGTTTTGTGTGATGGCCGCCAGCTCCAGCCGCCAGCCCTCTCTGTTGGGGCCTCCGCCGCCTCGACCACCTCTACCGCCGCCGCCTCTTCCTCTGCCTCCACCACCTCTACCACCACCTCTACCACCACCTCTACCACCACCTCTCCCCCGGCCACTCGCATCGCCCCGGCCACGTCCGCCTCGGGAGCTTCGCCTCTCGCCGCTCTGCCGTTCGTCCGAAGATGGCGGCACGTACTGAGGTCGCTGCATGTTGCTGCTGTGGCAGGCGTAGATATGTTGCTTCTTGTTGTGGAGCTGTTGGTGTTTGCTTGCTTGCTTGTTGTTGGTGCTCCAAATGTTCACAGAAGAATACAACCTTTTTCTCATTACCATTTTAACTCCAATTAAGTTGTTTATTGAAAATAAATATAAATATACAAAATGTGGTTGCTGAGGTAACGTAATGAACTGGCCAAAACCGGCGAACTTAGAGTGGTTATAGCTTGATCATCGAATGGAAGACAGCCAAAGCGCGCATCCAAGTGTAAGCATGTTCTCCTAGATTGAATCGGAAAGGGTCCGGCAACTCATGGTTTCTGTATCTTCTTGTTTTTCTTTGCATGCGTAGGAGATGCTTTTGAAAAAGGAGGCCGGCTACGCATTCGAGCTATCGCAACTCGACTACGCACCCACTCCCGAGGACGCCGAACAGGAGCGCCTCTTCGAGTCGGCCTATCGCCACAACTATGCCCTCTGTTTCGAGCACCAACGTACTTGCCCCCCCCCCAAACAAATCTGTTCTTCCGCCTCTCCCTTCCATCTCCATCTCCATCTCCATCTCTTCATAGGGCCTCATTTGCCGCCATGCCCACTCCACAAGGGACTTGAGGTTCTTCATTCTTCTGATGTCCACAAGCGCGCTGTGGTCACAGGGCACGTTAACTACGTGAGCGCGGCCCAGCCCGACGGAGAGGAGGGTCCGATGGTCGTCTCCATTGAATGCACGCCGCCGGCTGAAGCCACAGATGACGATGAACTACTACAAGTCCTCATCCACTCCAAGAAGGTCGGCACTTCTCTTTCGCAGCTCTTGGCGTGAGCGGCTGATGGTGACTCACGAGCGGGGCAGGGCTGGGAGCGGGACACGGTGTCGCGGGCCAGCGCCGAGGAGTGCGGCGGCGAACTGGAGGCCCTACGGCAGAAGCGACCCCACCTCGAGTCCGTGAGCTTCACACCACGCATCGACGACGGCCTGAAGGAGCGGTTGGTTCGCTACGAGCAGCTCATGATCTCGCTGTGCCACAAGTTTGGCGTATTGTACAGTACGGGCGGCCAAACCGAGGAACTGCAGATTTACAACAACGGTACGTCCTCTTCCATCAATCGGCTGCGAGCGGCTTGCTTCTTCTTCTTCTTCTTCTTCTGGCTCTAACGCCGCATGACCGTACAGAGCACGCCAGCCCAGCATTTGAGGACTTCTTGGAATTCCTCGGCAGCAAAGTGGAGCTGCAGGGGTTCACCGGCTACAGCGGCGGTCTCGACACCAAGAGTACGCGGCAGCGAGTCTCGACCTTACTGTTTGAGCCCACCTGCAGCTGCGACTCATCGACTTTTTGGCTTGTGCTCCTTCGTTGCTGCAGTCAACACGACGGGCACCCACTCCATCTACACGCGGTTCGGTGAGGCGGAGGAACGTGAGATCATGTTCCACCCGCTCACCTATCTGCCCTACTCCGCCGCCGACCCGCAACAGGTCGCGATCACTCTCCGCGCGCGCGCGCGCACACACACACACACACACACACGCCTGGCTATTTAGCCATTTCTTTTGTTATCATTTTTATTTTTTCAATTAATCAATTTATTGTTCATGTTTCGGGCTTCAGATCGAGCGTAAGCGGCACATCGGCAATGACGTCGTGGTGGTGGTCTTCTGCGAGGCCAACAACGGAGCCCCGTTCTCGTCCTCCTCCATCCAGTCGCAGCTCAACCGTACCGAGCCCTCCCCCCAGCTATCTCCCACTTGCGTGCGCCAAGTATCAGCCGAGTCTCACCCCTGATGGTCGCGCAGACGTGTTCGTGATCGTCTCGCCCGAGAACGTCGATGGAGAGACCTGCTACAGAGTCGCCATTTCGCGAAAGTGCGGCCCTGCCACCCTCCTCCTCAGTGACGCAGTTTTGTGGTTGCCGCTGATGGTTGAACCCTGGTCCCCTTCGTGCAGGGAGGGGATTCCTCCGTTCGGTCCGGCCTTGCCGCAATCGGCCGTCATCAAGCAGAACGAAGAGGGCAGGCAATGGCTGCTCACCAAGCGTATGTGCCTTGCGCCTTTGCTCTCAACGCGCCAACGGCGTTGCCCGTGTGTGTGTGTGTGTGTGTGTGTGTGTGTGTGTGTGTGTGTGTGTGTGTGTGTGTGTGTGTGTGTGTGTGTGTGTGTGTGTGTGTGTGTGTCACCGAGCCACTGTGTTGATCGAATGCGCGTGCGCACACAGTGATCAATGCGGAGCGGGCCGCGTTCCGTTCGCCCAACTTCCAGCACAAGTTCGAGAACGTGCGCAAGTTCCAGTTGCAGTACATCCTCCAGGGGGCCAAGCTGCCCGACGAATGGGAGCACACCCTGCTCCTCCTCCAGCAACTCACCAAGTGTACGCAAAGCCTCGCTGCGCAGTGTGCCGTGCGTGCCGTGCCCGGTGTGTGCGTTGGTCTCACGTTCTTGGAGCAGTCACACGCCAACAGCTGGAGCATATGCAAGGCCAACTCGAGACGGCCCTCAACGGCCGCAGCGATGATGGCGACGACACAACGGCGAGGCGACAGCGGCTGACGGCAGCCGAATTCCAGCAGATCTTCACGCACCTGTGCCCGAGCTGGAAGGGCCGCGAGAACGAGCCGGCCGTGCGGCGACTCTTCGACGACGCCAAGCTCAACGGCGCCCGCGACCGAGGGCTCCACTTTGTCGACTTTGCGCGCCTGCTCGACGCACTGGCGTTCGGCAGCGTCGACCGCCGGCTGGGCCTCCTCCGTCGCGCCCTGCTCGCAGCCGCCGCGCATGGCGAACCCGGCGAACGGGAGGGCGGCGGCCTGCTCGAGGCCATCGTGCCTGTCGACCTCCTCAACGACGCCCCTCGCCTCTCCTTCTCCGGTACACTTCGTCGTCATCTTCTTCTTCTTCTTCTTTCTTCTTTTTTCATGTTGTGTCAACGACTTTATCATTATTTTTGTTCCTCTTATTCATCGCGATTGTCACCGTCGCGCCGTGCAGAGTTCAAGGCGAGAGCTGAGTCTGACGCTGGTACCGTGCTCCACCGTTTCTTCTCTTCTCGACTTTTGCGTCCACGTGGGCCTCACACTGCGCTCCTTCTGCTCCTGCTTGAGCAGCGTTGGTGGACCTGTTCACCGTGGAGGTGCCGGACGAAGGCAGAGGCCAGCTGTCCATCGTACCCAACGGCTTCCAGGGCCGCCGCCCCTCCTGGTGGACCGAGGTCGTACGCGCTGCCGCCGCAGCCGCCACCGGTGAGCACCACGTGTCGGGCGAGGACGCGCAGCCCGGCGACTGGTGCGTGCTCTTCTGATATGGAGAGCTCTCCGCAGGTGATGCTCGTCTGCCCCTTCCAGGTCTGTAGTATATATCTTTTTCATATTATTGTTAAATACATATATATTTGTTTTTGTTTATTTTAGATAAGAATGCAAATAAATTAATGTTAAATAAGAGCTTTTATTTCTCTTTCCGCAGCTGGTGGTAGCTCTTGGGTGGCATGATGACTGCGATCGAGTTGATGTACCCGTGCAGCAGCGTGCTTCGCTCGTCATCGTCGATGTTGTTTTTGCTTTCCTCGTTCTCGTGCTCCTGTCGCGTGTTGGTGGTGAAGAACTCGCCCTTGCAGAACATGCCGCCGAAGGTTACCCGCGACCCGAAGCGTTCGGCGATCACACTGGCGTCGGTTGCGCTGCTGCCTCCTCTTCCTCTTCCTCTTCCTCTTCCTCCTCCACCTTCTTCTTCTTGAGCATCATCCTCCGTTCCTCCGAGTCTTCTTCGTCGTCGAAGAACTCCTCCAGCTGCTGTCTGCTGCTCGCGCTCTCTTCGGGCTGCTGTGGCTTCTTCTTCGCCTTTTGGCTGTAGCTCACGATGTCATCGTCGTCTTCGTTCTTCCTCTCTGTCTTCTGCTGCTGCTGTGTTGGCGTGGTTGTGGTGGTCGTCTCCTCGAGCTGCTCCACCCAGTCGTCGTCGTCGTCGTGTCGGCCCTCCACCGCGGTGGTCGGCGCAGCTGCAAAGTTGCCGCTTGCGGCCGTGGCGGCGGGGCGGTCGACGGACGGGGCCAGCTCGCCCTCGATGAAGCTCTGCACCTCGGAGGTGTCGGCGTTGGCGTGCATGTCGGCCACGAGCTGATCGGCCACCGAGTCGAGCGGCGTGCGGCCGGCCAGCGGGAACACCCCCTCATGCGCCAGCTCTGCCAACACACACACACAGTGAGTGACTCACTGAAGATCAGCAGCGCATTGAATGCGTCTTCTTCAAAACGGTAGAGGTACCGATCTGGGCGGCAGCGTCCTTGGCGTAGAGGCTTCGGCCGATGCTCGAGAATCCCAGCATGCCCACCTCGCTCGTCCCTGCGCCTGCGCCCCCAGACGACACGCACAAGCAATCACGATTAGCGCAGGAAACGCGCACGAAACGAGCACAGTGGCGGGAGGCAGGCAGTGTACGTTCGAGGGTCAGCGGACAGAAGGGCGCGGGAGGCGCTGGAGACGCCGCGACGGCGGCCGGGACCGGCGGCAGATCCAAGCGGGCGAGCTGCGCGCGAAGGTCGGCCAGTCCCTTATTGCGGTCCTTGAGGCAAAATTGGATGTGCTTGCCCTGCGGCACGTTCTCGTACAGGGTCAGATACCCACCTGTTCGACCAACGCCACACCCACATCGAGCTGCTCACTTAGCACAACCTCGTGGTGCGGTGTGTGCGGTGTGTGCGTGTGCGGTGTGTGCGTGCGCTTTGATGAAAGAGACGGACCTTCATTAGACTCGGAGTCGACCTCCATCTCCTTGACGTTCCGCGCAACAAAGACGGAGGGAGGCCTGGGCTTGGTCTCGCTGGAGGAGGGCACGCGCGGGTCGACACCCACCAAAAACTGTCCGCTCAAGAACCGTGACTTGTCTAGACAAGGGGAACACAGACACACACGACACACACCGCACGACACACAGAGACACACGACAAATGTTGGTCGTCAGGACTGTGAGGTACGGCTACGGGCGATAAGGTAAGGACTCACCTCTGGACGAGAGATCGCTGGCGAGCTCCTGTACGACGTCGTGTACGGTGCGCCCGCTGATCGCATGGATGACGGACGATAGGTCCTCCACTTCGTCGTCGTCGTCACTCTCGTCGTCGTCGTCATCGTCGTCATCGGCTGTCGTCATCGCCCACAGCGAACCAAGCGAGATGTCAGCGGTGCAGAATAGACAGAGAAATAAAGATCGCAGAGGAGAAGACGTACACGCGTACGCGAACGATGGCTTTGTGTCATCGCGTTCGCCATCGTCATCTCCCCCTTCTGATCGATCAGGAGGTTAATGGTTAGCCCCCATTCCATTCATTCCATTCGAGGAAAGCGCGCGCATTGTACCACCTGCGCCCTCTGCTCCGACGGAAGTCAGGAATGTCTCGAATTCCTTCTCGCTGTAGGGCGTCACCTCCGACACCGTGTACGACCTGCCGTGGCGCAGAGCGAGAGAGAGAGAGAGAGAGAGGGTTCGTGTCAACTCAGTCCATACAAATCAGGCCTGGCCAGCCGCGGTGGGGGCTGCGATCATGGACAACCTGCCGATGGGTCGGAATGACTCGGCCTTGATCTGGTCGAGGCGGAACTTGCCGTGGACGAGAAGTCCGGCAGCGCCATCAGGGTAGGCCTTGTCGTTCACGAACAGCCGCACGTTCCTCGATGAGGCGAGCCTGTAAGTGCACAAACGTCGGAGCCCAACATTAACCGACGAGAACCGGCTACGCCCGCAAGTACACAGGACACGACACGACACGACACGACACGACACTGTGACATGCGTGGCAGGTGATGATGCGCACCCTCCAAACTTGGGGCAGGAGGGGAAGGCAAAGTCGAGTCGCTGGAGCAACTCGTCCTCGCGGAAGTCGAAGCCATCGGTGATCACGAACAGCGCCGATGAAATCTCGTCGTCTTCGGCGGCGCCTCCGTTCTTCCGCTTGGGCAAAGTGTGTGTGGCCCAGTCAAAGTCTTCTCACAGACCCGCGGGCACAGCACAAGGTGTGAGTGGACGAGCAGAGGAGATCAAGCCACACACGATACACACACACACACGACACACGACACACGACACACAGAGAGAGACTGTAAGTACCGGGAGGAAACGATGGCAGCGAGGGTGTGCGGACATGAAACGGGTAGATCTCGACATCGGGCATTGTAGCCGCCACTATGCTCAACGCCTTTGTGTGAGACGGCACCAAACGAATACCAGGCGTGAGCAAGTCGACAAAGATGAGCTGATCTTGCTGCAGGCTGGACTGGTTTACCTGCTTGTTGGCGACCTCCTGGCCCTGGGGCATGGCACCTCCGGCTCCAAACACGCCGAACGAAGAGCTGTGGCGTCCAGATGTGAGTGAGCGAGCGAGCGACTTGTCACCGCGCTACGGACGCGTTCACTCAGGCATAAAACGAACCTGCCAAAGAGTGCGCGCGGCTTGAGTGCGTTCTTGACCAGGGCAGGAATGCGGCGCAGCTTGTCGTCGCTTTGGTGCGACGAAAACACGAAGCACACGTCGGGCTGCACTCACGCCGGAGAGATGGAAGAGAACGCATTGATATACTGCTGGGTACTTATTATTATATTTATTATTTATTATTTATTATTTATATTGATTAAAATTGTGATCGGAAGAGTACCTTGACGTCGCCGAACTTTGGCCTGATGTTCTGTACGCACTCGTCCACAGCTGCCTTGATGTCCCTCTTGGTGGACACCCACCCGGTGAATTTCCATTCCTTCAACGCCGCGGCGGCAGATTGATCCTCATCCTTGTTTGTTTTCGCTGCAGGTCCCTTAGCCTTGACGATCTTAGGCACTTGCTTGGTGGCGCGTTGGCGCGCATAGCCGGCAGCTCGCCCGGTGGGCATAATGCGCGGCAGCATTACAGCAACGGAAGATGCCGTCGCGATGAGCGGCACCGGCAGAATGCTCCACCGATCGGGACAGCGGAGCGACTGGCGAGTGGGGAGGTGGCACATATGGAGCGACGCTCGGCCGCCCACACAAGGGGCCATCCATCGCCTCATCTCTGCGCACCGTCTTCCGCTACTCTTTATTTTCTTTCATTTTCTCTTTTTGCACTCATTTCCTTTTCGTTTAAGGTGGCGGCAGTACAGTTCCGGCCACCTCCGTCCTTTTTAGGGTCCTCCCACACACGTCCTTGGAATCCTTCGGCCAAAGTTGGGTGACTCGGCACACGGCAGGCATAGGCTCCAGTTCCTGCCCCAGCCCAGCGCCCCTTACGCCCGTGGTCGCCACCAGGGGAAACTCGGCTCCCTTGATGCCTGCCCTCTATTTGTGCAATGGCCTGTATCCCCACCTCAGGACCTTTAGCGCGCTCAAGAAGCCACGGTGTGATTGGCCGGTGACGGCCACAAAAAGACAAGGCTCTCCCTCGACCATCACTTCATCACCAACGACCTTACTATCCAAACCAACCTCAAGACACGACGACAAGAAGAAGTGCGACGATGTCTCCGGCAAGCAAGTTGTTCTTCGTGGTGGCCTTGGGCCTCGCTCTCGCAGCCACGGCGGCCATGGCCGACGGCAAGATGAGGAACGACGGAGGACCGTGCAAGGGCGGCTACTGGCCCGACGGCAAGGGCTGCTGTCCGGAGCTCATCAACGGGAAGGCCTACTACCGCGACGGCAACAAGTGCTACCCCAAGGACGTCGGCTGCGGCGTCTACTACGCTGACGGCAATGGGTACCGCCCCACCGCTCACACCACACACACACACAGCATCCACAACCTACCTTACGGGCTGATTATGACACCTGGTCAACACACAAATAGGTTCTATCCGGACGAGAAGGGCAACTACCTGAAGGCCGGCGAGTCGTGCTCGTGGGAGCGCAAGTGCCACGAGCGCTGCATCCGCCCTGACGACCACAAGACCACCACGACCACGGAGGAGTGCCCCAAGGAGACCACCACCTCCAAGAAGCACACCACGACCACGGAGGAGTGCCCCAAGGAGACCACCACCACCAAGAGGCACACCACCACGACCGAGGAGTGCCCCAAGGAGACCACCTCCACCCGCAAGCACTACACCACGTCGACGACCGAGGAGTGCCCCAAGGAGACCACCACGACCAAGAGGCACACCACGACCGAGGAGTGCCCCAAGGAGACCACCACGACCAAGAAGCACACCACGACCACGACTGAGGAGTGCCCCAAGGAGACCACCACCACCAAGAGGGAGACCACCACGACCAAGAAGCGCACCACCACGACGACCGAGGAGTGCCCCAAGGAGACCACCACCTCCAAGAAGCACACCACCACCACGACGGAGGAGTGCCGCAAGACCACGACCGACAAGCCGTGCGAGGACGACAAGAACAAGAAGAAGTGCCCCGGCGGCCAGTGGAAGGACGGCCACGGGTGCTGCCCGCGCAAGGTCGGCCACGAGTGGCGCTACCGCGACGCCCAGGGCTGCTACCCGATCGAGCTCGACTGCGGCGTGTTCTACGCCGACGCGCAGGGCTGTTATCCGGACGAGCACGGCAAGTACCTCAAGGCCGGCGAGTGCTGCCCCGACCACCGCAAGTGCTGTCCCGAGTGCGATGGCGCCTACTAGTCGTCTGCTGATGGTGGACCGCAAGCGCGCCCCCGCGGGCCAACAGCCCCCTCTCTATCACTTCTCTGTAGTTCTTTTTAGACATCGTAACTCAATACTTTACACACAATCACTGCATTGCCATCAGCCTGCTGGGTACTGGAGAAATAGAGAGGGGGGGAGATACCTCGATTGAGAGCCCAATGGGAGTGAGCTGATGAAGCCACGCGGGGGTCAGTTTTTGCCAGCAAGGGCTGATGAGGGCGAACAGGACTGGAGTTGTAAGGAAATAACTTCTCTCTGGCGTCAGGAAAGCGATTAGGCCTCATTGAGGCGCTGCAGGAGGAAGTTGACAAAGAGTTCGGGGAAGTTGGGCGTCCCAGAGTAGCCTGGTGCACGCACGCGAACATGACGCATGCGCGTTAGGGCCATCAACGTTTGAAGGCGTGGATGGCATGGGAGCGGGCCGTACCCGGGAAGTAGTTGACGTCGATGACGGCGTGCTGCCCCGTCTTGGTGTTGGTGACCATGTCGAATCCCAGCAGGGACAGGCCCAGGGTGGCGCTCAGGGCTCCCGCGACGTGCTTCACCGTGTCCAGCGGCGGGTCGGCCAAGCGTGCACGGTCCTGCTCTCACCAGCAACGCGCAAGGCCCAAACGCGTGTGTGTGATGAGCAAAAAAAGATTAGACACAACACTGAATCAGGGAGTAAGAAAGAGGAGAATTCGAAGAGTGAACCTGCACGTCGAAGCTCTTGTCGAAGAGGGTGCTGGGCAGGGGCTCCTGGCTGTTGAACGTGATGCAGGTCGTTTCTTGGGGGGGGGGAACCGTGTCACTTCGGGTGAACACAACAACATACGAATAGAGAGGAAGATGAAGGGGGGGTCTGGCTCGTACCATCGTCGCCCATGTTGCGGAGCGAGGGACGACGCACGATGTAGACCTCGTCGCGCACGGCAAAGATCTTGAAGACGACGGCGTCGTGGTTGTAGTATTCCTGGGCGGATCACGACCACGCCACACACTGCGCGGTGAGTAGATGACCGACTCGACGGTGATGACAGCGACGCTTTAGCCATGATTGGGCGGCCCGCTGGGACTCAAAGGTACCTGGACGAGAAGCGGCAGTTCGAAGGCGTGGAGGTCCTTCTCCTGAAACACGATGCCCATCTCATGCGAGGCCGCACTGCCGCACGCCTGGATGGTCTTCACGACTGGACCATGCCCAGCAGAGCAGGCAAGAGCGTTAGGACCCGCGAATGGAGGGCATGACGTGTGATGGGCGGGCGGGCGGGCGGGATGGACAGGGAACGTACTGGCAGGGAAATGGACCTCTTCGGCAGCCAACGCAGCAGAGTAGTCATCCGCCTTCTGCGCCAGAATGGCGTACCGCGGCGATCGAATCTGAGCTTGCAGTGCCTGCCGCGTACAACGCCACACCCACAACGCACACGACACGCACGGAACACACGACACGCACGACGCGCACACACGGTGTGTGCGGTTTAAAAGCATCGCACGAGCGATTGATGAGCTACGGAGGACCGGGCAGAGAGGAAGCAGGCTGAGAATGGAAAAAACCTGAGGCAGCTGGCGCTCGACGTCGACGAGGAGGCTCGAAATGCCCTGTCGGTCGATGATGGCCCGCTGCTTGCTGATCGGCTCCGCGTCGATCAGCTTGCCCTGCTGCGACGCCAGATAGGCCTACGAGCACGACAACAAAGAAGAACAAGGAAAAGTGAAACGCAGAACCCACGCGTGCGCCAGGTGGTGAGTCGGGCTGACGTTGTGTGTGCGTGTTGTGCGTGTGCGTGTGTTGTATGTGTGTGTGTGTGTGTGTGGTGTGGTGTGGTGGTGTGGCGCGTTAGTAGAGTCTAGTGGAGTACCTCCAGGTTGGCGATCTTGCGTTGCTGCTTCTCGTCGTCACCACGCACCAGCTCGTCGGTCACCTACGAAGGAAGGAGGAAGGCGAGGTAAGGCCACCACGCCACGTCACGCTCGGTGATGATGATGGCATGTAGTACACACGGGTCGTCTTTACGAAGACAAGGAGGAGAGGAATGCGCACCTTGTAGAGGAGCATGTCGAAGGGTCCCTGCTCCGCGATGTCCCGCTCCAGGTCGACGGCCACCAACTCGCAGCCCTTGGCCCTGTGCGTGGCCCCGAAATTGAAAAAAAGAAAAAGAAAAGAAAAACTCTCGATCAATCCAACACATTATCTGGTAAAATGGGAAGGGCAAGGGAGAATATGAATACAGGGCGATGGCAGTAATCTCGGCCCATGGGAGACGAGCGAGCTTGCTCTGGGACATGTAGTAGCCGATGCGGCGCGGCTTGTTGCTCTCCATCTCTCCTTCAGCAAAATGGCTCTTTCCCTTTTTTCCTTGCATTTTCTTTTCATTTCACACCTGGCCGGAGGAAGAAGACGACGCAGGTTGGGTATGAACGGTATTCACATGTTGGGGGTTAAGGGTGTAAACTGAATATATACATTATGGAGGTGGTTGGGTGATGACAGAGACATGGAGATAGAGATAGGGAGGTGGTGGTCGGTGCAGCTGCACACATCCACTCTGTGGATGGCGGCCGTTGAGGTTCAGAAGAGCGCTTCTTCTGGGCAATCCTTCTTGTGGCGAAGCAGAGAGAAGTCGAAGAGGAAAGCGAGAGAGCGGAGAGGCTGCGAAGATGAGGGGAGAGAAGGTATGTACGAGAGTCGACGTCGGCGTGCAACGAGCGAGCGAGAGAGAGAGATGAATGAAGCTTGGTGGAAGAGGAGTGGTGAGGTCGGGCAGAGGAAGTATTCCTCTTTACTCAGGTGGTAGTGGCGGCGGAGAGTCGCGATGATTAGAAGACGAGACGCCTGGTGAAGACCTGGACGTGCTCCTGGTCGAGGACGAGGTTGTAGTCGACGGCGTAGAGGAAGTTGAGTTCGTTGAAGGTGAGCACGTTGGTGGGGATGTCAAAGATCTTCGAGAAGGTGGTGTTGGCGATCACCGGGTCGTGCCAGAACTTGATCGAGAGCACCACGGCCGTGAGGAACAGGTCGAACACGTACTGGTACGAGATCGAGCCCAACACCTTGAAGTAACGCTCGACATAGATGAGGGCTGCAGAACGAAGAGAAGAGCACGTTAGCAACCTCATCCCGATCACTAAACACACTCTATAAGAGCGAAAGCGCAGAAGAACGAAAGCGACAAAGAACGAAGAAGAACGAAGAACGAAGAAGAACGAAGAGCTTGCGAGAGCCGTACCAGGAAGGAGCAGGTAGTCCATGCGCCACTCCTTGAGGAAGTTGGAGAAGACCTCGAGCGTCTGCTGGATCTGCTTCTCGACCTTCTTGGCGTCGAAGGTCTGGCCCTCGGTCGTCTTCTGGAACCACTTGACCGCCAGCTTGGCGTAGGCGTGGAGCACCTCCTGCTTGGCCTGGGCCTCGTTGCCGAACCGCTCCTGCGCCAGGGTCATGATCGCGTCCTGCTTCTTCTGCAGCAGCCGGCGCGCCGCCTTGCTCTCGTCGCGCAGGGCTCTCTCGTCGGTCGTGGGCTGGACCTCCTTCTCCTTGTTGCTGCTGCTGCTGTTGTTGTTCTCCTGCACTCGCGATCGGTGGCGCAGCTTGCTCACGCCGCCGGCGGTCGAAGATGAAGAAGACGAGACTCGGCTGACCACGGGCTCGACAGGGCCGCAACCGAGGGCCGACGAGTTCCAGGCCTGGGTGTTGGACACGACTTGAACTTGGCTCATCTTGTTGGTTTGTAATCTGAAGAAAAACGTAGTGGGTGGAAAGAGAGATGGAAGCTTCTTCTTCTTATGGAGGGAAGAAAGAAAGTAGAAAAACGCCGTAAGGGACTGGAAGAAGACAAAGAAGAAGCAAGAAGAAGTGGAAAAAAAGATGGAGCTCGTACTCTCTTTTTTTTTTTTGATTCGTTGTGTTTCTGGGGTTGAAGGTGGTGAGGTGTGGTGTTCTGGTTCTTCTTCGCTGGGCGATGAGGAGGAGGATGTTGGGAAGACAAGAAGGAATAAATAGGGGAGGCCACCTGATCGCTTAGGCTGCGGGATGGGGAGTGACTGGCGTGCTGGTCTCGCCCGCTTAGCCGACCCTGCGACCGCAACGTTTCGCCTGCGGCTTGCGGTTGGTCTGAGCGGCTACTTGCCGTGTTTTCTTCCGAAACCAGCCGTTGCTGAGTCGGCCGCCGGTCGCACTGATAGGCCACGATTAAATTTCCGTTAAATCGCATCCAATGCGCGCTGAGATGGCTGTCGACACGCCAAAATTCCTGATAAAATCCGGGTTTGGTAGTGGAAGAGGTGGAGAAGGCGGCGAAGCTGGCGAAGAGCACGGGGGTTGGTCGAATTTGAAGGGCCGAGAGATAGTTTGGGTGTTGGCCCGTCGGCTTGAATCTCGAGTGTGTGGTAGACCATGAACTGAGCACAACCTGGGAATTTCTGCGCTTGTTTCAAGGTCGATAGATGAAAGCCAACCATCTGGTGGCACTCTACACGCTGATGACCTACCCCAATGAGGCCTATCATGATTGGTGTGGCCCCTGATCTCGGCGGTATTGAGACGAGCCCACCAAGATGGGTGAGCCACCAAGCTTGGCAGGAAATCTTCGCGAACGGACCGACGGGTGCTGAAAGTGCTGATGGTTCGAGAGTGGCCTCTGACACATCCATAGGGCTCTGCAGACGGAGGTGAGCTGCCCCCCGTCACTCCACATGGTGTGTGTGTTGTTGTGGGAAGAAGGTGCATTTGGTGGTGGTGAGATAGGCGCACATGGGCGTGGCCTGCACTCAAACCGAGGCCGGGAGAGACGATTCGTGGTAGTTAATCACCACTGGCGCCTGGCCATGGCGGGCCTGCGCTGAGGCGCTACCTCGGGCAGGGCACCCGACTGGAGGAAGTTGGAGAATACGTGGTAGGCCAGGGCAGGCTGGTACATCGGCGCCTAGGTGGTTGGTTGAGCGAGCGATCAATCGATTGATCTCCCTCGTGGGGAGCCCCTAGGCTTGCATGGCAACGTACCTCGTGTCCGGCGCCCCTGATGGTGACGAAGGTGTACCTGTCGAACACCTCGCTGTAGCCCGCCACCGCCTGCACGCCGGGAGCATACCACGGCCTTTTCAACCGTGTGGAGTGGTGCGGTGGTGGGGCGATCAGCTCAACTGAAGTGCAGTAGTGAACATACGCTGCGAGGAGAAGGCCCGATAGGGGGCAACGTACTTCCACCGCTTGACGATGGGGCGGTGCAGGCCATTGAGACAGTACTGAGTGTAGGCGAAGGGCACGGTGGCAATGTCGACATCTGAAGGTCGGGATTGGGGGAGGGAGTGAGATAGGGCGGTGGTGTGGTGCGCTGCTGACGGGACCAGGCGGGTCAGGGTGCATACCTCCGGAGTAGTAGAGGATCTTGAGGTCGGGCCTCTTCACGAAGAACTCCTGCAGGTAGACGAGCATGTTCTGCTTCTGCATGGTGTAGTTGAGCGCGCGGCTACACTCGGTCCACTTGGTGCCCACACGGGCGTGGATCGCCTGCTGAACATCAGCGCGCTGGTGGCCCAAAGAGGGGGGAGGGAACATTAGCGTGACTTCCCGAAGGCGGGCGCAGCAAGCAGATCAACATACGTTGAGCCAGCGGTTCGCCACCGTCTCAAAGCGCAGGCAGTTCGGGGTCTGCTCAAAGATATCGAGCGAGCTGGAAATGTACGCTTGTGAGTCTGGAATTCAGTGAACAGCTTAACTAACTACCCATGTGTGGTGTACCTGTTGCCAGTGCAGTAGTTGCTGTAGAGGTCGTCGCCGTCGATGTTGCCGGTGGCCAGCACGATCTGCGCGAAGAGCATGTGGCACTTGGCGGGGTACTCCTCCTTGACCTCGTCGCAGCCGGTGGCGTGCCACGTGAGGTAGTCCGAAATACTCACCGTTCCGTGCCAGTAGCTAGTTACGGGCCATTTCGACCGAAGTGAAATGAGCAACGGTCGAGGTCGAGGGAGGGAGGAGGCTTGGGGTGCGTACTAGAGCTCGACCTGCAGAGGGAGGTTGTTGACGATGATGCCGTAGTTGGGGCAGTCGATGACCGGGTTGCCCAGCATCAGGCCCTTCAGCTGCGCCTTGAGCCCCGCGTCGGGCCTGCACAAGACGGGCAACACACCATCGGAGTTAAAACCTCGGTTTGGAGACGACCAACTACGGGAGCTGCGACAGGTACCCGTTGATGACCTGGTCCGCGAGCATGGGCACGTAGACGCCGCCGTAGCTCTCGCCGGTGATCCACAGGTCGTGGAAGCGGTAGTGGGGGAACACGTTGAGCCAGTTGCGCAGGAACGCGTAGTTGTCCACCGCTGTGCGCGCACATTGTCACTTGCGAAGTGAGGCTGATGGCCATAGAAGAAGACCAACGTGCAATGCGGACGAAAGTGAGGGGTTGTCACGAACCGGTCTTGTTGTCGTTGGTGATGTAGTCGCTGGGCGTGTCGGAATAGGAGAAGCCCACGCCGGCAGGGGCCTCGATGAACAGCATGTTCGCCACTCGGTTGAGGCTCCACTTGTTCTCCTCGACGCCGCCCTGCGGGTTGCCGTTGGGACGCAACGGCCCGTGCTCTTGGGTCGCGCCGATGAGCGACGAACAGCCCGGACCACCGTTCAGCCACACCACCAACTGTCCACCCACAACCAGAAAGCCGAGAGCGAGTCTTGGTTTGAGTCCGCTCACCAAAACGCGTCCGCCCTCCCCCCCGGCCTGTGCACGAAAGCGAAAGCGGCAAAAGAGCGAAGGGAAATGGGGGAGGGTACGGGGTCGGAGGCGGGGTTGCGCTGGCTCTCGGCAAACCAGAAGAAGAGCTTGCGTCCATGATCCTCATCTACGGTGATGTAGCCAGCGTAGTTGCGGAAGGGAAGATCTCGCCCCTCCTAATAATAATCTCGCAAATTAGGGAGACTGTGCAATCAATGCGTCAAGCTCGAGATGATGAGAGCCCGAGATTTGGGACATGGCAGTACATAGCCGGGGATGGAGGTAACGAGGTAGTCCGCCGGCGAGGAGCCGGAAGCCGCAGAGGCGGCACACAAAACGCACAGTAGCGCAGCCACGCCCAGCAGCAGTGAGCAGCGAGCCATCTTGTAATGTCTCTGTTGGTACTCCTCACGCCGATAGCACGAGCGCAAGTTGCGGGAACAACGAATGATGACATTGTTAACTCACTTTCGCGGCAGGCCAATCCGGCCACGCGTCCGCACGGCACGCAACACGAGGGTTGTTGGTGTGGGAGGGTGGGGGGGGGATTGTTCAGATGTGTCGGATGGTGTAGTGGTGGGTGTCGTGAAGGTAGGTGGCGACGATGTTCCGGTGGCACTCGCGCACGTCGCCGCAGGCGCAGAGGATGCAGATTCGCTCGTGTGGGGCGGCCTGTACGCGCTGGCGCAGTCGGCGGGTGAGGAGCTCGCCGGCGGTGGTCATGAGCTCGCGGTAGAGACGCAGCCGTATGGCCGCGTCCAGCTCGGGCTCGGAGCCCTCGCTGCGCCACACGTTGCCCAGCTCCATGAAGTGCTCGTAGGCGATGCCCTGCTTGCGCAGCAGCACGCCCATGGCCCGGCCCGTGAAGTCCCTGTTGAAGCCGCAGTGGGGGCTGATCCGGATGTCCAAGAGCCGCGTGATGCCGTTGGCCTTCAGCCGCTCCACGAACGCATCCGTGCTCTTGAGCCCTCCATAGCCGACGGTGTAGATGACCTCCCCTGTTGCGGCTTCGTCAGTACTGTAAAGGTCCTCCTCCACCTTTGTTGGTTCAGGTTGGGCTTCTGCTTCAGCTGGAGAAGCTTTCGCAACAGCGGTGGTTGGTCTGCTGGGGCTTCGAGCCGGGGGTCGATTCGTGGATTTTGTTGTCACGAATTGGTCGATGGTCCCGGTGGTTGCCGCCGGCGTGTAGCGTGGACCTGCTCCCCTGCCTCCACCTCCTCGCCCTCTTCCAGACGCTGTGCCACCTCCTCCCCAACTTCCTTTCTGCATGTTGCTGTGTTTAATCGATTCATCTGGCGGTTCTTTTTCTCCTTCTGCTGTTGATTGCGTCTTTCGCGGAAGAGGAATCGCGAACAAAAGAAGATTGAAAAGAAAAAGGAAAATGGACAAGTGCGTGGGGCTGGTGGGTGTTGCTTTGTTTGATGGTTGATTGGGATGTACAGTGCTTGACAAAGAGAGAGGGGGGGAGAGGGAGAGGGAGAGAGAGGAGCTATACACGTAACGGGACAGAGGAGAGAAGGACAAAATGATAAGAATTACAGAGAGGAAGACGAAGGGAGTGCGATCCGCCGCTTCGTTTCCGTTGATCGGGAGAGGAAGTCTTGGTCATGGCGAAGCTTGGGTCATCGCCATCCCTTTCGCTCGCGCCGGCGCCTGATCGCTCCTCGAGTGGGCAAACGTGCAGAATCTTCCGCGCTAAGCGTGGTCGGTGAGGAGACGAGCGGCGGCGAGGGCGGTCGCGGGGTGGAGAGAGTGAGGAGGCGGATGGATGACGATGCCGCGGCTGGATATCGCGACGACGACGAAGAGACGACGAAAGTGGCGGATAGCCCCAGCGGCTTAGATGTAGTACTGAGTTGTGCCTGAGTCGAGTTCGACGCCGGCGGGTCCGGCGGCCATCGGCTCGTACTGCGCGTAGTGCTGAGAGGACTGGAGGGCGCCTTCGCTGCCGCTGCCACCGCCGCTGCCTTCCTGCGGCTGGCCCAGCTCTTCCATGTGCTGCTGGATGGCCTTGCCACGCTTGGCCTCCTCCTCGAGACACTTCCTCTTATAGCGGATGCGCTTGTTGCCGAACCAGTTGTTCACCTGGTTGAGCGTGAGGCCGCAGTGCGAGGCCAGCATCATCTTCTCTTCGTCGCTCGGGTAGGGGTCGTTCACTGCGAAAGCGGAGGAGATGGTGACGATGAGCGAATGTCTCGATAGACTAAACAAACGACACCAAAGAGAAGGGGATGCGTACGGTGGTTGAAGAACCAGGTGTTGAGCACTTCGGTGGCCTTCTTGTTCAAGCTCCTCCTCTTCTTCTTCACTTGGTTGTAGTGCTTCTGGAGAAGAACGATCGCATTGCACACGCTCTGCGTTGATGAGAATGAGAGACAACAAGGGTCAGTTTCAACCTTCTTACAAAGAAAGACCAAGAAGGAAGGAGGCAGAAGGAAAAGAGGGCTCACCTGTCTGAGCTGAGTGCGAAGGTAGTCGAAGCGCTCCTGGAGGACGGCGAGCTTCATGGACTGCTCCTTGTCGGTGATGGGACGGGTGGCGGCCTGGGCCTTGAGGAGGGACATGACGTGCGAGGCGTACTGGTCAGCCACCAGGTTGAGCTGGCCCAGCTCGACCTCGTAGGCCTCCTGGAGCTTCTTCACCTTGTGGATGAACTCCTCGCCCTTGCTCGTCTTGGGCGTCGAGCTGAGATTGATGCCCTGCGATTTGCAGAAGCCGTCGAGCGACCAGTCGCTCAGGCCGGTGCCGGTGCCGCTGCTCCGCGGGGTGCCAAGAGGCGACGAGGTGGATGGCGAGGCGGGGGAGGGGGGCGAGGCGACGATGGAGGCGAGATGGAGGATGGACTGCTGTTGACGCGCCGCCCATTCGCTCTCGTGAGGGAGATTCTTACCGCCCACCGCACCGGCTACGACGAGCATCATCGGGTGGAGCGGGTTGGTCTCCAGCTTGACCTTGGTCTCCTCCATGTTCGATCCGGCTCCCGAAGATTCGATCATCTCGACGTTGTTGATAATGCCGGCGAGCTCGGTGTCGAGGATGGAGCCGTGGGTCTCCTTGGTCGACGTCGAGGCCTTGCCGCTCAGAGGGAAGAGCTGCTCGATCGAGGCGTCGATGACGGAGGGCGAGAGCGAAGGCGCGATTGTGATGGTGGCCGACATCGGCGGCATGACAGAAGATGAAGAGGTAGTCGAGGAAGAAGAGGGTTGCTGTTGCTGCTGCATCGAAGAGGCGGAGAGAGGGGGCGCGGAGAACGGAAGATGATGGAGGCCAGACGAAGGATGGAGGCCGTAGCGGAGGTCGTCCGGATACATCAAATGGGGCGGCTGCTGCTGTTGAAGATGGTGAAGGCTCGGGATCTGATGTTGCTGCTGCTGAAGATGGAGGGGCAGACCACCTGGAAGCATCCCGCCGCCGGGCAACTGGAAGGAGGCCGGCGACGACGAAGGCGAGGAGGATGGATGCTCGAGGATGCCCGACGATGTGCGGCCGGCCGTGTAGGCCCCCACCGGCGGAAGCGAGGGCATCATCATCTGTTGGTGGTGTTGCTGTTGCTGCTGTCGGAGTTGTTGTTGATGCGCCGCCGAGAGCTGTTGCTGTTGCTGGTGGTGCACGGCGGCCGCCGACTGTTGATGTTGCTGAGTAGGAGGCCGACCACCACCGGCCACGACGTAGCCCGAGCGGTTGGGCAGGGTCATGATGTCGGAGGCGTTGGTCAAGATGCCGATACCCTGCTGTTGATGAAGAGGAGGAGGCGCAGGCGAGTAGTAGTGGTGCTGGTGGTGGCCCACCTCGGCCGCGTAGGCGGGAGTCGTGAAGGAACTAATCTTTGACTGACGGGAGGTGTCGAGAGGTAGCTTATGAGCCGCCGCGTTGCGTTACGGGCTGTGCTTCGGAACGAGGGTGGTGGGTGGTAACTTCAACAGCGCACTCGCATACGACGTGCGGTTGACAGTTGAAATGAAAGACGACGCTGAGCGGGTCGGGGGGTGGGATGATGAGGAGGAAGGGCTGGCAGCTGTGCTCGACGCAAGGCTGCTCTCTACGCTCGTTGAGGTCGAGAAATGACTGAAGACTGCAGATACCTCGGTCCTGCGGTTCGGTTGTGTGGTGGTGGGGCGAAATGGCGCAGAATGACAACTGGCAGCGCATGTCCGCCGCCAACTGTCAAATTAATGAGCCGCGTCAGTCATTGGCATGAAACGTGGCACCATTTCTACGGATTCTCTACCGATTCGCCATAAACCCTGTTTCGAGTCCGGTCGAAGCCGAACCAGCAAATTTAAATCTCGAAATTTCGATGACTGCAAACGCTGGGTGCGGCTGGGATGAGCGCGATCGGCTGCTGGCGAGGAGGTTGTACATGGGGAGGATCACGAAACTAGCATAGATGGTGCGCGTGAGTGACCCTTCTCGCCGAGTGTGAGGTTACTCCTCCAGTTGGTAACCAATGTGATTGAACCTAGAGGCTTTGGGCGTAGGAAGAGACAAGAACGCGTGCGCGTGCAATGAGTTGAGAGGTGAGGTGCATGAACGTTGACACGAACACACCGTCAATCGTTCATTGTGTCGGCGCCTCTCATCGACCACGCCAGTTGCGTCGTCTCATTCTGGACCACGCGCGAGAATTGAGAGGGTGTCAGCACTATCAAGAATTCATGATGGCCACATCATCTTTTCGAGTGGCAGACCGAGAGAGAAGCCCGCGTGTCATAGGCAATTGAGTTGAGCTAACAAGGGCGCCTGCGGTTACCAGCGGCGCCTGTTGTTGATGGCCTGTCGACGCGGCGGCAGGACGTCGGGCACCGCGCCGGACTTGAGAAAGTTGGAGAGCACATGGTACGCCAAGGCCGGCTGGAACATCGGCACCTGGGGGTTGCACTCAGCTCAGTACTAACCAACACAGGGGTTGTGCAGAAGAAGAAGTCAGTACCTCATGTCCGGCGCCCTTGATGGTGACGAACGTGTACGTGTCGAACACCTCCGAGTAACCCGCCACCGCTTGCACGCCAGGTACGTACCACGGCCTTCGCATACAAAACAGAGAGAGAGAGAGACACAGACAGACAGACATAGAGCGAGAGGAGCATGTCAGTGAGCCACCAAGCGACGGCGTAGACGGCCCGGCGGGTCACAAAACGCACTTCCACTTCTTGACGATGGGGCGGTGGAGAGCGTTGAGGCAAAACTGGGTGTACGCAAACGGGACCGTGGCGATGTCCACGTCTGTTGCGCCGCAGAAGCGTCGGTGAGCGACCACTGGGTGGGGAGCGACGTGTATTTAAGTCGACACATCGTACCGCCGGTGAAGTACAGGATCTTGAGCTGCGGCTTCTTCTCGAAGATCTCGCCAAGATAGTCGAGCATGTTGAAGTTCTGCTCGGTGTAGTTCAGTTTGCCGGTGCAGCTCTCCCACTTGGTGCCCACGCGAGCGTGGATCGCCTTCTGCACGTCTTCGCGCTGGACAGTGCGACAGCGAGTGGTCAGTCAGCTGACTGGGGAAGGATTGGGCTGAACAGGTTGGGTGGGAGGCCCGCACGTTGAGCCAGCGACTTGCCACATCGGAGAAGGTGAGGCAATCAGGAGTCGTTTCGAAGATATCAAGAGAGCTGATCAATCGCGTTGTGTGTGTGTGTGTCGTGTGCCGTGTATGTCGTGTGTGTCGCGTGTGTCCACAAACATACACGCGAGTGAGTGTGACGTGCCAGCGGCACGCATGGAGGGAGTGCGGGATCGGGTGCCTGTTTCCGGTGCAGAAGTTGGTGTAGAGATCGTCGCCGTAGATGTGGCCAGTGTCCTTCCTGATCTCCAGGTAGAAGTTGACGCACTTCTCGGGGTAGGGCTCCTTGGGCTGGTCGCACTCCAACGCGCGCCACGTCAGATAGTCCGAGATGCTCACCATGCCGTGCCAGTAGCTGTAGTTATCGTAGAAAAAGCCACTGGTCAGCAAATTGCACTGCGGAGAGAGTGGAGGGCGTAAGATAAGTAGTACAAGAGCTCGACGAGGAGAGGAGGCCGATTGATGTTGATGCCGTAGTCGGGGCAATCGATGACCGGATTGCCCAGCATGATTCCCTTGAGCTGCGACCGCATGACCGCATCGGAGCTAAACAAACAAGGTGGTCAGGCGCCTGGATAATGCCTGGGCAAGAGAACTGTAAGGGTGGGGGGATGGAGGCACCCGTTGAGAATCTGGTGCGTGAGCATGGGCACGTAGACGCCTGCGTAACTCTCGCCACTGATCCACAGGTCATGGGAGCGGTAGTGGGAGAACACGCTGAACCAGTTGCGCAGGAATGCGTAGTTGTCCTCAGCTTTGTGCAGCACCCACCACAACCACAAAGCACCAGTTGGTTGTGTTCATTTCGTGTTTTCGCAGCGACGGACCGGGTTGTCACGAACCTGTCTTGGTGTCGTTGGTGTTGTAGTCGCTGGGCGTGTCCGAGTACGAAAAGCCCACGCCGGCAGGGGCCTCGATGAACAGCATGTTCGCCACCCTGCACACGCGAGGCCAGACGGAACACCCAACACCCAACGCAGTAGTTGTCAGGTGAGAAGGCAGTGGTTGTTGCTTACAAGTGGTGAATGGCAGTGCACGTGTGTTGTCTGACCTGTTAAGACTCCACCCGTTCTCCTCCATGCCGCCCTCGGGGTTGCCGTTGGGATGCAGCGGTCCGTGCTCCCTCGTAACGCCGGTGAGCGATGAACAGCCCGGGCCGCCATTGAACCACACCACCAACTACGGCAGCCAGCCAGAGTGGGCAAAAATGAACGAGTGAGAGAGTGAGGCAGGGCTCGCGGTTCGGGGAGGACGAGTCCCGGGAATCGTACGGGGTCGGCTGCCGGATTGTTCCGGCTCTCGGAGAACCAGAAGAAGAGCTTGCGCCCGCGAGCCTCGTCTACGGTGATGTAGCCTGCATAGTTTCGCGAGTGCAGTTGCCCATCCTGCACAGCCGCGCCACAGTGAGCCTGCGCCACATTTCGGGGGGGACTTGAAAAGAGCGAAAGCGAAGAGCGACGGGGGGGGGTAACCAAGCCGGGCAGGTGGGTGACGAGGAAGTCAGAGGGCAGAGCCGAGTACGTGTGGGCCACTGCAGTGACCGAGTTGGTGCTCAACAGCACCAGCGCGGCAGCCCATACAAGGACAACAACGAGCTGATGCGACATGCGGGGAGCGACGAACAAAATGAAGGTTGTTTTTGTTGGCCCGGTCTCGAACAGCCAAAACAAAACCAATCACCCCAGGGTTCCAGGTGCAGGGAGTGCAAGTGTTGTGCGGGTTGTGGTTTATTAAGGTCTTGAAGGCGAGTGTGGCAGGGTTGGTGGTGAGTTAGGGGATGTTCTTCATCTTCTCCGGCTTGCCCTTGACCATGGCGAGGTAGCCTGCGCAACAACGACGTCAGCATGAGATGGAGGAATGTGTGGCCTCACCTCGCAGAAGTTCTGGGGAGGAGGCGTACCGTGTATGACAGCAACTGCCCCGCCCACCCATGGCATGTACTTGACGTACTGAGGCCGGTAGGCCAGTGCCGCCTGCCGGTCGTGCCGTCAGTCCCGAAAGCCCAACACCAGACGCATAAGAGGATGCAGAAGCGTACCAGGCCGGGCGCGATGATGGCCACGTGGATCCAGTTGACCACTGAGCTGTTGTCGTGGCCGATGATGTTCTTGGGCTGCTTGGTGCGGAGTTCAGTGCTCATTGTGTGAAGAGTGTTGGCCAGCTGTGGATGTGAAACTTGCAGTTGTTGATGAAAGAGGGTGTTGCTCACCGACCCGGGCCAGCCGTCGGTTGTAAAGACTGAGAGGACTGTCGCCTGCCATCAGCTGAAGGCCATTTTCCGCCTCTTCTCTCCTTATTCTCCAGTGCTTCGCCATGAGTGGCAGGTGACGCGCGGGCGGTGCATGATGATGATCAGCCCAGGGTCCTTCCTTCTTCACTTCGTTTTTCGTGTGGGGAGGGAGGTTGCAGTGCAAGCTGATCAGAAACGATCAAGAATTAGAAAAAGAAACGATCGCTTAAGGTGGCTGTACAGCACACTCCGCACGTTGAGCCCAAGCTCGCTATTTTCGCTTCTTGGCGTCGTCGGTGATGGTCTCGACGGAGATGGCCGACGACAGCTTGGCCTTCTTCTTGGACTTGGGCTTGAACTTGGTCTTCTCCTTCTCGGCCTCTTGTTCTTCGATGCGCGAGCCTCGGATGACGATCAACACCATCTCCACCAGCATGATCGCAACTCCCAGCAACGTTCCTCCGATCACGCCCGGCACCTGCATCACACGCATACACGCTCACAAGCGTCAGCTTGATTAAGGGGAGCACGGGCTTCTCTGGCTAAAGAGCAGTGCATACGGTGCCCCAGCGGCTGAAGACGAAGTAGCCCGCAATGAAGCCCACAACGATCATCACAATCATGTCAATGCCGAGCGATGCCTGCAGTGGAGTTGGACGAGAGTGCCATTGACGTTACAGGTCAGCCCTTGGGTCAGCAACACGTGAAGATGAGAGGCGAGAGAGGGCCTCACCTGATGCATGGCTTCACGGAACTCGTTCTTTCGCTTGCCCTGCGTCATGTCCTTCGTCGCCACAACATTCTTCACCATGCTGTAAGAGAAACCCATGAGCTCAGGAGCGAAAGAGAACGAGACTGTACAACCACGCAGTGGGGCGGATGCAAGAAGACAAGTAAATGAAGAGGAGGAAGACGTGCTTGGCATATCGTTTGTTGTCGAGCTCAATCTGCAATCTGTTGAACAGCGCCTCCTGCTCTGGCGTCTGCACACCAACAGGCACAAATAAATAAAAATAAATAAAATAAATAAAGGAAGAAAGGATGGTCGGTGTGGCACCTTCTTGGGTGGCGGTGGAGGGCGAGCCACGACTGGTTGGCTGCCCTGCAGCAGTTCGTGAAGATGCGCATACTCGACCACGGCAGCCCTCGATTTCTGATCGGACCCGTCATTACTGCTCGCCTTGATTTGGAGGAGCACCCGGGAGAGCTGGCGCAAGAGCCCGAGAGGCACCTCGTTAGCACTTTTGTCCTTGTGCAGCTTGTGTAGGGCCTCCCTTGTCTCCTTCGTTGCGGATAAAACGGCCTTTTTATCCATCTGGGCTGTCGCCAGTGCCAGGGCCTTGCGGATGCGCGGCGTAACCACGAATCGCAGCTGATCCGATGGCGCCGTCGTTGTGGTCTCTGAGCTCATCTCTCCTGTCCGTTCAATCACTTCCTTTTGATTTGAGTAAAATCTCTTCCTGTCCAATCTCCAACACCTTTTCTATTTTATTTTTATTTTTATTTTTATTAATTCATTTTGGCGCCCACTCACTCTGGCTTCGGCCCAACGTCTTCAGTGGCTGTTGGCTTCTTCCTCCGCCTGGTCTTCTTCTTGGTCGTTGTCGTCTCCTTCTTTGTCGTCTTCGTCTTCGTCTTCGAGCGTGATTTGGTCCTCTCCTTCCGCGCCGGCAGGGTCACGATCTGGCTGTCCTTGCCGACCAGGCTTACGTGTCGTGATTTTCGAACGTGCGTCGCTCTTTGCTCTGTGTTTGGCGTGTGCGTGTGGCGGTGGCGTTGCACATGTAAGGATTGATTTTTTCATCAATAGCTAGAGGACGTCACTGTACGCACCTATTACGTCTGTATTGACCTTCAGCCTGTCCTTCTTGCCGTAGATGCCGTACCTACGCGCCACCATCATCAAAGTCAGGAGAAGAGAGAGGAGGAATTGGGCCAGGCGTAGAGTCATCAGTAGAAGTACCACTCATCGAACTTCATGTAGCCTCCGCCGACCCGGATCACCACGAAGCCGTTGACCACACTCATGGTCATGACCTATATCGGTTGCGTAGCGCGTGTGTACACCGCGGCGGTAAGGCCTAGATCGCGAAAGAAGAACAGAAAGAAAGAGGCAGAAGCCGAGGTACCCTATTGCAGATCTTGTAGACACTTTCCCTGTTCTTGACGCGCTCGACGGGGATTTCCACGTCTTGCTCCACCATGAGCTTGTTCAGCAAGGCCTCCACCGTCGGCGGCGGCTCCATCTGCTCGTAGTGGTTTTGTGAAGTGAAGTGATGAGGCGATGAGCGCACGATCGTATGAAACGAACCAAGTGGAGGAGGGGAGAGGTCACACCGGCTGGTTGCAGGAAGACGATCGCGATCTGCGTCGTGTCGCGGTGGCCAGCGGGGGCGGTGTTGACGTGGAGCGAGAACGTCGCGACAGGCGGTTCGAGGACTGGGGCGAGAGCAGGCCGGCCTTCTTCAAGCGCTCCAGGCGCCGCTTCTCCTTCTCCCTCGCCTTCCGCCGCGCCCTCCTCCGCTCCTGCCGCCTCCTCTCCTTCTCCTCGTCCTCTTCGCTCTTTTCCTTCAAGGCCGGTTCGCCGCCTTTGTCGACATTTTCGCTTTCTTCGAGGCTACGGCCGCTGATGAGGATCGTGGGACCCTGCGACATGCGAAGCCCGCTGCGGGGCAGGCCGTAGGCCGACAGCGGGGCGCTCCAATCGCGCGCAGCCCGACCGGCGTCGTCCGCGTCGCCCCAGTCGAGCGCGTCATCCTCCTCGTCGCTCTGCGCGCGGCTCGAGCCCCGGCTGCTGTCGAAGTCGCTGTCGTATTCGCTCCCGTCGATGCTGAGCTCGCGGTCGTTGTCGGCTTCGTTCTCCTCCATGTCGGCGAAGGAGAGGTCTTCGGGGCTCATCTGCTGGATCTCCTCTTCCATGTAGATGCGCACGCCCTCGAACTCATCCGCGTCGACCTCAAGCAACTCCTCCTCCTCCTCCTCGCCCTCTTCGCTATTTGGTCCCGCTTCGGCTTCGTCTTCGCTATTTTGTTCCTCTTCCTCTTCGCCTTCTTCGTCGTCTTCCTCCTCCTCCTCTTCACCCTCTTCTTCCTCTTCTTCGCCCTCCGTGCCATTCTCTTCGGAGAAGAGGCTTTGCGGTTCGATCTCGTCCTCCTCGTCGTCGTCGTCCTGCTGTTGTCGCTTTCGCTCTTCCTCCAGTCGTCGCTCTTCCTCTTCTCTCGCCTGCGCCTCTTTCTCCTCCCGCTCTCTGCGCTCCTGCTCTTCCGCTTTCCTCTGCTCTGCGGCCTCTTCGGCCTCGCGTTGTCGTCGTTCTTCGTCTTCGGCCGCTCGCCTCCGCTGTTCCTCCTCCTTCTCCTCCTCCTCCTCAGCCCTTTGTCGTGCTTGTTCCTCGGCCGCCAGCCGCTTCTCTTCCGCCGCCTTTGCCAGCTCCTCGTCGGCTCGTTGCCGCGCCTCCTCGGCTCTGCGTCTCTCCTCTTCCTCCGCCGCCTGTCTCTCACTTTCCTCTCGCTCGCGTCGCCTTCGCTCTTCATCTGCCGCGGCCCTCGCGCGTTCGGCCTCCTCTTCCTCCTGCTCCTTCAGCTTGAGCTTGAGCGCTTCCTCCTCTTCGGCTCTTCGCTGCTGCTCCTCTTCCTCCTGTCGCTGCTCCTCGCGTCTTCGCTCTTCCTCCGCTCTTCGCTCTTCCTCTGCGCGCAGTCGCTCCTCCTCTTCCGCCTTTCTTCGCTCTTCGGCTCGAAGCCGCTCTTCATTCTCTTCCTCTTCACGTTGAACCCGTCTCCGTTCTTCTTCTTCTTCTTCTTCCGACTCTGCCCTTTGCCGTTCGGCCTCCTCTTCCGCCCGCTTCGCTTCGTCTTCTCTTCGCATTCGCTCTTCCTCCTCCTCGGTCGCGCGCTCGGCGGCCTCCTTGAGCCTTCGTTGCTCCTCCGCCTCCTCGGCCGCCCGTCTCGCCGCCTCTTCGCTCTGTTTGTGCTCCTCCTCTTCCTTTGCCCTTTGCCGTCGCCCCTCCTCTTCCGCCGCCGCTCTCTCTTCCTCGGCCTGCGCTCTGTTTTCCGCCTCCTCTCGTCGCTTTCGTTCTTCCTCTTCGTCGGCCCGGCGCTCCACTTCGATCAGCCGCTGCCGCTCCTTCTCCTCATCGGCCCGACGCCGCTCTTCGGCCTCCCTGTCTTCGTTCGCCTTCCGCTCCGCTTCCGCTAGCGCTTCCTCGTCGGTTCTTCGCTGCATCGCCTCGATCTGCCGCTTCCGCTCCTCTTCCGCCTCCTTCTCGGCCTTCTCGGCCTTCTCCGCCTCTTCCCGTCTCCTCTTTCCTCCTCCTCCTCCTCCTCTTTCTTCTTCTTCTCCTCGTCGGCTCGTTGCTGGGCCTCCGCCTCAGCCTTGGCCCTTCGCTTCTCCTCTTCCTCCTCCGCTTCGCGCTGTGTCACGATCTGTCGCTCTCGCTCTGCTGCTTCCTCCTCGGCCTTCCTCCGTCGCTTTTCCTCCTCCTCCTCCTCTTCTCTCTTTCGCTGCTCGACTTCTTTTCTCTGGCGCTCCTCCTCTTCTTCTTCTCTCTTTCGCTGCTCGTCTTCTTTTCTCTGACGCTCCTCTTCTTCGGCTTTTCGGCGCGCTTCCGCCTCCTGCCGCTGCCGCTCGGCTTCATCGGCGGCCCTGAGCTCTTCCTCCTCCGCACGTCTCCTTTCCTCTTCGGCCGCCGCCTCTTCCGCCGCTCGGAGCTGTGCGTCGAGCTGCCGCTGCCGCTCCGCTTCCTCTGCCCGACGATGCGCTTTGATCCGTCGCTTTCGCTCTTTTTCCTCTTCCTCCTCCTGTTGGATGCGACGCTGTTCCTCCTCGAGCTGTCGCTTTCGTTCTTGCTCCTCCTTTTCCCTCATTTCCTCCTGTTCCCTTTCCGTTGTTGCTCCGCTTCGCGCTTACGCTCTCGCTCCTGCTCCTCCGCCTCCGCCTCCTTCTTCATCAACTCCTCGCGCTCCCGCATCGCATCGTCTTCGTCTTCCTCCTCCTTCTTCTTCGTTTTCTTGGCCTCGTGCTCCGCTGCGAGCTGCCTCTCCCTTTCCCGCTCCCGCTTCTCTTCCTCGCGCTTCTTTCTCTTCGCCGCCGCCGCCTCCTTCTTGCGCCGGAGCTTCTCCTCGACCTTGCGCATCTCCGCCTCGAACATGTCCTCCATGCGCTCCATCAGCCGCTCCTCCAGCGGCTTCGTGTCCTCCTCTTCCACCGCCGCCGCCGCCGCCGCCTTCGTAGTGGCTGATGCGCGCCGCTGCTCGGCTCCGATCATCGAGTGACGCCCAACCAGCTCGTTGTCGTCTTCCTCTTCCTCTACATCGTCGTCATCGTCATCGTCATCTTCGTTGTCGGTGCGAACAAAGTAGCAGCAGACGAGGAGGAGCAGGATGAGGAAGATGGCCGCCAGCAGGAGGAGGAGCGCGTCGACGGCCCGCGCGCCGACTCCGGGCAGGTCCAGGACCTGGCGCTCGAGGAAGTAGACGCGCAGGTCGTGCATGAAGAGCTCCATCTTGCCGCGGCCCCACAGCGTCAGCGCGCGCATCACGCACGCCGCCACCAGCGCGTAGGCCACCGCCACCTTGAGGTACTGCCACGCGCGGCTACCGCCGATCACGGCTCTGATCAGGCTGCGGACGCCGTCATCGTCGTCGCCATCGTCGTCGTCGGTACTGCGCTGCCGCTGGACGATGTCGCCCAGGAAGCAGAGCAGACGCGCCTGCCGCTTGGTTGTGGTCGTCGATCGCTTGTGCTGCTGGAGCTGCTGCGACTCGAGTCGCCAGAACTGCTGAAGCGCAAAGTCCTCGTCGTCGCTCGGCGGCCGCTGGCGATCGCCACCCTCCTCGCTGTGGCGCAGAAGACGCGCCAGCCGTCGCACGTGGGCCTGCGAGAGGTCGGTCGTGCGCCTGTCGATGCCGAACGTGCGCGCGAGGTACCGCTCCAGCTGGGCCTCCACCACAGGCACACTCTGGCGCAAGGCAGACCGCGCTTTTTCCCCGACGCCGCTCGCCATCACCACTAGGGGGAAGGCCGGGGCCGAAGCGTAAAAATCATTTAATCGTGTTATAATAATGTAGAATATTAACTTAAAAAAGTGCTCGTGCACAGGCAACTAAAGAACTAACCCCATTCAAGGAGATGGAGGTACCAGGTGCCGATGGTACGTGGCGAAGGTGTCCCCTCGACTCCTCTCGTTTGTGCTCCGGGTGGCAAGGCAACAACGGCCAGCTCTGGAAAAAGAAAGAAAAAGAAAAATGCAAGCAAAGAAAATAGGTACGAAAAGTAAACCGAGAAAAGAAACGGAAATCACTTTTTTGGTTGTTTTGTGGTTGGCAAGCCACACGAACCTCCGCAGAACGTGGTCGGTCTCGCGCAGTCTCCTCCTCGACTGGTTGTTGTTCATAACAGTTCGTGACGCCTCTCTTCTTCCTCGTCGCCCTATCACACACGATCCTCCTCCCGCTCGCTTGCCCGCTCGCTCCCTAGCGTCTCGGCGGTGGAGTGCAGACTCGAGAGTTGATCAACGTAAGGTCGAGCTCCTTCCTCCTCGTTACGATCCCTCAGCCGCCGCTGTGCTTGTTGAGTCGGCGGCGGCGCTAGATTCGGGCGAGGGGCTCACCTCTCGGATGATCACCTCATTGTCCACGTCCAGCGACAGATCTTCGTCGTCCTCCTTCGGCACCACACCTCCCTCGTCTACGAGCACCGTCATCTCGTCCGTCTCCTCGTCGTCTGCCCGTTCCGCCCCTTCGTTGGAGGTCTCCATCGTGCCGTCCGAAATGAATCGGACAATCACGACGGTGATGTTATCCAGAGACTCTCTGTAAGAGGGGTGAGGCAAAGTCAGGATTGGCACAGGGGGCGGCGGACTGTATGGAAGGTTGAGCAGCAGCAAGTTACCTTGAGAAGGCCTTGGCCGTAAGCGTTTGGGCGACGTCAGCGAGGCTGAGCTCCTTCTTTTGCAACAGCTCGCGCGTAAGCAAAACCGCGTTTTCGTTGGAGAAGACGTCCCAGAAGCCGTCGCTCGCCACGATGAAGAACTCGTCCGCACCAGGTTGGAGAGATTCCTCCTTGATCTCTGGGATTGCGCTCACCAACCACTCCATTGCTGTCATGTGATGAATCAACCGTGTTAACCATGCGCAGGGAAGGAGATGATGCAGAGCAAAGCACGGCACAATAGTGCTGCAGTGGCAGAAAAGTGCACCTGGCCTCTTAGGGTCTTTGTAGAAGGTGTCTCCCAACGCTCGCGACACGGCAAGGCCGCCCCGCATACCATCGCCCTGGTATACTCTGCATAAATCGTACGTGAGTATGAGACAATTTGCTGCAGCGAGAGGAGTTGGAGATTGAGTGGAAAAGCGTGCCTGAATGGACCCATGGGGATGTTGAAAAAAGAGCCCTTTTTAACTACACCGCCAGAATCCTCGATTCTCTTCTTCTCACTTGGCTTGTCGGGTTTGTGATCGTCGGAGAGGGCCACGGCCTTGCCTGAAATTACGCCACGATATGGGAAAATGAGCCTCATTGATGAGCGCGGGCAGCTGCGAGGTGATGCGCGGATCGATCCAATCTGCTAGCAGGCCCGCAGATCTGATTGCGTGGGGGGGGGACAAACGCACCCTTTCGGCAGAGGACCGCACGCGAATCGCCCACATTGGCGACGTAGAGGCGCTGGCCCATGATGAGGACCATACACGCGGTGGTGCCATCTTGCGAGGTCGCGCTTTGGTACTTCTCCGCAAACTCGCGATCGGTGATCTCACAGGCCTCCTCGAGGGCCCGGATGGGATCGTGGGGGAAATGGGCAGATTTTACAAGGTTCTTGTGGAGGTAGCCCGAGGCGAAGGTGGACGCCAGCTGGCCTCCGTGGCCATCAAAGACGGCGAAGAAGGAGCATCGCTCTCCCGCTCCGTTCGGGCTATGTTCCTTGCCCGCTTGAGACATCATGTCCCGCAGGTCCTCGATTATCGTTCTTCTATCTTCCATGTAGGGGCGCCGACCTTGGATTGCGCACGAGCCCACCTCGAGGGTGAATCCATGAGCATAGTGCTTCTCCAGATGGGTCGTAGTCGACACTTCAGGTGATGATGGTGTATCCATGTCGCTCTTCTCCTTCTTAATCTCGTAGATCGCTTTCCTTTCTCCTCCCCCTCGTTGTTGTTGTTCTCGTTGTCTCTTTCCTTCCTCTGTTGTTAGCCCTCCGTGCTTCGTTCCGGTGTCGTGTAGTACGAATTGAACCGCGAAATTGGCGATCAGCGCAGCACCGAGAGTAAGCACGAAGGGGAGCACCCAGTAGACCAGCAAGTCCAGCATACACCGGCCCGCACGCGAAGTCTTTCCCCCCTCTCTCCTGCGCGCCAGCGATTGTCCGCGCGTCTCCCCTTGTGCCCGGTTAATACCCGGATTGCCACAATGCCCCCACGAAATCTACGGCCCACATCAGCAAGATAGACATCTCCCCCTCAGCTGCTCCCTGTCGAGAGAAGATGTTGGCGATGCGTGTTTATTTATGAACAACAGAAGAAGAAGAAGAAGAAGAGGAGCGCAATCACTCAGACTTGGCCAGCTCCTTGGATCGTTCGGTGGCGGCCAGCACGGCGTTCATCACCGTCGCGCGCAGTCTGCCGTTCTCCAGGGCGTGGATGCCGGCGATGGTGGTCCCGCCGGGGCTCGCCACCTTGTCCTTGAGCACGCCCGGGTGCTCGCCGGTCTGCACCACCATCTGCGCAGCGCCCAGCACCGTCTGCGCCGCCAGCTTGGCGGCCACGTCGCGCGGCAGGCCAGCGGCAACGCCGCCGTCGCTGAGCGCCTCGATGAACTGGTAGACGTAGGCCGGTCCGCTACCGCTGAGGCCGGTGACGGCGTCGAGCAGCCGCTCGGGCACCTCGGTCCCGAGGCCCACCGACGAGAGCAGGTGCGCCACCAGCTTGCCGTCCTCCGGCGTGGCCTTGCCGCCCAGCGAGAAGGCGGCCGCGGTCTTGCCGACGAGGCATGGCGTGTTGGGCATGACGCGCACCACGCGGGTGTCGCTGCCCAGCTGCTTGGTGATGGTGTCGATCGTGATGCCGGCGGCGATCGAGATGATGAGATGGGGCGAGGAGGCCACCGCGTCCTTGATCTCCTTGAGCAGGGTGGACATGACCTGCGGCTTGACCGAGAGGATCACCACATCCGAATTCTCAACGGCCTCGAGATTGGATTTCGTGGTCTTCGTGCTGCCGCCAGTGTCCTTCTGAAATCGAGGCAGCTGGGGCTCGTACGCATCGCTGGCGATGATGTTCTCTGGTCGCGTCACGTTGGCATCGATGAAGCCGCGCGCGAGGGCAGTGGCCATCTGGCCCGCACCGAGAAAGGCGATCCTGGGTTCCGACATCTTGTTGTTGCTTCGAGCTGGTGGTTGTTGGTGTGTTGAAGAAGACGTGTTGTTCGGTCCGATGTAGATGAGATGCTCCGGCAGTGGCCTTTTGTAGATCGGATAGGGCACTGTGGCAGTGAGTGGTGACAGCTGCGCTTGGAGTACAAAGGCCCTACGGCACGACCTCATGGCAGTAGTAGTTGTGGAGGGAGACGTAGTCGACGGGCAGGTGAGCCGAAGGTTGGACGACATCTTTGCACGCGTTCTCGAGAGATAAGTGCTCGAGAACCGAGCGACCCGTGCCTCAGAGCAGACCGCACGCGCCTAACTCTGCGGAATGGTTGGCATCCGGGTGTGCCATTGCGTTCGTGATTGACCCTGTGGAGTTGGGCCGCTCTTGGCGCGCCATACGTACCGGAGGCGCCGAGACGGGCATGGTCTCTTCCCCGTCGGCTTCCTCCGACCTTGGCCTTCCGGCACAGTTACAAGCCTCCGTGGTTGGGACATTGTCTCGGGTGGGATTCGAAGCCGTAGATGGCCAAGTGGCCAGCTTTCTTGGTGAAGACTGTCGACGGTGGGGCACCACTGCAAAGAGACAAGGAGCAGCACCACGTCCCGTCTCCTCCTCGCTGTCACTGCCCCGTGCGCTCTTTCACACCAGCGAGGGACCAGAATCTCTCTCTCGATTGATCTGTCACTCTCTACGTTCCACAACAACTTGTTGCTGCCTGGAAGGAAGGATGGAGGACCCCCACAGCAGTGCTGCGTTGAATGGGAGTGGCAACTCACGGTCTACGATTAGCAGCCTCCTCAACGATGACGCCTCGACCGATGCGCAGGAGGTGGACTTCACCTCCTACGGCAGCCCGTTCCTCCCTGACTTGGGCTCCCCCTCCTCCAGTAGTAATCCCCCTGTTGTCATCGACGTCGATCGCCAGCCACCCAACAAGAAGAGGCGCCAGAGCTTCGACAACAACGTTGATGCATCTTCAGCTTCATCTTCGACCACAAGCGAGCAGCTCCCCTTCCCCTCCCTCCATCTGCATCCCCTTCTGGGCGGCGCCAGCGTGGAGAATCCGCAGGCGCTGCCATCGCCATCTTTGCTGGCCGCGACTGCATGGCAGCAGCAGCTCGACTCGCACGTGGTGGAGGAGGAGAGGCGCGCACTCGCCGAGGAGCGACGAAAGGTGGCGACCGACCGCCAGCAGCTCAACGACGAGCGGCGCGCCTTCGAGGACGAGAAGCGCCAGTTCTACGACGAGAAGCAGAAGTGGCTCGATGAACGAGATAAGCAGACCACCACCACCGGTGGCGGCAAGCCCACCATCTCGTGCGTTCCCTCTCTCTCTCTCCTTCCACTACTTCCCCTCCACCTCGTCCCCTCGGGCGTTGCTCGTCTCACACCACTTGTCGACAACAAATACTGCGGCCTGGCCCAGTTGAACTCACACCGTCACCATCATCCTCTTCATCGGGTTGGCGGTGGTGTGTGCAGGTTTGGTCGGCGTTCCCAGGCCCAGCTCGAGGAGCAGTCCTTTGGCTGCGTGTTCGTCAAGAACAATGCCGTGGTCACCGTACGCAGCGCACCCCGTTCTCGCCAACCACAGTCGTACGGGAAGATGAGCTCATCTGTATTGGCTCTTTGGTGTTTCTTTCACGCGCAGAAACCGTCGCCCAGCTTTGCGCAAGCCTTTGTCGTCTTGTCGGACATGATGACCCAGAAGAAGGTCGAGCTTCCTCTCGCCATCGGAATTGGTGCCAAGGACAGGTGCGAGCCTGTGCGATCACTCGTCGTCGTCGTTGATGTCTTCTCTCTCTCGCTCTCTCGCTCACACTTCTTTCGTGTCGTGTCCCTTCAACCGTGTGTGTGTGTGTGTAGCTCGCTGCCCAAGAAGGCCGTGCAGGATCTGGGATGCATTCTGATTCCACAGCAGACCAGGGACTATGGACCATCGTACGCCAAGACCGGATACCTGGTGGTCACACTCAAGGACCAGAAAGGGGGCGCGCCCGTGCGCATCGAAGCCGTGGAGGGAGCCGAGAGCGACGCGGGGGAGAGCTATTTCATCATCGCCAAGGTGCGCACCACCCACGCTTGGTCTGGGCTGCACACTGCTGACCCGTTCGCACACAGAGTGACTTGGGCTTGCTTCGGTGCGTCGCCAACGAGAAGGAGGGCACCATCAGCAACGACCACGGGGGCGCTGGCGGCGGCGAGACAACCGAACCGGCCAAGGGCAAGAGGAAGAAGTGAAGTGAAGTGAAGGGCGAGTTGTTGAACACCGTGACCTTCACTGCCACGCGCCATCAGGCCCCACCCCAACCTCAGTAGCGCTTGCACAAGAGCAGCAACCACCAGAGATCGAGAGGAGAAGGAAGAAGGAGATCATGAGTTGGTGTACATTACTTGGTGTATTTATGATCCTGATGGGCGTCTCACCCCAAGATCTTGTTTGGCACTGCGGCATTGCACTCTCCGCCTTTCTTGAACCTTGTTGTGTGTTGGGAAACCCTCTTGCGAGCACCTTGGTGCTTCTTGGTCTTTTTCTCTTCTGGCACACAACCGCTGTTCGCTAGAGTGCGGCAGCGATGGGCGCTTCCGTGTTGACGTACTCTGTGCACGTGGAAATTGGGTGGTCGTGTAAGGGAGACAACCGAGTGGAACGGAAGGGAATGGTGTGTGCGTGTGCGTGTGCGTGCGCGTGTGCGGTGATGGGGGGTTACCGGGATCTTTGTTCCACCAGGCACCGCCGGAGGGCACAATGCCGCGGCCGAAGAAGAAGATGACAGCGGCGACGATGATCGCCACCACGCACACGATCACCGTGAGAGGGATGAAGAGCCCCAGCATCAAGGCCAGCGTGTCCTCCGAATCCCAACCGCCGCCGCCGTGCGAGCTGACTATGATGATGGTCTTGCTCGAGGTCACGTAGTACGTCCCGTCGAACGCCGTCAGCCGGACGTTGTACGTGCCTACATTGTGCGGGCGCGCAGACAAAAGAGAGTAGGGCGATGAGCCCAAGAGAACGAAAGCGAAAAGCGTCAAGAAGCGGGGGGGAGGTGTGTGGAGTTACCTGGGGTGGTGAAGTTGTGTACGCCCGTCTCGGTGATCTCCTGCGGGTAGAAGCGGTCACCGAAGGACCAGCCCAGCGTGGCCGGGGCGCTGGTGCTGGCAGTGAAGGTCACCACCGTCCCCTCCACGAACGAGTTCCCGCTTGGCGAGTTGCTCTGTCGGCGCGCGCACATCTTCAGCATTCCTGCTCCCGCGCGAGAGCGCAGCGCGAAGCTGAGCAGCGGGCGTACCATGGACACGGTGGGCCGTGTGGTGCCATCGCCGGGTAGTCGCCGGGGGAAGCGGACGGTCGAGTTGTCGCTCACCACCGCGCTGCCATTCGTCACCGCCTGCTCAGTGAAGATGGCGCAGTTCATGTCTGTCTCGCGAAGAATCGAGAGCGATCAGACAACACAGTCGTGGTCGTGGTCGTTCGTTGCGGAAAGGGCAAAGAAGGCGCACCGTCACCGCCGCCACAGACGTAGATGTTCTGCCGACGGCCTTCGCCCGCGTCCACGCCATCCAGTTGGTAGGTGACGTTCCGGTATCGGAAAACGACGTCTCCGCTCTGACAGGTAAAATGCCACCACACGGCACAGCCCAGAAGTGAGCGCGCTGCGCCTAAACGATGCACGGCAGAAGAAACGAACAAAAAACGAACCTCGTTGATCTCAGCCTGCCAGGCGAGGTTGGTGTAGGTGTCGCTGGCCTTCATGTCCACCCTGCATTATGCCACAGGCGATTGCGTTCAGCTACGAAACCCACCTCCCGAGGTGTGCGCACAACGTTGAAGGAAAAAGTTCGCATTTCGCATGAACGCTGCGACAGAGGTCGCCAGAGGGCCAGAAGGAACCGAACGTACCAGGAGACCAGAAGCACGCGGGAGGGCGAAGTCCCCGTGAGTTGATAATACCCCGTACCATCTGACCACCCAGGTTAGTTGGCCAACTGTTCTTGTGTGTCGTGTCGTGTCGTGCCGCCGTGTCATGTGCGATTGTGCACGCTGGGAGAAAGGCGTACTTAGGAAGAGGGCATTGAAGGGCGCGAGGGTGAAGTCGAGCTTGGTGTCGGTCGGCACACTGGAGCCCTGCGCAGCGAACGAGACCCTGCCGGCCACGTCCATCGCAAACGACCTGTTGGTGTTCGAGGGGTTAGTCAGGTGGGTACTGGGCGAACGTGGCGTGCACTGATCTGTGCGACGCAGCGCGTACTCGAAGTTGGTGCAGCCGAAGATCCAGGGAGTCGAGCCCAACCCGACCGAAGCGCTGAAGCTCCCGGCGCTCGGGAGTGCGACGCTCGTGTGCCCGTTTGCGACAGGGTCGACCCTGTTCACGCGCACACAACGACATGCACACAGTTGAGCGGGGACATCGTCGGTGTCGTACGGCAGGGGCTGCCGGCGCGGTGCACAGTTCGTGAGTACGCACCACGCAGCCGCCGTGTTGGGGGTGTATTGAGGGGAGCCGTAGTTGGCGGCCGGCGGGCAGGAGTTGTCGATGGTGAACGGCGCCGTCCTGCGCGAAAGGAACAATCGACCAGGCCAGGTGAGAACCGCAAACACAGACCGAAGTGAAACCGGAGGGGGGAACGTACGTGGTGGATTCGGCTGAGCCGTTGAAAACCGACGTGAGCGTCGCCTCCAAAGTGTAGCTGCCGGCCGCCTTATGTGATGAATGGGGGGAGGGAGGGAAACTAACAACGTCAACGCAGGGACGCAGGCAGGCGCTGTGTTGGAACACCAGCACGATGGGTGGGCGGGCGGGTGGGAGGAGGGTGGGTAGCGTACGAGCCCGGTGATGTCCAGGTACATGCAGGTGACGTCCTTCGTGTAGGTCACCTGCCATCCGGCGGAAAGGCCCTGCGCGTACGACAACCATCAGGAGGGAAGTGGTGGTGCGGTGTGTGCGGTGTGTGCGGTGTGTGCGGTGCGTGTGTGCGTGTGTGCATGTGTGTGGACCGAACCTGCACGGGGCCGGAGGGGGTGGAAGTGCGGCAGGACGAGTACACGGGAGCCGAGGGCACACTGCCCCCGCCCGAGTATCCCGTGACCGTCTCCTGGTCAAAAAGGCACAGATCTGTGCAGAGACAAGCAGAGCGCAGTGAGACACCACCGCACACGCACGCACAATCGCACACGCACACACCGCACACGCGCACGGCTGAGGAGCGCGCGCGTACCACGCACGCCCGAGGCCTTCACGGCATTGGAGGAGTCCTTAACGGCGAGCGACACGAAGTCGTTGATGCTCGTGGCGGCCGAGCAGGCGTCGTTCGTGACCGTGGACGCGGCGGCCGACCCCAGTGCGAGGCTGGCCTCGGCGTCGCCCTGGTTCTGCACGCGCAGCCCGAAGCGCAGGAGCCGTCGTTGGTTGGCCGCGTCGGGTGTGAGGCACCGCGGCACGAAGCACGACGAGCCGGACGAAGACGACGACACCACAAAGTCCGTGGAGACGGTCGACTGCAGGTAGGCCTGGTCGAGCACCAGGCTTGGGCTCGCCGAGACCAGCACCACTGCATGTTTTTTATTTTGAAATTAGCATGATTTATTACGATTAAAATAATCTGTACGGACGGTACAAGCAGGAATCGAGAAACCAGAACGAGGAAGGAGGAGTACCTGAGCAAATCAGCGCTGCCGTGAGGTGTGCAAGCACGTTGAATCGCCCCGTGGTGGTCATGTGCATGATAATTCAAATAAATAGTGGTATAATAAATAATAATAAGATTCAAACGAGGATCCGTCGTTGTTGTGCCTTGCCCCAATGTGGTGCTCCTCCTGTGGCTTGTGTGCTGCGGTCTTCTCGAAGAAGCCAAGTGTTGGGATCGGCGCGAGGTCAAGAGGCACGAGGTGGGGAGCACAAGAAGAAAGACATGTCTAAAAGAAAACAAGCGTAGTGTGGGACAACACCCGAGGCTGTCGATTGGATGGGACTTTGGGTGTTGCCAAGGTACGACATCAACCACAACACCAATTGCAACATCTTCATCACCAAAAGCATCATACATCAGGCGGCAGGTGCTTGATGGTCCTCACGGCTACTGATTGAAGAGGAACTCGACCGCTCGCCCCACGTCGTTGTCCTGTTTTGGAGGAACCTGATCAGGGACAGAAGGGAGAGCATGAAGCACAGTACCGGGGAGGCGGGCGTACGCAAGCTTGGAGGGCCATCTTGGCCTGGTCGGCGGAGAAGCCCATGTCCGTGAGCTGGCTCACCAGCGACGCATCTGCCACATCGCCGCCGCCGCCGCCGCCCGAGGCTGTTGGTGTTGACCCAAAGTCGTCGCCGGCCGACAGCTGTAGTGTCAAGTGCTCCACCGCCGCGTCAAGATCGCCCTAGGCGCCATTTCTGTGTGAGCACGGCACGCACCACGACACGGCACGACACGACACGAGCGACTCCAATGGGGTATCGGAGCAGAATCATGTGCAGGATCGGCCCAATTCGCTACCTTGGTCTCCTTGAGAGCGTCCTTGGCCCACTCTTCGGGGAATCCCATGGCCTTGAGCTGCTCCACCTTCTTCTTCTCGGCTTCCTCCTTCAGTTTCTTCTCCATCGCTGCGTTTGCGACCACGTGCGACACATGAAGGAATCCACGTCGGTCACTCACACAGTCATTGATCATCTCCTAAGGGCCAGCACTGAGCGAACGATCGTTGTACCTGCAATGTCGGCCGATGGCTTGATTCGGAAGTCGCCAGAGCCCAACGTTCCGTTCCACGTACCGAAGATCCCTCCGCTCTGTGGTGTGATTGCGTCATTGGTCAGGTGGCCCACACACAGCAAGGTCGGCACTTGGCGACAAGACAATCCGGGCAAGCTGAATGGGGATGAATGGGGAGGTGTCGTACGGCGCTCTCTCTGAAGCCAGACATCTCCATTGTGTTGCCGCTCTGCATGTCTGTTCGCGTAAGTGTGGCTCCGTACGGAGGTGTGGGTCTGCATCGCGCCAAGCACAAATGCCACATCAGCAACGAATGTACATTCCCATGCACGACCCCATGCACTGAAACGTAGCACCTGACATGCAAGGGACGAGATGGGGATGTACTTGTAAACGCCAGTGATGCTGAAGAAGCCGGTGCTGTCCTGGCCGGTGCCGTTGACGGCGCCGTCGTGACTGAACTGGAGCTCGAGGACCAGCTCGTTGCGCTTGCCCTGGTGCACGTAGGATCCATCCCACTTGCCCGACTGAAATCGCTTTGTCGCTGTTGTTTCCAGCCGCAAGCCCACCACCAGGCAGTGTGCCACCAAGTTGTTGATGCACGGATGAAAGTTAGATTCAAAAGGAACCAAACAAGAGGAATATCAGCACAAGTTTTTGGAGCAGCAACTAAGGCGTGCAGCATGGAGGTCAAGCTCTTGGCAAAGGGGTACCCATGAAGTGCAGTTGTGTGGTGCTTGCAGCTTGTTGGCTCCTCTTCGCTTTCAGTGCAATAGAAGCGCTACGTATTTCTCTCCATTTCTCGGCTTAATTTTGTTTTCTTTTTCTTGTAGGCAGACCCGCACACATCACTCAAGATGAACTTTTGCAATGAATGGTACCTTGTTGTTGCTCTTTCCCACTGGCCCTTGCAAAAGAGAAGCCTATTTCTTTCCTACAACGAATTTTACATTTTGCATCCTCAATTTTAATCTAATTCAGATTTGCCCCCCCCCCGATGGCAGTGCGAACATGCTGTACCCGAAGGAGGACAAAGAGAACAAGGTCCTCCTGTACGCCTGCCGTAACTGCGAACATGTCGAGCAGGCCGATCTCAAACAGATAGATAAGGACGGCTATGAGGTCCAGACCGGTGCCGCCTGGCGAATCTACCGAAACGAGATCACCCAAAAGCCTGCGTACGTACACCATCTTGCCAGTGCCGTTGGGTGGTGTGTATGCCGTTGCCGCCGTCCCTCATTCGCACTCCTTTCTCCACGCAGTGGCGGTGCTCAGATCTTCCACGAGGTGATTACGGACCCAACGCTGCCACGCACGAAGGGGTACGCTGCGCCCCGCCTGGCATCAGCGCGATACTACTTCGTGGCCGGCTAACAACTTGTCTCGTCGTTCGTGCTTTATGTAGTGCTCTGTGCGAGCAGTGCGGCGGAAGGGAGGCCGTGTTCTTCCAGGCCAACAGCGGTAACAGTGAGCAGGTGTTCACGCTATTCTTCGTGTGCTGCAGCCCCGGATGCGGCAACAGCTGGACAGAATAGAGCCCCGTCATCTACAGCAAGAACGAAAAGGAAAGTGCGTGTGCGTGTGCGGTGGTGTGTGTAAACAAAGCGGGTGAACGAGTGCGTGCTGGTGAATGCAATGCTATTCTATTCCTTCATTCCTTCCTTTCCTTGGTTTAGCCCTGCACGTGCGCTCCCTTCACATCTGCGTGGGAGCGGTCAGGGTCACCTTGGCGTGCTCCTCGGGCATGGTGGTGCTCTTCTTCTCTTCGGCGCCGACCATCTTCTTGAGGAAATCCATCGTCGTCTTCTCGCCCGACACCGAGTCCCAGTATTCGCCCCACGTCGTGTCGACCTTGAGCAGCACCAGGTCGGGCGTGTCCTTGCCCTCGGGGAACCACGGACGATACGCCTCTACAGTGTGACATATTCGGTAAGCACGTTTCTTCTTGTCATGTCGTTGTGTGTGTGTGTGTGTGCGTGTGTGTGTGTGTGTTGTATCGCGTGTGTGTGCGTGTGCGTGATCATTAGGTGAGGCAGACGAACCCTTCCAGATCTCTTCAATGCCGCCCTTGTCGTTGGAGACATGAACGTTGCCCGACAGCGAAATGTACTCGCCATCTACAAGTAGGTCTCGTCAGCTTCGCATTCAAGAAGGACGGGTTTGGGTGGGGGGGGCGCACTCTTCTGCATGGTGATGCAGGCCCGGGGGTCCCGCAGGAGCTCCTCGATCTTGGCACTGTCCATGGAGGTGATGAACCACAGGTTCTGCTCGACGTCGGCCTTGGCGATTCGCATGGGCCTGCCGCGCAGCTGGTCGCTCGAGTTCTTCGTGATGAGCATGGCGTTGTCGAAGTCCTTCACCAGCCGCACCAGGTGAGCCTTGGGGTCTTCCGTCACGTTGAGCTTTCCGGCCATCTTCTTTCTTCTTCTTTCTTCTTTTGTTGTTTCTTGAGGAGTGTGGATGTTTGAATGTGTTGTGGACAGAGCTCACACTTATGCCGCCAGGGTGACCAACGTCGTGGATGGCGATGAATACTGGTTTGTCTTCTGGCCCAGTTTTCGCTCACTTTCGGTTGTTTGATCTCCGATACCACGCGCGGTGTGTGGTTGGCCAATTCAAATTCAAATGAAAAATCCATCCATCCTCTCTCTTGCTGTTCGGCCCTGGCCGTTCCACCGAAGCGAGGGTCACCGCCGGGTAGCACCTCAACCAGCACTGGGCTGTGCTCAGGCGCTTGCGAAAGAAAAGCCAGGAATTTGTAATTTCTTCGCCACTTTCATTCACAGACACAGCCTCCACTATTGCCCAAGTCAAGCGATGAGTGAAGAGAAGAGGGGCGAGCTAAGCGCGCTGTCGCCATGTCCAGCCTCGCTCAGCGGTAATCTCTCCACTTGCGACTCGAACAGCCCTGTTTTGACAGTCCTTTATCCCAAAAGGTAACGTGCTGGTCGTCGACAACGGGGGCGACACCATCAAAGCAGGTACTGATGCCTCCTCCTTGTTGATGACTGTAATGCTGGTGGAGAGGGACCCCCCCCCGGGGGGGGGAGTGACTGCGACAACGCGAAATGGTGGTAGGTGTGGCTGGTGAGGATGCTCCTTCGGTGGTGATGCGCACGCTGATGGGCAGGCGGCACTCGGCCGGAATGCCCCACTTGCCCGACGCTGTCTTCGGAGCAGAGGCGCTTCAACGCCGCGCGACTCACCGCATTCGATATCCGGTTGGGCACCTGCTTGCATGTTGTACGGGTGCACTTTGACTGACCGTGCGTGCGCGCTCTCTGAGCGATTTGCGCGCAGGTGGAGCGCAAGATCATCACCAATTTTGGAGACATGGAGCATATCTGGTGCTGCACCCATGGGTCGTTGTCGTTGATGTATTTGTAGCATTGGCTCATACTTAGGCCTGCATCACGCTTCTATATTTATATATGCCACAGGCACCACTTGTTTTACCAGGAACTGAAGGTGGCGCCCGAGGAACATCCGGTGCTGCTCACCTACGCCGCGGACTCTCCCCCGCGCAACCAGGAGAAGATGCTGCAGATCATGTTCGAGACTTTCAACGTGCCCGCAGTTCACCTGGGCGATCAGGTGTGTGGTGTTCCCCTTGCAGCCTTCTTTTTGCCGCTTTTGCATAACCTGTTGGCGGCCATCTTTGTTTGTTCTGGAAAGGCGACGCTGGCCCTCTTCAGCGCGGGCAAAACGACTGGGGTAGTGGTGGACATCGGAGCCTCGGGCTCGCTGATCACTCCTGTCTACGAGGGTGCGTACCCCCAAAGAGACGTGCACTCGCGCGCTCGCACTGGATGCAGCAACAACAACTGACCGCCCAGATTTTCTATTAGGCCACGTGATACGGTCGGGTGTGCTAGATTCGCTGATAACAGGAAGAGACATAACGGACTACTTGTTGAAGATCCTCAATGAGCGCGGATACTCTTTCACCACCACAGCCGAGCGCATGCTGGTCGATGGTCCGACCCGTCCGCCCTCTCCTGTCTGCGTTGCCGTTGTGATTGACCGCTGTTTGCGCGTAACGCTTGCCTCTCTCTCTCTCCCTCTTTCTCTCTACAGAAATCAAATGCAAACTCGGCTTCTGTTCGGTGGACTTCGACGCTGGTTGGACGGCTTGCATGAAGCAAAGTGCCACTTTGGGAAGCGGGTACACTGCGTGATCACCATGGCCCATGACCATCGATTGAGCGCTCATCAAACTGGTGTGGCTTTGCTCAGGGTCATTGATGTCAACAAGGTGGAGGGCACTCAGCTGGCACGGTTACCCAATGAACTGCTTTGCCGCATCAACGACGTCGTCATGCAGAACACCTACACTCGCTGCTACACCCTCCCCGATGGTACGTTAACGCACCTAGAGCTCTTGCCGACTCTCCGTAGCGGTGATTGTGTCAACAACCTACTGTTCCTACCACTCCATACAGGCCAAGTCATCACCTTGGACGCAGAGCGATTCCGTTGCGTGGAGCCTGTGTTCGCGCCCTGCATGATCGGTATACTGACAATTGCCCAACCGTACGCAGTGCGGCACCAACTCCCACTAATCAGAGTTTCTCCCTGCTTTCTTGGCCGTAGGGTTCTCGGCGACTGACCTGACCGACAACCTGTACACAAGCATCTATCGATGCAGCTCTGAACTTCGGTACGCTCGGCCGCACGTGGTCCCATTATTGTGATGAGAGCCAAAACAGCACTGATTTGACGAGTTTTTCGTGGCCACCAGCAAGCTGATGTGGGGCAATGTGATGCTCAGCGGTGGGTCAACCTTGTTCCCCGGCATGGCTGCGCGACTCCAAAAGCGGCTCACCGATCTTGCCCCCGCTGGTGCGATGCTGCCCACCCGACAGTAATCCGTGCCTGGCCTGACACTGACGGTGGTGGTGGTGGGTGGTGGTGGTATTCGTCCATGATCGATCAGATGCCGGGGTACGAGTGATCGCGCCGCCCGAGCGCAAGTACGCCACTTGGATCGGAGGGTCGATTCTGGGCTCCATGCCCGACTTCGCCAGCATGACCGTCTCCACCGCAGCCTACGCCGAATACGGTACGGCTAGAAGACTCTCCTCTCTGGTCGTCTGCGTCAAGCGCCAGCGAACTCTTCCACACTCACCCACACCCGGCCCACACACTCGCAGGAGCCAACACGCTGATGCACATGTTCCACTAGAAGCATACCACTACGTTATCAACTCTTCGAAAGCTGTTGCAGCGCGTTAGCATCATCATTGTGAGAAGTGTAGATCATTGGATGTATGTTGAAGTGGTCTAAAAAGAACAACAAAGAGAGGTGATAGAGAGAGGAATGGGGCAATGTGCCCCTTTGTCGCCGGGTCCGCTGTGAGGTGGGGGGGTGTGGTACTGATCATCGCCAGCAGACGACTAGTAGGCGCCATCGCACTCGGGACAGCACTTGCGGTGGTCGGGGCAGCACTCGCCGGCCTTGAGGTACTTGCCGTGCTCGTCCGGATAACAGCCCTGCGCGTCGGCGTAGAACACGCCGCAGTCGAGCTCGATCGGGTAGCAGCCCTGGGCGTCGCGGAAGTGCCACTCGCGGCCGACCTTGCGCGGGCAGCACCCGTGGCCGTCCTTCCACTGGCCGCCGGGGCACTTCTTGTTCTTGTCGTCCTCGCACGGCTTGTCGGTCGTGGTCTTGCGGCACTCCTCCGTCGTGGTGGTGGTGTGCTTCTTGGAGGTGGTGGTCTCCTTGGGGCACTCCTCGGTCGTCGTCGTGGTGCGCTTCTTGGTCGTGGTGGTCTCCTTGGGGCACTCCTCCGTCGTCGTGGTGGTGTGCTTGGGGCAATCCTCGGTCGTGGTGGTGTGCTTCTTGGTGGTGGTGGTCTCCTTGGGGCACTCCTCCGTGGTCGACGTGGTGTAGTGCTTCTTGGTCGTGGTAGTCTCCTTGGGGCATTCCTCCGTGGTGGTGTGCCTCTTGGTGGTGGTCTCCTTGGGGCACTCCTCAGTCGTGGTAGTGTGCTTGGGGGTGGTGGTGCGCCTCTCGGTCGTCGTGGTCTCCCTCTTGGTGGTGGTGGTCTCCTGGGGGCACTCCTCAGTCGTCGTGGTGTGCTTGGGGCAATCCTCGGTCGTGGTCGTGGTGCGCTTGGGGGTGGTGGTGCGCCTCTCGGTCGTGGTGGTCTCCTTGGGGCAATCCTCGGTCGTGGTGGTGGTGCGCTTCTTGGTGGTGGTGGTCTCCTTGGGGCACTCCTCCGTGGTCGTGGTGGTGTGCCTCTTGGTCGTGGTGGTCTCCTTGGGGCACTCCTCCGTGGTCGTGGTGGTCTTGTGGTCGTCGGGGCGGATGCAGCGCTCGTGGCACTTGCGCTCCCACGAGCACGACTCGCCGGCCTTCAGGTAGTTGCCCTTCTCGTCCGGGTAGAACCTGTTTGGTGTGTTGACCAGGTGTCACAATCAGCCCCTAAGGTAGGTTGTGGATGCTGTGCTGAATGTGTGGTGTGTGCAGTGAGGCGGTACCCGTTGCCGTCAGCGTAGTAGACGCCGCAGCCGACGTCCTTGGGGTAGCACTTGTTGCCGTCGCGGTAGTAGGCCTTGCCATTGATGAGCTCAGGACAGCAGCCCTTGCCGTCGGGCCAGTAGCCGCCCTTGCACGGTCCTCCGTCGTTCCTCATCTTGCCGTCGGCGATGGCCGCCGTGGCTGCGAGAGCGAGGCCCAGCGCCACCACGAAGAACAGCTTGCTTGCAGGTGACATCGTCATTGTTCTTCCTGGTCTAGGGTTGAACTGGAGGGTTGGTTTGGATGGTTGTGAGGCGAAGGCAGTTGGTGATGAAGTGATTGTGGAGGGAGCAAGCCTTGCCTTTTTGTGGCCGTCACCGGCGAATCACGTCGCGGCTGCTTGAGCGCGCTAAAGGTCCTGAGGTGGGGATACAGGCCATTGCACAAATAGAGGGCAGGCATCAAGGGAGCCGAGTTTCCCCTGGTGGAGACCACGGGTGTAAGGGGCGCTGGGCTGGGTCAGGAACTGGTGCCTATGCCTGCCGTGTGCCGAGTCACCCAACTTTGGCCGAAGGATTCCAAGGACGTGTGTGGGAGGACCCTAAAAAGGGCTGAGGTGGCCGGAACTGTAAACAGAAAGAAAGAAAACACGGAGAAATGTTTATGAGTTTGTATTTTGTGGGCGTTTGTACAGGCAAAGGGGAAGAAGGTGACGGAGAACCACGTGATTGATGATGGCTTGGTGACGTGTCTGTGTATGTGTATTTTGTCTGGGCCTACTTGCGTTTGCCGCCGCGGGCCAGCTTCTTGGAGAGCCGTGCGCGCACGTTAGTCGTCGCGGCGGTCTTCTTGATCGCCGTCACGCCAGACAGCGACAAGGACGCTCGTCGCGCTGCCTCCTGGGCCGACGTGGCCGGAGCCGGAGCCGCCACCGCAGCTGCCACCGCTGCACCACACACACGGGAATCACCGCCAATGAGAAACCAATCATCGTCCCCCCCCCAATGACACGGGCACTCTCGATCTAAGCTTCGCCGTACCCTTGGGCTCCTTCTTGGGCTTGGCGGGCTTGGTAGCCTTGGCGGTGGCCGCTTTGCTGGCCTTGGTGGCTTTGTTGTTGGGCGTTTTCGTCTTCTTGGGCTGCTTGGCGACCTTGGCCGGCTTGGCGGCCTTGGTGCCACCAGTGAGGGAGAACAACCCGTCGCCGTCGGATCCCGCCTCGTCGTCGTCGTCGTCCTCCTCAAAGTGCTCATCGTCGTCGGACAGGCCGGCGGCCCTCCTCGCTCTCTTGTTCTGTGATGGCTTGTAGTCATAGTCGTGGTCGTGGTCGTAGTTGTTGCCGCCGCTCTCTGGTGGGAGCGACTGCTGCTCCTGTGAGGCGTCGAAGAGCGGTGGCGACGTCGCTGCGGCGACCGCTGCCGCGTGCGAGATTTTGATCTTCAGAGGCTGGGGTGGAGGAAGTGCGGTGGTGGAGGGGACCTGGTCGCCAGAGGCCGCCGGCGAGGAGGAGAGTGGAGATGCGGTGGCGGCGGTGGTGGTTGTCGTTGTGGTAGAGGTGGACGCGGCGGAGGTGGAGGAAAGGATGTCGGGCGAGAGTGCGCTCTTCTTGATGACGATTTTGATGGGCCTGTGCTCCTCCCTCTCGCATTGAGGCCTCCTGGCCTCAAGCTGGGCCCTGAGCTCCTTCAGCAAGTTGTCCGGGTGTTCAACCTCCGGTGGCACCTGTGCCCGGTGCTTGAGTCGCTCTGCATACGCGCACGGTGTGTGTTAGTTTAGTCACATGGCGGTCGCTACTTGGCCAAGACTCTCCATTCGTACCAGCGTCGTACGGGTGATCGAGCCACAGGGCGAGCTTGTCGACCAGCGTGACGAGACCAGTTCGTTCGAACTCTGTTAGAGCCCTGTTGGGATCTGTGTCGGTGGTTGATGTGTTTGTTGAGTAATCGCAATCGCACATGTGCAGCCACGTGAGAGAAGAGAGAGTGTACGGCACCTTGTAGCTTCTTGAGGTAGTACTGCGCTGCAAACCACTGCATCATCTCGAAGAGAGGGAAACGGAACTTGCCCTCCGTTCGGGTCCGTTCTTCGATCTCATAGCACCGCAGCTGCAGCTGGATGTTGAACCCATGGAGGAAGTTGCCGCCGAACACGAGCGAGTCTTCGGGCGTATATACAGCGTGAATCTATTAGACCGGGGGGGGGACAAACAAACATTCACCATCAGCTCGAGCTCACCAGAGAATGAAGATTGAAGATTGAAGAGTGGGGGTGTGTCGGTACCCATCCCGTGGGAATCAGCATTGTGTTGCCTGGGTTCAACTCGATCTTGTAGCAGTGGTCAACCTGAACGCGGGAATGCAATGAACACAGGAGTGAGTACAGGGTGCTCGCGTGTGTACCCTCAAGAGTGAGACTGGGCAGAGCAATCGCTGAACCGCGAGTCTTACCTTATTGGCCAGGAAAACCGTGCCCTGCGACGGCGAAGTCACCCACTTCTCGTATCGCTTGAGGTTCTCCGGGGTGGGTGCGATCATGAAGAACACCTTCTTGCCCCAAAGCACGTGATACCTGTTCCAGGGAAGCAGGAGGAGAGGGGAAAGAGCGAAAGAGAGAGCTTGAGCAAACTCCCGAACAACAGGCCCAGAAGCAGATTGGGGTGGTTGACGCACCACACAGACGAGCCGCCAAAGTCGATGTGGAAGTCGGTGTAGGAGCCCTTGACGCTCATGAGGCAATAGTGCTGGACCTTGGGGTAGAATGCCCTCGTGTCCGCGGCCGGAGTCGAAGCCGGCGCAGGGGCGGGTGCGGGTGCGGGTGCGGGTGCGGGTGCGGGTGCGGGTGCGGGTGCGGGTGCGGGTGCGGGTGCGGGTGCGGGTGCGGGTGCGGGTGCGGGGATAGTTTCGGGCTTCACCGCGGCATTGCCCAGCTGCTCCAGTCCGGCGAGCGCCAGCTCCAGTGTGTTCTTCTCCTGGCCGGGACTCTCCTTGGGTTCGGCCACGTCGGCTTGGGTGGCGCTCTCGGTCGTGCTCGGTGCCGCCGATGCCATCGGATGGACCGCTGGAGTGGTGCGTGTTAGAATGTGAAGAGTCTATTTAATTGTGGATTTCAGAATTTCTGAAGCGTGGAAGGGTACCGGGTGCGAGCTGTTGCTTGCCGGTGGGGTTCGCCAACTCGGGCGGATTGAGGGCGCGCTCTTTGAGCTCCTTGGGCCACACATTGTCCACCCAGTCGGCCTTACGAACGAACTTGGGCGCTTGAACTTTTTGTGCGAGCTTGGTGCCGCTGTGTGTGTGTGTGCAGGAAGACGTGTCAGAGCCTGGACTCTTGAAGACGCGAGGGTTGGGGCTGGGTGCGGTGTGGCCTTACCTGAACTCCAGGCTGATGACGTTGAGGATGCGTGTTCTTTGTTCGGGCGGCTGATTGAAGTACCTGCACCAATCCTCCATTTTCCACGATGGTCTCAACTCGGACTGATCGATGACGTCGATGACATCAAGCTCGCGATTGCCTGACGTGAGACCCAGTCAGCTTCGTCAAGTCACAACGATGAAGTGGCAGAGTGCTTAGGAGGCGAAAGGCCTACCGACTAGCGCCGCCACTGAATCAATGTCAAACGAGCTCTTCGACGGAAGCTTCATTTGCAGTCCGCTCACGTTCTTGAACAAGATCGGCCGTCTGAAGCCTTGCTGTTTGAACAGCGTGCCGTAGGGCATGTCTTGGCCCGTTGCGTACACGTCCATGATAGGAGCCGGGTCTTCGAAGTGGTGCTCCTACGAACAGGGCGTGGGTGATCACAAATTAATGTCGACACTAGGAGTGCCGCCACTGTGCAGAGCACAACTCTTTCCGTGGCTGCACGAGATGGCGAATGGAGAGCGTACCAGGATGGTGGCCACGAAATCTAGCCGACCCGCTTCGGCTTCCTTCTCGATCTTGTGGAAGTAGTCGTCATCGTCGAGATTGTCGTAGATGACGTACTTGTTTTGTGTTGTTGTGCGCCTCCTCGAAGATCGGCGAACCTTGCCCGCTGATTCACCGCCTTCATCGCCTTTCTTCTCCTCCCCCGTGGCCTCTTCTTCTTCCATATGGATGGCCTGGGCCACATACTCCCCATCGTCATCCTCACCATCATCGCTGACTCTCACCTTCGATTTCGCCCTGGGCTTGCTAGCTGGAGGCTTTCTGCGCTTTCTGGGCGGCTTGATGTCGATGGCAGGGGAGCTTGATGGAAGATCCTGATTCGATGCTGGCGTGGACGCCTCCTCGAGGGGGCGCTTCAGCCTGATTGTCACCTTGGGTGGCACCGCTTCTGCCTACATGCCGGGGCAGATGAAAAGCAATTAAATGCTGTATAGCAGCGGTGCCGATTGCAGTGCATTGCGCCTGCAAAGGCTCAAGAGGAATAAAAACCTTGCTTTCTTCATGGAGCGGCTGCGGCTCCTCCCGTGGGATGAGCTCGCCCCCAAGGCGAAGCTTAATCTTCAGGCCTCCCTTATTCTCTTGCTCCATCGGCGCGGCAGGCCTCCCTTCGCCTTGCGCCAAGCTTTGTCTTTGGCCTCGCGAAATCTCGCGTATTTGAAACAAAAGAAAGGAAAAGGGAAAGAAATTGCGGTGGCGCGTTGATGGCTTGCTTGGAGTGGGCAAGTGGGTAGATGCATTACTGGTTGATCGTCTCGGTCAAGATGGGCGGTCGATCATTATTGTCCATGTCATCAAGCACGATGAAACACTCAGTCTGAAACTCGTGTGATTCCGAGCTTGAGCTGGACACCGACCTCTGCGCATGCAGCAGCATAGCGGCGGAAGTGAGGAGCGACATGGGTGGGGACTTCCGCTTCTTCGGCGCCATACGATGTAAGCAGCTCCGGGCCTTCATGCACAACAGCGTTTAGTATACTCTTGCAGGCACGTGTTGCAGTGGCTTACAGAGAGCGGACCTTCCGCACTGCTGGTAACGACCCAGTAGCCTACCTCCACAATCACAGGCTGTCGTCTTTGCTGATCTTCGAGCTCCTCGCCCTCCTTCAGATGCGTTGGATAGTCCAACAAAACTGCGAACTGACAGAACAAGAACACACTCAACCATCACACCACTTGCGAACAGAAGATGGGAATGAATGTACCTCCTGCTCACTTGCCAGTACCGCGGTTGGAGACAACAGGCGGGAAGCTAACGCAGCTCGTTGGTCGTCGGGACTGTACACGATCAGAGAGCCTCCCACTTCGTCGCAATACGCTGAGCTAGCGTTGGCATCCACCACGCCCACCAGCAGTCGTTTGCCCGCCACACTCACCTCCCATGTCGTGCGCTCGTCTGACGATGTGTTGGTGCTCGCACTGCCTCCGCCTGATCGCAGTGCCGGGAGCATCACCTGCGTGGCGTAGTGCACGGCGAGCTGTGATGGGGTGGGCGCCTCCGGGCCACAGGCGGCAGCGGGAAACGTGCACAGCACTGCCGGTTTAACTCCGAGAAGGAGGAACATGACCTCGCCGTGGAACCCCATCCTGCTGGGCTCCAGGCCCGCCTCTGCCAGCGACGCCCTCAACCTCCGGCCCTCTTCGCCTATTATTTTTTGTAGGGCACATGAGCCACTCCTTGCCAGTGGTCAAGAAGGAGGAGCCGCACCTTCCAGTCGTTTGCGCCACCAGTGCGCTTCGAGCTGCTTCACTGCCGCGCAGACTGACCGCAGCACTGCTTCAGCGGCCATGCCCTTGTGTCCATAAAATAGTAAAATTAAAAATAAATAAGACCAGAAAAAAAAGAAAGAGAAAACTGTTTTTCCACGCAACAAGACGATCACCAACGAGATGAGCAGCAGCGGATTGCGATTGGTGGCACCGCCGACGAGGAGGCAGGTGCTGGGCCTGTACAAGGAGATGGTGGTGGCATCGCGCAGCTTCAAGCACAGCGATCCGCAGTGGTTTCTCGCCCGGGTTCGGCAGGAGTTTTACAAGACCAATCGCGAGCCTGCCGAACGCATCAAATGGTTCGAGGTACGTGCACAACCCATCTTCCAACTGCCGAGCACTCAATCTCCCTCTCTCTTTGCACCAATCCTTGCATCTCACAAATTCCAATCCGCACTCTCATCTTTCATCTTTGGAGTAGAAGGGCCAGCAGTTGATACGAAACAAGGAGTGCATTCTCTAGTGCGATTCTTCGTCTTCTCCTATGTACGCCTGGGGTCCATTCCAATAATGTACATAACCGCCGCTGTTTGTGGCCTTCTCGTGCAACTGCGCGTTAGTCATCCTCTGCCTCCTCGACCATTTCCTCTTCTCCCTCTCCTTCTTCCTCCTCCTCCTCCTCGTCTTCGGATCGTGGGATCGTCTTCTTGGAAGACGAGCTACTGCTGCTGGTGTCGGCGCTGCTGCGCTGCGCGGGTCCGCTCCTCCCCTGCCCTGGCGTCCAATCGAGCGTACAGGAGGGGCACTTCAGCGGGCCTTTCCCTTTGCCCTTGCCCTTGTCCTTGCCCACCGACCACCGTCGCAGGCAGTGGAAGTGCGCCTGCGTGTCGCACTTGCGGTTGGGGCAGCCCTCACCCTACACATCACGCGACGCACACACACCACACACGATGGGCCACGACAAGTTCGCATCGGCGTCATCATCAGCAAGACATCAACGGCACGGATCGAGGAAAGTACGTACCAGCACGACGAGCTCGTGGCAAAAGACGCACTCGCGCAGCTGGTCAGGGAACGACTCCGTGATGTAGGAGTGCAGCTCCAGCAGGGTACGCACACCGAGGGAAACGTGTCCGCTGCAGACACACCCGTTGTAGAGGTGGTGGAGACGAGAGTGAGATGAAGGCGAGGGGAAGGTGGGGAGGTGATGAGCCGCCGAAGAGACAGGACTGGCACCTTCTAGGTTCGCAAAGCCAATGGTCAGCGATGAAGGCGGCGGCCGTGTCCTTGGCTTCATGCTTCGGCATTCCCGGTGGTATCGCGTTGGAGAGCTGGCTGGCGCTGATCATGCCTCCATAGTCTACAATCGCTTCGATCTGTGACGGCCACCAGAGACAAGCGGAGAGGTCACTTCAGCGCAATCGTTCAGGACACGCAGCGCTTGCAGTGTCTCACAGCGCCACTGGGGTCGGTGCGTACCAGCTTCTTGAGGAACTCGACCTCTCGCTCTGTGTAGGAGGTGGCCAACTTGGCGACGTCGTCGGCACGTGTGTTGGCGATGCCATACCACCCCACACCCGTCTGGTCGTCCACCACGCGCCGTATTTCCAGCCAGAGGAAATGCATGTTGTGATTAATCGTCGAAATCACCATCTCCAGTTCCGCTGGCGTCACTGTGTATAATGATGTGAATAAATCGCGATGAATGGCGGGAGCAAGCGGAGGATGAGGGAGGAGCACCTTCGAAATACGCGCAGATGTCGCCCAATTTCTTTCGCACGATGGCCTCCTTTTCCACATGAACATCAATAAAATACTGTAGCAGTAATCGGTGGACATCCGTCATCTCGTGCTCGCCGCCTCCATCCTCGCCCTCTACCTCCATCTGATGCGTAAATGGGCAAAAGCTTGGATGATTTAATTTGTTTTTTGGCGCGAACCACCGTGCTACGTTTTCGGCTGGCGCCAGGTGAGCCTGACGCGAGGGTCCACATGGCTGGGCGGGAGGTGTTCGGCGAAGACAGCACACACGACGCAGTCTGCAACGATGTGCCTGCTGCACACGCGCCATTGAATTGCACGCTTGATGCTGCGATGCCGCACCCAACCAAGCCACAAAGGAGTGTAAGCCCTCCTCGAATGCATCATAGCTCTCCCTAGTGGGCAGAGCGCGATAGGTTTGACAAGGCACGCCGACGAGGAGGCACTCGTACCGATTCCATTCCCGCCGGAGCTTGTCGTGGGGAACACGAAAGTGCGACAAGGAAGGCGTGTGGTAATGGGAGTATTGGGATGTGACGGTAAAGTGGACCAGACGCTCTGCACGTGTGTGAGGAATGTGTGAGGTCGTAAGCCATGCGTGCAAGCAAGGTCCGAGGGAGCGTACCATTGACCCTGATCTGCAAGTCCAACTCCTCCCTGGGCACGCACGTCAGTGTCAATGGATTCAAAGCGGTCGTGTGGTCACGTACGCATGGAAGATCTGAGGCTCCGTGTCCTCAAAAGGACTGCAACACACATCCACAAGCCTGAGGGAGTACTTGACCAGAACCGCCGAGTAGCGGCTTCCCCACAACACAAGCTGCGATCCGGGCTTGTTTCCTTGAGAAGTGCAAAACCACAACCAGAGACCAACACTTGTAAGCAACTCCCAAAGGACAGACGAACCCAGGGAGCGGGGTGCAGACGACGGACCTTCAAAGGCAAGGAAGACTTCAGAAATGACGGGGTGGCCCAGCTGCTTAGGAACTGACCTGTTGGCGGGTCAGGAACACAGAAAGTCAGCCCTGAGCGCTTGTGCACAAGGTGAGCAAGGCGGGAGACGTGCGGAACAACAAACACGTGCGGGCTGGCGTTCTGTGTGGAGAGAACGCAAGAGTCGGGTGAGTGCAGGCGGTTTGCTCCTCCTGGCCCCGAGCCCTGTGCTTGGGGGCGAACCTTGGGCAAGCAGAGCATGTTCGCGTTGGCGACAAAGTGGCGGTACTCCGAGTTGCCACTCGGGTCCACGGCCGGATCTTCGGCTGGTGTCGTGTGGGGAGCGCATCACAAGAAACGCGGCGCATGTGAGGACACAGGGTATGCATGGGTCTAGACAGGCGCCCACTTACCCGATCCCCAGCAGCGCTTGTGGTTGAGTGGCGCCCACAGTCGGTTCTCCGAGCCCATGACGTACCACCCGTAGCACACTGTGAGGGACCTGCCCAGTTCCTGGTGCACGTCAAGAGGCCCACATTACGCATCATAGCTGAGATTCTCCAGCTGGAGAGGTGGACGCTGTGGGCGAGTGGTGGGGGGGTGCACCTCGGCGTCGAGGTATTCAAATATTTCGGCCAGCAGCTCCAGCGGAAGGCCCTCTGCGGAGGAACAGGCCGCTTCCTGGCCCAGGTACGCCGCCGGTGCACCACCGCCTCCAGCAAGCCCTCCTCGCCTCTTCCTCCTCCTTGGCATCGTCGTCTTGGTCGGACTGTCTCTGCCAGTCCTGTTACGTGAAGCGCCACGCCTGGGCTGTAGGAAAAGGAAGAAGATCAAAAGAGAAAAGAAGAAAGAAAAGGAAAAAGATGACACCCCGATAACGGAGATTGGAGTCGTCGGGTTTCGTTCCTGTTTCCTGCCCCGTAATTGAGAGCAGGTCTCGGTTTTGCCGGTTTTCGCAAACACACCCCGCAAGAGACACATCGAGTAACTCAACGGTAAGTCGTTCTTCTTCTTCTTGCTCCGGCCTCTCCTGGCCTTCATTGCCGCATAGTTATAGTTGTGGAGGACGGTCGTGAATTTGTTGTTGTTTTTTTTGAGAGATCGAGAGTAAGATCGTCAGAAGATCGTGGACTAAAGGCAACAACTCTGCAGACAATGGGCCACCACGGACTTCTTCACAATCTCCTCCACGGCCATGGTCACCACGGCCATCACCATCACGGCCACGGACACGGACACGACCACCATCACGGCCACGGCCACGGCCACCACGGTCACGGCCACCATGGCCATGGCCACGAGCACGTTACCGTTGTCCACACCGCCCCTGTTCACCATCCCGCCCCCGTCCACCACGCTCCCGCCCCCGGTACGCCCCCTTCTTCCGTCTTCGGCCGACAGAGCCAACAGGGGCTCCGTGTTTTTATTGCCCGACCAATAGGCGCTGAGATTGCTTTCTGTCGACAGCGCCCGCAACGCTTTTTATTTTGTTGGTGTTGAGCTCTGACGTCGGTTCGTGTGCGCGCGCTGTGTTAACAGGTTACAGCCACCCGCCGCCTGCCTATGGTGCGCCGCCGGCCCACTACCCTGGCATGGCTCCGCCGCACTACGGTGGCGCGCCCGGCTATGGCGCTCCTCCCGCCCACTACCCTGGCGCGCCCGCCTATGGTGCCCCTGCTCCCGCCTATGGCGCCCCGCCGTACGTCTTCGTTCCTCTCTCACACATCAGCACACCCGGTTTCGCTTTGGCTTGATGGCTGATGATGTTGTTTTGGTTGTGTGTCGACCGTGTGTGTTGTCGTTATATGGACAGTGTGGCGACGGTTGTGATTGAGAGCCACGGTCACGGTCATGGTCATGGCCACCACCACGGACATGGTCACCACCACGGCCACGGCCACCACCACGGACATGGTCATGGCCACCACCACGGTCACCACCACTAAGCGAGATGATGGTAGAACGAAAGCGAAACCGAAGGCGCGACGCGAGTGGCCTCCTCCTCCGTGGGGTGTGCCTTACTCGCATGAGCTCACAGCCGACACGCCTGCACCGTGAGCGTGCCTTCTCTCTTCTCTCGCTCTCTCACATCTTGTGACTTGACTCTCTCTCTCTCTCTTTGGCTGCTGTAAAGGAAGTGTAGCACTTCGGTGAGGCTCTATCTTGACTGTATTCTTCTTACAAACAACACATAAAACATTATAATTTATAAATAATATTTACGGTCACATTGAAAATGGCATAAATTAAATTAATAATAATGTGAAAATCAAAATAGAAAAACTAAACAAAGAAAACTCAAAAACAATTCACAAGGCCGGCAGAGCTCTGCCAGAGGAAGATGCGGCGTGTACGAGGACGCGCCACGACCCGCAACCTGGTGCTGCTCGCCGTTGTGAGCTTCGTGCTGGTATGCACGACCTTCTTGCTCGGCAACTCGCTCCTGCTTTCCTCCTTCAGCGCCACCGATCATCCCGCGGCCTCCTCCGATCTTTCGCCGGCCCCTCCGTCTTCATCTTCATCTTCATCTTCCCACTCTTCTCGTTCATCACAGCAGACTCAGACCGATGCCGCGGCATCTTCAGCCCCACCACCTCCCTCATCCCTCTCTGCCGCTTTTACTTTGCCCTCCTCTCCCCCGTCTTCTTCTTCTTCTTTGCCACCACCGCCCACCGAGCCCGCCACGCCCGCAGTGCAAACGCACCCGTACGGCAACCGGCCTCCGCCCAGCCTGGACTGGGCACCTCGCGTCGCGGCCAAGTGCCAACACGTACCTTTCTCCACTCACGCCACACGCGCGCGGCACTCGCTCGCATGGCCCTGATGTGCGGTGTGTGTCGTGTGTGTCGTGTGTCGTGTGTGTGTCGTGTGTGCTATGCGTGTTGGGCGGTGTAGGGTAAGTTTGTGACGGCAGGCCCGTGGGCGCAGGACTGCATTCCCGACGAGCGCGTGCTCGAGGAAACGCAGCTCCGCTTCCCGCCCTTCGTCCTCCCCATGCCCCACTTCGTCTCGCCCCAGGTCAACCCCTCCTCCTCCCCCGCAACGGCTCTTCGTCGTGCTCCGCTCTTCTTCGCTCTCGTGTGTCTGCTTGCGTGTGCGTGTGCGTGTGCGTGTGCGTGTGCGTGTGCGTGTGCGTGTGCGTGTGCGGTAGTGCTGACTGCGGCGCAGGATCGGGAGTGGTTCGTGTCGCTGGACGTGGTCAAGGAGTTCGTCAACGCCTCCCTCCGGTGCTTCGAGCGACCGCTGCCACCCGGCGTGCTGTGCCCACTGCTCGACTCGCACACCTCCTCGGACGACGTACAGTGCCACCCCCCCCCAATCACACCGCACGCGCTAACCGCACACGCACACACGCACACGCAGGTACTCGTGTTCTGGACCGACAAGTACGTGACGGGCAGGAATCTCGTGTTGGCCAATGGTACGCCTTTGACTGTTCGCGCTCGCTCGGCGTTTTCGACTCGTCTTCACTGTCGCGTGTGTGTGTGGTGTGTGTGGTGTGTGTGGTGTGCGTGTGTTGTGTGGTGTGCGTGTGTGGTGTGTGGTGTGTGGTGTGTGGTGTGTGGTGTATGTGGTTCGCGCCAAAGGGTCCTTCGGGCAGTACCACGGCTGTTCGTGGAGCACAAAGTACGACACCTACCTGAAAGAGTATCCGGCATTCTTCGGCAAGACTCCGCACGAATGGGACAAACTGGCCCCCATGATCGTCGTCCAGGTTGCCCATCATCCTGTGCCGTGTTGTGTCGTGTGCCTTCGTGTCGTGCCGTGTGTGCCGTCATGTGTGTCGTCGTGTGTCGTGTGTGACTGACACGAAGATATGTGGGCATAGGGCTGGAGCTTCCAGCACTTGATCGACGGCGTGCTGCCGCGGCTGATGCAGGCGTGGGAGGGCCTGCAGGACGATCCCAACATCACCGTGCTCGTGGACTACAACCTGCCCAAGTTCCCCGTCGTACAGAAGATCTGGGAGTACCTCCTCCCCGCCGACCGACTCGTCGTGTTCAACCCCGAGACCATCTTCCAGTACCCACCCCTCAACACACACACGACACACACAACACACGCACACACGCACACACGCACGCGCTACACACACGTCTGATTCGTTGACGAACAGGGGCAAGCTCTGGTATCAGTCGTGCCAGTCGCCGCCGTTCCACCCGTACCTGTGGAAGAAGATGCGGGAGCGCTTCGGCTACCGCGAGCTGCCCTTCGCCGACCGCAACGTCATCGTCTACCTGGGCCGCGGCAAGCGGAGTGGGCAGACCTTCAACCACGGCCGGTCGGTGCTCAACGAGGACCAGCTGATCGAGGGGCTCGAGGCCTTCATCGCGCGGAGGAACCGCGAGCGCGAGGCCGCTGGCCAGGCCAAGCTGGAGCTCGTCGTGTTCAATCACGCCAACTACCCCACCCTCCAAGCCACCATCGCCTTCTTCAACCGCGCCAAAGTTTTGATCGGTACCTGTGCGGTGTGTGCGGTGTGTGTGTGTGTGGGTGTGTGCGTGTGCGTGTGTGGTGCGTGGGTCATACTCACGTAATGGCTGTGTCGCACTAGGCCCGCACGGCGGGTCGTTTTACAATCTGATGTTCACGCCGAGCCGCACGCTGACGATCGAGTTCATGCCCTACCAGCGGTACTCGACGCCCAACCTCATCATCTGGCAGCAGGCCGTGATGCTCGACCACAACTACCACCTCCTCCCCTACCCCGCCTCCGGCGGCAACGACGTCCGCGTGGACGTTGACGCCATTGTAGGCATCTTCGAACGCGAAATCCCCAGCTAGATGGGCTTTTTTGTTTGTTTTTATTTATTTGCACACCCCTATTTTTTATTTATTTATTTGCACACCCCTACGCGGCGTAGGTTGGGTCGGTCTCGACTCGTTGGAGGCGTCGCAGCTTTCGCTCCAGGCAACTGCCGGTGGCGGACATCCACTGCAGAGCGTGCAGGCTGTTGTTCAGGATCTCCTCCAACTCCACCACCTGTGTACCGCACACACGCATACGACACACGCATAACGACACCACACACGTTAAGATGGGTGGTGGGGCTTGGGTGAGGTTGGAGTGAGCAGGGACGACGCGTCACCTTTTGCTCCTGGGTGGTCCGTCGTTGCACGAGCTGGCTGTTGAAGTCCTCGACCAGGCCCTTGAGTGTGAGCTCCACGTCGTGGAGTCCCTTGTCCACCTCCTTCGCCGAGTCGTAGCTCCGCTCTCGCTGGCGGTCGGCGTCGCCCTCGGTGAGCGTGGCCTCCGCCTCCTCCTGCAGGTCGCATAGGATCGCGTAAAAGCTCTCTTGGTGCTGCACACGGCACACGGCACACGTCACCGCACACGCACACGCACCACCGCACGCGCCCACGCACACGCACATTGAAACGTGATTAGCGTGCGACGTCCCGCATTCAGTCGTGGCGAGGGAGCGTACTCGTAGGATGAGGTCAAGTCCCTGGTCGACCTCGGTCTGGGCGATGGTCACTTGGTCGATGTTGGTCACCAGTTCCGCCATCTGGGGTGTGTGCCGCGCACGCCACGAGAAAGAGGAGAGGTATGGCGGCGCGAGAGGTGAGGCTCACTTTCAAAAGAACGCGAAATGGAAAAGAGCGGCGCGTGCGTGTACCGAGCGATCGAGCCCCACGCAGACCCTGTCGAAGGAGGCCACCGCCTTCGCGCGGCGATCGAGATCGGCAGCTTTGGCGACCAGCTCCTCCTCCCATCGGCGGAGCAGCTGCGCCACACGACACGACACGACACGCACGACGCGGATCAGCGTGCAACCGCGACGGAACACGGAGAGAGGCAAGAGAGACCCTGTCGAGTGGCTGGCCTGCGGTCAATTGGTGCAGATCGGGGTCGACCCAGCCGGGCGGCAGCTCTGCGGGCGCCGGCGCTGGCGCGTGTGCAGGCGCTCGCTGCACCTCCCGCGGCGGTCCCGCGCCCATCGCACCGGTCGCCGGCCCCGGCGGCCGCGCGAGCGCACTCGCCGCCGCCAGCGGCGGAGGCTGCTGATGACCAATCGTCGCTCCCGCCGCCGCCGGGGCAGCAGCCGCCGCGGGTCGTGGTGCTGACGTGGCACCTCCCGCCGGTTGGGCGCTCGAGGACTGGTTGATGACCTGCTCGACCTGGGCCACCCGGTCGGCCAGCGTGCCCTTGAGCCGCGCGATGTTGGCCGGCTGGTAGGGTCCGCGCTCGCCGCCGGTCTTGGCCGTGTCCCGCGCGTAGGCGGCGATGACGGCGATCAGGTTCTGCAGGAAGGGCACCTCGCCGTGCTGGCGCTGCATGCGCTCGAGGGCCTCGCTCACCCGGATGAGGAACGCGCGGTTGAGCTCCTCCACCCGCGCCACGGTGCGCATGCCCGGCTGCGCGTCCATCCGCCGCTCGTTGTCGTCGGCCCACTGCAGCGCCTCCTTAAGGGACCGCACGATCGAGCCGGCGATGAGCCGCACCTGCTCGCGCTTGGACTCCATCGTCGCCGTCGTAGTCGCAGCAGCGGGCGCTCTCGCCTGCGCAGGAGACTGCGGCGACTGCGGCTGGGTCGGTACGTTGGCGGGGCGAGCTGGCGAGGCCGGTGCGGCTGCGGCTGCGGCGTGGGCAGCGCGCGATGTGGGCGGAGAAGTGGCGGCGCCGGGGCCTGGCGGCTTGCCGGCGAGGGAACGGCGCACGGTGATGGGAGGCCTGCGGGGCGGGTCTTCGGCGGCCGGCTGCGGCGCACTGGGCGGCACCTTCTCCCAGTGGTTGTTGCGCTCCTCCAGCAGGTCCTGGATCATGAAACTGATGCGAGTGGGCAACTTGTGGTCTTCCAGGTTCTTTGCGAGCCGCGCGTAGATACTGTCTATGTACGGCTTGGCATCATTCGCTTCCTACAGCGCACACACACACGACACACGACACACGACACACGACACGCACGACACACACACGTCAATACTGCAGTAGTTGACACAATCGATTTGCGGCTGCGACACGGAGTACCTCGCGCGATGCGTAGAAAGGCGGCTGGACTCGGCCGTGCTCGACGGCGTCGTCGGTGCGGAAGTCGAGCATGCGGCCGGCGTGGCGCATGAAGTAGCAGCACAGCTCGGCGTGGTCGACGACGTAGTCGACCATGTCGAGCAGGTCGCCGGTCGACAGCATGCCGCAGTTGTACAGCTCCGACGCGAACTTTAGGTTGCCCAGCAGCCGCCGCCGGAACTCGGCCTTGCGCTCCAGGATATGCTGCTTGAGCTGGGCCGCCGCTTCGCCGTCGTCGTCGCCGTCGTCGCCTTCGTCGTCCGTGTCCTCCTCATCATCCTCAAACTCCAGGTAATCAACCACCTCACCATCGCACATGGAGCTCATAAAGAACTCAAACTGTGCGTGTGCGTGTGCGGTGGTGCGTGTGCGTGTGCGGTGGTGCGTGTGCGTCAGATGATAGCAGCCAGTAATGATGAGAAAACAAGGCAGTAGGGCAGTTACGGTGGCGTCGTCGAAGCGTGGGCAGAGGGGCGAGATGGCGCGGCAGACGTGGGCGTAGACGTCGCTGAAGTTGGGCTCCTCGAGGGCCTTCTCGAAGATGACGCGGCTGAACATCTCCAGCTGCTGCACGCCCGCGATGCCGTTCCCGCACACGCCCTGTCTGCCGTCGTGCACGCAGCGCCCGGTCACATGTTCGGCCAGCTCGCGCACCATCGAGTCAAAGTTGCGCGGACCGATCTTGTTGAGAATCCTGATGATCATCACCATCATCACCAACATCACCATCATCAATGTCAGTTGATGGTGATGTAGAAGAAGAGTGATTGGGAGGGCGCACGCGGTGGTGCTGCGGAGGAGGTTGCCGACGGGCGACTCGTCCTTGTGCTCGCGCTTGAAGGTGGGCTCCCACGGTTGCTCCGCGCCGGCCGCTGCTGCGGGCGATGATGGCCCGACGCCGCCGCCAGGCGCCGCGTGCGCGTAGGGCGAAGGCGGCCCGATCTGCGCTGCTCGCTGCTGCGGCTGGGCCTCATGAGGCTGGGGCTGGGGGTTGTGACCGACGAACGTGAACGACGACGCGGGCGGCGGCGCCGGTGATGAAGGAGAAGCCTGCGAGGCTGACGCTGACGGGGCAAAGGAAAAGGCGGGGAGAGCAGAAGAAGAAGAAGAGGGTGGCGTGCTGGAGAAGGAGAAGGAGGGGAAGGCAGTGGCCGTGGCCGACGAGGGTGCACCACTCGGGTTGAAGCTGAAGCTGCCAGCGCCGCCCCCTAACGTAGCCGTGCCCTACACCAACAAACCAACAAAATCAGAAAAAAAAAAGTGTCGTACGGGGATTGATTGCCGTTGAAGAGGTACGTACGTCGCCACTGGAGCCCGTGGGAATGCCGCTTTGTGCGCGCGCCAAAGATGAGCCCGAGCCGCGCCTCATCTTGCACGCCCTGAACGATCTGTGCTCTTGCTATTTATTCTTCTAATTTTTCACCGCAGCCAAAATTTATATTCCATTTCACTTTCTCGTTTCCTGCGCCTTTGCAGCTCATCTTCATCTTCGGAGGGAGGCCAGCATGCACCGCTTGAAGGGTGCCCAGAGGGCTGCTGTGGGACCCACGCTGGGGCTGGGTCACCGCCACTCTTCCTCCACGGCAACGCTGGCCTTGCGGCCTCTGGTGTCCTCCCTGCTACGTGGCTGCATTACCTCAAATGCACCACCACCGGCCACTGCCACGATGTCTCAACAAAGCATCACCAAACGCTTCATCCTCGCCACCACGCGGCGGACCTTGCCAGCTCTCCCCACTGCTGCATTGCCCGGGTTGCGAGCCGCCAACCACAAAATCGCGAATCGGGGAGCGATTTTGAACTGTACGTTTGTGGGCTCGCATGGAACGCTACCCAGCGCACTGATCCAACGACGCCACAAGAGCGGCTACTTCCACAAGTTCCATCATCGTTCGTCCCACCTCCATTCTTACATGCATTCCATTAATCCTTTAATTTTTATTTTGGATCATATTCATTAAATTAATAATAGTGCATAAGACAATAAATATAAATATATAAATAATAAATGTAAATTTAAATAATAATGTAACGTGGCCTTGTGCAGTGAAGATGCGCACGTTTTGGTCGCAGGTGCAAAAGGAAGTGAAGAAGCGACCCAAGCGGCTGGCGTTCGCCGTGGGCCTCCTGCTGGCGATCCCGCTGGGCGGGTACGGGTACTGGCAGTACTACCAGGACATCGTGCCCCACAGCGGTACTGCTTCAATCGAGCACACAAGACACGCACCACACAACAACACGACACGACACGCGACGCGCACACCGCACGCGACGCAGGAATTGATGCAGGGTGTGTGTCTTGGCAGGTCGTAGGCGAATGATGGACGTGTCGCGGGAGGAGGAGCAAAGAATGGGTCTCGCCTCATTCCACCTCCTCAAACAACAGTACAAAGACCAAATCCTCCCCGAGAACCACGAAGTACGCGACGCGACGCGACGCGACGCGACACGACACGACACGACACGACACGACACGACACGACACGACACGACACACGGCAGACGCACGACCAAGAAAGAACAATGTTGATATCGCGTTGGTCTAAGACTTGTCGCAACGCAGTTGGTTCTCGCAGTCAAGAGGATTGGACGCAGGATCATAGAGCAAACCGATCTCCAGGGCCTGCACTGGGAGTTCTTGGTAAGCCCTCGTTCTTCTTCTTCTTCTTTTTCTCTGACGGTAGCACAACCGCACACGCACAACCGCACACGCACACAGGTCATTCAGTCGGACGAGATGAACGCGTTCGTGCTGCCCGGCGGCAAGGTGTGCGTTTTCACAGGGATACTGAGCGTCACGCAAGACGAATACGGCCTCGCCACCGTCCTTGGCCACGAGGTCGGGCACGTCGTCGCCCGTACGTGCTCCCTTGTGCACCACCGCACACGCACGCACCACGCACACACCACACGCTGTGTCTGATCGGCAACCAGGACATGGCGCCGAGAAATGGAGTAAGATGCGCTGGGAACGAGCACTGGGCTGGCTCACCGCCATCTTGATCGCGCGGGAGGAGCCCGGCTGGTTGATCAACCAGGTCCGTACCTAGAGCCTCAAAACGTTCGAACCCATGCGCGACCTTTTTTTGCTAACGCGCACCACAACACGACACACACACACACACACACACACACACACACACACAACCACACAGCTACGCCAGTTCTTGACGTTGTTCCTTGCACTCCCGTTCTCTCGCAAGTTCGAGCACGAAGCCGACTTCATCGGGTACCGCAACAGTCTCTCCCCTCAAAAACAATCTACTTGTTCCACCTTCCACCGCTTCAGCCCTCCTCACGTCGGTCGGTCGTGTGCGACTTGCTCGATCGACGTCGTCGGACCACTCCACACCAGGTTGATGCTGATGGCCGAAGCGGGCTACGACCCCACGAACGCCGTCGATCTATGGATCCGATTCTCTGCAGCCTCGCCCTCAAGTAAGCCCCGCTACGCTCTCGTTCTCGTTGACACTCTCGCTGATGCGCTGATCGTCTTCCTCGCTGTGCGCGCGCGGCGTCGTGTAGTGTTGAAGTACCTGTCCACGCACCCACCAAACGCCGACAGAATCGTACTCTTGAAGCGCTGGATGCCACAAGCGCTCGACCAGTACCACAAGCACACCCGCCCACAGGCCACCGCCGTCATTGTCTAGTCTGCTCTGCTTCCCTTTTTGTTATTGTACCACCCCTTCTACCACTCAACTCTGTAGTTGTAGTTGTTTATAACGCCGCATCATCATCATCGTCATCATCATCATGAAGAAGATGTTGAGGGAGCAGGGCATGTCAGTGGTTGGATGTCGTGGCGTGCGCTGCGCGGCGGCTGCCGGTTCTGTTGCCAGCAGCGACGGGCCATGGAGACCACGTTGGCGAGGGAGAAGGGGAACACGTAGCTGAGGTCGTAGCCCTCGCGGTACCGCGGGTTGAGCGCGATGTACTCGCGGGCCTCGGGCAGGTCGAAGTAGGACTCAGGGTACTCGGCGAAGGTCTCCGGCTGGATCACCACGTGCACGTTGATCGCTCCCGTGCCCTCCTCCACCTCGAAGTTGTCATCCTTCACCGCCCTGCACCGCACACAACCGCACACACGCGACCGCACACGCACACGATTGGCACTCGTCAAGGTGGTGATGGAGCGCGTGCGTGCGAGCGAGCGGTACCGGTCGAGAATGGAGTAGAGCGGCGCGACGATGGCGCGCTCCTCGGGCGGGTGGATGTTGTTGAGCACGTAGTAGCGGCCCACGCTCCGCTTCATGGAGACGTAGTTAAACACGCTCGCGATCGAGAAGAAGAAGAAGCGGGTGAGCGGGTGGCGCAGCTGCTTCCACGCGTAGTACAAGAGACAGGCCACCACGTGCAACGACCGTCGCCGGTACTCGTGCACGATCCGCAGTTTGCCTGCAAAAATCCAAAATAAATAAATAAATAAATATATTCTAAAAGAAGCAAATTAAAAATAAAAATTAATCAAATTGAAGCCCTTTTCAAATTTAATAATGAATATAGTCATATTGCTAATAAAGCTTGATCTTCGCACCTTGAACGATGACCTTTACCCAGGAGTTGTCGGTGTCCATGGTCCGCCACACGGACAGGCCGACGAGACGACCCAATGCCTTCTTGGCACCGCTGGTGCTGCTCTTCTCGCGAAAGATGAAGGCGAGGTCGTACTGCTCCATGTGGTTGAGGAACGAGTCGGCGGACTCGGCCATCAGTTCGTTGCTGAACCCGTAGAGCTGCCGCATCTCGTCCTCCGACAGCGAAGCGCACCGCCGCACCTCGACACTCACCCCCAGCCCCATCTCGTGTGTTGCGCACTTGCTTCTCTTTTTCTCTTTTCGACTTTGCGGCCGTGAGCTGAGGCGCAAGAGCAGCTCCAACAAACGGAGTGTCGCGCATTGGTCATGCCACGAAGCGAGCCAACGACGTTTCGCGCCCGCGGCCGGGGAGAACCGCAGACCCCAAGGGGGGCGGTGTGGTGGTTGGTCATTGGTACTACCATGGCCGGCGGCAGTAGTAGTAGTAGTAGGCTGTGTACAGTGGGGCGGGGCGGGGCGGGGCGGGGTACACTCCCACCTCCTCCGGTCTTCGATCTCGCTCGCTCAGCGATTGGGGGTGGGGGCGGGGTTGGGGAACAGCTCTGAGTCGAGGAAGTTGACGAGGGCCTCCTCGAGCTGTCTCTCTCGAGCGTCGTTGATCTCTTTCTCCTGCAGGCGCGCGGCGGCCAGAGTCAGTTCGGAAGACTGAGTAGACCATCGCCCACCCAGTTTGGGGGGGGGCTGTTGATGGCACGTACCCGAACAGTGGTCGGGTAGCCGGCGCCTTCTCTGATGACCCTCTCGGTCAGCGGCGGCGCGTTGTCTTCCACGAAGCGAGTGATGAACTGATCCAACTCCAGCCTTTGAGTAACCACCGCACACACGACACGCACCACCGCACACACGACACGCACCACCACACACACATGCGCAAAGATTCAAGCTCGTGAGACTCTCGGCAAGATGAACAGAGCCAGGGCGGGAGCCACGCACTCTCCATCGGAATAATCGAGCTCGTAGCGCTGGACCTGGCCGTCGGCCTCGCCATTGGGCAGGGTGACCACCATCTGCGTCGTCTTGGCGGTGTATAGCGCGTGGAAGCCCCGCCTGTCTCGCAGCACCAGCTCACAGCCCGTGCACCCGTCCGCCTATGATCACCGGTGCCAGCGGTTGGGCAAAGAGCGAAAGCGAAAGCGAAGCGAGGGAGGGGGAAAAGCGAAGAAAGAGAAGGTGGGAGAATCTGGCACCTGGATGGTGGGTATGTGATGGTTGAGGTGCACGGTCACCGACTGGCAGTTGATGACCTCGGCGGTGCCCGTCGTCACTGGTTTGGACAGAGTCAAGGTACAGTCGCGGCACCCCTCTGCCGGGTTGGGGGCAAAGGTGGTGTCATCAGTGAAACAAGTAGCAAAGCTTGGGGTGAGGTGCGCAGGCCAACCAATGACGAGCTTGGTGGCGCGGCCGGTGAGGGTGATGCGGCAGTCGCGGCAATTGGTGATGCACGTCGCTGCTGCCCCCGCGTCCACCACTAATGCAGTGCCCTCTTCGTTTTCCTGCGTGCATGCATCTTAAATCAATGGAGACAAGTGCAATGGCATACGCATATGACCGCCAGAGGAGCAACGGGGAAGGTACGATCGTACTATGCGAGTCACAGGTCTGCGAGCAAGGAAGGCGTGCATCTTGATGCTTCTCGAAGAAGATTAATTTATATTTATATTTATTTTATTTTATTCAGTCTTTTCTGTACGCCCCCGTGGTGGAGACAAACGGCCAGTTTTGGCGCCTGTTGCACCTGCCTCAGTCGACATTGCGCAGTTGTGCGACAGCTTCGATGACGGTGAAGGGACTGCGCGTCTCGACCACACGCTTGAGGTCGAAGCCGGCGCTGGTCAGCAGCCGCGCGAATTCCTCCTGCGTCCGGCCCTTGCCCTGGTAGACCGTCATCGACACCAGGTCCAGGGCCAGATTGATCTGCCGCTGGTCGTGGGGCTTGATAAAGTCGGCCTCCACCAGCACCAGCTTCTTTCCCTCTGAGTGAACCATTGCGTAGTGAGCCACCACAAATTGGTTAACGGACAAGGTAACAGGAGAGCTGGCATTGTGGGAGGGTTGACGCACTTTGCTGCATGGCCTGCCTCACATTCTGGAGAAGAGTGAGGGCCTTGGCATCGTCCAGCTGGCTGACGACGCCCTTGAGCACGTAGCAGTCACCGCCCGACGGCACGCTCTCGAAGAAATCGCCGGCCTCCATAAACACACGATCTGTGCGCGTTTTAACGCGCCACACAAAGCAACGCGTGAGATGCAACGATGATGGATGGTGCGATGAGCCATGATGGTGGTCATACCCTGATAGTTGATCACATTCTTGCCGTACCGCTCCTGCCACTCGATGATCGCCTCGTCGATGACGTGCTGCTGATCGTAGATGGTGGCGGTCATGTTCACGTACCGCCGCAGCAGCATGTTCACAAACTTGCCTCGACCTCCGCCCACGTCCACCACATGCTGTGCGCCACACACGCAAGGTGGTGCTGAGCTATCATCACAGATCTCAATGAGTGCAATGAGGCAGTCACGATTCTCACCTCAAACTGGCGGAAGTCGTAGTCCTCAATGACGGCAGCGCCACGCAGTGCGTTGGTTTCTAATGAATGTGGAGGTGGCAGGGTATGTGAGGCCCGGATCGTTTGAAACAAAGTGGCGTGCAACGTACCGGCCATGGCCTGGTTGAACACCTCGTTCTGCACTCGGTTGTCTTCGTAGTAATCCCAGAACGTTTCGTCGGGCAGGTACTGATGTGCCCGCACACAATTGGAACCAAGTCAAGCGAGCCGATGCGTCGCTTCAAGGTGGCGGCCTTGGTCAGATGTAGTACCTTTCTCCACCCCACAACACCTTCTGTCAGGGTGAGGAGCATGCCGTCGGATGCGCCCCAGTGGACGTGGTCGTGATAGGCCATCACTAGATTGCGCACCGTCGAAGGGTGATCCTTGCTGTGAACGAAAGTAAACGAGTAACCGAAGAGTCTGAACAGGAACGCATGGGCGAGTGGGTCGGTGGCGCCAGTTACCGAAGCACGGACGAAAGCTCGGTGTTGCGAAAGGAGCGCGGCTTGTCTTCATAAAAGTAGCCGACGCTGGCCAGAGTCCTGAGAACCAACCGTCAGGTAAGACGCCTCTTCACCCTCGTGCGTGTGCGTGTGCGTGGGCTGCGTGGGCTGTGTGCGCGTAGGTGCACCTGAGGATGCGATAGAGATTCTCTTCGAGGACGTCGTTGGCTTTGGCCAGCTCGCCTGCGGTCTTACTGCCATCGCCGATCAGGTCGGCTATCCCCAGCTGGCGAAACGAGAGAGCAAGCGTGTGCATGAGCGCATCATGCCCTCACCGGGGACTAAAATCGGAGCTCAGACCAACAGCGGCGCACCTTGGCCACGAGATGTAGCGCTTGAGAGGTGAAGTGTGAAGTGGCCAGCTGCAGCGCCATGTAGGGAGGCGGCACCAGTTTGCTCCGCAGATACATCAGCACTGCATCAAGCGTCAGACTTAGCGTTCGCGTTACTGTGTGTGTGGTGTGTGTGCGGTGTGTGTTGAAGTGGGGTGTGGGGTACCTCGATCGGCCCACTGCGCGAAGCGGTAGCCGACCCACGAAGAGGGCGCGCTGTAGTCGGCACCAGCGAGTTGCTGAGCGCCCGGAGCCTTGAGGTGGGCGATGATGCCGCGGCCGAAGTAGCCCAAGCCCACCCCCACCAGTACTACCACCAGTGCCCACGAAAGCTTGAACTCCATCTCGCCCTAATCGCCCCAAGAACGAAGCGGAAATCGAGTAGAAACGATGGTGAGTAAAGAAAATAAAAATGGGCTGAATAAGAGTGGTACCTACAACAAAGCGGTACGGGCTGGTGCTTGGCTTGTGGTTGAAGTAAATGAATGAACAAGAGGCAAAAAATCGGTGGCTTCACCTGTTTTTGATCAGATTCCGCGTACATTTCTTCGAGATTGATAACAAATAAAATTGATTTGTTGTATTTACATACGTAACCCCGCATGCCTATTATTCTCGCTACTTGGTGATGGGGAACACGACCTTGCGTTCGAGGCGCACGCTGGGCTTGAGCGGTATTCGGGTGTCCTCCGTGCGGCCCTTGCCCGCCCAGCACGAGGGCATGTAGTTGTTGCTCGACTTGGACGAGTCACGCACCAGGCCCATGCGCTTGTAGGCCGCCGCCGTCAGCTCCGAGCAGAAGAGCGACGAGAAGTCCTCCTCCCTGCAGCGGTGGGCGGGCACCGGTGAGTCTCGCGGCGGCGCTACGGCAGGCATCGCGTATGAGCGAGGTGGTGACGGTGGCGTACGTGTTGAGCCCGCTCCAGGCCTTGACCATGGAAAGTCGGTTCTTTTGAAATGGCCGCCCCTGCACCTCATCAATGAACCTGTTGGCCACCGGTGACGTAAGCAACACAGGATATGAGAAGGCGGGGAAAAGACGATATGGGCGGTAGAGGTGATCTACCGGTAGATTGCGTCCATCATCTCGGGCGTCCTCTGCACCGAGAGCTGTCGTATAGCGACTTTCGATACCGTTCGCAGTAACTCGATTCTATCGTCAAAATTGTACATCTCCACACCACCCTCCAGGGTGGCTGGTAGACAGGGACAAGGAGCAAAACGATTGTCAGATCGTCGCTCACGCAATGATGAGGAGGGACCGGTGCGCACCTTCAAGAAGTCTGATTTCGTTGTTCCACCAGCGCACCACCATCGCCACATGATCCCACTGTTGAACACACGCTCTATCAGCCGCGCGGTCGCAGGCGAAGGGGCGGAGGGCGGAGGTGGGCAGTAGTGTGGGCGGAGAGAGCGTACGTGGCTCATGGTGAAGAATTTTGTTCCGTACGCCAAAATGTGCGAATTGTCGAAGAGCACGATGTCGCCGGTGTCCAGTCGCATGGGGATCGACGTGGACGCGATGCCCCGGTCTTGCAACAGCGCTGACTTGTCGAACGACCGCGGACTCTTTTGGACCTTGATGGTCACTGTACATGGCGCGTCCTACGCCACGACACATTGGGTGATTAATTGAATGGCACACGCACGTGCGGACAACCGCTGAAGAGGTGGTGGTGATCAAGTGTACCTCGGTGGATCGTTGACCGTTGCGTTGAGATGGCGATGACATGGTCTCACGCTCTCGCTCCTCTTCTCGTTCATCTTCCTCCAGCTCCTTCTCCTCTTGTTCTATACCCCGCGTCGCAAAATCCGCCACAGCGAGCGTGCCCAGCACCTCGGTCTTCCAGTTGTTGGCCAGCGTCGTCTCTACGGCTGGACGGGGATTGGGTTTCGGCTGCGGGTTGTTCCCCTCTGCGGCGCCGTGTACCGGTGAGAGGCTACGATACCCGTTTTGTGACGCAGGTGACACGCGCGCTTTGGTCCACTCGGACTGCTTCTTTGCGGGCTCCGCTTTGCGTGGCGCGCTCACCTTCATCTAAGCCCAAATGCGAACAAAGCCGAGTGAAGTGGAGTGAGTGAGTGAGTTGCAACAGAGTACGGAAGGAACAATGGCACGCGTGTGGGTGACTCACCATAGACTTGGATGGATGATGATTCCTCGGGCTCAGGTTGCCGCTGGACTGAGATTTGTTCGAGCGTGGTCCGAGATCTGACACTGCAGTTACACGCCGAACGCCAACGGTCAGTGGTGAAAGGAGCAAGAGTTCACACGACACATGACGACACACGACGACGACGACACACACACACACACAAGAGAGAGAGAGAGAGACGTACGCGGAGAGACCGCAAAGGAAAAAGAGAAGGCCAGAGTGACCTCATCGGCCTTGTCCATAGGTATGGTCGCCAGATCGATCCATTGCTCGTCTACCAGCGTGTCGGCCGAACCCAATCCGCCAATCTGCCAGAGCGCCACCTTCACGCAGCCTGCCCCCTCCATGATATCCTCGCCCGAGCCCTCCTCCGTGAACGTGCAGCCCAATCCGGCCCATGGGAAGGACGCCGATGAAGATGACGACAGCAACGGCGAGGGCATGAACGACGACAACGATGGCGGCGATGCGGGCGGCGACGTATTCGAGCGAGCGGAAGACAGGTTGCGAATGTGCGGCGAGGTGGCGGGCGAGTGTCGGTCGTAGTGGTTCTCGGTCCTTCGCACCTCTCTCGACGATTCCGCATGCCCGACGTCCGCTTTGGAGTGATGGTAGGACCACGTGCGGAGGCTCTGCCTGCCCAGCGACAGCTCCAGATAGAGGCCCGCGCGACCGGCAGCGTGGGCCAGCTTGTGGTTGGTGTTGAGGTGCGCGTGGGTGATGAGGAGGTCGACGACGGGCCGCGCCGAGCTTGGACCCAGCAGCGGAGCGGGCGTGCTCTTGGGTCGGCCTCGCTCGCTCTTGGCCAAAGATGGAGCGGCAGAGGAGGAAGCAGTCGACGACGCCTCTTGCGGTTCATCTGGAGGCAAGATGTACTGCTTGATGAAGTCCTTGTGCAGCGAGTAGCGGTCGGCCAGCAGTTTGATTACCTCCCGCACGCCGCCCACCCAGCGCTCGACGTCCTCGGCGTCCTCCACCGCCAGCACGTAGACGCGCTTGGTGCAGGTCGTTCGAAGATGGAAGGAGTGAGGGAATCGCGGATCGGGATGCAGCGGCGCTTCGATTGCAGCCGCTGCTGTGAGGAGGATGTAGTTGATCGGCTCCGCTTGCGGATCGGTGCTGTAGTAGAGTCGATTGTCCTTCAGGTAGAAGTAGCGCCGCTTCCATCCCGAGATGACGCTGTTGGCGCCCTTCTTCCACAACCAGCCCTCGAGCTTGCGGTAGAGGCGCTTGGTCGGTGGTCGATAGAACGCGTACTGAAGCCTCGGGGCGGCCCCTTTCGTCGATGATGGCCCGGCCGTGGTCTTCACTTCCATAATGCCATCTTCACCCATGAACACAACTTCCTGTGTCCCCTTCTCTCCAATCTTCGCACCTCCCTCCACATCGCCCCTACTCTGTTCATTTTCTCCTTTCGGGAATCTCGCCGCGCCTAACGATGGGTAGATGGTTCGTTTTGCAGCGCCGAGGATGGCCAATGGCTTGGCGAGGCTCCTCTCCTCATCGCCATCCTCCATCCCGCGCCGAGGGCCTGCTTTTGATTGCCTCAGGGCTGGTTATCGTTCGTGCCGCCACCTTGTCGCGGTGATTCGTTATCTGTTTCTCTCCCCTTTTCTTCTTTCAATCCTGGGTCTCGCACACACACAACACCGGTTGTTAGATAAATAAATGTTATTTATATTATTTGCATTTGTGTGCACCTATGTGCGTCCCCTTCCATCGAAACAGAAGGCAGAAGGCGAGCCACAGGAGTAACAAATAATAAATAAATAGCTAGAGAGGCAGCCTGTTCCACGCGCCCCGCTTCAGTCATTGTCTTCTTCTTCCACCTCTTGCCAGATCTTCTTCCTCTTCAGTCAATATCTTCGTTGCTGTTGCTGGGCACGGGAGGTTCGGCGGCAAGCGCTTCGTCGGCTTCGTCCTTGGATGACTCGGTCTCGGCCTTCTCCTTGCCCTTGTGGCCGCCGGCATCGGCTTCCTCCTTCCTCTTCTTCTCCTCCTCCTTGAGCTTTCGCCTGTACTCGGTGGCGCCCACCTTCTCATAGATCTCGCCCATGATTCGCAGACCCTTGGCGCGTCTCCTCCGCTCGGCCTTGGAGATGTCCAGGTCGCCCAACACCGACTCGCATACCTAAGCGCGCAAGGTGAGAAAAAGAAGCGTCTGCAGCCCGCGATGAAGCACACGGCGATGGTAAAGAGATGAAGTGGCAAACGAACCTTTCGCATAGTGTTCTCGGTTTCGAGCTTGCCCATTCGGAAGAGGGCACCCATGCCTTCGCTTTCGATGGCAGCCTCGAGCTCGGCCTGCTCTTCGGTCTGTGTTCCCAGCTCGCCCTCCATCTGCTTAGCCTGAAGTTCCTGCTGCGCCACTTCCAGGCGAATGGCGGACCTGGCAAGCGCAACCACCACAACCACAGCAAACGCTCGAGATGAGTTGACGGCCAGCGACTCACACAACTGGCGCAAGGGACGTACTTGAGTGCTCCCCAGGTTTCCTTGATCATGTGCGCCTTCTCGCGCCATTCGGCAAAGGTGCCACCGATGCCACCCAAGTGCTGCTTGGCCTCTGACCGATACACGTAGCCGACCTGCCAGGCAGAAACGCGGGTAATGAACTCATCAGAACATGAGAAAGGAGGACCACTAGTGGTAGGCGTGGGCATATATACATGGTAGAGCAGCTCAGCGCCTCGATCCTCGTCCTTCAGCTCTGCCGCTTGTTTGGTGAGCGACTGCTTGAATTCTGTGGCGTAAACGCAAAGTGTTACGGTGAGCACAAAGCATTGACAAATGAATGAGCAGAGTTGAAGAAGAAGAAGAAGAAAAAAACAAACCCTCTTCGCTGCCCTCCAGGTAGAGCTCAAGTTTCGAGAGAAGCTGTGCTCGGAGAGTGATGATTCGGTGCGCCTCCTGCTCACCAGGGTCCGAGGTGGCCGAGAAGTGCTCTGTAACAAGGAATCAGCGTGCGGCGTTCTGTGCCTCGGCAGAAGTTTGCTTGGGGAGTGACTGCGTGAGCGAGTTCGGTACCGAAAGAGACTTCACCAAAGAACTCCTTGAACTTCTCACCACCAAACATGTCCTTGAACAGCTCGCGCGGGTCGGAGAAGATGTCATCGCCCTTTTCAAACACCACCTGCAGAAGATCGAAAAAGTGTTTAAAAAAAGAGTCATGCATGCGCCCGCAACGTTGCCGTACCTTGCCGTACTTATTGTACCGTTCCCTCTTCTCGGGGTCGGACAGGACCTCATACGCGACAGAAATCGCTTTAAACTGGAGGGATTAATTGATTAATTCATGCAAGATTTACAGAAAATAAATCGTCAGGCTCCATGGTGTTCGAACCGTATCTTCGCTGCCGCCCTTGTCGGGATGATGAACCTTCGCGGCCTGATAGTACCCCTTCTTGATCTGCGCCGTGGTGGCCGTAGGGCTCACACCCAGCAGGTCGTAGTACTCTGTCTCAAGAACCTTTCCCTCCATCTTTATGATTAAATCGGATCAATTCGATTCCTGATGTTGATCGAATCAAGAGGTGGGATCGATCCACGGTTCGAGTCAGATGGTTGGCACTAAACGAAATGACGATGCTGCGAGGACAAAAGCAGACCGTACCGCAGGCTGCCGACCGACAAGACAACTCCTCCCGTCTTGCGCTGTATCTCCACTTCCCGCCTTGGGCCACAACTGTCGACGCTATGTTGTCTACAAAATTACAGACACGGCAAAGAAGAAAAGGAAAAAGAAGAGAAATGACGGTGCATCGATACCCGGGTTCTGGGCGTCAAGGAGTGGAAACACAAAAACGGAGAACCCGCGGTACATGGGGCATGCGGCGACCTCAGCGGTGATCAGCACTGTCGAACCCGGCACAGAGGGCGGAGTGGAAGAGGAGGTCTTCCAGAGCAAGGAGCTCATGAGTATGGTTGTTAGTCTATCGGACATGTCCATCACCGACCTCTCCCGCTTTGCTTTGGTCTGTCGGTGCGTGTTCTGCTTCATTAGCCCGGTAGACCACATTAGCGCAATAATTAACGACTTGAATATTATATATCTTATATATTGAAAAAATAACTGTATTTCTATTTACGCCTCTGTGGCCTCCACAGGCGGTGGCGGGACGTGGCGCGAGACCCGCTCTTTCCCTTCCGGCTGAGCCAAGCCCTTTGCGTCGGCACCATCGAAAAGGACGTCCGGCCAGAGTTCGTCTGGCTCTCCACACTCCGCAGCGAGAGGGTACTGCGCCTTGTCCTCCGCCAGTGGCGGCCTCGTGGTGCAGTGGTGCTCACCAACAGCGCGTGTTGCCACACCCGACCGGTCTTCTTCTCCTTCGTCTTCATCAATTCATTCAAGGTGGTTTCTGCGTCGGCTGGAGGCAGTCATTGCCTGTTCCTGACCAGCTCGGGCCGCGTCTACGGGATGGGGACCAACGCCCAGGGGCGGCTCGGTTTGAATCACAGCGTGCACGCGTGTCGATCGCCCGAATTCGTGAGCTCGCTCGGTAAGCCGGTGCCACTTGCTACGCAGGCTGCTCGCGCTCACCTCACTAACAGTGACACGCACGCGAATCAGAGCATCAGCACATCGTTAAGGTGGAGGCCGGTTTTCTCTGTAGTTTTGCACTTACCAAAGAGGTGCGTTATTCCTCTCTTGAGTGTGTCGTGTGTGTCGGGTGCGGTCTTCACCCAACACCTTGCCTTCCCGGGCTTGAATCGCTTCCCCAGGGCAAGGTGTTCGCCTTCGGCAGCAACACAAACGGAGAGCTCGGTCTGGGGACCAACACGTCGCCCGTGACGCCTGTCATCGTACGTGCACACCCAATGCGCGCGACCCAAGTTCCCGACGCTGCCGCTCATTGTTCATTGTCCCTCCCCACTGGCCATCAAAGGTGGACGCACTCAACGACGAAGAGATCGTCGATGTTAGCTCTGACATGCACACGTGAGCCTTCCCCCTCCTCCACCTCAGACCTCGCCTTCTTGCAGCTAAATTGCGATTGGGCGTTCGATTGTGTGTGGTTTGGGTTGGGGTGGATACATCGCAGGCTTTTCTTGACGCGGGCAGGCAGGATCTACTCTTGTGGTTTGGGTAGATTTGGTCAGCTGGGCCATGGGGACGAGGCGTGCCTGATGACACCCAAGCCGATCGCTGGTGCGTTCTGCGCACAACACAGGACACACAAACGACACACGGCTCACGCAGAGTTCGGACAGCGTTCGAGACGACACGGATCAGGATGATCTGCGCCGGAGGCAGTCACTCTTTTGCAGTGAGCGAACATGATGAGCAGCTCTACGCGTGGGGCCGGAACGAGCACGGCGAGCTCGGCCGGAAGGACAAATCGAACCAATCCCTGCCCACGCCACTGAAGGTGGGGCAAGGCGAACCCATCGATTCCATCACAAGTGCGCACTCCTCCTGCATTTCCCAATGATGATGTGCGAATACAATCACCAACTGTTGGCTTGCGTCGTGTGTGCGCGGTGGTGCGTGTGCGGCGTGTGCGGCGGAACAGCGGGGACGTGGCACTCGCTGGTACTCACTAAGGAAGGATGCTGCTACACGTTTGGCACGGGGCGAGCCAGCCTGGGCAGCAAGGATACGGCCTGGCAGCCCACGATCGTGCCCGGTCTGGAGGACCAGAAGGTGATAGCCATGGCCGGCGGCGATGATCACAGGTACCTGGCGTGCGTGTACGGTGGTGCCTTCGTGCGTGCGTTGAGTTCAATTGCTGGCCGGCGACTTGCTTACCTTAACCGCGGTTTTCTTTAGTTTGTTTGTCACGGAAGATGGCGTGTACGCGATGGGGAACACGAAGCGAAGTCGAATAGGAAGACATAACGGAGACGCACTGACCCGCGCCGAGCGCCTGGGAGGTGGGCTTGGCAACAAGGGCCGACCGTTCGCCGTCACCGCCGGCGACAACTTCAGCGTGGTGCTTCTCTAAGCCCGGTGCCATCGCACGTTGTTGGTGTCCATGATGCACATATTTGAATAACTGTACACTTACACAACCGACCAACCGGCCGGCAGCGCCATTAAGGTAACCTCAAGGTGGTGTGGCCGGTCCTCGAGAGAAACGGGCTACGAACTCGTCCAAGACCAGAGAAAGGGCCTACGAGGATTGCCGCAGTCCCTCCTCTTCCGTTTCCGCGGGCGAAACCGCACAATTACCGGCCACCACGCAGTTTGGTGGTCGGATATTACTGGGCGTGGTAGTGGCAGTTCATCGTCGTCACGCCGTACAAAAGGCGTCGGCCTAGCACTCGGTTTGTATTACCACACCCCGTCCCCAACACCCAGGCCTCTAACACTGCCCATCATGCGCTTCACTCTTGCCCTCTTCGCTCTGCTGGCGGCTTTGTTCGGTACCCTTCACACTCAATCACCATCACCTCCGGCACACCAACGTGCAGGTCTTCAGGTCTTCACTTCTAACACTGTTACAATCCTCCAGCCGTGGCGCAGGCCAACGACTGCATCATGACCAAGTGCGCCTACCAGCTTGACGCTTGCGCCCAGGACATGTCCTGCTCCGCCTCTCTGGAGTGCGCCAGTACGTGTCGAGCCACACGGTGAACCTGTTCCCTAACAACAACCCACACTCACTACAACACTCTTTCGACCACCTGCAGTTAGCTGCGACACCTTCGACACCGCCTGCATCCAGGGCTGCGCCAACGAGGCGTACGTTCGCTCAGCTGCGCTCTGAAGATGAATGTGACACTGACTCTCCACAACAGCAGCTGCAACGGCGCCTTCAAGAACATGACCTCGTGCGCCGCCCAGTGCCTGCCCGACGCCCCCGCCCAGGTGCTCGACCTCATCGCTGAGGATGAGCATGAGCTGAGGATCATGTCCAAGTGCAACATCATCAAGAAGGCCGAGTGCGCCGTGGGCGTCGCTGCTGCCATCAGCTCGTGCGGTGGCCCCGCCAACATTCCCTGCATCATCAGCAGGTTGAAGGCCCTCCACGGCTGCGGCAAGTGGTACTTACTCCTCTCCACCCCCCCCCAACAACCACCCCTTCCCTATTCTATTTTTGACGTCGTTATTTCAATCAACAGCTTCTGCCAGACCCTCAAGTGCAGGGGCCTGTGCAAGGACTTCTGCTAGACGTCTACACGTTCGCCCTAAATATGTAGTTTTAATCCATTTTGTCAGACGAATACACTTGTGGTTTTTGTGGAATCTTTGTTTGTGTGTTGGTGGGTCTACATGTCCTTCATGGGCACATCGTCGGGGTGGTCCTCTATTCCACGCAGCTTGCGGTTGGCCGCGACAGCCTTGCTGAAGAGGAGGTGCTGGATGTCGCCGCCCGCTGGCGGGGCGGGCGCTTGGATGAGGTAGCGCAGGATCAAACCGATGACGCCTATGATGACGAACAGCATGGCCCAATAGAACGAGCACACGTCCAGCGTGCAGCCTGCACAATCACAACAGGAGTTAAAGGGTTAGCAATAGGAGTTATAAATCCAACAAAAAGAGGCCCTGGGCGTGGTGTGATCGGTACCGATGGGAGGGCTCTGGGGCGCGGTGTTACGGAAGACGGGCAGGGCGAAGATGAGCGAGATGGAGGCGCCGAGCATGGGCGCTTCGACCTTGGCGCGGTTCCAGATGACCAGCAGGCTGGCCATGAGCGAGAAGAAGCCGCCCACCAGCCAGAAGGCGATGATCATGAACACCGGGTAGAGTCGGAACACATCCGTTCGCGTGATGTTGATCATGAAGTCAGTAGCTCCAATGTCCTGGAATGTTGGCTGATCGCCTGTTGTCGTTGTTGTTGTTGTTGCGAACAGCGTATGTAGGACTTGTCAGCACAAAACGCACACTCCACAAAACACACGGTAACGACGCACCAACAGAAAAGGTGAAGCCGTAGGAGATGGCCTTGTTGACGATGAGCGCCAGTTCAGTGGAGCTGTTGCTGTATGTGGGACCCGTGTAGACGTAGACCGCGATTTCGCTGTCGTAGTGGTCGAACGGGTACATGTCGAACGCGCCCTTGATCAGCGGAATCTGGAGAATGCATGCATGCACACATTCAGTCGTGGCGCTGGACACTCAGTGCGCACGATGGGGAGAGGGAAGGAGGGCCGCGTACGGTGGTGGTGATGGGCTTGAAGTTGCCGCTGGGCTTCACCACGACCTCTTCTCGCCCAATGCCAATCGTGAACGTGCGGTTGAGCGTGTTGTCGGAGCCTATCCAACTATCTGGCACCGACTCGATGTCCACCGTCACCTTGCAGTTGTAGTCCACCGGGCTGATAGCTTTTTATATATATATTTCAGATATAATATAGGATAATACAAAAAAAGAATGTAGTGTAGAGCATGCACATTGCTATTGTGAGTGCAAAACGAACACATTCTTGGGGGCAGTGAGAGGAAGCGCGTACTAATAACAGAGACGGAGAGCACCACCAGGTCGGCCGGGTCGTAGGCGTGATTGGGGAAAAACTCAGCAGCTTGTGTCTGCGCAGGGAACACAAACGCAATTACGAACTAATTAACGTGCTCTTCACGCCGGTCGCCGTGTTTCTTCGTAAAAGAGGAAGATGAAGAAGATAGAAGATGAAGAGAAGGTTACCTGGTCACGGTTCTGGTTGAGGAAGGTGGTGAGGAAGGCGATGTAGCCGCCAATGAAGGCCAGAATGAAGAAGCTCTGCACGAGGATGGCAAAGCAGTTACGCTTGTGAAAGTCCAAAATGCGGCCCATTGCTGCTCCGGGTTGTGGTGTAGTGTGGGCCCGTCGCCAGTGCCAGTGTCCCGAGCTGTGCGGTGAATGGGCAAAGGTCGGAACGGAGAACGCCACAGCAGGCCACCAACCACCAACGTTGTGGTTGAAGGGGAAAAACTCGTTTTTTTCTCTTCTTTTCTTTATCCGTTCAGCTTTACCTTATTTAGCTGACCGGTTTTTTTCTGACTTAGACAAGGACCACCAGCGCCAACTGGCAGACATCGGCAGTACTTCTCCCTCTTCCGCTTCCCTCCACGACCATGCGTTCCTTCGTCGTTCTCCTCGCCCTTATCGCCACCTTCTTGGTACCGAGCGCCATTTGGGACCCGAACCACGCCTTTCTCACTCCGACTTTCGTTTCAGCTGTCGCGCAGGCCGACACCTTCGGTCGCTGCGTTGTCTCCAAGTGCTCGCCGGAGGTTTACTCGTGCTCCTCGACCCGAAGTGCGCCAACGCCGCCGATTGCCTCAGTACCCTCCCCTTATCCTCTTCACTCCAGTCCCGGCGTAGCCCTTATGAAGAGACGAACTCCCTTTCCTCTCTCCGCCCAGGCCGCTGCCCTCCATCGGCCCAGTCCGGGTGCAGCCGTGAGTGCACTGCCAGCGCGTACGTGTTGCCCCTCATCCGTTGCTCAGCCGCCACGGGAAAAACCGAACTATTGCTCAACCCGGAGGAAGTCAAGTTCTGACATTCTGGTGGGGTGCCGGGGTCCGCAGTGTCTACGCCAACCTGACCGCTTGCTCGTCGCAATGCGTGTCGACTGGTGTGGCTGATGTGATCTCGCTCGTTGCGCCCGCGAGAGCGGACAACATCATGGCCGGCTGCAACGCTATGAAGAAGGCCATGTGCGCTACGGCCATCGCCGGCGCCATCGTCGCGTGTGGTGGACCCGAGGACGTACGTCTTATCAACCGCACCTAGCTTCGCCCTTCAAGATGACCAGCTCACTTTGATCGTAATGGCACCATTTAGATCCCCTGCATTCTGGCCGCCCTGGGCGCCCTGGAGGGCTGCGTCACTTGGTACGCCGCTCTTCATACCTGTGCGAGTGGCTTCAGCTTATCTTCTTGTCGTACTGCAGCTTCTGTGAGTCCAAGGGTTGCCGCGGTCTCTGCAAGCACGTCTGCTAGAAAGGACGAAGACAAGGTAATAAAATAGGAGGTTAGTTTTTTTTTCTCCGTTGCCTTCTCCCTGGGCATGGACTCGAACTCTCAGCTAGCGTGTACCCCAACAACAACCCCCCAAAGGATTTATTCCATTTCGTGATCTGACGCACACCCGTCGCTCCGGGAGCGAAAGGTTAGTGACTCGGCACACACGCGTACAGAGCGTGGGGGTAGGCCGTGGTTATGGTACGAGAGCTCTGGTTCTTGGTTCACCTCAGCTCTCCCGCAAGGGCCGGTTCCACCAGCGAAAACTCACTTCTTGGGTGCACCTCCCTCTAACGGGTGCGGGTCTGTAGGACTGGCCCACCTGGCTACACCTCGCTTGAGCGCTTCATGTGATTGGCCGGTGGCGGCCACAAAATGCGGGCTCGGCTGCTTCGACAATCACTTCATCACTTCATCCCTTGCCTCCTCCACACTACCAACTCAGTGAAGAAGGAGAAGATCCATCAACCACCACCACGATGTCACCTTCTACCAAGCTGTTCTTCGTGCTGGCCCTGGGCCTAGCTCTCTCAGCCACGGCGGCCATGGCCGACGGCAAGATGAGGAACGATGGAGGACCGTGCAAGGGCGGCTACTGGCCCGACGGCAAGGGCTGCTGTCCGGAGCTCATCAACGGGAAGGCCTACTACCGCGACGGCAACAAGTGCTACCCCAAGGACGTCGGCTGCGGCGTTTACTACGCTGACGGCAATGGGTACCGCCTCACCGCTCACACACCACGTGAGCCGGCGTGAGGGGCTGACAGTGCACCTCGCTCAATACAGGTTCTACCCGGACGAGAAGGGCAACTACCTGAAGGCCGGCGAGTCGTGCTCGTGGGAGCGCAAGTGCCACGAGCGCTGCATCCGCCCCGCGACCACAAGACCACCACGACCACGGAGGAATGCCCCAAGGAGACCACCACGACCGAGAGGCGCACCACCACCCCAAGCGCACCACCACGACGACCGAGGAGTGCCCCAAGGAAACCACCACCACCAAGAGGGAGACCACCACGACCAAGAGGCACACCACCACTACGGAGGAGTGCCCTAAGGAGACCACCACGACCGAGAGGCGCACCACCCCCAAGCGCACCACGACGACGGAGGAGTGCCCCAAGGAGACCACCACCACCAAGAAGCACACCACCACGACCGAGGATTGCCCCAAGCACACCACCACGACGACGGAGGAGTGCCCCAAGGAGACCACCACGACCAAGAAGCGCCACCACCACGACGACCGAGGAGTGCCCCAAGGAGACCACCACTACCAAGAAGCACACCACCACCACCACGACCGAGGAGTGCCGCAAGACCACGACCGACAAGCCGTGCGAGGACGACAAGAAGAAGTGCCCCGGCGGCCAGTGGAAGGACGGCCACGGGTGCTGCCCGCGCAAGGTGGGCCGCGAGTGGCGCTACCGCGACGCCCAGGGCTGCTACCCGATCGAGCTCGACTGCGGCGTGTTCTACGCCGACGCGCAGGGCTGTTATCCGGACGAGCACGGCAAGTACCTCAAGGCCGGCGAGTGCTGCCCCGACCACCGCAAGTGCTGTCCCGAGTGCGATGGCGGCTACTAATGCAGAGGAGCATGGTCGCCCGACCTGATAAGAACGGAGAAAGCCGCACTTGTTGTTACTGATTAAATGACTTTACCACTTCACTTCCGCGAGAAAGTCTGCTTCTTTTGGTCTGCTTTTTATAAATTGTTTCGCGGAAGCCAAAACAGCCTTGGGCTTTTGCGCAAACTCAGTCGGGGTTGATTGCTAGCTGGAGAGGAAGATGGAGTCGCCCTCAGTCTCTATTTACCTCTCCACGTCGGAAGAGGAGGAAGAGCCTAAGCAGGCAGTCTCCAAGAAGCAGAAGAAGGCGCCTGCTGCAAAGGCAAATTCGCGTAGCACGTCACGAAAGCGTAAGATTACGGCCGAATCGGATGACGATGGCAAGGCATCATCACCCAAGACAAACGCCAAGACACCTCGTCGTAGCACACGATCCACAGCGACCAAGAAGAGGAAAGTGGAGGCGAATGGCGAAGATGAAGAATCGGAGCAAGATTCTGAAGCAGAGACAACAAAGACGAAGAAGACGACCCCATCCAAGACTAGCAAGAAGGGCAAGGGCAAGGAGAAGCTCGACGACGAGGGAGAAGACTACCTGGATGAAGAGGAAGATGACGACGGCGAAAAGAAGCCAACCAAGAAGACAGCCAGCAAGACCGCAGCGAAAAAAGGCCAGGCTAGGTCCAGAAAGCGAAAGGCAACGACCGACGGCGAAGATGAGGACGTGGGTGAGTCCGTGAACGATGCGGTGATCGACGAGAACGTGCAGCAGGAGGTCGAAGCCGCCTCGGGTCGCTGGGTTGTGCTGAAGTCACTGCGCATTCCGCTCCTTCTCAAGTGGCGCACGCGCAACCACAGCACCGTTGATGAGTCCGGTATGCCCAACCTGTGCTGCATGTTCTCAAGAAATGGTGTGCATGGCCATTATGGCTCACGCGATGTTGGTGCAGAGCTCAAGTTCAAGGTGCCTCCGATGACGTTCAACTGCTATGGTTGTGGACACTACAACAGCAAGCGAACGGAGCCGACGTGCAGTGGGTGCGGGTCCAGGGCACCTTGGAACGCTCAGGTGGTACGTTTCTATGATCTTCTGTTCTGTCGTGAGGGGTGGAGGGATCATGTGAATCCGACGCTTGTGGTGCGGTGCTATTTACGTCTTGGGGTTTTGCAGCCCTACCATGAAGCACGGAGCAAGGCGCTGGCCAAGGCCAAGGAAAAGAAGGAACTCGAGGCACAGAAGGCTTTCATGAAGACGCCTCTTCCGGATATCGACTCCTTCAAGAAGCCGTTCGCCGCGACAATACTGCGAGGGGTAAACAAGGCCTTGCCTGCCCCTGCCCAGTGAGAACCGCCATTCAATGCTCTCACACCAACGCGTCGCGCGTGACATGGCGTGGTGCGCGTATGTGGCGTCACAGGAGCGCTCGTACTACGATGTCTATGAACTCCGTGATGCGAAGCAGCAGCCAGTTGGGCGTTTGGAAGGCTTCGCAAGCGCCCACCACTCCACAATAACCGAACTGCGGAAGGTGCTCAAGGTACGTCGCTTCACTTTACGGGTCAGGCTGTGTACGGCTGGTCCATCGCTGATGCGCTGCCCAATATCTCAGGAGATGCAAGGGGAACCTGATGAAGCCGAAACCCTCCTCCGCGCTAGGCGAACGCCCAAGAAAGACAAGAAGCGAGGTTTCGTCCCCTCCTCACCTGCGTGGCACTCGCGCCGCCGCTACTGGGCCGCTCGTTCACACACACGCGCGGTTGTTCGTCATGTTGCGGTGTACAGCCGTATGGGGCGACGAGAAGGACAAGTTCTCCTCAAGCAAGCTGTGGAAGACCAAGTGGAGCATTCTGCCCCGGGAGGAGAAGATACCGGAGGAGTGGATCGCCGACAAGTACCACGGGATGTGGTCGAAACAGACGGACACCCCGGAACAGTTTAAAGATCAGTGGGAGTCGGGTGCCATCCGAATGGCACAGTTTGCGCTCAAGCTCGACGTAGGCAGATTTGGTTCGTATCCTACACCACTCGTGGGAGCGTGCAACATCTTTCTTTCGCTCACGCGGTGCGTCGACGAGCAGAGGCAATGGTCAAGAACGGTCTGCCGATCACGACGCGCAATCTGGTGTTTGAACTGATCTGGCAGGCGGGCAGGACCCACGCTGTCATCGATTGCATGACGGAGAAGGACAAGTCCATGGAAATGTTTGAGAACAGTTCGTTACACTCTCCACTCTTGCTGCTGTTCGCTGGTGTGCTGGATCATATGCTCAGTCTTCTGCCCTTCCTCCCATCAACAGACTGTCCCACCGTGCCCCTCACCCATCGCAAGCAGCCTGCTCGCATCCAGGTACACACTTCCCTCCCTTCTCTCCCTTCGTTTTCGAGACTCGCTTCTTTTCAGGCCAATGTTCACCCATGTGACGACGTCCACCTAGACCAAGCTGTACGGCTACCAGCTGAACGCGCTCGCCTGGATGAACAATCTCGAGAATACTATCAAAGAGGGTAGGCCATCTTCGCCCACCATGCACACGCCTGTTGAACGAGTCGACGCCGCCTTCGCCTCAACTGTTCTCGTCCACTGATCATGGTCTCGTCGTGGTGAACAGGCAAGGGCTTCTCAGTGCCCAAGCTCACGAAGGTCGACTGGACGGACATCCAGTTCAATACGCTCAAGAAGCGCTTCCTTCTGCCCACCGAGAAGAAGGAGGCCTTATTCTACACCAAGGGCGGAATCTACGCGGACGAAATGGGCCTGGGCAAGACGATCACCATGCTCTCTCTCGTGCTCGCCAACCCTCTCGACCTTACGCGTCCGCCCGCCGTTGACGATTCACATTTCGTCACCAAGGCCACCCTCGTACCCGCCCACGCTCCCCTCCAAGCCGTACACGGCCGCGCCGGTTTTGCTCATTGTGCGCTCTCTTGTGCCTCATAGATCCTGGCGCCGAATCATCTGGTCAAGCAGTGGACTGACGAGATCAAGAAGAACATCAAGCCCAGCCTCGATGTCCTGGTGCTCACTACCATTGTCCAATGTCAGAAGGTCACCTACAGGTGCGCTGTCCGATCCCTCTCTGGTGTGGCGGCGGCGGCGGCGGCGTACCAACCAACCTCTATCTGACATGTCGCGGTCACTCTTATTAGGGATGTCATGAAAGCAGATGTGGTGATCGTGTCTTTCCAGCTGCTCAAGAACAAGATCTACCTGCAGTTGGGCTGTATCGACAACCACGGACCTCTCGGTACGTAACTGCATGCATCAAACCGCACTCGCGTCGGCTGGTGCCATGGTTTTAGCTCATTGACCCACTCCACCCCACACTCCTGTGTGTTTGTCAAACCAAACAGATATTGTCGGTCGACAATGCGAGGTGAAGACGAGTGCGCAAGAGCTGAAGAGGCGGGTCAACCCGTTTATGCAGACCTGCCCCATCTTGGAACATTTCTTTTGGCATCGGTAAGCACACACCTGTCCCGTCCTTCCATTCAACGCGTCTGGCTCAGTCCTGACCGCCTTGCGTCGCCGCCTCCGCCACCTCCGCCGCCAGGTTGATTGTCGACGAGGGACATGAGGTCCTGTGCGACGATTACGCGCAGAAGAGGACCAACTTTTACATCGTGCGTGCCCTTGCCTCTTGACGTGTCCCGCATCGTACGCGCTACTGACGCCAGCCCCGTCCCTTTGTGCGTGGCTCGGTACGCTGCTCAGCACGCCATTAATAACCTGCAATCGTCGTACCGTTGGTACGTGTCCGGAACGCCTCTTCCACACGCGAGACAGTCGCTGGTACGCACCCTTGTCCACCACCTCTGTTCATAGTATAGTTTGGCGGCGTTGGTTGCTCACGGCAACGTGGCGACGCTTTCATTCCTTCCTGCACACACGCGCGCGCTCGCGCAGAACGGCGCTCTTCGCTTCTTGCAAAGTCGGATCCCAAGGGCGCTCACGAACCCGGTGGGTGAGCTGGAGCGCCGCTACTTTGAAACCATCAGGTAATGCACAACTGCTTGCTTGCAGACTGACCTTTGTTTTCGGCCTCACTGACGACCCGTCTGTTGCGCAACGACAGGCGCAACATCTTCTGGCGCAACACCAAGGCGAGCATCGGCGACGAGTACAACATCCCGGAGATCGTCGAGCAGCTGATCTTCCTTGAACCCTCCGAAGTCGAGTTGGTACGTACTGCGTGGGCACACACTCGACAGTCTTCAGACTAGCGCGCCTACTCACACGCCTCTCTTCTCTTCCTCTCTCTCTGAATAGGGTATGTATGAAGACGCCAAGCGGAACCACGACACGCTACGCATGCGCCAGCTGTGCTGGTGAGTCCCTCTCCCTGCAGCGCGGTGTTGGTCGGCCGAGAGTGCATGGCAGCTTCAAAGCTCGACCACTCTCTTCTCATCTCATTCTCATTCTCTGGTGTCTCGTGCTCTTGCGCAGCCACATGCAGATCTCCGAGATCGACCGTCGGGTGTTGGGCATCGAAAAGAAGACGCTGGACGACATCCGCAAGGAGATGATCGCGCACAAGCAGGACGAGGAGCGCCAGGCGGTCGAGCAACTGCGCGACGTCGAAGCCGAAGAGCGCCAGACACGGATCGAACTGCGCGAGGCGACGGGGGCCTACGTCAAGCAGAGCCTCAAAACCAGGCTGAGCGCCCTCGCGACTTCCATCGCCTCCTATAAGAAGGACATCGCCAACTACCGCGCCACCCTCGCCTACTTCGAGTCCATCATCCCTCAGGTGAGCGTCTTCTTCTACTTCTTCTCTTCACCGCGAAGTCAATGGCCTGTGGGCATCGAGCTGACGCGCACGGCTGTGTGCTATCGAATATTAGGTGTCGCGCTCGGCCGAGGAGCCGTGTGTGATCTGCTTCGAGACCATCACGCAGCTCACCATCACCCCGTGCGTGAACACCACGCTTAGCCCCCCTCCCCTCTCCGTCTCCCCCCTGACATCCTCGATTCCGGCGTGTACGTACAGGTGCGGGCACATGTACTGCCGCGCCTGTATCGAAAGCGCGCTGGGCGTGGCCTCGCGCTGTCCCACCTGCAGGAATCCGCTCACTCGCGGCCAGCTCACCCAAGTCCTCGAAGAGGTCCGTACCCCCCCCCTTTGACGCTGCTGGCAGGTGGTTGGGGAGGGGGAGGTGGTGGCGTAGGTGCTGACCAACAACACAACAAACAGGAGCAAAAGGAGGCGATCGAGGAGAAGCATGAGGTGAGCGGGCTGATCCAGAAATACGGCACCAAGATGGCGCAGCTGATCAAACTGCTGGGCGAGCTGCTAAAGAAGAAGGACAACCGTATCATCATCTTTTCGCAGTGGGACGGGATGCTCCACAAGGTGCGTTCGCTTTCTTGCCTCTATTTATTAACTCTTTTCAAGCTTGGCTGTGGACCCTGACTCCATCATTTTGCGCAGGTGGGCGACACTTTGAAGGAGAATCACATCAACAACGTCTACGTTCGTGGCAATGTGTGGCAGGTAACTACTCTGGCGAACCACTCACTCACTGGCCCATACGGTTAGCCTAACCACAACCACAACCACAACCACAACCACAACCACAGCGTAACAAGGCCATCGGCACGTTCAAGGAGAGCGAGGACGAAGACCCCAAGTCGTCGCGCGTGATCATGCTCTCGCTGGAGAAGGCTGCCTCGGGCACCAACCTCGTACGCACATCTTTCCCCAACACCTCGCCTGCGCCACCTATGCATAGGTGGCATCGCTGACCTTACCTTACCTCTTCTTCATCGTCAGACCGAAGCGACGCACATCATCTTGCTCGATCCCGTGAGCGGCAAGCCCGAGGAGATCGCCGCCATCGAGTCGCAGGCCATCGGCCGCGCGCACCGCCAGGGCCAGAACAAGCAGCTCACCCTGATCCGGCTGATCATGAAGAACACCATCGAGCACGAGATCTACGAACGCAACAGCACCGTCATCGCCGAGGCCAAGCAGGCGGCTGCCAACAGCAAGGCCACCTCCACCTCCACCTCCTCCTCGACGTCTTCGTCCTCGTCGTCGGCGCCCACCGTCACGAAACTTACGCTGGATGAAGAGGAGGACAGCAGCGACGAAGACGAGATGGAGGTCGAGAAGGAGGAGAAGAAGGGTGGAAAGGCAAAGGAGAGCTCTGATGACGAAGATGAGGACGAGGTGGAGGACGAGAAGGAGAAGAAGACGACGACAGCGACGAAGAAGATGTTGGCCACCACCAAGAACGATGACGAGGAGGAGGAGCAGCTGAACTTCACCCAACTCTACGCGTACTCGGTGGCCGAGCTGAAGGCCCACTGCCAGCGCCTCGGGGTGACGCAATACGGCCGATCCCGGAAGACGATCACCGATGCCCTCCTCGCGTTCCACAAAGAGTCCAGCAAGAAGGACGAGGGAGCAGAGGAAGAGGAAGATGACGATGGCGACGAGGGTGAGGCCAAGGAGAAGGCCGACAGCGACGAGAGCGAGGAGGAGGAAGCCGGCAATCGGATCAAGTTGGACGTGTCCAACCTCGGGAGCCACACCATGGAGGAACTCAGGGCCTTCCGCGCGCAGGAGGGCATACGCGGAGGCGGCAGGAGCAAGGCCGCCCTCATCCAATCCATTGCCGACCACCTCGCCCGCAAGTGAGCCCCGCCATCACGTGCTCGTTAGACGCTAAGAAGAGAAGACGAAGACGAAGACGAAGATGGAGACAGAGACAGAGATGAACGGGTGGCGGTGATGTGATCAGGCGGGGAGTTGCTCCTGCTCGCCAAAGGCCTTTATGGTGTCGATGGTGAGAAGGAGCATGTCGAAGAATGAACTCACCACCGTTCGTAACATCCGCACCTCCAGCGCCTCGTAGGTCCTGCACGCAACACAACACACAACACACAACGCACAACACAACACACAACACGATGAGACAAGGCAAGGGTGTGGCGAAGGAAGTGCGAGTGCACGTACACGTGTAGTACGCCGTCTTTGGCCTCAAGCGTGCGACGCACGACGGTGGGCTTGAGTTCTTTGTCCACCTCGAGCGTGGTGCGCACAATGTCCGCCCACTCGCTCCTGGCAAACGGAATGTCGATGTTGCTGGTTTGCCGCACACGTGAGATGCTGGCACGGCGAAGAGGCCACATAGGGCGATTTGGGGGGGGGGGCACGTACAATTTGTGCGGGAAGAGGACGCCGGCATTTGTGAGCCTCTCATCTTCTGAATCGGGTTCATACTCGAGGTCGTCATCCATCTTGGGCTTCTTCTTCGCGATCTGTGCTTCAGCCTGACGCTTCATTCACTTCAATCTCTTTTCATTTAAGAAACCTCGTTTTTCTTTTGCCTTTTCTTTCCTTCCGCTTCACAAACAAAACTATTTTGTCGACCAAGTTCTTGGCCATTGGCCGAGAGTTGGACGCCTGGCTCTGGGGTGCCTTTTCCGCAAGCAGACCGTTTCCATTTCTATTCCAACAACAACCTTCTGAAGCAAACGGATAACAACACCATCTCCACCAACAACCTACCTCACCACACCCTCACGATGTCTTTCCTTGCGCGAACGTTCGAGGACGTTCTTCTCGAGCTCCACCTCAAACACCTCCACCTCGACGACTACCTCCTCTACCGCAACTTCAATCAATATCGACCACCTCAAGACCTGCATCCTCTACAACAACAACCAACTTGAAGCGGTGACCCCCTCAACCACCAGCACGACGACAACAGACACCAGAACCCTACACGAGGACCTACTTGGTATGTCCCACCTTCTTTAGTTTCGTCTTCCTTGTGCCTCGTTTGACCAAAGCGTGTATTCCTCGACATCTTTACATGATGTAGGTATGTCGTTTACCTTCGTTTCGGATCAATTCGAGGAGCTTGCCACCTTCTCCAACGACGAGACCCTTCAGCTGGGCGAATTCGCCAGCCTCGCCTACCTCGACCGCGACGCCAACCTCGGCGACGGCTCCTACACCACCTTGAGCCCCTTCGCCACCGACCTCTCGTCCGGCTTTGTGCGCGCCCGCGGCGCCCAGGTCGTGGTGACCTACAAGGGCACCGACACGGCCAGGGACTTCCAGACCGACTTCGACGCCTGGCCCCTCGCACGCCCCGAGCTCCTGCCTGAGCGCCGCATCCACGGCGGCTTCCTCAAGGCCTGGGAGAGCACCTGGCCTCAGGTGGCCGCCATTCTCGAGTCGCACGCCCACGCCACGGCCTTCAAGTGTCGGACCTCACCTTCACCGTGTGCGGCCACAGCCTGGGCGCGGCGCAGGCCACCCTCGCCGCGCTTCACGTGGCGCGCCACCTGGTCCGCTCTGTCGACCAGGTGCGGCTGCTCACGTTCGGGTCGCCGCGCGTTTTCACCTGGGCCGGCGCCGCCTACTTTGAGCGCATCGGCCTCGGCGCCCGCACGCTTCGAGTGGCGGAGAACGACGCCGACCCGGTGACGATGGTCAACCTGGGCAGCTTCGGGTTCAAGCACGTCGGGCTCAACGTGCGCGTGGTCAAGCCGGCCGCGGCCTGGCCCCATCTGATGGAGGGCTACATGGCTGGCTTGATGGCGCTCAACGTCTCCACGTTCGTGCCGACCTTCGCGCTGGGCACCCGCCGGGCCGTGATCCGCGCCTGTCTTCGTCTTCTCCATCTTTAATGTCAATCTCATCTTAATCTCCAAATGTAAGATTGTTCCAATCAACGCGACTATAATCATTGAAGTGATCAGGCTACATGGCGTGGACGAGCCACTCCTTGAGTTCCTCGAGGTTGGCCTCGACGTTGTCCACCTCCTTCATCTTGGATTGGGTTGCCTCGATGGCCTCGGTCACGCCCTGCTTGTCGTATGTGCGCCCTGCGTGTATAGATTGTGTGTCAGCTCACACACCCAAAACGGAAGCACTATGATGAGCTTGGCCCAGACTCACGCACCGTGGAGGGCGAGGGTGAGGTCGTCGATCATCTGCGGGTAGAGCGAGTCGCTGAATATCTTCACCTCCGTTATCCGCCCGTTCTTGGCGTTGATCAGGAGGTCCTGATGATGACGATGACGATGATGACGGCTGATGGTCAGGAAAACAACCATTTGTCGAAGAAACGCGACTCCTCGTGGGAGGGAACGTACAATGTTGCCCCAGGTGAATCGCTTCTCGAGGCTGTGCTCAAACGCGGGCGTCTCCCCTGTGTCGCATGTGTGAGAGAGATCTGATGGGTAAAAACGGCAGCAAACGGATGTGGGGGGAGGCCTCGCGTTACCGAAGCGCCACTTCCAGTCTTGGAGGGTGGCATAGGTGTTGGCTAGTGATGGAATGGACGCCAGCATCTCGTGCTTGAGGTATTCGATCTGTCACAAGACCACCGCAATGGGCTCGTGTGTTGGTGTGCCGTGCGTGCGTGCGTGCGTGCGCGCGCGCGCGACTACATCTGCCCCGGTAGCTAAGCGGGCCATACCTCGCATCGGTCCTCGTACGTCTTGTAGAACTCCTCCACGAGCGCGTCGCACATGGACTCGTGGTCGACCTCCGGGTTGAGGTCCTTCAGGTTCTGCACCCGGGCCTGCACACTGTCGACGCCCTTGCTCTGCGCGATGAATTGAGGGCACTTGAGTCACGACAAACCAAGAGAGGGGGGGGGCATCAGAGCGTAGGTCACATCAAACCTTGAGCTTGGCCTTGTCGGGATTGAGAATCTTGCCCAACGACGCGAAGTCGACGTTGATCAACATCGTCCCGTGGTGCAGCGCCCTCTAAAGGTGGAGACAAAGGCATGAACAATCGGGACACGCGACGACACACACGACACGACACAGGGCACACGCGACACGACACGACACACGCGCGGGGGGGCTCTTGAGGGGGGAGGGACAAGGCGTACGCCGTTCGAGATCTTGTAGGCCGAACCGGAGATCTTCTTGCCGTCGACGAGAATGTCGTTGCGGCCCGACGCCGAGGCCGTGATGTTGAATCGCTTCTTGAGGGCGTTGATCAGAATGCCCGAGTTTCTGTTACAGCACAAAATAAAAGCCAGGCCGTGTGTGCGCACGACACGCACCAAAAGCGATTGAGCGGCCCAAGTTCTTGGAAAAGAGGAATGAAGGCGAGTTTTGTGGTAAAACCGCGCACCTCACTTTGTCGAACGCACCGACGTTGGAGAGGAAGGTGAAGTTGGTGTTGCCCAGGTCCTGTGGCGAGCAGCGTCTCAGCACGAAGGGCTGACGAAGGGGAAGAAGGAGAAGAAGGAGAAGAAGGAGGGTGCAGTACTTGGTACACGGCGCCGCCGCCCGAGTACCGGCGCGCGAGCACGACGTTCTCGCGCTCCATCACGGACAGGTGACACTCCTTGAACGGATTCTGGTGTCGGCCGATCACCACCTGCTCTGACCGCCGCCACCCGACACGGAGGATCAATGGCCACGGCGCGATGAACTCAAGGAAGAAGAAGTGGGCGTGAGAGATGGAGAAGGAACGGTACGGTGGGCGCGTTGCGCCAGAGGTAGAGGGTCTGCTTGGTGGGGTCGCCCTCCCGGAAGATCCACTCCTCAGTGGCGATGTTGAACAGCGGGTCCGTCGTCGATGTCACATACACCTTCACCTGATGGTACCAAGGCCGGCACAACAACGAAAAAATGAAAGTAAAGTGCCGAATCGGCATTTAATCAATACAAATCAGTATTATGTAAAAAAACGAGAGGTACTGTCGCACCTTGCTGGTGTCTGTGGCATAGGCGCGATTGGTCGTGCTTCCGTATGCAGCCACCCTCCCGCCACGCAGGTGCAGGCGAGTGCCGCTCCGCCAGGCTGCTGTTGCCCTCTTCATCTTCTTTTCTTTATTATTTTGTTTATTTTATAATTTATATTTCTTTTTCCGTTCAACTTCATTTAACAGTTGTTGTTTGCAAATAAATAATATGTAGAAATTAACATGCCATTAAAATGCGTGTTCCCTTTCGATGCTTTGTTGATGTTCGTTGTTGCGCGGTGTCTTCTGCATCCAGCCCGAGCGGGCGGCCCCATCTATGGTCTCGTCGTTCCCCCTTTCTTCTTCTTCTTCACGATCTGATCTACTTTCACACATCTATCACATCACTCCCTGCCGGGCCGTTCCGAGAGCTGACGCTTGATCTGCTCTCGTCGCTTCTTCCTCTCCTCCTCCTCCTTCTGCCACTTCTCCCTCTGCTTGCGCCGCTCCTCCTCGCGCTGTTTTCGTCGGTCCTGCAGATCGGGCGACGCGCTCACGTCGTCCTGTATCCCGCTCCCGCCGATGCCGCTTCCATTGCCGCCCAGGCCGCCGTCCCGCGACGACGAGGAGGGCAGGATGAGGCTGCCGCCGAGCCCGCCGAGCCCGCCGCCGCTGTTGTTGCTGCTGAGGCCCAGGTCGCCGTCCTCCTCCTTGGCCTTGTTCTCCCGCCGCGGGCCGTCTTCGATTTCCCGCTCGCGCTCACGCTCACGCTCCCGGATCTTGGCCCGCAGCTGTTCGATCTTCTCGTCGAGCTCGCGCAGCTCCTTATCCCGCTCCTCGTCCCGTACCACCACCCGCGTGACGACGGCGCGCTCCTCCTCCTTCCGCAGATCGGGAGACTCCTCGCCGCTGGCGCCGCTGGCGAGCGAAGGGCTGCCAATGGCGATCCTCTCGCGCCGCGTTGTCGTCGTCGTCGTCGTCAGAGAATTCTCCTCGTCGGCCTTGGCGCGCTCCCGCTCCCTGGCCTTAAGTCTGTCCTCGCGCTCCTTCTGCAGCCGCTGCTCCTCGCGCTCCCTCTCGCGCTCGCGTTCGCGCGATAGGTTGGAGGTCGGGCTCTTGCCGGTGATGCCGTCGTCGGCCCCCCGACGGATCAGCCGGCTACGGTCGTCCTCCGTCTTCTTGGACTCGCGGTCCTCCTCCCGCTCTCGTTCTCGTTCCCGCGCTCGCTCCCTGTCGCGCGGCCTTCCGATGGGGCTCCGTGCCAGCTCCTCGATCGAGGTGGCCATGTGCGACTCCTTGGTGTGTCCATATCGCCCATTTTCGTTGGAGGTGCTGCTGGCCAGGCCGTTCAAGTTGCTGTCCTCCCGCTCCTTCTCTCGCTCTCGCAGCTTGGCGCGCAGAAGCTCTAGTCGCTCGTCCAGGTCTCGCTCCTCTTCTCGATCCCGCTCTCGTTCCCGCTCCCGCTCTCTCTCCCGTTCTCTCTCCCGTTCTCGTACATCGGCCCTCGCCCGCCTCTCCTCGTCGTCCGCTACCCGGCGGCGCGGTGTCGGTACAAGGTCCGCGACCTCGTCCCGCTTCACTTTCGTCGGCGTTGTCGTGGCCGACGTTTCGTCTTCGCCCCTATTTCGTTTGTTCTCCCCTCGGTTCGTCTCTTCCTCCTTGTCCCCCGTTTTCGTCTCGACTCGCATGCTCGACATCAGATCGGCGACGCGAGAGTAGGTCGAGCAGAGCTCGGCGCTGTTGTCCTTTTCCTCCCAGCCTTCGTCGTCGTCGAAGCAGGATGAAAACGGCCAGCCGGGACACGGAATGAGCTGCAGCTGCGACAGCTTCTCGATTTCCCGCAGGACGGCATTCAGGGACAAGTATGTCTGTTGACCAAACGCAACGTTAGTCCGGTGGTGATCAGCAGAGCTCCAGAGGGAGGAGGTTAATAGAGGGTACCTTGCTTTCGTCGTGGCCTACAGTGAATCGTCCGTCTTCTTTCTTGTGGATTGCGAGGTTGTGAGGAGTGCCTCCCTTCTTCTTGAGGATGGTCAGGACGAAGGCCTCGTGCTCCTTGGGCGTCACTCTCACCAAAAAGGTTCCAGCTTCCCGTCCCTCGAGTCGTCGATGCGCCTCAGCCCTTTCCACCGTCCCGTGAAACCACCTGACACCCAACAATCGTGAGACCAGCCGCACAAGGGGGAAGGAGGCGGTGGATACTCACCTTTCACAGACTACTTTGCGGATGTTGTCAAGGATATTAGTCCGTAGGCTGGACGCCCTGCGCTTGTTGAGCGGACCGAACAGGTTCAATATCTCGCCAAACTTTTCGATGTGAACACACGCGTCCTCATCCTCTCCAGCTGTGGGGACAGAAGCAGAGAATGGTTACACTATAAGTCAGTCGGCCGGGTGAGGAGTGGGCCGCGCAAGCCTGGCGTACCATTGGTCAGGATGGTCTTGAGACAGAGGTAGTTTGTGCGTGCAAATATTTCGCTGTAGCGCCGACGACTCTTCTCGGGCAGGCTGCTGCCCAAGTACTGGTAGAATCGTTTCGAGAACTCGTCCCACGGCACCAAGTGCTGCAGATGAATGGCCATTAGTCGGGGTACCCTGGAATGAAGCAGTTTGGGGAGTAAGGCCGCATACCTCCTTGAGGAAGCGTTCGCTCCAGAAAGATTGCCCATGCGGGTCCGTGATCGCCAGCTCCACCAATATGGCGTCCAAGCGGGCGTTGATGTCCTCAAAATCCGGTCGCTGTGGCACAGGTGCCGACAAGATGAGGCGTGAGAAAAGCCATTCACGTTACGTAGCCTTCGCACAAAGCAGTGGAACGGGTTGCACACTCTTTCTGGGTTGTCGTGCCAGCAGTCCTCCATGAGCTTCTTGAGGGACGGCAAGCAATCGCTGGGTATTTTGGGCCTGATCTCGTTCTTGCAGATTCCCGTTTCCAGTGCTTCGTTGGACAGATCGCTAATAATAACGGTCGAAGCGGAAGAGCATCGGATGAGCACCTTTGAAGACAAAAAGAACAGCGGGGTAGGAGGTGTACTCGAGGTCAGAGTATAATCGCTCGCAGGTGTAGATCTGCCACAGGAGCATAGAAAAGGAGTAGACGTCTGCGTAGGCGACAGCGCGCGTTAGAGTGATCGACAGTCTGAGGTCACGCTGAACAACACGCGTACCTGCTTTCTCGTTGTAGTTGGAGCCTTTCAAAATCTCGGGGGCCATGGTGGTGAGCGTGCCCACCCGTTCGCCTCGCAATCGGGAGATTCGCTGCGGTTTGAGGATGCTCAGGCCGAAGTCGGATATCTTGACGTGATACGACTTGTCGATTTTCTTGTACTGTGTTGGAGGCCGATGGATGTGAGCACAAAGAGGAATGCCACGCGAACAGAAGGCGCTAATGGTTAGGCAAAGCGCAGAACGAAGCAAGAGGGGAAGAAGCCAAGAGAGCAACCGTACCATCAGATTTTCCAGTTTGAGGTCCCTACAGAATGGGAGAAAGAGAAGTCAAGAGGACAAGATAGTGAGCGGCGGTACTCACCACAGGCCGAACACGAACGCGAGCGATGACAGGGGTGCAATGAATTACCTGTGGATGATGGCTGGGTTCATGGAATGAAGCCAGAGCATGCCGCGGGCGGCGTCCTTCGCGAGAGCCATCCGCTGCCATAAGGTCATCTTCTTTCCCACGGCAGATTTGATCAGCAGACGCTCCAGGTCTCCATCCATGATCTCCAAAACGATCTTGAACTTGCTCGCTTCGGTGCAAGCACCAAGGCAAAGGATGAGGTTTGGATGCAGGTTGGTTCTGTAGAAATGGAGTGAGCAAGGAGAACGATTGATGAGTGAATAAAGCCATGTGAATTGGTCGGCCAGCGCGCAAACGAAAGCAGAACAGAAGGACGGGAACGTACGTCATGATGTTGATCTCATTTCGCAAGTACTCGATCTCCTCCCGAGTAAGTGCGCTCGCCTTCTCAGGAATTGGGACCTTGATTGCAACACTGGTGTAATAAAGAAAGAGATCGAATGAATGGGATGTAAAAAGGAGAAGGAGGAAGATGACGCCACCAACACATGCGAAAATCAAAACAACGCAATTTGTCAAAAATAAATAAATAACATGGACTGATTGGCGCGTACGTTGAACTGAAGCATTCGCCCTTCCATACCGTGCCAAAGGTTCCACTGCCAAGCTTTGTGATGAGCTTTATCTCTTCATCTTCTATCTCAGAAGATTTGAGCAGACGGGAGGCGAATCGAGAAGTATAGCTTCCGAGATAGCTTCCATTTTGGGTTATCTCAGAAGAGTTGTTCATTCCCTCTTCTCCACCTCCTCAAGGATCGTTATTCTATGCAGTCGTGTCCGTTGCGATGGTAGGTGCTAGAAATCGTCGAAATGCAGCGCCCCCTCGCGCAAATTGGCTCCAATTCGAATGGCTTAGAAGTTCACAAACTTCTCCTTTCGCAAATGTGTCTTCTCTACCCTCCCTTCTTTTCTCTCTCTGCACACCTCGCTCGCCTGGTGCAGGATCGTTTCGGTTGACGCAAAGGTTGGCGCTGAGGTGTTGCGCCCTGCTCGCCCGTCGCACGCGCTTACGCCGGCAAATACCGCCAACCAATTTAATTCCACCACGCAACCGGATTTGGCTGAGCGCACTATTTCGGTTTTTTTTTCTTTTTGCCCGAACAGGCGTTTCCGCGTTGTACTGTGCACGACCCCAAGAGAGATTACGGCCACGGGCTGTGTATTGGCGCTGATCAGCGTCCTATGACGAAAGGAGCGGCAGCGGCCTCCTTGCCCGATGATGGCGTGTTGTGAATTTTTGTCGACAAACTTTTTTGTTTTTCCTCTTTTTTCCTGAACTTGAGGGTCTTCACTACTTCAGCTCGTGTTGTGCGTGAGCTGGCAGAACAAGAAGGATCGCGATGCGCCTAAAACCAAAGGTGAAGAAGGCGATTTCGACCCCTGCCAAGCGTCAAAGCAAATCGGTATATCCTGCCCTGCGCTCAACAGAACCTTGCAGGGTTGCTAATGATCATTACATCGCCCCCATCCATCATCAGATCATCGCACAGAGAGAGCTGGCAGATCGGCTTGCTCAATGCAAAGACGAAGAGCTTGTAGACCAACTCAAAAGCTTCACCCAGTGGACTTTTGGCGAGGTACATTATGCTCAAAAACATTTGATGTTATTTTATTTATTACTTTAGCGAATGCCACCTTGCTGACGCACCTTCTGTACAGGGCGACATTCACAATTGGGTGGACGTCCTCAACCGATTCGATGAATTCCTGTCCAAACTGGCTGATCACTATGAGCCTCAGACAACCCTTGACTTGCCCATCTTGAAGAGGTATCGAGCGTGCCCCCCCCCCAATCTTTGGCGATGACATTTCGCTCACGTTGTATTTCCCGTGCAGCTCTTTCCCTAGAGAAACGGTTCTTCATGTATTGCGCGTCACGTCTCTTATCTTGGAGAATAGCTTCAACCGCTATCTCTACGGCTCGGCCGAACATCTGGGCGATCTGCTACGCATAGACGACCCGGAGATCGTTCTGGCAACCCTCACGCTGCTGTCCATACTTGTAAAGAAAACGCGATCGAGGGTCACCACGCGCATTCACGGCGATCCTATCCTCAACGCGCAGCTGTTCTACCTCACCAAGGGCTGGGGCGGCAAGCAAGATGGACTCGGCCTTCTGTACTGCGTCCAGGATAGGGACATAACGTCCAAGGTACGACGCACGCTTCCGCTCACTGATCCAATCTGTGCATTCTTGCATGTGTTTTTTTTTGGATTTATTTTTAATGTTCAATCAAATTCACCTTTCGTTCTTTACAGCTGTCGGTTGGCACGACGCTGCAGTTCGAGTTCTTCGTCGACCCTAACGAATCGAAGAAGCCCCTGCCCGCTGGAGGAGCGTCAGACTCGAAGAAAGAGGATGCGATGGAAGTCGAGTCTGTGGTGACGAAGACCGAGGATGGTAGCGCACAGGAAGCTGCCGTCAGCAAGGAGGGCGAGGAGGCGTCGGCCGGAGAGAAAGCCACGCAAGCCGGGCATCGCAGCATCCAGTTTCCGTGCTTCCACCTCTTCACCGAGAGCAACATCGACATCCTCACGCAGCTGGTGGACAAATACTCGATCCCGCGCAAGTACCACTTCCCGCTGCTCATGCGCATCCGTCTGGCGCGTGCGTTTCCCGACGTGCAAGCGCGAAGGGATCTGGTGCGCACCAATCTGCTGGCGTTCACCGTGCTCGCGCAAGCGCACATGGACCTCGGCACTCTGTCTTCCTTCTTCCTCTACGAGCCCGAGTTCATCGCGGAGCTGATGGAGCTGGTCAAGTCCGATCGACACACGCCGCAGGATTTCCGCATCCTCGCGCTCGACGCCCTGAGCGCCCTCACCACCGACCGGTCGAGGCTTCCCAAAGTCATCTCGGCCACCGGATCCTCGCAGCACCACGGAGAACTTCCCTCCATGGTGCGCAAGTCTGTAGCGACTCTCACGGGCTCGGTGGAGCACCCGATCTACACTCTGCCCTTCATCGACTCCCTCTTCTCCTTCCTCGCGGCCCTCATGGCTACACCCGACGGCATCGCTGCGCTCAACACCGCCGGCATAATCTCCACCCTGCTTCCTCTTCTGCGACACCAGAACCTCGAGCATGCCGGCATCCTCATGCAGTGCCTGAGTATTCTCGAGTACTATGTCGCTGGCAGCAACAGCGCTGCAGCCGTATCTCTCTTTCGCGACCTGGGCGGGCTGGACCTCCTCATCGAGCGCTTCAACACGGAGATCGCGAACGTCCAGAAGGCCAAGGAGCAGGAGGGCACCAATATGAGCGTCGAGGGCGTGAGCGAAGCCATCGATGCCAAGGACAAGGGCAAGGAGCGCGTCGACACCGAGCCGCCAGCCGCTGACGAGCTCCAGCCCACGCAAGACGAAGAGGAGGAGGAAGAAAGCCACCTTTCCCACCACCAGCGTACGCTGGTGAAGACGATCCTCCGGATCCTGCTGCCCTTCATCCAGGGCGGTGGCCGCAGGAACATCGGCCGCCTGACTGGAGTAATCGAAGGCCCCTTCCCTCGCGCTCTCTGCTACGTTCTTGAGCACTATCACTACTTTGGCGAGCGGGTCTTCTCGCTAGGTACCTCCCCCTTTCTTTCACACACTTGCCAGAGTGGAAAGGAGGTGGCCTAACGTACTTCGTTCACTACAATAGCCGTCTCGATCATGTCTGGGCTGATCAACAACGACCCCACACGCTTCAACGCGCTGGCCGAAGCGGGCCTGCCCAGGGCCTTCCTCACGTTTGTGACGCAAGGAGTTGAACCCTCGTCCTCGGTACCTATTTACTCACTCACGCCACCATTGTTTCAGCGCGATCGCTTGTTCACTGCTATTGTTATCAGGTCATTTGTGCGCTCCCTTCGGCGATCAGCTCGCTCTGCCTGAATCCCGCAGGCATGACCTCTGTCGTGGATGCCAACGTCATCGGAGCGCTTTTGTCGCTCTTCACCACGCCGAAGTACCGAAAGGTGATCAAGAGCGGCGACACGGCCTCGCGGTTGGGCGCTGGCGTCGACGAGCTATTGCGCCACCACCCGTCCCTAAGACCGCTCGGCATCAAGGCCATGATCAACGCACTCAAGCGCGTGTGCAAGATGGGCGGGCTCACTCTCCCCGAGGAGGCCGAGGAGGTCCGCGAAGACGATGAGGACAAGGACGACGAGGCCAAGGCCGAGCCCACCGGTGCGGACGTCCCAGCCGAGAACGCCTCAACGCCAATGGCCGTTGAAGAATCCGGCGATCGTACTGCCGAATCCGCCGCGGGCGAGGTCACGCAGTCGGTTGTGGCCGCCGAAACGCCGCAGGAGGTGGTCGCTACATCTGCCAGCTCCTCGCAGTCAACAGAAAGCATGGAGCTCTCCTCGGAGAATGTCGCGAGCGTCAAGGAGGAGCCTGTGGAAGAGGAGCCGGAGCAGAAGGTGCCGCCATTCGTGGAGCCCGAAGTCGAGCTCGAGCTCGATTCCAGCCTGCTGAGCGACTACATCGGCAACCTGGGCCGATTCCTGGAGACGATCTTCACGAACAGCGAGCACGGTCGTAACTTCATCGACGCGCACGGCATGGAGCTAATGCTCAAGCTGCAGAGCCTGCCCGAGCTGCCGCCCACGTTCCCGGGCTCTAACGCTGCTCATTCCCTCACGCTCGCTTTCCGGTCGCTGGCCGCCCATCACACCCCTACGCTCTTCCGTGGCGTGCTGGAGAACATGGCCGCCAAGTTCGACAGCCTCGACAGCCTCCAGCCCTCGTGGCGTGATGGCTCCTCGTTCCTCGAAGCTGGTATGTTTCCTCTCCAAGCGGCCCGCCTTTCGCAGATGGAAAAGTGATTTTTTGATTAACACACGCATGCCTTGCGGCCGTGCAGAGGATAATGCTAAGCTGGTCGGGGTGTTGGCAAGCATCGATTGCTTCGCCGGCCTGTTGGCGGGACTCGTGCGCGATCCGAGCGGTCTTTCGCGCCCGGGCACTACTAGCCTCGGCGAATGGATCACCGATGCCGGTGCCAGGGTCAGCTCCTCGTTGGGACATCTCCAGCGCTGCATTCTCTGGGAGATCGCTCGTGAAGCCCAGGTCGAACGTAAGAAGGCCGGCGACCAGGCGGCGGAGGCCTCCCCCGAGGAAACGCCCATGGCCGAGGCTCAGCCCCTATCTGGCGACTCGAGCGGCAACAGTGAGAGCTCATCCAGCTCCACTGGTGCGCCACCCCAGCAGCAACCCGCGGAGTCCCCTGCCGGTGAGGTGGAGACCACCACCGTTGCCACGACTGCCAGCGGCGACGAGAAGAAGCCGGACAAGAAGGAAACCAAGCAGCTGCTGATCCACCTCGTTTCAAGCATCCACTCCGTGTCGCAGGGTCTGGCGAAGGCGCTCGGCGCACGCCACCGTAACCGAGACGAGAAGGTGGTGCACACCCTCGCGCAGACCCTCGTCCGCACGCTGCAGGAGCACCTCACGTGGACGCCCAAGGCCTACACGGACGACGAGGGCGAGGCACCCATCAAGTGCGCCTACCTGACAAGCGTCGTGGGCGAGCTCCGTTCCTTCTTCTTCAACGAGAGGCACAACAACACGCACACGCTACTCCTCCACCAGTTCAACTACGTCGACGGCGTGGCGACCTTCCTCAAGACTCTCAACTGGGTGGTCGACATCTACGTGCACCTGCGCGAGAAGGAGCTCGAGCAGCAACGGAGCGCCAAGGAAGGCGAAACCACCGAGAAGGACAAGGGGAAGGAGAAGTTGGGCGAAACTGCGAAGAAGAGCACCGCAGAGGAAGCGCCGGCCCCTGGCGATATCACCCTCGGCTCGATCGTCAACGAGCAGCCTAGCGCGCCGGAAGCGGAGAAGACCAACCGGGATCCTGACATGGAAATGGCCGAAAGCGCTCTCCTCACCTTCGGCACTGTACTCAAGTACCTCGTGTGCGGCCCCATGGTAGCCACGTCGCCCATCACGGCGAACATGATGACGCAGACGCTGCCGGGCCAGCAGGGTTCGTTCGACCCGCACATCTTCCTCGGCGCCATCCAGTCGCGCGTGCTGCTCTCCGTGATGCCCATCTGGAATCATCCGCTGTTCGCCCACTTCCCCCAGCGCTTCATCACGTCGCTCATCCACGCCAACCGCTATATCATGGAGGGCGAGGCCGCCGCAGCGGCCGCCTCAGCGGCTAGCGCCAAGCCGCGCGCGCCGCCCAAGGCCAAGAAGCAGTTCGAGCCTGATCCCGGCGTGGTCACCCAGCTCATGGAGATGGGTTTCTCGCAGCGACGTGCCGAGGACGCCCTGCGCCACATCGGTGCCAACAACGTCGAGCTGGCCATGGACTGGATCTTCACCAACCCCGAACCGGAGCCCGAGCCGGCGCCGGCCGTCATGCCGCCGGCCGCCCCCGCACCCGGCGAGGCTTCCGCCACGGCACACGTTCCGACTAATGACATGGCCGAGGCGATGTCGGAGGACGAGGAATTGGCCGCGGCCCTGGCCATGTCCCTAGGTCAATCTATCGAGATGCCCTCCTCTCCCGCCGCTGCCTCTTCGTCGAGCGCGCCTCCGCTGGCACCGGCGAAGGAAGAGCCTGCGGCTGCTGTGGTGCCGGAACCGAAGCCAGCTGAGGAGGCGCCGAAGAAGGACGAGCCCGTGGACTACTCGAAGCAATATGACATCCTGCGCAGGGGCATGCTCGAGCGCTGCGTCCGCCTGCTGACCGAGGTCGATAACCTGACCTTCACGGTGGTCGACGTGCTCTCGTCCATTTGCAAGAAGCCCGACGAGAAGACTGCCGCACTCACGGGCGCTGCGACCAAGGTCGACGAGCGCGTCCATGTTGTGGAGGCGCTGGCCGACCAGATCAAGCTCGCCGCCGCCGAGCGTCCGCCCTCGAAAGCGCTCTACCGCCTCACGCACGCGCTCACGCTCCTCATGATCGAGAACACGTCCATACGCGAGCTGGTGGCCACCAGCGACCTCGTGGTTGTCTTCCTCGACCTCCTGGAGCTCATGTTCGCCGACGCCGAGATCAGCAAGCTGACCTCGACCGAGAGGGACCTTGGCCCGGACTGGCTCACCACCGTCCTGCTCGCCCTCGACACCCTCTGCCAGCTGCCCAGCCAGCTGCCCGCCTCCCTAGCAACCGCTGATTCCTCCGCGTCGAAGCCATCCGTGGGCGGCGAGCCCATGGCTGCGGAGTCCGCCGGCGCGGATGTGGGTGCCAAGGACGAACCCTCTGCCGTCGCCACCAAGGAAGACGACACCATCCTGCCACCGATGGAGGTGCCCTACCTGCTGTCCCTGCCCGACCGCAAGCGTGCGATGGAGGCGTGCGTGGGTCTCCTACAGCGCCCGCTTCATCCCGATCCGTTGCAGGCCTTGCTTCAGCTCTCGTCGCACCTCACCCGGGACTTCGAGCTGGCGCAGCAGTTCATCCACCAGGGCGGGCTGACCGCGCTCCTCACCCTGGCACCCACGAGCTCGTTCAGTGGGCAGGTGAGTCTCATCACCACGATCTTGCGACACCTGATCGAGGAGCCCAGCCTGCTGCAGCATGCCATGGAGTCGGAGATCAAGTCCACCATCACCAAGCTCATGGGACGCAGCGGTGCGCTCGTGAAGCCCAAGAACTTCCTCTCCACCGTGGCTCCGCTCGTCTGCCGCGATCCCGTCACCTTCCTGCGCGCTTCGGCGAACGTGTGTCGCCTGCGGGACCCCAAGCCCTCGGTCTCACCCGCACGGTACCATATCTTCCTGTAGCTTTGTCGACTCCTGGTTCGTTTTAATGACGCATTGTGGTGTGTGGCCGGTAGAGTGGTACTGTGCCTGGCCAACCCTGCGCCGGCCAAGGTCAAGGGACCTCTGCAGGCTAGCAGCGGCACCGGGGCCAAGAAGCCGGACCTCCTCGCCAGCTCTGGCAAGGCCAAGGCCAAGCGCACGACGCCATCGACCTCGGTCCAGGTCATCACCGAGCTCACCAACGCGCTGCTCACGCTTTCGAGGATCAAGAAGGCCGTCGACCTCAAACCGACGCCTAAACTTGAGGAGAGCGAGAAGGGCAAAGAGAAGAGCGACGCCAACCTCGGACACGAGTCGATCAACGCCATGGACGCCACGCCCACCACCGAGGCCGAATCGAGCCTGATGGACGTGCCCAAGAGGCCCACGCTCAGCTCGGGCGAGATCCTGCAAATCCTCACGGACTTTATCACCACGTACCCGCCGTGCGGCTCCGTGCTGCTGCGTCAGCAGCTGAAGAAGACCGGGACCAAGGGCAAGGGCAAGGAGAAGAAGGACAAGGAGGCCCTGTCGACGAGCAAGCGACAGATGCCGGAGACCAACAGCATCGTCACCTACGTCCTGAGCGAGCTGCTGCCCCACTCTCCCGACGCCAACGCGAGGACCCCGGTGTCTTCCGACAGGCAGAAGGCGAACGCGGCGGCCGCCAACATGCTCGCCGCCCTCGCACAGAAGCCCGAGGGCCGCCGGCGCGTCATCGACGAGATCACGCAGGCGATGCGGAAGGTGATCGCTGATCGCGACCAGTACACCAACTATCCCGAGGTCATCCAGGCCCTGGTGGACTTCCTCTACCTGCTCCTCACGTCGAGCGCCTCCCGAACCCACGCGAGCGGATTCCTGGGCGAGGTGGCGCGTCTCATGCTCGACGTAGACACCATCAAGACCCTTTCCGCGGCGCTCAACAGCGCCGATCTCAACCATCCCGACGCACCTCAGCTCGTGAACTCGATTCTGAAGCCCCTTGAGATCCTCACGCGCCTCACCGCCGTCATGTCGGCCAAATCATCGGCTGCCGAGAAGAAGTCCGCGGAGGGGGAGGCATCGGCTGATGCTGCTCAAGCCTCGGCAAGCTCGTCGTCGTCATCATCTTCGTCGGCCCCTGAGCCAACCCCGGCGGAGGACGCGGCCGGGACTGCAGGCGAGCCACAGCAGGCGAGCGAGGAGGGCGACCAGCCGCAGCTGGACACCAGCACGGAGCAGCAGGAGCAGAACGATGCGGCGCGAGCTGGTGACATGGAGGAGGAAGAGGAAACGCGCTCGGGCGAAAACTTCCTCCAGAGCCACGCGACGAACTTGAGCGAGGCCATCCAGGCGCTGTCGGGTCAGGGCCAGCAGCTGTCGAACGTGGTCAACATGACGCTCAACTTCATCGAGGCCGCCAACGAGGCCATGCAAGCCCGAGCCCACAGCGCGTCGGACATGGACGAGGACCTGAGTGACTCCAGCAGCGACAGCGACAGCGAAAGCGACCTGAGCGACGAAGAGCGCGAGGAGGGAGGCGCTGCGTTGCACCACCACCCCGAGGAGGAGGACGAAGAGGAGGAGGGCGAGGAAGGCGTCGAAGAGGAAGACGAGGACAGCAGCTCCGCGGAGGAAGACGAGGAGGAGGGAGGAGAAGACGCCTACTCCTACGAGGAGCCTGAGGACCAGCAAGACTGGGGCGGGCAGGGCGATTTCGACTTCTCGATCCAGATCGGCAACCAGGCTACCACCACCGGTCGGCAGTGGGCGCTCAACGTGGAGGACCTCCTCCTCACTGGGGCTCCGCTTCGGGACGTCAGCTTGCCGCGTGCGGTGCCGCCACCGAATCCGTTCCTTGCTGAGTCGGTAGAATCGGCGCACCCGCTCCTTGGCGCGCGAGCGGGCGCCCCCGGCGGTGGCCTCTCGGGAGGGGACCTGGACGGCGACGCGTCCTTCTATCCGCTGCCGCCCTCCCTGCGCGGCAACCCTGTGGTGGAGGACGAGGTGCGCCGCCTGTTTGGCCGCGTGAGAGCCCAGCGCGGTGGTCGGCCCGGCCAGTTCGGCGAGGAGGGACACCGCACCACTCCAGGCATGGCCGAGTACGCCGCCTCCATCGAGCCGCTGTTCGTGGAGACCATTCGCCGGGTCACCCTCCAGGAGCTCAAGGAGAAGGAGGACGCCGAGCGTGCTGAGCAGGAGAAGGCCGAGAGGGAGCGCGCTGAGAAGGACGAAGGCGCTTCCAAGGGTGCGGAGGAGAAGGCCGACGAGGAACTCGCTGTCGCTCCGCCTACAGAAGTGCCTGCACCGGCGGCCACTGAGCCCACGGAGCCAACCGCAACCGTGCCGCCCACCACCGAAGACATCGCTCAGACTGCGCCCGCCCCTGTGGAGGCCGTGCCCGCTGACGCTGCCGAGCCCATGCAAACGTCGGAAACCACAACGGCGCCTGCTGAGGGTGAAGCCCAGCCCGCCGGCGTTCAGCCAACGACCGAGCCGACCGCGCCGGCCTCGGCGGCTGCCGCTGCTCCTGCTGTGAGCTCCACCGAGCCAGTGCAGCAGCCCACCGAGCCATCTGAGACTGCGCCGGTTGCTGCTGAAGGCGCGCCTACGCCACAGGCAGAACAGACGACCACGCCGCCCGCAGAGGTCGGTGACGAGCTGGGCATCGACCCCGCATTCCTGGCTGCTCTGCCGGAGGACCTGCGCGCCGAGATCCTCGCCGAGCAGCTGCATGCCCGCTCCGTCGCTGCTGCTTCACGCCCGCCGCAACCGGCGGCGCCGGCAGCGCCTGCGGCCATCGCGACGCCGAGCGCACCAGCAACTCCTGCGCCTGCATCGGCGTCGTCTTCATCATCCTCGTCATCGTCGTCGTCATCATCGGCGCCGGCGCCGACGATAGGTGCCCCTGGGGCAGAGCCATCGGTCCCGGCGGTGTCGACAACTTCGATCAGCCCCGATTTCATCGCCGCCCTGCCACCGGAGATCCAAGCCGAGGTACTGCAGCAGGAGCAGCAGTCACAGGCCGCCGCCGCTGCAGCCGCCGCGGACCTTAACCGGGCGCAGGCCATGACGACAGCCGACTTCTTTGCAACGCTCAGTCCCGACCTGCGCGAGGAGATCCTGCTCACGCAGGACGAGGCCAGTCTCCCACCCGAGCTGGCGGCCGAAGCTAGCGCCCTGCGTGAGCGTGCCCTCCGCCAGTACCAGCAGTACAGCAACCGGCGACGCGACGACGGCGGTTGGGGCGGACCCGGCTTTGGCGGGCCGCGCCGCGTACCGGTCGCCCCTGCTGAGCCCGCCGTGGCTCTTGGCCTCGCCTCACGCGTCAAGGCCATCAAGGGCGGCGACATCCAGCCGCTCGAGCTCGAGGGCCGGCCCATCATTGAGCCCTCCGAGCTCGTGCACCTCGTGCGCCTGCTCTACCTGGCCAAGCCCCTGGCCAAGGGTCTTCTCCACCGTCTCTTCCTCAATCTCTCCACGCACAAGGAATCGCGGATGCAGCTACTCAACATCATGATGACGATCCTCGACGCTTTCGCTACGTCGACGCATTTGTCGTCAGTCGCATCGGCGTGCCTAACGCGCCGCTTCGCTTCGTTCGCGGAGGCGCTCGAGGCGCTGCCGGCTGTGACGCCCTCGTCCAGCTTCTCGCCGCTCGAGGAACCGTGCCACCCGCTCCTGTCCGCCGGCACAATGAACACCTACGCGCACTCGGGTCAGCACCCGCCCTCGCTGGTGGCGCGCCGCGTGTTGGAGATCTTATGTCACCTGCTCAAGCACAACCCGCGCATCGCCAGCTTCGTCCTGGGCAGCAACGACGACATCGAAGAGAGCAGTGCTGTTGTCGAGGCCAAGGGCAAGGAGAAGGAGACCGATCTGACCACAACGACCACCTCGACTTCGTCGTCGTCGTCGACTTCGCCCACCAAGTGGTGTCCGCTCGCACGCCTGATGGACCTGCTCGGCGTGGACCAGTTCCGGAACAGCAGCGCGCAGCTCGACCAGCTGCTGCAGCTGCTCGCCTTGTCTGTGCAGCCGCTGGCCAAGCTCAAGGCCCGCGAGGAGCGACGGAAGCGCGAGGTCGAGGAACGCGAGGCTCGCGAGCGGGCCGAACAGGAACGCCGGGAACGGGAACGTCTGCGCCTCGAGCTCGAAGCCGCCGAACAGGCCATGACCGAGGAGGCGGCACTCGCGGCCGCCACCGCCGCATCCACGGAGGACATGCAGGCCGCCGCCGCCGCCTCTGCGGCTCCCGCCCGAACGGAGGAAGGACAGCAGCAGGACGTCTCCGCACCCGCCACGATGGAAGTCGAGGCATCGACGGCCCCCACGCCAGCTGAGGCTGCCCAGGAGACGGTCGCTCCGGCGGCTCCCGCTCAAACGGAGGAGCAGCCGGCGGCCGCCGACACGCCGGCTGAGGCCGGCATGGAGGTCGATACGCCCGCAACCACGGGAAGCCGCACGCCGGCAGCCGAAGAGGAGAAAAAGGAAGAGGAGAAGGAGCCCAGGGAGCGAACCGCCGAGGAGGTATTTACATTGCTGTTGGTGGGTGGCTGCAATTCGCTGACTCTGAGGTGGGCTCGCGTCTCTCTGCACAGGTTTGTCCCCAAGTGCCGGTGGAGGACTTGCGCAACCTGGTGAGCATCCTCACGTTGGAGAACTGTTCGGAGGGCACCTACAAGAACGCCACCCACGTGCTCCAGCAGCTCTCAGCCAACGCGCTCAATCGGTACATCGAACAGCCTCTTAAGCCGCGCACGCACAGAGATACAGGCCTGACACACGACACATGACACGACAGGGAGGTGCTGTTCAAGGAGCTCATCAGCGCGGCCGAAGGTCTGGCCGAGGTGGTGGTGAACGGCCTGGATGGCCTGTGCGAGGAGCTGGCCAGCTCGTTCCACCCGACGCTCATCCTCTCCATGGCGTCGTCCATCGCCGAGCTCAACCTGCTGCGCATCATCAAGACGGTGATGGCCCTCCCGGCCACCCCCGCGCAGACCACCGACGACTTCATCGACTCACTGCGGCTGGAGCCTCTGTGGGACGCGCTCGAGCGATGCCTCGACATCATCACCGAGTCCATGGAGAAGGACGCCGCCATCAAGGGCAAGAGCAAGGCCGGCGATGCCAAGGGCAAGGAGCGTGACACCACTGGCGACGCCGAGCGCGACGCCAACAAGTCGCCCGCGGCCAACCTGCTGCTGCCCATCATCGAGGTCTTCTTCGTCGTCAATGCCAAGGACCCGGGCCCGCTCAAGCGCTCGGCGTCGGTCATCGACTTTGGGGGCGCGCCCGCGGTGCCGGGCGTCCCGCGCTCGGGGTCGTCCACCTCGCTGCTGCGGGCCTCGGCCTCGCGCGAGAACCTCACGCGGTCCATGTCCCGGTCGGGCTCGCTCTACAACCTCGCCGAGCAGCAGTCGCGCTTCGCCATGTTCGCCGAGAAGCACCGCGGCCTGCTCAACGACCTCGTGCGCCAGAACCCGGCCCTCCTGCACGGCACCTTCAAGGTGCTGCTCAAGTACCCGCGCGTGCTCGACTTTGACAACAAGCGCGCCTGGTTCCGGCACCAGCTCCAGAAGCTCAAGGACACCCGCGGCTACTACGGCGGCGTGCGCCTGCGCATCAACCGCGCCAAGGTCTTCGAGGACTCGTACCGGATCATGAGCGGCCGGACGCCGGAGGAGCTGCGCGGTCGCATGACGGTGCAGTTCCAGGGCGAGGAGGGCATCGACGCGGGCGGCCTGACGCGCGAGTGGTACGACATCCTGGCCAAGGAGGTGTTCAACGCCGACTACGCGCTCTTCATCAACACGGCCCAGGACAACTCGACGTTCCAGCCCAACCGCTTCTCCTACTACAACCCCAACCACCTGGACTACTTCAAGTTCGTCGGGCGGGTCATCGGCAAGGCCATCCTCGACGGCTACTTCCTGCCGTGCCACTTCACGCGCTCCTTCTACAAGCACATCCTGGGCATCACCGTACAGCCGAGCGACATGGAGGCGATCGACCCCGAGTACTACAAGAACCTGCGGTGGATCCTCGAGAACGACCCGACGCCGCTCGACCTCACGTTCAGCAGCGAGGTCGACGAGTTCGGCAAGATGCGCGTGGTCGACCTCAAGGAGGACGGCAAGAACATCGCCGTCACCAACGAGAACAAGCACGAGTACGTCCAGCTGGTGACCGAGATGCGCATGACCACCTCTATCAAGTCCCAGATCGACGCCTTCCTCGGCGGCTTCCACGACCTCATTCCCCAGGACCTCATCTCCGTCTTCAACGAGATGGAGCTCGAGCTCCTCATCTCCGGCCTGCCCGAGATCGACCTCGACGACCTCCGCGCCAACACTCTCTACACCGGTGCGTGGCGTGATGTGTGCTATTCTGGAAGTGTGCGCGCGTGTTGTATCGTGTCAGCGACTAACGTGTGTGATGTTGTGGTGTAACCCAAAACAGGCTTCTCGGAGAGCAGTCCGGCGATCCAGTGGTTCTGGAAGATCGTGAACTCGTTCGGCCAGGAGGAGAGGGCGAAGCTGCTGCAGTTCGTGACGGGCACCTCGCGCGTGCCGCTCGACGGCTTCAAGAGCCTGCGCGGCATCTCCGGACCTCAGAAGTTCCAAATTCACAAGTCCTACCGCAAGGACCAGCTGCCCGCAGCTCACACCTGGTACACACCACCTTCACATCATCGTCCCCCCCCCGTTTGACAACGGTTAGCTGTACAAGACAAGGTCCTCACCTGTGACCTGTTCTCCAGTTTCAACCAGCTGGATCTGCCCGAGTACGACAACTACGAGCGATTGCGCGAGGCTCTCATGTACGCCATTCGCGAGACCGAAGGATTCGGCTTCGGCTAAGGACTTGGACCTGTTCCTCCTCCGTCCAACGACGACGCGACGAGGAGGCGTTCGTTCCACACACGTAAATACACCAACAACCCTCTTTTGCTTTTTTTGTACATGATCGATGGTGGGGCCACAAGTTAGGTGTTTCGTTTATGTTCGCCAATCCACCACACATCCGTCGCAAGCCCTGTTGTATTCTTCTACTACTTGTCTCGAGAATCGATCTGCAGCGTGACGGGGCCGTCGTTGACGAGCTCCACCTCCATCATCGCCCCAAACTGACCATCTACACTTCGTGGACACGGATGATGAGCCAACATTGTTGTGAATCCAAAACAAGGTGGCGAAGTGACCTTGGATCTTGTCGGCCTGGTACTTGCTCTTGACCATCTCCACGAACGCTTCGTAGAAGGCCTTCGACCGGTCGGAGCCCATCGCCTTGTGGAAGTCGGGCTTGTTGCCTGCATGCACATCACACGAAGAGAGGAGGAGGAGAATGGCGGTGTATGATGAGCTCATGTGTGAGTGAACGTCAACCACTTCATGTCCGAAGCTGGCCGAGAAAGGAGAAGGAATGTACCCTTGAGGTAGCCATAAAGAGTGAACTGGCTGACTGCTCATACGGCGACAGGGCAGTTGGGTTAGCGCGTCGAAGTGAAGAAGCTGTGCGGGCCACATACCAAGGAGGACTTCGTAGCCCATCTGCGTGACGCTCATGTTCCACGCCTTGCCGGTGTCGTCTGCCCACAAACGCGCGCCCAAGATTTTGCGACATCTGTAGCCGCAGAATAGGAATTGGTGGGGCTCATAGATGAGGAATGATAGATGGCTCCGGAAACATGGAGATGGGCAATGTACATCCACTCGGCATCTTTGGTCGTATCATCGTCCGTAATTCCCACCAGAACGACGAAGCCGCGCTCGATGGAGCTGATAGTCTCGCCATTCACGCGCACGCAGCCCCGCAGTACCCGTTGAATGATCGCTCTCATCTTTTCTTCAACCAGTTCGATCTAATTTTCTTTATATTTTCTTTTGCCATTTCTTCCTCGACGCACGTGCAGCAATAAGTGAGGACAGCCGCCACCTTACGTGGTGGACCCTTGATCCTCCAGCACGAGAGTCAACAGCACATCTCTGCCCTTGGGGTGGATCGGCCTTGGTGTGTGCTCCTTCTAAATTCAGAAGGATCTCAATCTTGGCCGCCGGACCTGCAATCAGGGAATCAGTGTTTTGACAATCTTGGTACATCGCAAGATATAGCCTCGAATTGCACGCGCCATCATCGTCCTGGAGGCGGTACACGGAAGCCCTCGTAGGTCTACGGACCAGCGCGCGCAGAGCAGACGAAGAGGGAGCGGAGGTGGCGTAGCGGAACACATCCTCTGCTCATCATCACCATCGACGGCAGCGGTGGGGGACATCTGCTGTGGTGTTGGTGGCGCCGCAAAGCTGTTGCGAAACAAGAGGAAGCAAAACGGGGAAGTATCGATGGAGGGCGCCCTGGCTACCGACTCCTCGTCATCGGCATCCACGCTACAAGATCGCATTCCCGTCATTCTCACTCACGAGGGCGTGTCGAGCGTATGGAAGCAGCGAGCGGCGCGAGGCCCCGCTACGCGCGACGTCGATCACCGAAACCGCATCGCCGAGCATGTCGAGCGCACGCTGGGCACCAAGATTGAGCTCTTCATCTCTGAACGACAGCCGTGCCACGGCCTCACCGTCGACGTCCTCGTCGTTCCGCCCACCGACGAGCGACCCTTCTACGTGCTCGTGACCCGCGGCCTCTCCGAGATGCACATGAACGTGCACCCTCTTGCCAAGCACTCGCCCAGGTTGGTTCCCCTCGTTGTTGTGTGTTGTGTGTGTTGTGTTGTGTGTGTGGTATGCTGACAAGTATTCGCTCTCTGCAGCCGAATCGAGCTCGTGATCTGTCTGCCCAAGACGTGGGAGGTGTCTCTGGAGGCATTCCGGAAGGTGAATAGCCACTACTTACTCTCCGAATGCATGGTCGTGAGTGCATATGCATCGCTCCTCTAACTGCGTGTCGTGTCGTGTCGTGTCTGACTACAGAGCGAGCAATACTTTTGGCCGGTCCGGCAACTGAAGCGACACGCTCTCTTTCCAGCAATCCACCACACCTTCATCTCCCTCGGCCACACTGTCGCCAACGAGCTGGTGCACCACCCGCTCCACTTCCGTTTTCGCTCTTCCGGGCCTTTGTTTTGGGGAAGCACGAGGGGTTTTTCTTGGCTCGCTCACACGACGTGTGTGCGGCCGCCTGCAGGTGAACGACGATATCCCACCGTCACCAGACAACCCTTCCCGTCCATTTTGTAGCAACACGATTATGAATTCTATGCTGGTTCGTCCTCCTTCGGCGTACCGTTGTGGTGTATGTGTTGTGTGTGTGTGTTTTGGTTGTATGCACCAACCTGATCGTTCTCGTTCATGCAGATGATGGTACCGGCGCTATTGCCAGAGGACTTCCACATCATGACGGTCAAGAAGCCAAACAAAAAGAAGAAGAAACGATCGAGGAAGAAGGACAAGACGGACACCAGCAACAACGGGCAGGCCACCGGAACGGCCGCTGCGTCGGCCAACGATGACGGGACGCACGAGACGGCGGCCGCTGCGGCGGCGGACCAGGCCGCGGGGGCAGCTGATGGGCAGTCGCCGCCGCCGCAGGCGAGCACGAACGAGAGCGACGCGGACACGAACCGGCAACGGGAGCAGCTGGAAGCGGAGGTGAAGCACGGCGGCGCCAACACCGAAACGAAACCGGACGAAGGGAAGGAGAAGGAGAACGAAAACGAAGAAGGAAAGAACGAAGAAGAAGGAAGAAAGAACGAAGAGGAGATGGAGGTGAAACGGACGGAGGAGCAACAACAACAGCCGCGAGAGGGCGAGGAGGAAGAGGCGGGGATCGGTGAGAAGGAAGTGCAGGAGCCACAGCAGGATGGCGAGAAGAAGAAGGTGAGGAGGAGACGAGGCGGCAAGAAGAAGAACAAGAAGAACGGCGAGAACGGCAAGCAGGGCGAAACAGAGGAGTCCAAGGGGAAGGCGAACGACGACAACAGCAACAACCACGGCGATGGCGGCAAGCCCAAGCAGAGACAGAAGAGGAACGAAGAGCCGTTCCTGTACGGGGAGAACAAGGAGGATGTCTACTTCTACCAGCTGCTGCCGCTGTACCAGGAGGAGGTCGACTTCAAGCTCAAGCACGGGCTTGACGCACTTTTGGAGAGGCTGGAGCAGCTCCCGCCTCTCGACGTCATGACCATCACTCCTGGTCGAAGGTGCGAAGGCACTCTTTGTCGCACACGCACCACCGCACACGCACGCACGCACGCACACGCGCCACCGCACACGACACATGGTGAATGGATTGCTGACGTTGTGAAGGAACACGTTCAACACTAGGAACGTGTGCCAGATGCCGGTGAAGAGGAAGATCCTGCGGGCGCAGAGGAGGGCCTCGCCCAAGAGCGCGGACACCATTCTGTCGGAGAGTCCCGCCAGCCCATCGGTGGTCGACCCACCTCGGGTGGTGGTGGAAGATGGCACCAACGGCGGAGGCGACGACGAACAACTGCCGCCAGAGGAGGCCAAGGTGAAGGAGGAAGAGGAGGAGAAGGAAGCGGAAGTCGACGAGAGTGAGGCATCGGTGAAGCCGCGAGAGGACGGAACCAAGGCTGACGAGCAGGTGTGCACCAACGGCAAGGGCCAATGAACATAAGTGATCGCCAACAAAACAAAAGAAATCAGCCAAACGACGCGGGCTTACGCGCGTAACTGCACTTTTCTTTTGCGTTTCTGTTTCGCCGAGTGTCGACAAGGGCGCCTGCGCCAACCGGCACGCTTGCTTGGCGGTCATTTAGGTCTCAAAGCTCCAGAAGATGAAGGCGTCGTTCGCGGTGATCTTTGTGTGCTTGGCCGCGACCATCGCGCTTGCCCTCGGCAGCGTTCCGCTCAGCCTCGAACCGGGCATGGTACACTGCTGCTGCTGCACCCTCTTTTTCATCCCCCGCTCGCCATCAACAACTCGTGTAGTTCCGGTCATTTGTTTATTCATCTCGAGATTTTGATCCTTAATCTGATCTTTGTCGTCAATTCAGCCCAAGGATGTTTCGGCCGTCAAGGAGCACTACGGATACATCCCCGTCAACCCTCGCTACGGTAAGGGGTCACCTGCCACTTTTCACCTCTCTCGTTCAAGTGTCAGGCTTACGTAGTGTGTGTGTTACTGACTGCCGTGTGTATAACGCATAGATGCGAATCTGTTCTACTGGATGTTCGAGTCCCAGCGCGACCCGGCCAACGACCCCGTCGTCCTGTGGCTCACCGGCGGACCTGGCTGCTCGTCCGAGGTCGCTATCTTCTTCGAGGTTCGTGCCCCTCGGAGTTGAGAAGAACGAAGACGAAAAGACCACCCCTCCGAAAAAAGAACGAAGGAATGCCGCGCACGGCAGAGCCTGATTCAATTGTGTGCGTGTGCGGTTCGTCGTGCAGAACGGTCCCTACAAGATCAACCCCGACATGACCCTGTCGGACAACCCCTACGGCTGGAACTCCTTCGCCAACTTGCTTTACGTCGATCAGCCCGCCGACACCGGCTTCTCGTATGGTACGATCACAAACACGCACGCTCGCTTTTCCTTTTCTTTTCTTTCCTTTCTTCTTCCCTAATCCCGTGTGTCATCTCTTGCAATTCAAACAATGCAGCCAACCAGGCCTATATCAAGAACCAGTCCATGGTCGCCACCGAGATGTTCACCTTCCTCCAGAAGTTCTTCCAGACCTACCCCCAGTTCGCCAAGTCCAAGTTCTTCATCACCGGTACAGTGAATCTCACTCACTCACCGGTTGTGGTTGTGGTTGTGGTTGCGGTTGCGGTACCGACGCTGACGCTTTGCCTCCTCTTCGCTCCCCCCTACCAGGCGAGAGCTATGCTGGCCACTACATTCCCGCGATCACCGCCTACATCCTGGAGATGAACGCCAAGGGCGGCTACCCGAAGATCAACCTCCAGGCCATCGCCATCGGTGACGGTCTGATCGACCCCGTTTCGATGGCCAAGTCGTGGGGTCCGTTCCTCTACGCCCACAACCTCATCTCCTCGGTACTTGGCCCAAGCCACCTCTTCTTCTTCTTCTGCAGCTTTTCACTCCGATGCGCTGATTTTGACGCCGAACCTTGTTGTGCGCTCTCTTTCTCTTTCGCTTCTTGCCACCATCGTGCAGAGCGACCTGGCCCAGACCCAGGAGCAGTTCTACGGCTCTTGCCTGCCGGACATCGCCAACGGCGATTACTCCGAGGCCTTCTACGACTGCAACCAGGTCCTCCAGATCGCCCTCTCCGGTAAGTGCGCGATGTGGTCGAACGTGCGCAGTTGGCCAACTGTGTGCTCACCGAATCCAATCGCTCGGTTTTTTGCAGCTGCCGGTAACGTCAACGTCTACGACGTGCGCGAGCCGTGCACTTACCCGCCCCTGTGCTACGACCTGTCGCCCATCGGCAAGTACCTCAACCTGCCCGCCACCAGGAGGAAGCTCGGCGTCGGCGACAGGCAGTGGCAAGCGTGCAGCGGCGCCGTACGTCCCCCCTCTTTATTTTTCTTATTCATTTACCAAAATAAACAAATATTATGAATAGTAAAAATAACGTCAAAACATAAGAAATAGAACAATTAGAATTATTTCGCATTCTACCTTTAGAAACAGAAAGAATAATGATTCTAATTATTGATTTTTGCACTGCAGGCCTATGCGCCGTTCGAGTCGAAGGATTTCGAGTACTCGTACAGGTTCGATCTGCCGATCATCCTGAAGAGCATTCCCGTGGTGATCTACAACGGCAACTTCGATCTCGTGGTCGACTTCTACGGCACCACCGAGATGCTCGACACCATGATCTGGCCCGGCAAGTCTGGCTTCAACAGCGCCAGTACGACACCTCTCTCTCTCTCTCTCAACCACACGCACACGCGCGCACCGCACGACACGCACGACATACTCAGGCACTCACGGCCGATGTACAGAGAACGGAACATGGATCGTTGATGGTAAGGTTGCTGGCTCCGTCCGCTCCTCCAACGGCCTCACCTACCTCATCGTCAACAACGCTGGTACAGCGCACGTCCCTGCTCGTGTTCTACATGAACACACATTCACCACACTCATCACTAAATCATGCACCATTGCAATGTGCAGGTCACATGGTGCCCTACAACCAGCCCAAGAACGCGCTGGACATGCTCTACCGCCTGCTCAACCAGAAGCCCTTCGCCTAAACGCCCTGGCATCATGTGTGCCTCCACGGCGTGCCATCATTATATTACAACGAATCTAAATTCGTTTTGCTACTGGTGGGCCGTCGATGAAGCGTAGTGGTCGGGTCAACACTGTCGGTACTTCTCATCATCACCAGCTCAGCTTCATGTTGAGCCAAACGCTGCTTCTGGGCTGAGTGCTTGGGCTCTGGGAAAAATGCGGGAAAGGCATTGGGGAAAATGAAAAAGTGACCGTCACAAAAACTCGCTCGGCCGCCTAACCAAACACTGCCCTACACCCCAACGACCGCCTCGCCCGGAACACAAGGTGCCCACACGCTTTGCTCCCTCTTTTAGTTGATTATTTTGGTATTTTGATTTGATTTTAATCCTGATTGAGGAATCGATCGATTTGTAGAGCACAAGGGGAGGAGATGGAGGGCGGCGCGGGAGAGGAAAGGAAGATGAGCCGACGAGAGGCCAAGAAGCAGAGGATAGCCCAACACCAACAGCGCGCAGCGGCGGCGGCGCAGCAACACCAACAGGCCAACGAGGCGGCCAACAGCTTCACCGCCACCTGCAACATCCTCCCCTCGGCCTTCCCGCTGCAGGCCAACGGCAAGGTGCGCGAGCCGGAGCTCCTGAAGCGGTGGCAGGACGAGGGCCTCTACCAGCAGTGCCAGGTCAAGAACCTGGGCAACACCGAGTTCATTCTACACGACGGCCCACCCTGTACACCGCTCCCTCTCTACCAGACCGCACACACACGCACCTGACCGCACACACGCACCCGACCGCCCACGCCCACGCGTTGGTGACACGTGCACGATGTGCGCGTGCAGATGCCAATGGGCCGATTCATATGGGACACGCGTTGAACAAGGTGCTCAAGGACGTGACGACCAAGGCCCGGCGCATGAGCGGCACCTGCTGCCCCTTCATTCCCGGCTGGGATTGCCACGGTACTCACACTCCCGCACCCTCTACTGGTCGGTCGCGCTTACGCTGGGGGCTGTACGCTCAGGTCTGCCCATTGAGCTGAAGGTCACTGAAAAGTACGGCCTCGAGAAGGACAAGGGCCAGATCGATCGACAACACCTGCGCGCTCTGTGCCGGTACCCACTCATCCACCACCAGCTAACCACAGCAGGAGTGTGTTGTATGTGTGTGTGTTGTGTGTGTGTTGTGTGTGTTGTGTGCTTCGAACTCACAAGTAAGTCGTCGCTTCGCTTGCAGGGAGTACGCCGACTCGTGGATCAACAACCAGGCCGAGGACTTCAAGCGTCTTGGGGTGGTGGCGGACTGGGACCACCGCTACACGACGATGGACCCGCGCTACGCGGCGACCGTGCTGCGCGTGTTCGGCAAGTTCGTCCATGGCGGCTACGTCGAGCGGAAGGAGAAGACCGTGCCCTGGTGCGGGTCGTGCCAGACGGTCCTGGCCAACGCCGAGATCGAATACAGGTGCCGGGTGGACCCCTCGTGCTACGTCATGTTCCCCCTGCCCGCGGCCTACCGCGAGCTCGTCACCTCCAAGGGTAAGCACACACCGCACACACCGCACACGCACACGTATGACCGCACACGCACACGTGCTGAGCACCCATGTTGTTTGTAGTGAAAGGGGTGAGCGTGCACCCCGAAGCTGAGGTCAGCTTCTTGGTGTGGACTACCACACCGTGGACCATTCCGCTGAACCGCGCGCTGGTGCTCAACCCCTCGGGCAACTACGCGCTCCTCTACATGCGATGGGACGATCCTGCAGTCGTCACTGCCGACCAACCCACCGCCACCGCAGCCGCCAGCAGCAGCAATGCCGGCGACGAGGCGGAAGAGCAGCTGAAGCGACTCTTTGACAGGCGGTACCTGGTGAAGCAGTCAAGTGTGCTGGTGCTCGTGGGCGAGGAGCTCGCCGAGAAGCTGGCCGCCCTCTTCAAGTGCCGCGAGTCGATGATACTGGCATACTTCCCCGCCATCTTCTTCGAACGCAGCGCGTTCAAGGTGCAGCATCCTCTGGTCGACAATTTGGAGGTACGCTACACAGCGACGCACGACACGCACACGCACGACACACATGGCACTAACCACTTACCGCTTGCAAACTGGCTCGGTGTACAAGGTACCGGTGCTGCTGGACAAGATGGTGCTGCTGAAGGAAAAGAAGGAGAAGGAGCGGCACGACGAAGATGACGAGGCACACTTGGAAGAGCCAACCGCGCCCGGCGGCCCGGTTGTCGGTGGCGGTGCCGCTCGGCAGGGCGCTCAGCCGGCCAACAAAGCTACCTCTGGGGCTCAGAAGGACTCTGCAGCTGACGTCAGCGGCATCCTTCAGTCGTGGGGCTTTACCGAGACCGCCCAACCCACTGGAGTCGTGCACCTCGCACCGGGCTGTGGCCCCGAAGGTATTGCCTGCCACATACCAGGCCTGATGTGTCGCGTGAGTGCGTGCGTTGACGTCAATGAGTGCTCGGTGGTGTTGGTGATGCTGCAGATTACACCATCGGCGTGGTGAACAAGCTGGAGATCTTCTCGCCGGTGTCGGAGGACGGCCGCTACACGGAGGGCATACAGCCGGCGTCCCTGGCTGGCATGAAGGTCACCACCGAGGGCCAGCAGTGGGCCTTGCGCGCACTCCACGACAAGGAGAGACTGCTTCATCTCGGTACGTACTTCACAGTTTCATGCCACGCATGTGCCGTTGATCGGTGGGTGATGGTGCTTGGCCAAGGCAATATGGTTTGCTGATGAGTTGTTGTTGTTTCCACAGGCACTATCTCGCATTCGTATCCGCACTGTTGGCGGTGTCACAGCGGCCTGATCTTCCGCGCCACGGAGCAGTGGTTCTTCTCGCTCAACAAGAACGAGACTTTCGCCCGCTTCCTCATCGCCAAGGTATGGCATCAGTCCACCCCCACCACCACGACGACCGATCGTAATAATGGCATGCGCCTGTGGCTCGACGTCGTCACGGCGCAGGCACTCAAGGAGGTCTCGGACAAGGTCGAGTTCGTGGAGGGCACGCAGGGCAAGGAGCGCTTTCTCTCCTTCCTAGGCACTCGAAACGAGTGGTGCTGCAGCCGTCAGAGGTAACGTTAACGCTACCTCCTCCGTCATCCTCCTTTGCAGCTCGCGTGCATGCGCTTACGGCCAACGTGCGCGCGCGTGCGGTCGTCGGCAGACACTGGGGAATCCCCATTCCGGCACTTCATTGCCGGCAGTGCGGCCGTGCGCAGTTGAACGAGGAGATTGTGGCGGCCGTGTCCAACGGAGTCGAGAAGCACGGAATCGACTTCTGGGAACAGGTGCGCCTCGCCCCTCCCCGCCGGCCTAATCCGCGCAACGCCGCTCATCATTCACTGCAGGTGCCTTTGGCCGAACTCTTCGGCACGACCTTTCCTGGTTGCACGTCCTGTGGCAACAAGGACCCCGCGGTACGCCTCCAAGCCATTAGTGTTGTGTGTGTATGTGTGTGTGTGTGTGGTGCCGTTTCAAGTTAGTTGGCACTAAGAATGATTGGCTCAAACAAACTGCAGTTGTTCGAGAAGGAGAGGGACATTCTCGACGTGTGGTTCGATTCGGGAGTGTCGTCGTATGCCGTGCTCACCTCGTCGGCCCTGTCCGACGTCTCCTCGCGCCTCGACCGCGAGTTTGCCGCCGATCTCTACCTCGAAGGCTCCGACCAGCACCGGGTACTCTTCTTGCTCCCTGTCGGCATCTCCGCCGACCACCACCGCGCTGACTCACCACACACACCCACATCCACACACCACACTTCACCGCACAGGGGTGGTTTCAAAGCTCGATGTTCTGTTCGCTGGTGGCGACGGATCGAACGTGCAGCAAGGCGTTCCTCACGCACGGCTTCGTCGTGGACAAGGACGGCCGCAAGATGTCCAAGGCGGAGGGCAACGGCGTCGCACCGCAGGAGATCATCTCGCAGTACAACGCCGACGTGCTGCGCATGTGGGTACGCGTGCTTGCGTGTTGTTGGTGCTACGAAGTAGAACCGTAACCGATGGATCTGCTGCTGACCTTTGGCGCCGCCGTCGCTCGCTCGTCAAGGTGTGCAGTGCGGACTACACCGGAGACGTGGTCCTGTCGCACGAGCTGCTGAAGGCGATTGCCGATGATTACCGCAAGATCCGATCCACCATGCGCTTCCTGCTCCAGAACACCGCTGACTTTGATGCGGCCAAGGTTTGCGTGCCACCCATTCCCGTCTTAGTCACCGTGCCATCATGCCATACTGACACACACACACAACACACACACACACACATGCAGAACCGGGTGGAGTTGCCGAAGATGCTGGGCATAGATCAGTACATACTGGCCTCCCTGCACAGTCTCTACCAGCAGGTCCAGCACGCCTACGAGACCTACAACTATGCCAGCGCCTACAGCTCGCTCGTGCTGTTCTGTCGGCAGAGGTATCAATACCGCGCTTTCATTTCTCGTGGGTCGCACCGACGCTGAGTTGTGTGCCGTGTGTGCCGTGTGTTGTGTAGGCTGAGCCGATTCTACTTCGAAAGCGCCAAGCGACGGCTGTACTTCCTCGACCCGGATTGTCTGGAGCGGCGGTCCAGTCAAACGGCCCTCGAGGAGATTCTAGACGTCCTCACGCGGCTGCTCGCGCCCATCACTTCTTTCCTCGCCGAGGAGGTACCTACATCACCCATAAAAGTGACAATATAATAAATAATAATCTAACTGGCTGGGCCGGGAGTGCAGGTGAGCGACCACTACCAAAAGCCCAAGCCGTGCTCGATCCACCTGCAGGATCTCCGGAAACCCCTCGATGTGTGGAAGAGTCTCTCTACTTCCCCCGCATCCTCGGACTCGGCCCAGGCCGTCCTGCTGCCGCACGAGTACAAGTGCATGTGGGGCGCGTTGAAGAAGGCCCGCCAGAAGGTCAACAAGAAGCTGGAGGAGGCCCGGCAGCGCGGGGTCATCAAGTCGTCGCTCGAGGCCAAGCTCACGCTGCACGTCACCCCACGTGGGGGACACCCTGCTACGATGACAGCGTCGAGCGATGGCGCGGAGGAAGCGAGCACTGGCGCCAGTGGCGCCCTGACCGGGCGGATGACGGGCGACATGGCCTCGGCGCTCTGGCTGCTGGCGCAGAGCGAACGCGAGAGGGCCGAGCGCGAGCGATTGGAGTACGACCTGCTCAGTGAGTACTTCGTCGTGTCAGCCTGCAGCGTCGTGCAGGGCAGTGATGCGACCGGCGGCCATGGCGGCTCAGAAGAAGCCGATGGCGGCAGTGACGATGGTGGCGACGACGTTACAGCCATGAATGTGGTGGAGCGCAAGCGCCAACGGGGTGACGTCTCGAGGCACCAAAGCAGCAGAAGACGAAGAAGCTCGGCTGGCTGACGGTGACTGTGGAGCGCATGCCGGGCGACAAGTGCCCCCGGTGCTGGCGCTGGACCACAACCCCACACGCCAACCTCCTGTGCGTACCCTGTTTTGCCGCGGTCGCCAAGAGGGCGGCCCAACAGCAACATGCCTCATAAATACCGGGCACTCTCTTACGCGTGCTTGGCATTCTTGGCCAGAACAGAAAATGAGAAAGGCAGAAGAAAAGAGGGAAAAAAAGGAGTGAAGCCCGCCAAAGAAACGACAGCGAAACGCAACACATTCCTTCATCTACAGAAGGAGCGAATTGAGAGGGATCTGAGTCATGAAGAAGGCGGGTGGCAAGACCACTGCTACTGGTGGCTCGAGCCCTGCGGGAAGCGGGAACAAGAAGCTGGCCGCAGCGCAGCAGGGGAAAAAGAGTGGCACTACTCCTGCACATCCGTCCTCATCGTCGCTCAAATCGAGCGGTGGCGTCGGCGAGAAGCACCGAGCGAGCAAGGCAGCGGTGACTGCCTCCCCTGCAGCCACTGCGGGTGGCAAATCGACGCCGAAGAAGCGACATGAAAACTCGCCAGCCGGGGAATCGCCCGCATTCCCGTTCCGCCCAGCCGCTTCGTCGCCCCTGCATCCGTCGCCCAAATCTCACCACGGCGCACCATCACCCCAACGCTCGCCCATGCCATTCGTCTTTGGGGCCTCCTCTCCATCTTCCTCACCATCTACATTTACGGGCATCAAGTTTGTGCCAGCAGGTTCTCCGTCTGCTTCACCCTCTCGAGGGCCGTCACCCGCCACGTCGCCCTTCAGCGGTCGCGGTGGCCGCGGCCGCGGCCGTGGCGGCTACGGTGGCGGCGAGGGCGGATTCGACGGAGGCGGTGGTGGCCGTGGACGCGGCGGCGGCACCTCTCCCTACCAACCCAAGGCCAAGGCCGGTGGCTACAAGGCGCTGGGCAACAGCGGAGGCGGCGGCGGCGGCGGACAGTACCGACACCACAAGCGGGAGCGAGTGCTGGGCCAGTGGAGCGACGCGGTGAACTACGATCGCGTGAAGAAGGTCATCAACATCTACCTCAACGAATTCCAGCTGAAGGATCGCGACCTCGAGCGATTCATCGTCTGGTTCGAGAGCGCGGACGGCGGCCGTCGCAGCCTCGGGTGGCTGCTGAACATGCACGCCAAGGGCTGGGACGAGGAGACGGCCGACAGCAACGACGAGCAGACGACGAAGAGCGAAGCCTCAGCGGAGTCGAAGAAGAAGAGCGAAAGCGGCGAGACGAGCACGAAGGACAGCAAGCCGCCCGGCATGAACTGGCATCTGCAGGAGAACCAGATCACAGACGAAGGTGTTAAGCTTCTGATCGCCTTTGCGAAGCGCGTAGATTCGAAGGTGGAGTTGCGTCGATTCTATCTCTACAAGAACATCATTGGTACGCTGCTCTCGCTGTCGTTTCTGACCATAGGATCTTACGGTGGTTACTTGTGCGGGTTGTCAACAGGCGACGACGGCGCGGCAGCAATCGCTTCGTTTGTGAAAGAGAGCCGCAGCTTCGTGTTCGAGATCCACTTGAGCCACAACAGGCTGACCATCAAGGGTGCGTTCTGCCTTATCATTCATGCTCGGTCACGCGCGTGACGCAACTGACCGTTTACAACGGAATACATGGTATGCATACCGCAGGCGCACAGGAGCTGTTCATGGCTACCAAGGAAGCGAGAGTCAAGCCGCCCAGGCCGCTCTGGCTCAGGCTCGAGTGGAACTACGTCTCGTTTGAGAAGGCCAAGAAGTTCCTGCACGATGAGAGTACCGACCACCTCCGGGCACCTGTACACCGCTACTTCTCTCACGTTCTTCTTCTCGGACGTTGCACATGCAGGCATCTCCTACTGCCGAGTCAAGGACAGGTTACAGTGTGCGCCGTCGAAGTGTGCTCGCAAGCCTCCTCCATTGGTGCTTGAATCCCGCCTTTGCATTGTTGGTAGGCCTTATGTGTTTCTGCTCCTCTCTACTAACACCCGGCTTGATGCCATTGCAGCTGCACCTCTACGTGGCGGAGCTCCAGTACTCGGAGAGCGTCGGCGCTTCGTCGCATCTGCAGATGGCCAAGGCGAAAGTCAAGCTCGCCAAGGAGCAGGTCGAGAAACAGAACCTCGGACAACAAGACCCGCGCGCGTTTGGCCGCGAGAAGGAGGACAGCAGCGCTGCTGCCGCCACGCCATCAGCGCCTGCCCCAGCGGCGACCAGCAAGACCACCGATCGGGCAGTCAGCGAACAATCAAAGCCCACTGTCGAGGCCATCGGTGACGGCGAAAGAAAGGAGACCGCGGCCAGGTCGGCTGCTGCGCGGACCCCGTCGCGCAAGTCCGAGGCGCCGACCACAACCACGACAACGACGCCAGCGGAAAGCAACAATAGTAAGAAGGCAGTCGGCGGAAGCGACGAGGACCTGCTGCGGGACGTGCCGACCTACATCTTCCTGGACACGTGCGCCGTGCTGCGCATGAGCGAGTGGCGCAAGGGTGCGAAGAACATCGAGAGCGACATGGCCCAGCTCAAGAGCATCGCTGAGGCGGAGGAGGAAGAGTACGAAGACATCGATTCCGACGATGAGGATTCCGACGGTGATGATGACGACGAGGAGGAGGACGAAGAGCTGGCCGCCGAGGAGGTGATGAAGGTCGTGCAGAGGAAAGTGGAGAAGATCAGCAGCTACACCAAGACGAAGAAAAGCGTCGTGCAGCAACAGAGACAGCAGCAGCAAAAGCAGCAGGCTCGGGGCCAGACCAAGAACGCGAGGGCGAACAGCGGAGGTGGCGCGCGCGACAGCACGGCCGAGTTCCCGGTCTTCACCTTTGAGAACCTTGTGGAGCGTGCCAAGAAGGGCAAGTTCGGAGAGAACCTGGCCAAGCCCGGCGACCAAGTCACACTCATTATCACCGGTACGAGCGCGCGTGCCGCGCATAGCCCATGCTTGGTCGATTTTATTGTTGCTAACATTTATTATGGCGTCAATCTTGAACAGACACGGTGATGCGAGAGCTGGATCACCTCAAGTCCAGCAAGCCGGCCTTGATTCGCAACATCCTGTCTCTGCAGGTGCGGTCACTTTTCTTTTCTCTTGAAACCAGCGCCGACTCGACCCACCAGCCACTCACCTCGCTCTCGATTGACAGTCGGACGATGGCTACCTGGCCAAGGGCGTTCATCTCAAGTTTGTGGAAATGCTGGGCGCTCACCAAGGTGCCGCCGCACAATATCATTACAAGTGCAGCGGCAGGGATTGACCACTCTTTCTCGGGGGTTGTTCATAGGCGAGCACCTGGTGGCGCTGCAGGACTCCTCGATCGTGCAGTCCTATGGCAGGAAGGTGATGAAGGGCACCTCGTCGCTTGACAACGACCGTAAGATCATCGACGTCGCCCTCTTCTGGAACTCGGAGATCGGTGTGACTGGTATCGCCTTTCCCTCCCCCTTTGGCTTACGGACCGCGTCGTGCATACGGTGGCTTATCGCGTCGTGGCATTCTTCTGTTCGTCGTCCACTCCCCTACCAGGCAACGTGATCTTGCTGACGGCCGACGAAGGCGTACGCGAAGCGGCCAAGCGACACAACCTGCCCTCCGACATGTGGAAAAACTTGGACAAGCGTCTCTTCAACGCGCTGAAGGTATTGCCCTCCGTAGCCACCAAAGTTGGTGTCACTCCTTTTTAACGATTGTCGTTGTTCACGTGGGGGTGTGCAGAGAGATCCGAGCACACCGTGGACAGCTGCGCTGCTCAAATCGTGCATGCCCGGCTGCATGGTGAAGCGGGACGGCAAGACCATGCACCTCACTCCCTCCGTGAAGCCCGTGCAGAGCATCTTCCAAGGTACGAGATCACTATGGGAATTGGGACTACTGGGTGCCTGGGGCAAGCTGCTAATTGATCCCCCACCGCGCGCGGCCGTGAACAGAATTGGACAACGCGCTGGTGCTGACCTACATGCTCATGGAGAAGGTGAAGGCCCTCCAGGCCGACAACCGACAGCTGAAGGACTTCGTCTTCGATGATGTCCGATCACGTGTGGGCGCTATCGACGCCGCATCGCCGGACGCGCAGAGCGGTCTGGCCGACCTGCAGGCCGTCATCGCCCAGCACGAAGAGGAGCAGCATGGCGATGAAGAAGACGACGACGAAGTGGATCGGCTGGTGGCCGTCACGCGGGAGCGGAGGCGCATCTGGATCGAGGTCTTGGGCCAGATGGCGGGACCCATGTCGCCGCTGCGCATGAAGTCGGCCGAGTCCATCTGGGACGGCGTCAAGGTATCTCTATTGGCCCGCCTGCTTAGCGCATGTGTTGCATTGTAACAGCACTGGGCTGCCGATTCACGCGTGCAAACCCAACAGGCGACGAGCCGCAGAGCTGGCGCCGGCTCTGGGCTGTCCCAGCTGATGAAGACGGCAGAGTTCCTCGAGGTCGAGGACGATGACAGCAGCAGCGACGACGACGACGGAGAGCGTGCCGTCCACCACGAAGACGACCAGGAAGATCAAGAGGTGGAGGACCAAGACGAAGAGGAGGAAGAAGAGGAGCCTGCCATAAACGAGACCGAGGCTGCCGTGGAAGTGGATTCCTCGGCTGACTCGGGCGTCGAAGTGCAGGACCACGACAACCCAGCCAGCGGGGCGGAGGCGGAGAGTGTGACCAGCGGCCACGAGCAAGCGGCTGAGCACGGGGAGACGACCATGCATAGCACTGCGGAGGTGGAGGACGAACACGAAGTGGCGCAGGAGGAGACGGCGGCAGATGTGGAGGACCAGCCACCTGTCGGCCAGGTCGAGGAGGTCGCCAAGACCGACATCAACGAGGAGCCCGAAAGCTCCGGAGAGCACAACGGCGATGCCTCAGCTGCCCCTGCTCTTCCTCAAGAGGCGAACGTCGAGTGAGGCTGTTGGTTACTTTTGTTATTTTTATTTTTTATTATCAAAATAAATGCCACAAAAGAGATGAACGAATGCTGCATAATGGTGACGCACAGGGGACGAACGATGGCGATACTGACGAGTGAAAGGACGGCTAAGAGAAGGCGGTTCGTTGGAGCAGTACGTATTGCTCGTTATCGTTGTCAAGCGTAGGTACTGCTCATCATCACATTTGCAGAGGAGCAAAATCGATGGGAAACACGCCCGGCTATCAACAAGAAGGAGAAACTGAAGAAGAAGGTACGCGTCTCAAGCTTCTTTCTCATGACCTTTATGGGCTAAGTCTTGTGCAGCCATGAGAATCAACAACATCATGCGTCAGTGGAGGAACAAGCTCCCGAGGTCTCCACTCCTCCAGTTGTGGTCTGCAGACGACCTCAGCGCGTTCCTGTCCGGCCTCGACCTCGCCTACCCTTCAGCCGTTGCGTCTTCTGTACGCCAGCTCCCCCCCCCGCACACGCACCGCACACACCGCGCGCGATGAAGGAGCGCTCACGGCGGTGCTGTCGGTTGCGTAGGTAACGTGGGAGGAGACTGATGGGCCGAGAGCCCTGGCAGCCCTTGCAAAGTCCAAGCAGTCGCTGTTCCAGCTGCTGCAGCTCAAAGACAAACAGAGCCAGGACGGCGAGGAGATCGTACGCGCGCTCCAAACCAAACGCGAGGAGTCTCGCCTGTTGGACGAAGGTGCGCGATCCAGCCTTCAATCAGCCAACGACCTTTCTGCCTCACCCTTCTCGCTCTTCGCAGAGTTTCAGGGCAAGTGGGCCGAGTACTGGGCCAGTGGCGACCAAATCGGGCTGGAGCGGCTCGAAGACAAGATGAAGGTGCGTGTCGCACATGCGCGTGCTCGCCCACTGGAAGCTTATGTCGAATGTTCACGGCGTAACGTGGTATGGTGTGCGCAACGCAGGGGTGCCTATGGGGCATGTACATCGGCGATGCCCTCTCCATGCCCGTGCACTGGAGCTACGATGTGTCGGCCATGAAACGAACGTACGGGCGGGTCAAAGACTACATGTACGCATTTCTATACCGCCTCGCAACCAACCAAGAGATTGCAACCTGACTACGGTTCACACTTCAGGCCGGCGCCCGACACCGTGGACAATACCATCATGTACAAACACTGGAACACGAACAACTCGCACTCCAAAGACGTATGTGGCACCCCACCCACCCGCGCTCACACACAGGCGCAGGTGCTAAGCACCTCACTTTCCCCCTTATAGGTCATTGGCAAGGTGATCAACCACGACACCGCGCATTTGTGGAAGCAACCTTACACACACTACCATGCTGGCATGAAGGCCGGCGAGAACACACTCGATCTTCGTCTTGCCCGAGGTACCATCAATCGAAGCCTTGACCTCGTACACGCATACTGATGTGTAAAAATCTATAATCATTTCATATGAACGCAGTACTGGGCCGGAGCGTGATCAAGGAGCGCGGGTACAATGCTGCGGCATACCTACGTGACTTTGCCGAGTTTATGACCACCCCTGGTACTTGTGCCTGTGGTGGAGTCCGCGTGTAGTGTGTGTTTGTCTATCTAAGCGTACATCAAACACCTGCCAGGTTCGCACAACGACGTGTATGCCGATGCCTTCCTCAGGCAATTCTTCTACAATCACAAGGTCCTCGGCAAGGAGCTGGAGGACAGCGCTGGCGAAATGAATCATGACACCGCTTCCGGCGTACGCTCCTCCTCCGCCGTCGGTAGACCACGTACTTCAAACGCTAACTCGTACTCTGACACGGTGTAGGCCGGCCTGGTGTCGGTTCCTCTGGTCACGGTCGCCGCACTGGCCCAGCCTGTGTCCGCGTCAAACGAACTGGTTCTCCTCCCACGTCGCGCTGGGCGGTACAAGCCGTTGGACTGACCACCCATTGGTATCTGCGTTGGTAGGTGAGCAAGCACGTCATGCTCACCCACCGCTCGGACCGACTGGTGCGATTCGGCACGCTCTACTCGTCGCTCCTCTCCGCGCTGCTCCTCCACGACGACAGAGGGGTCGCCAAGCGAGCGATGGAACTGGCGGGCCAGGAAATGGGCGTCGACCTTGCCGAACTCGTCTCCCACAAGCTGAGCGACACTGGTACGCCCGAGCCAGCATACACTACCACACACACACACTCCACACTACTAACCTGGTACGCGCGTGCAGTGGTGCTGGGGAGCATGTTCAGCATCGCGTGCTATATCGCCGATGGTATGCCGTCGCTCGTGTACCTGGTCTACAAGTACCTGGACCAGAGTCCTGACGACTTCGAGGGCTGCTTCGAAGAGACCGTGCTCGCCAACACCAACTGCGGAGGCGAGAACTGTCACAGGTGCCCGCTCCCGCACAAACTTCGCATAATCCTGGTCTAAAAAGTGCGTGTGCGGTGTGTGTGTGTGCTGCGTTTATGCGCGTGCGTGCGTGTGCGGTGGTGGTTCAAGGGGTGCGCTGGTCGGCGCGTTGGTGGGCGCCATCACGGGAGCCTCCAAGATTCCGGCCCGCCTGATCGAGGGCCTGCACGCGAGGGACGAGATTGAGAAGGAGATCAACCAGTTCGTCGATATCGCCCTCGCCACGATCAAGTCCCAACGCGCCCACCGCGCCGCCGCCTCGCTCTGAGCGGGGCTGGAATTTTATTTTATTTAAAATCAAAGGCACTTGGTTTCTATTTTCTATTTTTTATTTTTCACCATGCAGCGGCAAATGCGGAATCGCTTGCTCCGCTCTTCTGTAGTGAACTTCAATGCCACTCCCTTGGCATCGCACGCACGAATCTTGAGTCGCACGCTCAGGTGGGTGCGCCTGATTCATCTTTCTTGTAAATATCTTTTACTTGTTCGATTGATTAAAATTACTTCTTTGCATAGCTCTGCGGTGAGCGAGGAGCACCCCTACCTCCACACCACGGCCAAAGCCCCGCCACCGGAGGGAACCGTGGTCCTCCACAACACCGCCGTCACCTCCCGCGCACCCAAGGCCTTTTCCCGTCCACCACTCGTACGAGCACACACACACAAACCACGTTCCGCACTTCCGTTTGTTCTGACTGCTGCGTGTCGTGCGTGTCGTGTCGTGCGTGTCGTGTCATGTGTGTCGTGTCGTGTCGTGTGTGGACAGGCGATCGCGCACGGGTTGTTTGGCGCTGGGATCAACTGGCGCTCGGTAGCCAAGAAGATAACCCGTACGTGCCTGCCCTCTTCGCCTTTTACCACTTACCAACTCGCCTTACGTTTCCTTCGTCGTGCTGCGTGCGTGCGTGCGTTGTCCCACCCACAGCTGCGTGCAATGTGAACTCGCTGTTGCTTGATCTGCGCAATCACGGAAGCAGCCCGCACCACCCGGAACACACCTACGACGCCATGATTGGCGACCTCCACTACCTCCTCACTCAGCGCTATGGCATCAACACCTTCTCCCTCATGGGCCACAGTATGGTACGCGTTGCTCGCCTTGGTCTGGTGCAACCGTTGCCAAACCAGCGGAACACACACACACACGACAGGGCGGGAACATGGCCATGCGGATGGCGCTCAAGTACCCGGACCTCATCGACCGACTGATCATCGTCGACTTTGCGCCCACCTCCTACCAATCCATCGAGAAATACAAGGTAGGCGCCACACCGCCGCGCCGGAGAAGACGAAGAAGAAAGACTTTGCGGTTTGATCGCTGATGGCGGTGCTTTCCCGTGTGAATTGCGTCTGTCCAGGACTACATCGAGATCATGCAGTCCATCGACCTCACCGCCATCAAGAGTCGAGGCGACGTAGACAAGATCATGGCCCACACCATCCACGTACGTCATACATACAATGCGTGTCTGAGATCGCACTCAACTTCAAACACCACACACACACGACACACACACACGACACACACGACACACACACGACACACACACGACACACACACGACACACACGACACACACACACACACACACGACACACACACACCACACGAACCATCATCAGGAACCTCTGCTGCGTGCGTTCCTGGTCTCCAACCTGGTCCACGAAGCCGACAAGAGCTGGCGGTGGCGACTCAACCTCGACGCCCTCAAGCGCTTCATCGGCCCCATCCGATCCTGGGACATCCGTACGCCGACGCCACCGTTTACCTCTCGCTCGCTACCGAACGCTCACAGTTGGTGTGCGTGTGCGGTGGTGCATGTGCGGTGGTGCGTGTGCGTGTGCGTGTGCCACAGAGCCGCAAGAGGGGCTCCAGTACAAGAAGCCGACCCTGTTCGTGGGCGGCGGCAAGAGCCAGTTCATCAAACCCGAATACCACGAAAAGATCCACGCCTTCTTCCCCAACGCCAAGATCGAGATGATCCCCGTACCAACAGCCCCACCACCACCACCACCACCACCACACACTTCCTCCTTTCTCTACTCTCACTTTTCTTATTATGTGCCACACGCACACGCACGACCGCACACGCACACGACACAGGACGCCGATCACTGGGTGCACTTCGAGAAGCCGAATGAGTTCTGTCATGCCGTGGAGTCGTTCTTGCACCGCACGCAGCAGTAGCCCGAGACCTTGTGGTGTGTGTCTCTTCCAGCGACAAGCCACCAGGAATGCAAAGAATTCATTTCACAAACCAACGTGATTCGTGTGCCCAATCCGACGAACTCCTCCACACCAAACCAGTCACCAACGCAACACAAACACCAAACACTCAGCTGAGCCCAGCGAGACAGACGAGCGCTTGCGATGGGCAACCTATGTTGTGGCGGCGAGGGTGACGAAGTTGCCGTACATACGCCTCCTCAGTTTTATAATGAATTAATTATTCAATTAATTGTTTAGTTATCCATTTTTATTTGTTTTATCCACAATTAAAGGAAATAATTTATTTTTATTATTATTATATTGCGCAGCCGCTGCTTGACGAACGGCAGCGGGTGGCGGCCAAGCGACGCGGTTCTACGTCGCCTGTGTCCTCGTTGCCATCGTCTCGTCGTACCACCCCCTCGCGTCCCCCTCCGTTGCTCGACGACTCGTTGTCGGCCTCTCCCCCTCCCAACGACTCCTCGCGCGGCCCTGATGATGGCGTCAACCACCACAAGCGACACCACCAGCAAGACGACCACGGTGGTGATGGTGATGGTGACGGTGATGCTGTAGACCGACACCATGATACAAAGAAGAAGAGGAAGCACAAGAAGGAGAAGGGCGAAGAGGCAGCAACGTTGTTGGCCTCGCTGTCGGTGCCGTCGACGCTGGCCTCGTCGGCGAGCGTGTTGCAGCACCCGACCAAGTCGCGGCCGCGCGGGCCGCTCAAGCGCAACCCGTCGCGCCAGCACCACCTCCGCGTGCCCGACGTCGGGCGCGACACCCTCTTCCTCCACGCCGCCGCCGCCGCAGCCACTCCATCGCGACACGACGACGAAGACGACCATGACCACCACCAGAACAATGGTGGTGATGATGATGGCCATGACCAAGGCACGGGCGAAGGCGAAGGAGGAAAGAGGAAGGAGAGTGGAGCGATGGTGCGGATGATGCCGGCGGGGTTCGATCCGGCGGACGTGCGGAAGCAACTGAAGAGCGCCGCGGCTGCGGGCGGAGGCGGAGGCGGGAGAGGACGAGGACGAGGCGTTGGTCTCGGCGGGTTCGATGCATCCGCCGCTCGGGCCAACCTGCGCCGGGTGGCCAGGGATACCAACAACCCTTGATGAACATATAAAAAACACAATACATTCACACACTCAATATCTGAAGAACATATTCGGCACATACACAATACATTCAGCCTAGCACAAAACAAAATACATCAAATCAAATTCTCGTCGCCGGCGAGACCGGGCCTGCTCACTGCTGTTGTTCGGCGGACCTCTTGGCAGCTCGGAGCGAGGCCAGGTCCAGCCCGACCTCGGCGGTGAACGCGTTCAGCTGCTGCACGTTCTGGATCTCTGCGTCGAGCCGCTTCGCTGGCGCGCTGGCGCCGGTGCACGCGGTGTCGGTCTGCACCAAATGATAAAGAAGAATAAAGAAATGATAAAAAAAGAAAAACATGGATTATTAATTAGCTTCATTTCGAAAAAAGAGATAAAATAAAAGAAGGTGGAGCTGCGTACGGGAGGGCAGCACTTGGTGGAGTTGACGCCGTGGTAGACAACGTACGGGACACACACCTCGCCCGGACAGCAGTTGAGAGTGCCAGGGATGCACGGGTAGACAACTGTGTGTTGTGCACAGTTGCCAGTCAGCCAATGCCACACGCACACGCACACGCACACGCACACGCACACGCACACGCACACGCACACGCACACGCACACGCACACGCACACGCACACGCACACGCACACGCACACGCACACGCACACGCCATGAACGAGGGCCAACGTACTTCCTTGGGGGATGGTGAAGTTGGAGTTGCAGACGTCGCAGTACTCAGAAAAGACGGAGAACCAGGGGAGGTTGCAGGTCTGGTTCCCGCCGTTGATGGTGTAGTTCACCACGCTGCCGGGGATGTAGACGGCCACGTGCACGAAGCTGACGGGGCACTTGGACTCTGCCGATGCCAGCGGACCTGCCACATCACCAGGGTCACCGCCTCGTCAGCCTCGCGCGTGCGCACACGTGTGCGGTGCGTGTGTGTGCAGTGCGTGTCGTGCGGAAGTACCAAAGAGACCCAGGCCGACGGCGGCACCGGCAGCGATCGAGGCGACGCTCATGCCGGGCTTGCCCGACGCCGCGCCGGCGGCGAAACCGGCGGCCGCCAGGGTCAGCGCCAGCGAGGCCTGGCTCGGCTTCGACGCTCCGCTTCCGAACTGGTCCGACTGTAAAAATGCAAAGAATTTAATAAATTGTCAATTTAATAAATAAATAAAACAATATCTGGTCGCCTAATAATTTTTAATAATAAAAAAAGAACTAAAATAAAATAAAAAGATGAGAAAGAGAAACGTACGACGGCGACTTGGATGGTGGAGAAGGTGGGGTCGAGCGGGCTGAAATCAACGTTGAGGGCGTGGTCGGCGGTGGCGTTGATGACGACGAGGAGCTGCGGGGAGTTGGTTACGATGACGGAGACGTTCACTCCGGCCGACTTGAGGGAGTCGAGCGAGTGGACGATGGAGATGGCGGTCATGTTATTGGGGAAGGGGGAGCTGAAGAAGTAGGTCTGCGGCACGTCGCAGCTGCCGTAGAAGGCATCGATCGACGTCGGGAGGGCCACCAACCCACACGCGAAAAGAACGAAAGCGAAAGCGAGTACCTTCAGGGAGGGGAGGGGGGGACGTCAATAGGAGTTAATATAAAATTTGAAGGAGAAGAGGGACCTACTTTCATGTCGAACAGGTTGCGTAACAAAGTCTGTGGTTTGTCGTTCACGACAGGTAATTTCCGTTTTTTCTTTACAATTACAGTTGACTCAACTTGTCGACGGCCGCCAACTTGCGAGAACAGCAACTGACTTTTTTGTGTAGTGGTAGGGCCACTTCAATCTTTAAGGAGAAAGCAGTGTTTGACCAGTACTGGAACGGCACCACGAACATCGCCATGGCCGGCAATGAGGTGGTGATTATGCTGCACGTGAAGGAGCTCTTCCACCCCGGTCTACTACTTCGGCAGCTCGAACAGCGGTTTGCTGTGGATCCTCCGCATCAATTTGCGCTGAGGATTCTTCATGATTGCACCACACACAACACACACAACACACACACAACACACACACAACACACAACACACAACACACACACAACACACACACAACACACAACACACACAACACACAACACACACACACAACACACACAACAACACACAACTATCGCGGCACATACAGTTGCAGGAGACACTTCCGCCCAGGGGCGATATTGCTAACGCGTTCTGCTCAATTTGTGCAGATCACTCACATTCTTGGCATTCAGTTCAAGTGGCGGGAAACCCTGCTGTGCACAATTAGCAGAGAAGCGACATCAACACAGATGGACAACGCCTTTTTTTCCCCAACTGCTGTGGAGGCGTTCTACACCTGGAACAAGGACTCGACGTTCGGTGAGGCTGCCGCGATCGCTTTCTCACCCGCTGGCTGGTCCACTATTTCTGGGACCATTACGCGAGATGTAGCAAAAGGCGCCAAGCGCAAAGACTTTGCCCTCCTCACAGATGTGACGGAGGATGTCGATGCAACAAAGAAAGGTATGATTCACTGTCACCTCTGCCTTCAAGATGTTACAAGATTATTCACATCTACTGGTTATGCAGGTGCTGGCAGAAGCGGAGGTCGTAGAACTTAAGGCGACACAACTGGAAGGCGTGTTGGAATCCGCGATTCGCGTCCTCGAAGATGCAAAGGGGGTGTACGAGCGAGGCCAAGAGGAATCGAAGAGGATGCAGGAGGAATCGAAGAGAGCGCAGGAGGAGTTAAGGAGAGAGAACGAGATTGCGCAGGAGAAACTGAGGAGGGCGTACGAGCAAGCCCAGGAGGAATCAAAGAGAGCGCAGGAGGAATTAAGGAGAGAGAACGAGATTGCGCAGGAGAAACTGAGGAGGGCGTACGAGCAAGCCCAAGAGGAATCGAAGAGGGCATACCAGCAAGCCCGGGAGGAATTGAAGAGGACGCAAGCGGAGCTCCTCCACGCTATCAAGGCTGGCGTCAAGGGACTTGAGCACGCTTGATCAGGGTACCTTGTGGTCTTCCTCTTTGCCAAGCAGCACACATTCTTGCGTGTTTGGAGTCTCAACGCCCTTTACAATCCAGATTGCGAGCAGCACACCCACCGTCATCGAGCATCTAGCGAGATATACATATATACATACACTCATGTACACACGCCTGACACACACCCGACGTCCAAGGAGGACATATAAATGCATTCTGTACAGCACAACATCAGGCTTAGGCCGAAGGGTAGTAGGAGAGGACGCGCACGATGCCGCACGTAAGGCCCGTGACGACTCGTTCGTCGTCGCACACCATGAACTTGACCTCGTTCCACGCCTCTGCCGGCTCTTGACTACACACGTACTCCCGATTCGTGGCAGTTCCTGAACATACACACACGACACACACACACATGACACGACACGACACACACACCACAGCCTAAGCTTCCTGTGGTCTCATCAAGCAGAGGCGCCGCATTCCATAAAAACATACCGTCGAGCAGCATCTTGGTGTTCCACACGCCCACGCGCCCGCCAGCCTGGGCCGTCACAAAGTGGTCGAGGCCGCGGAACTGGACAGCCGCTATGGCGTCCATGCTGGTGTGGAATGCGCGGAAGCTGCCCACCGTAGTGCGCACCTTGTCGACCACCCGCCCGACCTGGAGCGTGGGGATCGGCGACGCGCGGTAGCCGTCGATGTCCCACAGCAGCAGGTGGCCCATCCCCGAGCTGCTCACCACCACGTCGCGCCGCGGGTCGATCCCGACCGAGTGCACGCGCGACCGCATGTCCTGGTAGGCCGCCGATCCGAGACTCTTCTGCGTTCTGTTGCGTCTTCAGCTGCATGTCGTGTTGTGTGCGGTGTCGTGTGCGTGTGCGTGCGCGTGTGTTTTGGTAACGAACCGGAGATCCCAGTACATGACGGTACCATCCATGTCCCCGCTGGCGATTCGTCCGCCCTTGGATGACCGGGCAGCCGCGCAGACCAGCAGTTGGCGGTGGCCGCGGAGGGACATCACCCGAGACAACGATCGCGTGTCGTACACCTGCACCGTACCATTTTGTTAGCGAGTGGAAGAGTGAGTGAGATGCAGGCCACCGCGGCGGTGGCAGGCCGCACCTCCACTTTCTTGGCGGTCAGCGAAACAAACAGGTGCGATAGATCTGTGTTGCCGCACTCGGTGCCTTCGAATGGTGCCACGCCGTTGGCGTCGGCCTCTTCGCAGCTTTGAATACACTTCCCTGTATCACGACGCAAATACCGTTGGTGAGTAATGAATGCGTGGTGTCGTTTACACGCATGCGTGTTGGATGGGCCGACGTACCCACTTCTACGTCCCACAGCTGCAAGCCGCCATCTCGGTGGCCGCATGTTATCAGGGTGCTGTCGTCCATGAAGGTCAACCCCATAGGCCCAGTATCGTCTAGTCCCACTTCTTGCTGCACACCCCCGCGAACTGTCATTATCTCACCACGCACACGCACACGCACACGCACACGAGGTTGAGGGAACTTACCAGCTTTTCACCAGAGTTCAAATCGTACAGCAGCGCCTGGGACGAGTCGGAGAGGCCACAAAGGTGAGGAGGTCAGGTAGGCAGCTCTCGCAAGTGTTCAGCTAATTGGGTCACATGCGATGATGGTACCTTGTTGCTGTACGTGGAGAAGGCCACCATCACACGAGCCCGCGACGGGCGGCACCTGTTCATCGCCATGTCCGACAGCGGCGCCGTCGCTGCGCCGGCCAACCATCACAATTGTCATTCCGCATCAAGGCATCACCAAACAACAACAACAACAACGTGGTCGCCTTACCCGAGAATTCGTGAACCACTCTGTAGGTGCCCTCCTCCCAGTTGCGCTCGGTCTGCGCCCGCTGTTGCACCACTCGCTTCCACGACACCCCGCTGTCCCTCAGGCGCGCCGGATCGTCGCCGCCTACGGTGTCGCTCGATCGGCCGGACTGGTGGTCGGCGGTGGAGGTGCAGCTGGTCGAAGCCGGCGACTGAAGTGCTGGCGGTGAGGGAGTCGGGGGAGTAAGAGAATGGCGGTGCCAGGGCGAGGTGAAGCAGAGGGAGAGCGGCCAGATTCTGTCGTAGACGGCGCTCCACACAAAGCCATCGGAGCACATGGAAGCGAAGAACGAGTTGACGAGTGCCACGCACAACAGGTCCTTCGGGGCGAGATGGCTCAAGATGGAGAGCACCACCTGCGCATAAACGTCAACACACACACACACACACACACAAACAAACAACTTGACACGACACACAGCGCGCGCATGCACACACCGCACACCACGACTGACCTCATGAGGAAGGACGGAGAAGTAGCCTTGGCCGGCACAGTTGAGCTCTTGGCCGTTGCGTTGCAGGAAGGCGTGGAAGGTGCCCAGCCGTCGCCTGTCCTCCTGCAGGGCTGCGCTGAGGACCCGCAACGCTGGCATCGTGCACGGCACGTACGAAGCCACGCCCCAACTCGTCATGCACCTGATCGGCACGCACGGCTCGTACCGTGAGGTGGCCGCCACCAGTGCAGCAGCGGAGGGGGGGGGGCAATACTCTTGGAGCTGTGTGATGGCACGCTGGAGGTCGTCCATCTGCTGCTGCATCGCCGCTGCCGAATACGCGGGCAGCTGCCCACCACTACCGTAGTTGGTGCTGGGCTGGTCTAGCACCACCCGCACCTTGTCCTCCATCCAAAGCTGCAAATAAAAAAAGTTTTCCGAAACACGTTTCAAAGATTTGGAAACCGTTCTGAGTTGGGTTGATAGACTTCAGATAAACGCGGCGAAAGCGCATTTGCCGAGGCGATAGCATCGTTGAACGATTGTCGAACCGTCAGGTGAGCCTTCATGCCACGGCCAGTTTAATCGCGATTCGACCATAATTTCATCTGCATATGGACTCGATTGAGGAGAGCGGCTTGGCCCAATTTCGGGCGAGAAAGGCGAAAGGGCGATCGCGAAAGATTTTGGTACGATGGAGCCCGGCTGGAGGCTCGACCGACGTGTTGGAGCAGGCGTTCAGGCTAGTTGATGGCTACACCTTCGGCAGCCTTCTGCACGATGCACTCGAGCATTTCGGTCTGCAGCAAGGCACAGCCTCCTCGCGTGCTACTACTCTGGCACCCACAAGCATCGATGAGTCATCGCCCAGAGGTGCCCAGCCCCGCTTCGAGCTGCGCGACGCCGACGGCAGCGTGTGGCCGCTACTCGCACGAATCGAGGCCGAGATCACCGAGGACGACCTCCTGCTACACGCCACGAACGAGCCACAGCCTGTGGACTACCAAGGCACGATCGTGTGGCCCGTCGTATGTCTGGTCGAGACCGGACCCCTCGGTCGACGTTCGCTCGCCAAAGCCAGCAAGAAGAAGGTACTCTCTCTCTCTCTCTCTTTCCACTTTTATGATGCTATCATGTGCTGTCACGTTAGCTTGACTCGCTCACCGTCAACGGTGGTGGGCAGAGCCACGAGTCCCGCTCCGCTGGGAGAGCGGACAGCAACGACGAGGGCGCCAACGGTTCTGGCAGCGGAACGGAACGCAAGAAGAAGGGCAGCAAGGTGCGACGCGCGCACAGCGAGACGCCCGTCCTGCCGCAGCAGCTGCCCATCGCGGCCGCTGCAGTGGCGACGCCGTCGGCAGTCTCGTCGCTGCTGTCGACAGCGGTGGCCGGAGACGTCGACCAGCAGCAGTACTCGGCCTCGCCGCCGTCGACCAAAAGTGCCGCGAGCGAGAGCGAGCGCCGACGGCTCTCCTCGTCCCAGCCGGGCATGGCCAAGCGACACAGCAGCGAAACGCTGTACAAGGGTCCACTGCGCTCGTCGCCCGTGTCGTCGGTACTCGATGGCACCGCAGCCACGACCACCACCGGCGCCGGCTCCGGGTTGCAGCTGCTCGACCTGGAGCACGTGGCCAAGAGCAAGAAGCGGAGCGGCGGCAGCGGAGACGTCGCCCGGCTGCAGTCGCCCGTGTCGTCGGGCGAGGTCTCTCCCGAGCGCGAGGGTGCGAGCAGCGATGGCGGCGGCGGAAAGAACAGTCCCAGGCGGAAGGACCAGGCGCCGCACGACGAAGAGCGAAAGAAGGAAAAGACGAGTCCCGAGCCCGAGACGGTGAGTCCGCGCCAGCGACAACCGAGTCCGAGAGACAAGAGCGAAAGCGACGAACAGAGCGAAAGCGAAGCGGGAGGGTCGACGCCTAAGAAGTCGAGCGCGACGGGCAAGCTCTACGCCGAGATCACGCGCGGCGTGCGCACGCACCTGCGCGCAGCCTCGGACTCGCTTCGCGATCACGATCGCACGCCACCGGTGACTCCATCATCCTCTGCGTCGTCTTCGTCTTCCTCGTTGGACGAGCGCGACACGAGCGAGAAGGCCGACAACCATCATCGCGAGTCGTCCAACAAGGAGAAGCGCGAGAAGAAGGAGAAGCACGACAAGAAGGAGAACGTCATCGTACGCCTCTTTGGCAGCGAGCGACACCACAAAGACAAGGGTCCGGCGTCGAGCGCCAGCTCCAGCGCCGGTAGCACGAAGGAGCTGAAGGTCGCTGCGCCAGTGGTGGTGTCTGTGGTGCGAGACGAGGTGGAGATCCAGATCACCGGCCCGCGCGTCGACCCAGCGGATGGTGACCGCCGCGTGCTGATGGTGCACAGCGGGGGCGGCACGGTCGGCGCCGGCGGGGTGGTGACTACGCTGACGACGATGCCTAGCCCGCCGGTGTCGCCCTTCCCGATGCACAAGAGCGGCATCCGGCTGATCAAGGTCGATTCCGAGCACTGCATCAACCTGCCCCTCGTCAACTCTGAGATCACCGCCCAGAAGACCTCCTCCAAAGCGGTATCGCTTTTCGTTCTTTCTTCTTCGTTCTTTCATCTCTTCGTTTTCGATTTCGTTCTTTGTCTGATTGCTGATCGACCCGCGTGTGCGCACACAGACCAAGTTGTTGTGGGAGAAGCCGCCGAGCGTGGTGCTGATCATCAAGAAGCCGCGCGATCCGGTCATCACGCAGCAACTCTGCGCTTTGGCCAAGTACGCATTCATCGTTCCCCGTTTTACAATCGCGTTTGTCTCAGCTGTGCGCCGCCTTGCCTGACGGACAACAACAACCTCGTGCTGGCACTTGTTCACGAATCGTTGTCAGTTGGCTGGAGAAGGAGAAGAAAATGACGGTGCTGATCGAGCCGGAGGTGCAGACGCGGGAGGCGCCGCACTTGATGTCCTTCACCAACTTCCTCGAGGACGTGCCCCTCAGCAACAAGGTCGACTTCATCATCACCCTCGGTGGCGACGGAGTACGAACACACACGCTTGGGTTTGTGTTGTGTGTGTCTGTGTGTGCGTGTGCGTGTGTGCGTGTGTGTGTGTGTGTGTGTGTGATCGACTAACGCCGAATCTTGTTCAGACGATCCTGCACGTCAACTCCCTGTTCCCGTACTCTGTGCCGCCGGTCGTCTCCTTCGCGCTGGGCTCTCTCGGCTTCCTGACGCCTTTCGATGTGGCCGAGTTCGAGCACCACCTGGCCTGTGTGATTCGGGGCGAGTTCTGCCTCACCGTGCGCCAGCGGCTCGAAGCGCAGATCTTCAAGCTGAGCCCCACAGGCGAATTCATCGGTTCACCAAGTACGTCGACACACACAACACCCAACACACACACTTACGCCGTGTGGTGTGACCGAACAGCGTACCAGTGCATGAACGAGGTCGTGATCGACCGCGGTCCGGATTCGCATCTGTGTTCGCTCGAGTGCTACTGCGACGGGCTGCTCATCACCACCATCCAGGCCGACGGGGTGATCATTTCGTCTACGACGGGTTCGACCGCCTATTCGCTCTCGGCTGGCGGAACCATGTGCCACCCCATCGTGCCTGCCGTCTGCTTCACCCCCATCTGCCCCCACTCGCTCTCGTGCCGGCCCATCATGTTCCCCGACTCTGTCACCCTCCGGATACAGGTTTGTGATGCGCCGCATGCACCGCACCGCACACACACCGCACACACACCGCGCACACACCGCACACCGCGCACACCGCACACACAACTCAATTCTCATTTCTGCTGGCGCAGGTGCCGGAAGACGCGCGCACGCGAGGGTGGGTGTCGTTCGACGGCCGCACGCGCACCGAACTCAACTCGCGCGAGTACGTGGTCATCAAAATATCTCGATGGCCCATCCCCTGTACGCTTCCTACGGCACCCACACACGACACACGACACACGACTTACGCATAAGCCGTGCGTGCACAGGTATAAACAAGACGGATCACATCGGCGATTGGTTCCGGTCGCTGTGCGAGTGCCTGAACTGGAACAACCGACAGAAGCAGAAGGCCTTCCCGCCACCCACCTGATTTCTTCTCTTATTCTTTTTTTTCACACAACAAAAGACGCGCAAGTGTTGCCCAGTGCTGTCTGTGTCTATCTGCTTCCTTGCTCGTCGCCCGCTGCATCGCCATCGTACTTGAATTCTTCTTCTTCTTCCGGCCTGGTCAGGCTGCTTCACGCCGTGGCGCGTTCGCGCTCGATCTTGGCGAGGATGTAGGGCATGAAGTGGCGGCCGTATCGCGCCTGCAGCTCCGGCAGCCGATAGTCCTTCCCCGTCACTCTCCCTGTGTGAGCCCCCGCGCCGGTGTTGAGCCTCGTGCCCTCAAGCATGTGTCTTCTGTTAAGGTGCGTGTGCGCGTGCGCGTGCGCGTGCGTAGGAGTGTTGTGTGCGGTGGTGCGGTGGTGTGCGCGTGCGAGAGGGTACCGCGGCACTGGGCGGAGCCGCAGAGGCAGTCGAGTTGGATGAAGTCGTTGGACTCGGAGAGGGCGTAGTCGTAGAACAGCTCTTCGCCTTGGCAATGTCCCGCATCGCCACGATCACATCCTTGTCCTCGAACCACAGGTTCGGCTCACAACTATTGCGTGTGTGTGGTGCGTGTGGTGCGTGTGGTGTCATTCATCGCACAACACAACACAGCAACAATACGCACACGTACCTGTGGTTGCAATGCCACTCGTACTTCTGCTGCTCGGTCATGTCGGTGTCGGAGTGGTACCCGCTGTAGATCTCCTCGTCCACCTGGTACGCGATGCGGAAGAACTTGCGTCGCCGCTCCCTGGGCCAACTGCACACCACCCGCACAGTGTCAGCACCGCACGCACCACCACGCACACACCGCACACACCGCACACGAGACAAACCTTTTGATGTCGGAGAGCGTGTACTCGAACTTGCGCTGGTCCTCGTACGGAAAAAAGATGACCTCTCCTTCCTGGCGTCACAGGTGTGAGCAGGCGAGCTTCCGGTGGTTTGTTGGGGGGGGGGGCACGAACGCGTATGTCCTGGGCGGCGTGCCAACCGAGGGACTCGGGTCCGTGGTGCTTGGGGTACTCCACCCCGCTGTTCCCCACTTGCACCTGCTCGCCACCACAACCCCCCCCCCGGGAAAGCCATGCGAAGATTAGACACAACAGCTCTGTGGCACTCGCTCAGGGGGCTTCAGCAGGTGTCTGCCACGGTGAGCGACAGCACGTACCTTGGGGTTGAGGCCACGAAAGCCCGGGTCTCGCACTGCGTTGCCTTCCATCTTTCTCCTTCTGCAAAATAAAATGTGGCCACCTTGTGGTCAACCGTGGTCGTTTTGCCACGAGACGGGCACGAACACGACGTGATGAGGTGCTCATCTCTGCACTGCGATGTGGAAAGCTACTCCAAAAGAACGCCCATCTACAACTTTCCTGGCCAAGATAGCATCGAAAGCATCGCAATCGAAAGCCAGAGGTCAGTCGTCTGGTTCATTGATCTGCGGTGAGTACGGAGGCGTCGAAGAGGACTGGGAAGAACTGGCCCTGCGCAGAGAAGCGATAGTGAGACACATCAGTACCACCATCAAGATGAGATAGAAGGAACGGAGCGGAGTGGGTACGGTGAGCGGCTGGCCGGGCGGGATGACGGGCACGTCGCGCAGTAGGGGCTCTTCGGAGAGGGACGCGGTGCCATCGGCAAAGACGTTGACCACCGTCGCTCGGCGCGGCTGGTCGGACTGGTTCGCGTACGAGCCATGCACCAACAGCGGGTGATGAATTGCCGCCTGTGCCAACCAAGGTCAGACGAGGTGCCTCGATTGACAGCTCAGCGCGCGACGAGGAGCACGTACCTGGCCCTTCTTGAGAAGGATGGCCTGGGGCTTGAACTGCGCCAGGTGCTCAGGTTCTAGAGCAGAGCGAATCGAGTCCATGTCATCAAAGTGGCTAATGGTTGGACCTCGATGTGAGACATGTCGGGTGAAAGACTACACAGCCCAATAGACAAAAGCTGGTGCTGTACCGGGAGGTGATGGGCAGCAGAGGCCACTTGTGCGACCCGGGCACGTACTGGAGGCATCCGTTCTCCTCCGTCTGGTCGTCCAGCGCAATGTGGACAGTCAGGTGGGACATCGGCCCAGTTCGCGTCCAATACGAGAAATCTGAGAAGATGATCGGGTGAGGTGAGTACAAGTTGCTATGAAGTGAAGAGAGCTGAGTGTCAGTCACCTTGATGCCACGCGACACAGGCGCCGTGATGGGCAGGCTTGCAGAAGAGCTGGTCGTGCCACAGGCGTACAGACCGGTCACCCAGCAGCTGGCTGCAGATGCGAGCCACTCGCGGGTGGTACACCACATCATGAAATCCTGTCATCCATCAGCCACGTACACCATCATCAGTATGTGTGCTCACGGGCGTGCCACCACGACGTTACTCACCTGGCATGATCCGCCAGGCGCCCAGGCAGTGCATCAACACCTATGAACGGGCAAAGAGGTGGGCACACCAATCACACGGGCCAAACAGGAGAGAGCAAGCACCAGCGAAGGGTCGGGGCTTTCGTTGGAGTGGAACTCGTGGAAGTGGTGGTGGCCCGGATGCTCGCCGGTCCTGATCTGCTCCAGCTCCGCCAGCAGTGCTTCCACCTGCGAGTTTTGGAGAAGTGGGTCAAATTTGGCCCTTCATGGAGCACAAACCAAGGAGAGGAGGTGCTGTACCTGCTCGCTGCTCAGGATTTGCACGTTGGCCAGGTAGCCCTTCTCTTCGAACTCTCGAAGCTCGGCTTCGCCCAGAGCCAACTGCGCCCACCCTTAGAGATGCGCATCAGATCTTGTGATCTCGCAAGACGCCGCCAAGTTGAATCTTTGGAGGTGGCACCTTCAGGGGTGGATGGGACGGGGCTGCTGTCGAGGAAGTCGCCCACGGGCTTGTGGTGGAAGCTCAGGTCAGCCGACATCTTCGAAGATGCGTTTCAACTTAAAAAGGGAAGGGACGAGCTACGACTGAAGAGGAAAGCACTGCTAAACGTCTCTCTTTCATGTTGTTCTTTTTGACTACCTACAGAGGAGCGTAAGAAGGATAGGTCCCAGTACTAGTACCTTCTGCCGAGGACCATCGTGTCCTTCTCCGTGGCCGATGACGCCACGGGCGCCTTGCGCTCGCCCTGCGCCGGGGCTGCGGCCGACGATGAACCGTACTTGGCCGCCAGCATCCTCATCTTCGCCATATGTTCAGCACTGCAATGAAAGACAGAAGAGGACAAACAAAAGAAGGTCATTATTAAACTTCAAGTCAAAGTTGTGAGCAAAGGAAAGAGAGAGACGGGTAACATACCTGGGTGCCTTCTTCTGAGCCGTTGCCGTACGGTCGGGAGATCGCCGGCTGGGCGAGCGGCTGGGCGACCTCGACGTGCGCGCTCGCTTCCTGTCGCGATCTCGCTCGTCGTTGCGTCGCGACCCTCGATCTCTGCTCCCGCCTCGACTTCGCTCCCTCGATCCCGAGCGCGACCGCTTGTACCTTGAGTCCCGGTCACGGTCTCGATCATGGTCTCGCCCTCGCTCGATCTCTGCTTGAGCTGCTGCTGCTGCTCGAACGGCTGGAGCTGGAGCCGCCGCCTCGGCTTCGCTGTCCGCTGCCCTTTTGGCTGTCGTCGCTGGCGATATCGGTGGGCTTTCGAACGACGCCGGGGTTCTTTCGGTGCCACTCGGCCAAGCGGTCGTTGATCTCCTTGCCCACGAGCGCGGGGAAGCGTGGCATAATGGCGTCCACGAACTTGATCGTGGTGAGCAGATCCTCCACAAGGGAACCAATCGTTCTGCAGCAATCCAAAAACAACAACGTAAGTACCAGCACGCACACAAACGTTGAAAACTAAGCGAAGACCAAGAATCTGCGTACGTTGGTTTGCCCTTGTATCGTATGGTGATCTCCTCTTCATCGGCAAGGTACGGCTCGAACCAGTCCCACAGCAGCTTCGGATTGGTGCACATGCGCAGGTACAGGAAACCTATGCCACGAATATACCTGGCGGTGGTAGAGAAGAAGAGGGTAAGGCGTGAAAGAATCAAAAGGCGCGGGTGCACGAAACGGGTAGCGAACGTACGGTGAGTCGGCGTGATCGAGCATGCCGGTGACCTGCTTCTTGGTCAGCTTAATGGTGAAGCATTTGTACATGAGGCACCACGCCTGCGAAGCCATCTTCGAGTTGGGCATAAAAGGCTCTGTGTAACACGAAAGGAGGAACTGTCAGTCAGCTTGGGCACGATAAAGAAAGCAGGAATTAATATTTAAAAAATAAAAAAATAGGATAAATGAACAAAAAAGAATGCGATCGAGGGAAGGTGAGTAACCTCAATTGGGGTACCGACCTAAATGCTCAACCGAGTAGTAGATCTCGTCGACGATCTCGTGGTAGGTCTTCAGCTTGCTGAGAAGAAAGCAGAATCAGAAATGAAAAAAAAAAGATTGAACCAACGCGAGAAACGGGGTACACGTACTAGAGGCCTTTGAAGTAGGTGGAACCGAGAATGTTGTTGTAGATCAATGCCGAGAGGTTCATCTTCTCGAGATCGCCGTGGAGCTCCAACTTGTTTTTCTTCTCTCGGGTCTCCTTCCTCTCCTTTCGCCTCTGCTTCCGCTCCTCGGATATCTCCTCCTTCTCCTCATACTCATCCTCGGCACCTGGAATGGGGATCCCTGATACTGGAGGCACGCCTGGGATCATTACGGGGGGAACGGGCACACCAGAGACCGGCGGTACCCCTTGCATCATCATCATGTGGTGCATTCCAGGGTACGATTGCTGCATCATGTACCCTTGCTGCTGACTGTAGGCCGCCATCGCTGCGGGATCGGCATACCCCACAGCAGCAGCAGGGTATCCCTGCTGAGGATAGCCATACGGCATTCCGCCTTGCATAATTCACTCGCGAAGTGTAGAGAGAGTCAAGTGCTGAATGAATTGCTGATTGCTGATTGCGCGGCAGAATGGCTTTTTCGAGTCTTCTTCGCGTCTTTGGTGTTGGCGCGGAATTTCATTTTCTCTTTTATTTTCTTGACTTGCTTTTCCACAATAGATCGAAGCAAGATGGAGGGCAGCGAGACCATCTTCGACCTCGTGCGCGCCTCTGCGCGGTTCGTGCGGGACAATGCTCAAGACGTGAAGATCAACTATGATGCCGTTGCTGCCTTTGTGAAGACCCTCGATCCTGGTTCACCCTCTTTTGCCCTCCAGTGTCAGTGTAGTACACGAAGATGTTGACCGTGCGAACCGCAGCCGAGTTCGAGAGCAAGGCAGCCTCGCGGGGCTACCCGCTTCGCTTTGCCACGCTTGAGGAGGAGGTGGGCTTCTGGGGCCTTCTCTCCCTGCTTAACTTTGGCAGCGGCTTCCGCGTGCCGCTGCACCAAGCCCGCAACCGGGTACAATCATGTCTGCCATTGAGCGCGGGCACATGTGCTGATGTAGTGCATGCGTGTAACAGCCGTGATCTCTAACAGCTGCAGTGCCTTTACTTCTTGTAGGGCGCCTTCGAGACCATCCAGCGCGGCCTCATGGGCATGTACATCTCTGGGTTCGGTTCCTGCCCTCCCACCACGACCCACCCTGTTCTGGTGCCAGCTATCTGATCGCCATTACATCTTCAGGTCGACCATCGACACACAGTTCCTGAAAGAGATCTCACTTGTGCAAGTGGGCGAGCTGTTTGACATCCCACTGTTCGAGGAGCGTGACGTTTACGGCGGAGCCATCTTCATGTCTGCCCCCGGGCCTCTCCACCCGCTTGGCACCATGCTGCAGGAGGTGCTCAATGAAACCGGCCGCACGCTGGAGAAGGAGGGCTGCTCCAAGGGCCTCGGCGAGTGGGTAGTGCGCATCGTCAAGGGCATCCCGGAGGGTCCGCACGTCGCCGCGCAGTTCGTTGAGAAGTTGGTGGCCACCTTACCGGGCTTCGCCGACAAGGCCACCTACAAGGACAAGGAGGTGCTCATCCTCAAGAAGGCCCAACTGCTGGCTGCCGACCTCTACCGTCACATGCGGGTACGCTTACATGCCAACACTATCACGCCACTGAAACACATAACCCAATACTCACTCCATTACTACAATTGTGCAGGCAAGGAGCCGCGGTTCGACTTCGCGGACATCCACGACGTTACCGTGTTTGCTGACAACGTTCTCCCAGCAGTGCTGAGGAAGGTAGGCACAAGCTTCGTTCCGCCTTCTTCGATGGCGCTGGCAGCGAGTTACTAATGTGCACGTGCTCGTCTTTGTGCCGTATGTCGTGTACAAATAGCTGGGCGTGCTGGAGCTGAGCGAGTCACTGAGCACAAAGATGGACGCCAATGAGGACCTGCCTAGGGGCGACAGCGAGGTAGAGCTCAGGTGCGTGGCGATCGCCGCGTGCGATGAGATCGTCGAGACCTGGAAGCGCGAGCGGCAGGCCGCTTCGGAGGGTGTGGAGCTCAACTCGATGAAGCTCGACTTCTACCTGTGGGCCAAGGGCAAGGAGGAGGGCTTCCGGTCCATCGCCCGGCACGCCACCAAGGACACCTTCTACTACTAAAGGATGATTGTTCTTCTCTTCCTTGGCCTTGTCGACATTCACGGCCTTGTCGACGCCGCCTGGTTGCTCCAACACACCACAAGAACACCAAGGCTTTGTTGTCGCTCTTCAAGCACACAAAAGCTCAAGGACACAAGAGAATCCGCACCGTTGATAGTTGTTTAGGCAATGGATTCGATTTACGATACCAGCTTCATGGTGCTGGCTGCGGGGACGGCTGCCGCGGGCGCGGTCCTCTCATATATTTCATACTACGTGTGGGGGCGACCTGCTGAGGCTGCCACCCCAGCCCCAGCCCCAGAAGAGACATCTCCAAGCGCTGATCTACGAGATGAGGCACCCACCAAGGCCCCAGAGTTCGAGCAAGAGCCGCCTTCGCCGCGGGGAAAAGAAAAGATTACATCTGAGTCGGGTGGGCTGCTGGCAATCCCGAGTGGCGGCTCTGCTATCCTCGTCTCCCCCATCAAGGAGCGACCCCGTGCACCTGCTCGCACTCTCCCCTCTCGCGGACACCTCAAGGCGCGGCCTGCCATCGATCCGCGCTCTGAGTTTCAGAAGCAACTAGACGAACAGGCCACGAGCGCGCAACAAAGTACACCCCCCCTTCTCTTGCGTCCATCCGAGCTTGCAGCGCATAACGTTCTCCTCTTGTCATGCATCAATAGCCGAGAGCGCGCCCAGCAGCGCTGCGAGCGAGTCGCAGCAGTCCAGCAGCTCCAGCAGACCGCCGGCTGGCTTCGCCCCTCCCTCGGCTGGCCGAGGTCGTGGCGCGCCGATGGGCATAGGCGGGCAGGGCATGGCCATGCAGGACCTCGCCGCTGCTCGGGCCCGGATGCGCAAGGCCGAGCAGTAAGGCGAAGGCAGGAGCCCCCCTGCCCTCCTCCGCCTGTGTACAGAATCTGGCTTCGACAAGGAGGACTAGTGCGAAGCGAGTGATGATGAAGGTGGCCGCGTTGATGGTGTACATACAACAAGAGAGCGCCGCACGCTCTCACAATAGAGCTGGTTTGCTGTGCACGACCGTTCCCTGCAGCCTCTCGTCCCGCGAGAGAAACGCAGGCAAACAACTCTCCATTTCGCGCTACGCTTCCTTTTCTTATTTTCACACCAACCGCCAAGCGAAGAAGAGGAAGCACCTCCTCGGCACATAGACACCACGCTACCGGCAGGCCAGGTTTCTACAACGTTGAGAGCAGCCATGTCTGACGTGGTGATGTTCTTTGTCGGATTCGCGATCATGTGGTGCGTCTTCTTCTACTTCTTCGCGAGATCGGCTCCTCTACCTCCGCGTCGAGGGCAGAAAAGCTGGGGGTGCAAGGTCGACGAGACGGCCGAGGCCGGTTTCAGCACGCCCACCCAGCACTCCACTACGTCCCTCGCCAACGATCCGGTTGCGCAACGCGCTACACGACCCGATACACCCCGGTGGAGGATTCCGAACTCGCCCGACTTCGTGGAGTCGCCCAACTCGCCCGACGTCCGCCCCTTCTCGACGCGCTGTAGGATCGGTACGGGAGGCCAGGGGCTTACCGTCCACGACCTGGCGAAAGAGAGCTCCAGGGCTGCTTCCAAGTCCGCTACGCTCTAAGCCCGATACCGAGAGGCCTCTGTCGATGTTGGTAGTACGTATCTGTCCAAGGACGCACGCAAGTAGGAACGACAAGCGACGAGGTCTTATTCGCGACGCTTAGCGCTGTACAGAGAACAGCATCACATGTAAGGGGGGCTAGAGAGAAATAAAGGAACGATGCTGTCGAACGTCCCGCCGATGGCCTTCAGGCGATGTTGCCCTGCGAGCGCCTGCGCTTGGCGATCCGCTTGGCGGGCGACGCGATCTTCTTGGGCGAGTTAAGCGACTTTCGCTTGGCGAACCGCTTGTGGGTGGGCGTCGACGGAGCCTGCTGAGACGACGACGCTTCCCTCTTGCTCGGCTGGGTCGAGAGCATGGCATCGTCCTTGGCCATCGTGGACGCGGCGCTGGTCAAGTAGCAGTGACGGCAAACCGCGATGTACTTGTCGGCGCCTCCGATCACCTCTACGGCGGTCTCCGAACCAAGTCGCTGCGTGAAGCTTCGCGATACATCAACGCGGTAAGCAACCATCTTCTCCACCACTACATCCAGCTTGTCAAGCTAACAGCTCGCTTACCTGGCGTCGTTGGAGCAGCACATGCACACGGCAGACAGCTTCGAGACGGACTCGGCGAGAGGGATGAGCTCAAGCACGGTACCGAAGGGCTGAAGGTACGTAGGCGAGTGCGCAGGTGAAGTGAGTGCATGACCAAGACAAGACGCTTCGACGTTTGTGCAGGTTGTACCTTGCGCTGGAAGGTGCCGTCGAGCGCAGCCACGATGACGATCTTTCCGAGGCTAGCCATCAGCTCGCAGAAGGGGACGATGTCACAGAACTGAGAGCGGAACGACGGGTGAGACACGAGCCACCATCAGCGAGCAGAAGAGACGAGCGGAAGACGTACGAACTGGCCCTCGTCAATGCCGATACAGTCGAAGAGCGCAGCTTCTTGCTTCACCTCCCTCAACTTCGTGCACGACACTGCCGCAAGCATTTGCCTGAACGATTACCAAAGATGGAGAATGAAAAGAATGAGAAAAAATAATCTCAAACGTTGCGGATGGACGGCTTGTTCTTGTGCGGAATGAGATACCGGTCGTGGGTAGCCATGTTCTCTTTACTGTAACGCGAGTCGGCGGCATACTTGATGACGAAGCAGCGCTGCTTGGCGATGGTGTGTCGCCGTATGCGGCGGATCAACTCCGTGCTCTTCCCGCTGAACATGGGACCCAAAATCACCTCAAGCCTTCCGGCATTTCTTCTCTCGCACTCCATGGTTGTGTTGGCAAGGGTTTTGACTGTCAGTTGAATGATGTAGTGAATGGCTCTATCATCTGTTCGTTTATCTTTTGTAGGGGAACGTTGGGATTCGTTTTTTGACCGTTTGAAAGTTTGGCGCCAAGAGTCAACGAAACCAAAGTGGTCGACAAGAGGAAGTAACGAGCAAGATACGCACCTCGAGGTCAACTGTTGCTGGCCCTGTTGGCTTGCTTGTGTGGTGCGATGGATCGCCAACGGGCCAGCAGCGGTGGCAATCGTGTGCGGAGGGGGGCAGGCGATCAAGAAATTCAAATGGACAGAAGGGCCGAAATGGTGCAACAACATCCGCTATGGTGTAGTCGGTAACATTTCTGGTTTTCACCCAGGCGCCCCGGGTTCGATTCCCGGTAGCGGAACATCTATCTTTTTGGTCACCCACAAAAGGATGGCCACACAACATTGGCCTGCCCCAGCTCTCCATGCACAGCATCTGCAAGATGTGTGGTGCAGATGATGTGGGGCTGCCTGCTGGAGTACAAGCCAGAAAAAGGTCAAGTGGATCATTGAGTTGCTGGTACATCCCATGCCCATCAGGCCTGTGCCAGTGGAATTTGAAGGCTTCTGATTCCATTCTCCTCCATATCCTTGGTGTACACATGATCAAGTTCATGATGTCCATGATTGTGGTCACCAAGATGGGTTTGCCCACTTGCTTGTCCAATAACCAAGTGTTCATGAAAAAGGGTCAGTGACCCTTTTTGCTTAGCACAAAAATCAACTATCTGTACATAAAAGGCCAGCATTTGGCTGTTTTTCATGAGGTTGGTGTACAAATCAAGGAAAGCTTGGGTATCATTTTCAGAAAATGTACAGAAGTGGAGGATGCTATTGAAGAAGAAATGACAAAGGCAGAATCCCTTTTTATGTACAGATTTCCCATCCGACGCGCGTCGGATTGCAATTTCGCCGAAATATGTGCATTTTTAAGGTCTTTTCTTGCATTTTCTACACATTTCCCGTTCACATTTCTCAGATTATGTGCATTGAACTGGCCAAAGTGTACTGATGACTCCAGTCTGTTTCTGGAGGGTGTGCAGATACTGGTGTTACAGCCCTGACAATGTGTACATGCTGCCAGATAGTTAGTGAAAAAGAGTTAACTGACCCTTTTTTGTTAACACTTGGTTCCAACACCTTGGAGTGTATGGTGCAGCTGCTGCCACAATTCCAGTCCAGAACATCAACTAACTCTCACCTTGTAACCACAGAATGCTAGCAGTGGTTCAGACAACCAACATTCTTACTTCTGCCCCAGCTACTGCTACTGTAGAATGACAGATCTTGAAGCTAGGGCCACACAGTAGCCCACCCACTTAATTGGGACCAGCTTTATGAGCAATTTGGTGGCCCTGCTGACAACAAGGGACAGACAACACACACTGTGGTAAAATAGATAAAGAAGGCAGTGCTGGGAAGGATCCTAACTCGCACAAGTGTGGCCATCCTTTTGTGGGTGACCAAAAAGATAGATGTTCCGCTACCGGGAATCGAACCCGGGGCGCCTGGGTGAAAACCAGAAATGTTACCGACTACACCATAGCGGATGTTGTTGCACCATTTCGTCCCTTCTGTCCATTTGAATTTCTTGATCGCCTGCCCCCCTCCGCACACGATTGCCACCGCTGCTGGCCCTGTTCGCTTGCTTGCTTGTGTGGTGCGATGGATCGCCTCGTTCTTCTTTCCGCACCACGCCTTTGTCAGTGGTTCAAGCTTGGCTGCTGTTCAGTTGACCTCGAGGATCGGATTTGGTGCATTGCTGCATTAGTGCAGGTGTGCGGTACAGTTGAGCGTCCTAACTGTCCACTCGGTGCCGCGGAGTGTGAGTTCGCTCGTTGCCGTGTTGCTCAGCTCGAAACGGAAAAGCTTGGATTCGGTGCCCAGCACGCGACGAAGGAAGCACCTGGTCAGAGCACCACGCACGCACGATCAGACCGAAACTCAACAAAAGATGGCGACGATCACGCGGGGGCCATTGGCTTGGCTTGGCTTTGCTTTGTGTGAACGAACCTCAGGCCGCAGCCGTGGCTGATGATCGCCACCTTCAACTCGCGGGGCTTATGGGCTTCGGCATGGCCAATTTCCCCCTCCTTCGCGCGCCTTTCCTCTTCCTCCTGGACGAATCGTTGGTAGAGCGGAAGCACGGTGGCATCGAAGAAGGCGTGCATGCGCTCCTCGACCTCCTTCTCGGACTCGCCGCCGGGCGCCCTGAAGTTGTGCGGATCGGCGAGGTATGTCGCCTGCGTGGAAACGCCAGGGAAGAAAAAGAGTGAACAGTTTGCGTCGTGTGTCGTGTGTGTCGTGTGTGGCGTGTGTGTCGTGTGTCGTGTGTGTCGTGTGGTTTGTAAGATCAGGGCTGTGACGCGGTGCGAGCACCTCACGAGAAGATGGCACGCACCAATGTCTCGCCCACAAAGAGGTGGTTCGCCGACTGGCCCTCCCATTCACCGCGGAAGATCTCCACGATGTCGGGTGAGATGGTGATGGGTGCCTGAATCCCGGCCTCGGCGCAGCTGATCTGTCCACGGCCAACATCGTCGTCGGCAAGCACGATTACAACACAACAGTTCCATTGGTAACTAACAGGTCGTGACGGCGGGCACACCAGGTGCGCAGAGGAGTACCTTGGCAGTGTCGGTCGCGCGAACGGCCTCAGAGGCAAAGACGTGGTCGAACTCAACGTCATGCTCTCGCCAATACTGGCCGAGCTTGCGCGCCTGCTCCTTGCCTGTCTCGTGATCATATCAGAATAAATTTGAGTGATCTGAAAATCAAATCAAATCAAATTGAGTTACCCATGTCCGTCAACTGAACGTGGTTGTTACGGCCAACGGCATGGGTGAGATTGGTCTCGGCTTGCCCGTGCCGCACCAGCACCAGCTTCAGCATCTCGTCAGTTTGCCGGGGTGGAGATGAAATAAAATAGATATTAAAAACAAAAATGAAAAAGGGGTGTGACGTCAGCAGACCGGATGGTCGCACAACGGTTGCCACACCACACTCGCTCCAACAACCTACGTGCGTGTATGGAAATATTCGAATTTATTGTTGTTCATACATTAACACCCTGTCGTGGCGGCCATCGCCTCAGAAGCCCAGAGCGGGCAGGACATCGATCGACCAGAACGCCCAATCTGAACTTCCGCCGTCTCCTTCTGTCTTCACCTCCTCCGTCTTCTCCATCATCATGTGCCCCTTCTCTTCGCCCCTTCGCTCGCTTTCGTTCTTGTTGTTCGTCTCTGCGCCCATCGCTTTCGTTCTTTCCTCCTGGGTCTTGGCGCTGCCGAACTTGGGCAGCTCGATCTCGTCCCACGACTCGAATCCCATACCGGCGCCGGCACCGCCGGCCACCACGCCAAAGTCGATCGATGGCGAGCTCGTGTAGCCCGCGGCCTCGTCGTCCGACGATGTGCACTCCTGCTGCGACTGCGAGTCGTCTCCGGAGTGCATGTTGTAGTCATGGCAGTCGTCGTCTTCGAAGTTGAGGAAGTGGCTCACGTCCAGTCCCTCGCTCGACTCGAACAGCGCTTCGAGCGCTGTCCCTTCGCCCTCTGCGTTGGCCGTCGTGGTCGGCGGGCACGTGCTCTCGGCAGGCGACGGTTCGGACTTGACCGACGAATGCTGCGTGACAAATAAATGTGTCGACGCCACATGCGGCGCGTGGCCGCTTCCCATCGCGACGGTCGAGGTGAGGTCGTCAACGGAGAGGGCGAGGAAGTCTTCGTAGGCGCCCGCCGCGTCATCGCCGTCGTGCTCGTAGGTCGGCTCGGGCTTGATCCGCACCAGAGGCACGTCGGCGCTGTGGTCGAGGATCGTCGTGCCGGAGTCAAACCCACAATATTGCTTATAAGTCCGAAGCTTGACATTGTAGCGGGCGCCCTCGACCCACTCGCCCGCCCCGGTGCCCTGGCCCTGGTCCGCCCGGGCCTCGCGCTCCTGGGCGATGAGGTTCTCCATCTCGACCAGCAGCTCCTTGAGGTACCAGTCCAGCCGGACCTTCTTCTCGCGCTCGGCGGCCAACTCCTCCTGGAGCCGCAGCCATCCGCCTTGCTGCTTGGGGGTGAGTCGCGTCCTCCTTCGCTTCGCCGGACCTCCGGAGCCGCTGAACGGCGAACAAGAAGACGAAGTCGAGCTCGTAGACGACGAACTCGAAGGTGTTGAGGCCAAACTGTAGTGGGCCGGAGTAGTGTCGCGCTGTCTCTTCATTTTGCGTTGCGTGTGGTGTGCGAGCTAGTAGAGTGCGAAAGGGGCGCGTAAGTGCGAGCTTGAAGATGTTCCGGAGACGCGGGACTGTGGTGCTGGCTAAAGATAACAGACAAATAACAGTCGCCGGTGTTTAAAATGTTGGGGAGAGAACCACCAACTGCGGACGGGACTTGCGGAGTAACTGCACCGCAACCTATGGGATGCAGTCACTCACACGCGTGCGACCCCTCCGCCAATCCCTACCGCCAGTCAACAAACCGCGGCCTTGCTCCGGTGCTGAGTACCCATAATTTTTGCGGCGCCTCTACCCATTGGCCAATTAACTCTCCCCATCCGGCTCCGTGCACCCCCTCGCGAGGTGGCACTCGCCGCAGCGAGGCCTCCCTTGAGCAAGCCGCACTGCCAAAGCCTGTGTGAAGGCGACTCAGGCTCGAGCAGTCACTGCTCTTGGGCGTTGTCACCCGCCGGCCACAGTGGAGGCCGCGGCGCTGTCATTTGTACCGATGACGAGAGGGAAATGAATACAACCAGCTCACGCCTCCAGTGGCTGTGGTGAGGTCGGTAAGTTCGGCGAGTTGGCGGGATTTCGGTCGTGCGGTGACCGTGCGATGCGTGGCGGCCACGCATGTGTGGAGGTGAGCTCGGTCTGGGCGCTTAGGCCAACAGGGATTCGTCAAACTCGCGTCGCAGGTGCTTGGCGTACTGATCACTGGTGAAGAGGAGCTGGCCGTTGGGTAGAAATGTGTGCAGGAGCATCAGCATCTCCTCTGGCCTGTTGAGAAGCTGCAGGGACATGGGTGATGTGAGTGTGCACTGTTGTGTGAATAATCGCAGTATTTAGTTGTGTGTTCTGCACCTCCTTCGGCTTGGCCAGAATGCTGGGGCTCTTGAACTGCTCAACGAGCATGGCCGCGTAGTGGGTAAGGAAGTTGGCGGCCAGGTACTGATTCTCGTCCACCTCGCATACCGCCACCAGCGCCACTCTGAACACACGGTCCATGTCCACAAGAGCAGTCAGGTATGATGGCTTGTAGGCCACGTTGCCACATGGCCAGGTGAGGGTGTGCCACGTACTTCTGCACTTGCTTCCACAACACCACCTTGGGCTCGGCAAACAAGCCCACCTCCGTACCCAGTCGTAGTACGCCTTCTACTCGCTCTGCTTTTCGCTTCGTCTGTGCTCCTCTGCGCCAAAGAATTATTCATCATAAATAGGTGATAAATGGATGAATAAAGGAAACAAAGACCGGGTGGGGGTACGCTTCAAGTGTTTTTGCTGATCGATTGGTGGAAGAGCTGGGCTTCATGAGGGAGGCGAGGCTATCAGCACATTGCGACTGAAATTGAAAATCTTTGTGAACCGCTCGCACAATGTGCTGTTCCCGTTCCTTCTTCCTGTTGTCGTTTCCCTCCTTGTTGTAGAACACGGACAGGCATACGAAAGGCTCCTTCTCCTTGTCTAACGAGTGCAGAATGAATCCGAACACCATCGCTTCTCTTCTTCGCTCCAATCTTCTTGCCGTCGATCTTGCCTTTCTTCTGCCTTTTCCCCCTTTTTTTGGTGCCTTTTCTCAGTTGAACGCAACGCTCAGTTTTCGCGCCAAAACGGCGCAGCTGCGTTTTCTTCAAAGGTTGAGCCCTTGGCCTCGCCAATCTCTCTTTTCTCTCCCTTCTTAATCCTCCCATCTCTCTGCACAGGTGCGTGTTTGTTGTGCGTGAGGCAATTGCCCCAATAATTGGTTGGTTGCGATAAAATCAGCAGTGCCAGTGCTAGTGGCTAAAGATGCGTGCCGCGCAGGTGGTCCAGAGATGGATTTTTGGGATGGCTGGAAGCTGAGCTACCTGACTCAGGCCTTCACCAACCAGCCCGCATCGCTGACGGGGATGGATATGGGCAGCGCTAAGGAGATCGCCAGCGGTAAAACGCCCTACTCCAGCAGCTATCGCTCCGCATCTTCACAGAGCAGACCCTAGTCTGGGAAGCCCGTACGCTCCTCCTTCTCTCTCATTTGTTCATTTTCAACAAATGTTAGATTAAATTACCGGTAATTTACTCTATTCAAATGAATTATATGCAAATGATTTGGCGCGATTTACTTCGGTGCTGAGCATTGAATCCGTTTACAGTGGCCCTGAGCGCACAGTTGAAGGACTTCGTGGTGGAAGAGATGCAGGACCGAAGCAAAGTACGGCACCCACGCCTCCTACACTGCATCACACCTTGCGAGCTTCTGCAGTGTGCTCCGTAGCCGCACTCGCTCACTTGTGCAATCGCTGGCCCATAGATCATGCGATGGCGTGAGGCTGTCGAGGAGACCAAGAAGCTGAGCATCACATCCCTGGACCAGCTGGAGGTCGGCCGGGACTACAAGACCGAGCAGGGGATCCCCATCAAGCGGCTACCCACCAACGAGCTCGACCTCGCGGGCAAGATCCTGCTCAAGATCCTGCCGCAGCTCGATGGCCGAACAGGCGTCACCCTACTCGTACGCACTCCCTCCGCGCGCGTGTGTGTCCGTCTTTGCCCATGTTAGCAGATCTACTTACGCTGATATGACAGAAAGCCTATTTCGCCGAGGGCACGGGCAAGATGGCGATTGAGTCGTTCTCGATGCTGACGTTCAACGAGGGCATCGGCATCGCCCTGCACCGCAAGGACGTCGATAAGGTGGCCGCACAGGACGTGTTTCTGGTCTTCTCGCTCGAGGAGATCCCGCTCGACCAGAAGTACGTCGTGGCGCCGCGCGAGCGCAAGGGCGAAGTGGAGGCCGGCGAGCGACGGATCAAGATCAAGCGGATATCGGTCAAGGACGTCTACATCAGCTACCGACGCCGGGAGCTGGTCGTGGGCGGCAAGCTGGCGGCCGAGGCTCGCGCCGGGCTCAACCTCGGATCCATGGTGGGTGTGCTCAACCGCGAGCTCAAGCTCAACTTCAACATGGCCGGCAACATGGGCCACATGGGTACCGGCGGAGGCCACCTGGCTCTGGGCGGCGTGCGAAAGAAGATCGACTTCAGCTCCATGGGCTCTGCTGGGTCGGCGTCGTCAGCATTGGCCTCGCCCGCCTCGCCAAGTCGTGCCTCTTCTCCCGCATCGCGCAAGACAGTCGACCCGAGCAGCCCCTCGGCCGGCACCAAGCGCAAGATCGACGACAAGGAGAACGAGCCCAACGGTGCGACGGCATCGTCGCCCTCGCGCGGATCTCCTGCGCGCGGGTCTGCGCTGACGCCCGTCAAGTCTTCGACTTCGCCGTCCAAGCGCGCCAGGCCCAGCCCGCTTCGAGTCAAGCTCGAGCAGGCGACCGCGCCCGCTGCTTCTTCCCCTCTCGCCTCCAGCACTGCCGCCTCCGCCTCTGTTATCCCCTCCTCGTCTGTCGCGCCGCCCTCCGCCTCTGTCGCCCCCGTTCTCGCTCCCGTCTCCGCTTCCCTGCCCTCAGCCGTCGCTCACGTGCCCGCGAGAGTCGCATCCCGCACCAAGCCCCGGCCTTCCGTCTCGATGGGCCTGTTGGACCTCCTACCCACTCCTCCCCCCGCTGCCGCAGTCGCCTCAGCACCTCCCGCCGCCGCTGCTCCTGCTCCTGTAGCGCAGCCCTCGGTCAAGCCGCCGACCTCGCTCCCCGTCTCGTCCAAGCCGGCGGCTGCTGCGCCGGCTCCGGTGTCGCGTCGCCAGCCCATGACCATGAAACCCGTCTCTGCCACTCAGGGCCTCAAGGACCTCTTCGCCCCGGCCCCGGCCGCCTCTGGGTCCGCCGGCGCGAGCGGTAGCGCCAACTCCGACTCAACGACATCGACGAGGTCTGGGTCGATCTCGGCGCTGCCCTTCTCCTATATTCCCTACGCCACGATCGACCCGTCGGCACTCGCGGCCAAGGCCGCCGCTGCGGCGGCGACCGGGAGTGCCACC